ACCATTAAAATAATAATAATAATAATAATAATCCTTGCATTTGATATAGCGCTTTTCACGTCGGGAGGACGTCCCAAAGCGCTTCACAGAACACACTGTAAAGTGAATTGACTGTATATTTGTGGGCGAACGCGGCAGCCGATTGCGCACAGCAATGTCCCACAAACAGTCGTAGACTGAAAATGACCAATTTATTATTCTTTTTGGTTTTGGAGGGATTATTATTAGGCTCTGTGTGGAGTAAGGAAACTTGCCCAAGGTTTCGCCCTCTGCCTGGAATTGAACTCAGGTCTCTCACTTGCAAAGCGAGTGCTCTAACCACTGAGCTACAGGACTCCAAACCGAGCTGAGAATTCCGTGAGTCCCATCTGGAGTGGGGCATCAGCCGACACTGTATGTGTTCAAAGTCCCCAAACATGGGGTTTCAATGCAGAACCTCCTAACTCCAAGGTTAAAGGGGTGGTGGGGGGGTTTGGAGGGGGGTGGATTGAGCTATTGAGCTTGTGCTAAAACCGCTGATTGACCTAAAGAAAGCGGGAAACATATTTGGCCTCTAAATTTATGTGGGTATCGATTCAACACGAGTCTGACATAGCAAACAGCTCAAACCGTCTCCTTAATGTGACCATTAAAGGAGACTGCAAGTCAGCAACACAGCGGGCCCTGCTATCGCTCCTTTAACTCGCACGGAATCGCCTCGAATATTTATATATAATGTAAAAGATATTGTACCCTGAAAAAAAACTGCCCCCACCCCCTCCCCCCCCGCACCTCCCTTTTCTCTCCTCAGTCAGCGTTATATTAAAGACTTGGTTTTCAGATTTTTACAGATATCTCAAGGTTATTATTACCATTATTATTATCATTGTTATTATTAATAATAACACTCCTAACATTCGTCTACAAATCCCTTCATGCCCCGACACTTCCCCACCTTTCTGACCCGCTTGTCCCCTCCTTCCCCTCTTTTAGATCATGAGGAACCTGGGCAAAATGGCTGCCAAGTTCCCTTTACAAAACAGTCACTACACTTGACAGTAACATCCTGCGTAACGCTTTGTGAGACGTCCATCCCGACGTGGAAGGCGCTGCACCAAATGCAGGGATTGTTATTTGACCATGACCGTTAACTTGGAAAGAAAGGAGAAAATGGATAAATTCAAAGGCAGAAGTCAAATCACTTTGTGATCTAAAGTGATCACTTCCTTATCGTCTCAGGATACAATGTATAGTTTGGGGACCCGACATGTCAAGCGACTCCAGGATGGTGGAAGGCAAACTGGATGGACCTCTGTTTTCTGTCGCCGAGCAAATTCTTATGTTCTTAAACTCTTGTGTTCAGTACATGTAACTGAACAGGGAGCTAAACCGCTGTCATAAAACACAGAGCCCCAATAAACGAGGCCAGAGCGGAGGCAGTGAGGACTTCAATCATTGACGTTGGTTTTAATATTTAATGGCTCTCCTGCTTACAGACAGGTACGCACCAAACTGCAAGGTGCTTCCTTTTATTATAATGTCGTCAGTCACCCTCACCAAGGGTTAGCCCACCTTGGAAAGAAACCATCTGGGCGTTATAGCATAATAATAATAATAATAATAATAATAATAATAATAAATCCTTGCATTTGGTACAGCACCGTGTCATGTTGTTGAGACATCGCCAAGTGCTTCACGGAATACATTGTAAGGTGGATTGACTGTGTATTTTATGGGCAAAATGCGGCAGCCAATTGCGCACAGCAGTGTCCCACAAACAGTCGTGGATTGAATGACCAAAATCGGAGGGATTATAACCCCCAGAAAGCGATTCCGCCAATCGACTAACAACCGGGTTCCTACTTACTGCTAGGTAAACAGAGGCGTGCGGAGTAAGGAAACTTGCCTATGGTTTCATCCTACCTGGGAATCTAACCCGGGTCCTCTCGCTTGCGAGGCGCTAACCTCTACTCTACAGGATTCCAATCAGAGATGCGTCGGGTGTGTGTGTGTGTGTGTGTGTGTGTGTGGGTTTGCTGTGTAGGCATCTGTCTACTCTAAGTGTTGCCAGGGGATTCTCTGAGCAACAAGCCTCAAGGTAATAGTTCAGTGTAATTGTTTTTCTACAACCAGAGCTAAGTGCTGGCGGGCACCCAGGATCTCACACCAAATGACAAAGCTTCAACCTGGCAGGTCTGTGCTGTTTTACTGCCCGGCTGCTGCCAGTGAGCGTCATTATGCCGCGCTGCTGTAGATCAGGTCCAGTGCTTTAGGCATCAATAGTTAAGGCGCTTCTGGATTTCCTTTGTGTTCCTCTCTCTTTCTCCCGTTTTTTTTTTATGTTAAAAAAAACTCTCGTCCTCAGCATGGGGTGGGCTTGAAACCTCTTCCACTCTGCCATGTGATCTCAGAGAAAGCAATAAAATAATAATAATGGTAACTTACATTCGCACAGCGCGGCCTTCACGTCAAAAGAAACAATCTCTCTCTACCCCCCACCACCACCCCCCACCTCACACACACCGCCCCCCCCCTACCCACCGTCACCTAGATGAAAAATCGGTCGAGTGGACTGATTTAAAACTTTCCCCCCACACTATTCGAAGAGAGAAGGGAGTTTCTCCTCATGTCTTGCCTGACAATCTCCCCCAAACCATAAATATTCTTGTTTAAATATCGCTGGAATCCCCGAGTCGGGATAAAACACCAGTCTCCTCTTTCTTCACTCTGCGCTTTCCTCAGCTGTATCTGCCTCTCTTTTACACCTTTTTTACTCTTTTACTTTCAGAATATTTGTGGAGTCCTGTAGCTCAGTGGTTAGAGCGCTCGCCTCTCGAGCGAGAGACCTGGGTTCGATTCCCGGCAGGGGGGCGAAACCTTGGGCAAGTTTCCTTAGTCCACACGCCTGATAATAATCCCTCAGGAAAAAAAATAATAAATTGGTCACTTCAATCCACGACTGTTTGTGGGACAGACGCTGCTGTGCGCAATTGGCTGCCGCGTTTCGCCCACAAATGTACGATCAATTCACTTTACAGTCGATTCTGTGAAGCGCTTTGAGACGTCGAGAAGACGTGAAAAGCGCTATGTCAAATGCAAGGATTATTATTATTATTATATTATTACACACTGCAGCCTCAGCTCGGCCCATAACGGTCTCCCAACAGTCCCTTAATTGGTCAATGCGGTAAAACTCCACCGCAGAGGAGCAGAACCCAGAGCCCAAACAACTTTTCTTCCTTAGACCTTGAACCCTTGTCCCGCCTGCTCCCGTCGCTTGATCGGCTTTAACGGCAAAATCTAAATTAGAAATCAAAACTCTTTGCGTGCGGTGCAGCCCCTTTTGCATCGGGAGGGCGTCTCAAAGTGCTTCCCAGGATTTGCCGCGAGGTGTAGCGACTGTGCGTCTTGCTGTCAAATCTTTGACTCGTTTGTGAAATCTCTCACACGTCGAAGTGCCCAGTGACAGAGAGAATTCATGCTGTGTTTCTGAACACACTGTATTCGTATAACCCTGGCCCCCGGGTCCAGACGGTTGCGGGTTCAAGCCCCCACTTTGAGAGTCGAGCTCACAGAGTCTAAGCTTGGCGCACCAATATAGCGCTGGGGGCGTGTGTAGCAATGTTGGGAGGTGCCGCCCTTCAGATGAAATGTTAAACGGAGGTGCCATCTGCCTGTTTAGATGGATAATAAAGCTCCCACAATCCGTCTATAATAATAATAATAATAATAAGCCTTGCATTTGATGACTTACCATGTCGCAATCGTCTCAAGGCATGTTACGTGTGTGTGTGTGTGTATATCTGTGTGTGTATGTGTGTGTGTGTGTGCGTATATCTATGTCTGGTTGTGTGTGAGCGTGTATCTGTGTGCGCGTGTACCTGTCTGTGTGTGCGTGTGTCTGTCTGTGTGCGCGTGTACCTGTCTGTGTGTGCGTGTGTCTGTCTGTCTGTGTGTGCGTGTGTCTGTCTGTGTGAGATACTGGATACTAAACCACATCAAATGCAGGAAGATCAAAAAGCAGCGCGGTGTAGGATTCTCTGGGAGTCGGGAGCTGGTGACGAGCTCGGGATGGAATCAGACCTTGCTCGTCAGCGCGAGAGGAACAGGCGTCCATCAGCCGTGACCTTTTCTCCTTGGCGTCGCCACGGGAGGCTCTGCCCTGCTCTGCACTGAGGAGACGCGGGTCCTTTCATCCTCCACTCGCCACACTGAGCGCGTATCTGGCTGTTACGCATGGGGGCCTCCGAGAGGAGAGAGACACTCCCGCAACACAACGCAAAGCTAACGCAGAGCCAGTTACACAGGCAGTAACCTTACACACACACACACACCCACACCCACACACTGCAGATTATTCATAGAATCGTACGGCACAGAAGGAGGCCATTCGGCCCATCGTGCCTGTGCTGGGCTCTTTGAAAGAGCCATCCAACTCGTCCCACTCCCCCAGCTTTGACCCCACAGCCCTGCAATTCTTTTTCCTTTTCAACTCGGCGCTATTAAACCACTGAGCACCCACTGAACTCACTTTGCGGGTGTTTGAGGGACCCGGCTTTGCTGCCCCGCGTTCATCCACAAAATACAGTCGCTGCACTTTACAAATGGTCCCAAAGCCAGTCATAAGGGATGGTTACAGGGCTGTGCTGGTCTATAAAATTGGCTGTTAAATCAAAGGCGCCGACAGGAGGGAACTAACCAATGCCACTCGCCATGAACACACACACACACACACACACACACAGACACCTCCCTCAAATACACACACATGTGCACACACACAGACATACAGTAGACACACACACACACACACCGAATTACACACTGACTTGTCTCCCAAACACACACAAACACACACAGAGAGCCCAGTACCAACTAATTGCACCTCTGTTACATGTCATATCGCCCTCTAAAGAAACAAGGATTCGGGCTGTGTTTTGTGTATGTTCAGCACGTTTTGAGAGCCCGAAATTTCAGTCATGGTAAAGGGATGAGGCTGGAAGAAGATATGGAGAGTGCACTCAGTGTTGCTATTTATTGCTTCAACACAAAAAATGATGGATTGAAATGGGATTCCAGGCTCGGGTTTGCAGGGAATGTAATAAAAGAAGATATATTACACGCGAGGAATTAAAGGAGAAGGAGTGCCCGGGGCTTTGGGGGTGGGGTGGGGAGCACTGTCAGTTCAAAGTGCTCTCTCATCTGTACAGTTTAATATCAGAATGACGAATGGATTCGATCTCCAGAGAGAGAGAGAGAGGACCAACGCTTTAACACTTGCCCCCTGCGGGACCTTCCTCCGCAGGCTCCGTTTCCCACCTGGGGAGCCCGCTCCGAGAAAGACAATCTCCGAGAGAAAGTGGAAGCCTCGAAGCCCTGTACGGCCTTGCTCCTCCCTTCCACCGGGACCCGTTAATTCTACGTCGACCTGTCCGCTCCCTGCGCTCAGCGGAATCCGGCCTGGCTCCACGTTCCGCGTGACCCGCCATCAGCCCCGGCTTTCAGCACCCAGCCCGCCACACGTATCGGCTCCACGTGCCGGAGTGCGGGTGGGATTCGAACCCGCGACCTTCTGACACACGAGTCTGCGAGCAACAGAGAGCCGGGCTGGCACACAATGGCGGGCACCGACCGCCGTGGCGGGCTGCGGAGTGACGTGACTGGGTGGGGGGCAATATCCGTTCTGGGATAAGAGTCGACCGGGTTGTTTCCTTGTGCCTCGGTTCCTTCCTTTTCCCTGTGGCTTTCACGGTCGGTGCCAATGCTGGGAGCTCACGTGACTCCGGGTTATCCCAGATGGCCGCTTAATACAATTACAGCCGCCCACTCGGGGCTCAGACTTCAGCGTAAATCCCACCCAGACGCTTCTTTGTCAACATTTTCCACCGGGAACCTACCTCGCCAGATTTCCTGTCAGGACCCATTGCTCTTTTTGCGGATGTATTCCCTGGACCGAATGTCAGCCTGCAGAGGGTGGAGAGAGAGAGAGAGAGAGAGAGAGAAAGAAAGAAAGAGAAAAAGAGTGAGCGAGGAATAGAAATCTGATTGCGTGAGAAACACGCGCGCCAGCGTCTTGCGCAGTCGGTAAACTCAAAGCCGCTTCACAGGTCGGTCTTGCGCCCACGCCTGGGCTGCATTTTCGTGGAGGGTTGGGTGTGCAAATCACCGTTTGCCTACGATTACACAGTCACTGCACGTAACTGCAAATCCTGTGAAGCGCCTTTGAGACGTCCTCCCGATGTGAAAGGTGCTGCGCCACGTGCGAGGGTTATAACGATAGCGTTGGGAGGGAATGGAGTGAGACCGTAAATCTCTGGTCCTACCCAAGGAGCCCCCGCAGCACAAGCGAGGATCACTCAAACACCGATTAAGGGTCACAACAGCCCCTAACCTGTTCCCAGCGCCTCTCGCGAAGGATAGCGCCTCCGAGCACTACTGCAACAACTACTGCGTTCAACAGCCGATCTATTAACCCATCCATAACCGCTCCCTGGATTTTACTGAAAAGGTTGCCCTTTCAGCGTAGCGCTCTCAACACACACGCACACACCTGCTCGTGTTCTCAATGGCCAGTTTCCATTCTTTCACCCAGTAGCTGCGTGCTTCTCTCTCTGCAGTAAGGGGGAGTAACTGCTGCCCTCTCTCCCCCCCACCCACCCCCCACCTCCCCCTCCCCTTCCACCGTGCGCCACTGTTCATGTATAATTCAGACATGCTGGGAAATGCTGAGCTGAATAAATGACTCAGTTGGGTATAGTTCCGGGTGGGGGGATGGGGGGGTTATGTCTAATAAAAACAACAACTGGCAATCAAGCGGTGTGATTTATTAAGCTGCAGACTGTTAGGTTTACCCGTGTCGAGGAGGGCCACCCACTCCCTTGTTTCACTCACAGAAATCGTTAATAAAGAGACCGTCTTGAAGATGAGATGAGATAAACTGTCCCACTCTCTCTCAGACGCTGGCAGGGGCTTGCTTTTTTTTTCTCTCTCTTTGGTCGTTACTGCAGTACAATGCAGTGCGTTTTCTCCGCAGTTTGCAATGTGAACATGCATTATTCCCCCAGTCTCTTGCCAGATCTTTTCCCCCATTTTTTTCCCCCCAATGCTCCTTAATTCCCTTACACCCCGTTAGCTATCTGTGGCGTCAGCTAGGTGGCTCAAAGGTCTCGTGGGACTATTGGAAAAGAGAAGGGAGTTTCTCCCGGTATCCCAGCCAACAATCCCCCCTCCAGATAAATTCGATCATTCACTTCAAGGCTGCTCATGGCATCTTGCACAATATTTGCTGCATAAAAAACACAGTCACTGCACCTGGCAGCAATTTCCTGTGAAGGACTTTGAGATGTTGAACCAAAGAGGTACAGGTCTTCCATTAATAAAAGGAAATAATAATAAGCCTTGCATTTGATACAGCGCCTTATCTCATCGTTGAGACGTCTCAAAGCGCTTCACAGAATATGCCGTAAAGTGAATTGACTGTATATTTTGTGGGCGAAACCCGGTAGCCAATTGCGCACAGCAGCGTCCCCACAAACAGGTCGTAGATCGAGTGACCAAATTTTATTTTAAAAAGCGATTATTACCCCTGGAAAGCGATCCACCCATTGACTATCAACCGGGCTTCTTCTTACTGCTAGAAAGGAAATTTATAATCACAGAACTAACTCTTGGATTTAATTTCTTTTGGAAAAGATTAACAACACAGAACAGTGCTAAGATTCCCTGAACGGAGAGGGTGCAGTTGTAGAGGAAAATGCCTCACTGCCCTCGTGTGGCCACCGGGAGCACTGAGCTGCAAGGCAGTGGTTGGTGAAGTCCGTCAAAGACAGACCATAAGAGTGTGGCATCCCATAGAAAAATAATAGCCACAGTAATGAGTACGGAGAAGGGAGTTTTTCTCTCCCGGTGTCCTGGGCAACAATTCCACCCCCCCCCAAATAAAATTGGTCACTCACTCCGTGGCTGTTTGTGAGTCAAGGCTGTCGCGTTCACCACAAATTTACACAGTCACGACACTTTTGCGGTATATCCCGTGACAGATTTGTTCCTGCATCTCTTAATCGCTGCAAACCGAACCCAATTTATCACAGCGTTAAATAATGCAGGACTTAAGTCAACTCCCGAGGCGATCAGAGAACGGGTGACGGATTTCCTTGGGAAGCTACCATTTATTTAATTTCCTTCCCTGGGAATAACTTCACCGCTCTCGCAACTGCGCTAGACACGCGAACAATGGGGATCGCCTTTGGTTCCAAGAACCGCCTCCAGCCTGCGGTGGCTGAGAAATAGAATGTGTTTTGACTCTTGGATGGTCGCTCGGCTTGTGTTAACGTCACTAAGTCAGCAACCTTCCCCTTAGATCTTGAATCATAGGAACTTGCAGCGCAGGAGGGAGACCACTCAGCCCATATACTGTGTGACTCTCTCAGAGAATCCTCCGTCTAATCCCACTCTCCTGCCAATGTCTCTCCTTCCTCCTCATCCCCTCATCCCACCCGCTCACACACACGCACGCGCACACACTTATAGATTTTTCCTTATTCGTTTAATTCCCTTTTTATTTGAAGAGCTACATTATTCTGAATTCTGCTTCAACCCCTGCTCTTGGTTTGGAAATTCATCTAAGTACTCCGAGAGGCTGCCCCACCTGAAGGGCGCTATATGAATGCAAGTTGTTGTGGTTGTTGGCCTAACAAGCGCCTATGTGTATGTGTGTCTGCGAGTCTGTGTGTGAATGGTGTATGGAATTTTCTGTGCGTGTACGTGTGTATGAGTTTGTGTGTTAGTTTCCCATATTTTTCCCATTGTTGACTGTAAAATTTCTGCAGTGAGTGAAATGAGAGCGAGTCAGGGTTTTTTTAAAAAAATTGTAAAGGTCACGATTCAATTTACGCCGAGTGCAACAATGATTCTACGAGCGAAACCCAGCGGCGAGTGGACGGGATGCATGTTTATTAAGCGACCGTTTCCCATCGCATCAATTTTATTTTATTCCCCCTTCTCGCACGTTCTTCGGCACAAGAACAGTAGATCAGATTAATAACGCTGCTTAAATTATACAGCAGTGTAGCGCGGTTTAAATATAATTTATTACGCAATTACTTCTATAGGACTCAGGGTAGCACATATTTTGCTTCAATTTAGAGCTCTGAGGTTACACCAGAGCACATGAGTTCTCAGCTTACAATATATTAGACAAGAATAACGTAAAGATTGTTATTTGGTGGTCAGTCAGAAGCTCTCACGCCTCTGAGTTCAAATCCCCGTGCCGGGGCTAGGAATTGCACTACTGGGTGGTGGGGGGGTGTTGCATTTTCCAAGGTGCCGTCCTCTGAATGAGATGTTAAACCGAGGAACTGCCTTGCGTCTGTTCAGGAGGACGTTAAAGATTCCGTGGCGCCGTTCGAAAAGAGTAGGCAGTTACTCTCTCCTGGTGTCCTGACCAACAATTCCCCCAAATAAAAAAAAATTGGCCCCTCACACCGTGGCTGTTTGTGGGGAATTGCTGTGCGCAATTGGCTGCCGCTTTTCGCCCACAAAACACACAGTCACTCCACTTTACCATGTGTATTAAGGATTATTATTATTATATCCCGTGAAGCGCTTTGGGACATCCTCCCGACGCCATGAGGCGCTATGCAATAATATAATCCTTGCATTCGATACAGCGCCTGGTCACGTCTTTGAGACGTCTCAAAGCGCTTCACAGTAAAGCGAATTGGTTGTAATATTTTGTGCGAGAAACAAATCAAAGGCAAGGATCATAGTTGCCATCGAGGTATACCTCCCCCCCGAGCGCTGGGACCTACCTGCCGGATTGGCTCTGGCACTCGGAAGTTGCAGCAGGAGTGGGTGAGCCTGACGGCCGTCTCCAGGCTGACTCTGTGACCCGCGGAAACATAAACGGGCTTAGTGCTGCGCTCACAGCTTTTAAGTGCCTGTCACGTGCGAAAAAAAGATAGAAAGTTACAGCAATGCAAATACTGTACAGTCCTCCTAAACTCCCGCTGTTATATCTGCTAGTTGCTATCACCTTACATTCACGCCTCTCGTTTTGGGACTACGTTTTTCTACAAGTGGGAAAGGTTGGCGACCTAGTCGGCAGGATTCAAACCTGCGCAGGGCAACCCCAATGGATCGCCAATCCATCGTCTTAACCGCTCGGCCGCCTCTACTTCAATGGATAAACCTTTGCTCAAGGATAATTTTAATTTTCAGCAAACCCAGACCCGAGCCCCGTTATCGCTGGTTGTGTTAAACGATGAGTCCACAGACACGTCCCCCGTTTCCCCCTCACCCCACAGTTTCTTTGTCTTTGGCAGATCTGAGGTAGGTTTCGCTGGACAGAGAATCGTTAACTTACCATGCCTAACACTTTGCCTGAGCTTCCTGTGAGTGGGTACGTGCCACCTGCTTCCTGAAGGTCTTTCAGCTGCAAAGTAAATGTGTGTGGGTAACCTCGCAGGTTTGGGGAGAACTTCTTTAGAATTCTATTGAGACTCTGGAAGGAGAGTGGGGGAGAGAGCAGCTCAGCCCAACATCCAGCCCAACCCAATCAATTACACTCCAACCCAATCAAGTCCAGCCTAATCTATTCCAATCCAATGCAACCTCTGCCAAACCAGTCCAAACCCAGCATCTCTGTGTAAATCTCCAGTCCACCTCTATGCAAAGACCTCCGAGGTTACTCAAACGAATAAAAGAAAAGAAAACAGTGCGCATAACGCAGAGTCACATAGAGCGATTCGGAGAACGCAGGCCAGTTTGGCCCAACCATCCATTCAGTTTGTGACGGCAAATTAGGTGTCATCCAATTTTGTTGCCGCTAAATAAGAACACAGCAATTGCTAGACAAAAAAAAGACCAAAGTCCATCCAGTTCTCCTTCCACCATCCTGTCAGTCGCTTGCACATGTCATGTCCCCAACCATATACTGTATAAAGCATACTGCACTCGCCGGAACTCTCTCTTACCTTTTCTTTCAGGAGGATCTTTTCCTCCAGACCATCCACCCACAAGAGGTTCTTGGCCACTCCAACACATGGCAAGTCTGTGAGGACACCAAGGTGGCAGGCCACACCGAACTCTGTGTGCAGAGTAACAAGCTCACACTGATAGGCTGTACAAATTGACAATAATAATGACAAAAGCACCTTTCACGTCAGGAGGATGTCTCAAGGAGATACCCTCTCAAGTGTAGTGACTGTGTATTTTTGCAGGCGAACGCGACAGCCAGTTTGCGTACTGCAACATCCCACAATACATGCCATCTAGCGAATGAGCGATTTTGTCTGGGGGATTGTTGGCAACCGCACGGAAGTTTCTCAAAGAGCTTCACGGCAAACGCAGTGCTGGGGACTGGCGGGGCTCACCTCTCTGGTGTAAACTTCCATTCCCGTCCACCAGAATAACCTGAAACATCGAGAAACAATGTCAGGGCAACTACCACAGCGATCTACAGCGACACCCGATAACCCCGGGGAGACGCAAGTTAGTTTTTAACATTACGTCCGCGAGCTTCACTAACTTTAGACTGACTAAACTTTAGTAACGCACACAAAATATACAGTCAATTCACTCTACAGTATATCCTGCGAAGCGCTTTGAGACGTCTCGAAGGCCAATAAGGCACTATATCAGATGCAAGTATTATTATTATTATTATAGCTAGACTGACGAAACTTTACTAACCAGTCTGACTTAAGCTTCAGTAACCATACTGATGAAACTTCAACGCAACTGCAGTTAAGCTCTTTTTAAAAACAAATTCCTTTCTTCGCATCAATTCCCCTCCCGCCCTAAAAAAAAACACCCTACAAGGGTTTGATTAGATATTTGTTTCGATCCTCCCCTCTCCCTCCTCCCCCATAAGATATGGAGCCTGTGTGACACCACACAAGACACCAAGGGGTATTGACTGAAATAATGTTGTCTCATAAACCTGGGTACCTGCACGAGCCACTGAATCAACACGGCCCCTTCTGTCAGGTCATTACCAACAGAACATGGTTACCGTGTTACTAAGGCTGTGAAGATGTTTCGAGGTGCAGGTAATGACATGACACAGACGGAATCTGCTGCGTTTGTGATATAGACATTTGGTGTAACTGAATCCCAGATACACAGCTCAGGGCTGACACTGCGCGAGACGAAAGGTTCGATTGTTTTCCATGTGGACGGATAATGCCTAGGTTATTAGTTATTAGAAGTTTACTAGTGTAGGTCACTGGAGAGCTGTGTTGCACTGTCGGAGATGGCGTCCTTCAGGCGAGGCGTTAAACGGAGGTTCCCGTCTGCCTGTTCAGGTGGCCGTTAAAGATCCCGTGGCACTATTCGAAAAGAGAAGGGAGTTTCTCTCTCCTGGTGTCCTGGCCGACAATCTCCCCCAAATAAAATTGGCCGCTGTTTGTGGGACACGGCTGTGAGCAAACTGGTTCCCGCGTTTCACCCACAAAGTGCAGAGTAAATCCACTTTACAGTAAAATCAGTACACAGCAGCGAGAAAAACGATTGAAACGCAAAGAGGAGCGATACCTCACACGGATAGTAAACACATTACACCCGCGAGTGAATGCAATCTCAGTTTGCGAAAGCTGTTCAACACCACTCAAGCTTTTCATCCTGCATTTAAAGGACATTTATGTGAACCCATCAATCAAATTACTGTCCTGTTATTCACCGACAGGTTTCAATTATCCTGTAAGAGCTTTTGCCTGCGGTAAAAGCTTATCTTATCAATGTTTTATTGACGTCCTTTTCCCCCTCTCCTTGCACCCCCCCCCAATCACTCTATAACTCCACAATGTTTTGCAACACTCTCTCGCGTTACACTTGTAAATCTGTCCGGACCTTTAACCCTGTGCTGTCAAGTACAATAAGCGCTGGCAAGTCATTCCCTTCTTTCATTCGTCGCACACGGCAGCCAATTTGAGCACAGCAACGGCCCACAGACAGGCATCAAGTGACTGACTGATGTTATCTGGGGGGGTGGGGGGGAATTATAGACCAATGTAAGGAAAGATTTTAAAACATATATATATATAACTCTGTGGGAAAGGACTGATTGACTTGTTTCACGGAATTATAAGTTATCAATGATAAATTCATACACAGAATTATAAATTTTGTAAATTCCTAAATTTTGAATTCTGTGGAAAAGGACTGATTAGATGTTGTTTCCTTGTTTTTTTTTGTCCCCAACCAACTGGTTTGGTCTCTGATAAGGAGAGAGAGAGACGGTGTGAGAGAGAGAGAGAGAGAAAGAGTGTGAAAGAGAGATGATTCGCCTGCGAGTTGGGGCATTGAGGGTTAAAATTGAGGCTAACGGCAAAGTATTTTTTTAAAATAGCAGCTTAAAGGCCACTAAACTCTCCCAGAGAGAAGGTAACCCGAACGTCACTTAAACTCTCTGATTTGGTCACAGCTCTATGTAATAGACATTAGGTATTGACCTATGTTCTTTGATTATGTGACAATCTGATTAAATAGAGTGTAATTGATTATGACATGTGTCGACACTGGAATTATTCATGAGTCCCGCTATAAACTCGACAGCCAGGAAGGACACAGAGAGAAACTCGCTTCTCTTTTCGAATAGCGCGACAGCAATCTGCTACGTCTATTCCATTAAGATGTGCTCCAGACATAATAATAATAGTAATCCTTGCATTTGATACAGCGTCTTATCACGCCGTTGACTGTATGATTTGGGGGCGAGTCGTAATGCATGTTTGCGGGCCTGTCAATGACCGAGCTTCCCACCTGGGGCACGAGACTGGGTTCCTTCTGCTGCAGTCTCTGCACGGCTTCCACCAGGAAGGGCGTCTCCCGGAACGCCAGGAACCCCGGGATGTAAGGGGCATTCAGACACACCATTTGGAGTTCCTCGTAGACAACCTGGGCAGAGCATCAGAGCGTCAGAAACATCCACAGCCCAACGCGGAGAAAGCTGGACCATTGCAACCGCGGCCGCTTATTAAGCTAGAACACGCGCAAAGGCCCAGGCTGGGTCCAGCCTTTGTTGTCAAGAAAGGTTATGGACAACAACAACAAATTGCATTTACACACAGCGCTTTTCACGTCGGGAGCATGTCCCAAAGCGCTGGACAGTCAGGGATTTGGCCCCAAGCTGGGGGTTGGGATCAGGAGGAGCGGAGGGTAGGGAGGGTAGGGGTAGGAGGGTGATCAAAACCACGGTAGAAGAGTAGGGTCTTGAACACGTCTTAATAGCATCTTAAATCAGGAGTCGCGATTCCCGAAAACAAGATCTGCCAAATTCCCAAATCGGGACGAGCGACTCACAAAATCAGGGCAAGTGATTCCCCACCTCCCACCCAGCCCCCATCCACCCCAGAGATATCAACGGTGAAAATGGTGAGGGGCTGGCGATACTATTCTGACCAGCAGCAGAGGTTGAAGCTCTGAGTGGCAAAATTCCTGGAAATTCGCTTGTTGTTGATTTATTGTGTGGACGGAGTCTCTCACTCTCTCCCTCTGACCTTGGCCTCGGGCAGGACAGTTGATTAATTTTTTTGCAATAAGTTACTGCCACAGCTTTCGTTGGGCAAGTGATGCATTTTAACCCCGATTACCCACAGGAAACGCAAGCACAAAAAATAGTGTCCTATTAATAGGGGAATGTGTGAGATCTGGGATATTTTTAGCACAAACGACACCAAGCTGTGAATCTTCGTAAATGATCCAAGTATTGCATCTGCTGTTGCCACGTACGCCAGGAACATATTCGTCATGGCCACACTGCACGCTCCCTTTAAAATAAATGTCTCGGAGAGGCGGGGTACGCGACATTGTCGGAAGTGCATCCTACAGATGAGGACATTAATCCGACTGTGCCTGTTCAGGTGGACGTCAAAGATCCCAGTCGCTACGGTGTAAATTAAAAATCTTGTGACATCCTCCCAATGTGAAAGGCAGTACATCAATTGCAGGAATTATTATTAAGAGTAATTGTGTTCAACAGTTCCAAAGTGGAACTGCTCTGTGCACACAGAGAGATCAGCCAAAGCCCCTGCTCCTGATCAACATCCCAGTCACTCCTCCCTACCAGACAAAGAGCATTGGCAGCTTAATAATAATAATAATCCTTGCATTTGATTTAGAGTCTTATCACGGCATTGAGACGTCTCAAAGTGCTTCACATGAAATACTGTAAAGTGGATTGACTGTGTATTTTGTGGCCGAAACACACAATGTCACAGCAGTGTCTCACAAACAGTGATGGTTTGAGTGACCAAATTATTATTATTTTATTTATTTATTTTTGGGGATAAAAAAGCGATCCTCCAATTGACTAACACCCGGGGCTCCTAGTTACTGCTGGGTAAACTGAGGGGTGTGGAGTAAGGAAACTCCACAAGGCCAAAGAAACTTGGTGCTCTTGTTCAATAATATCATCTTATTATAATATCATCAAATCAGCTATAGAGGTTCCACGTTTCCTGCCCAATGCTACCTCCAGATCAGGATAACTGAGGACGACCAGTGCGGCACAGGCATTGACCTCGTCTCCCTTGATGAACGACAGGTCCACCCCTCCGACCCGCTCCAACCCTCTGAAGCCCTCTGCTTTCTCCCAGTCCTCAGTGTCGTGGTCGATCATCTCCTCTTTCAGCTTGGACTGCCTGCTGTTGGAAGAAAGGAAGCCAGAGTCCTTGGCAAATCACAATACGATTCACATTGACACAGCGCCTTTCACGTCAGGAGGACGACTCAAAGCGCTTCGCAGTGCTTGCTTGGATGGGCTACCGAGCTGGGGCAGTGGGAGGGGAAAGATGAACCAAAGCGGGCTCAAAGAGGTACTTTTTGAAACGTGCCTTGACAGATTGGAGGCAGTCCATCGAGCCTGCTCCACTAATTTATTAGATCATGACGGATCTCTTTCATAACATAATAAAATAATAATTCTTGCATTTGATGGTAGCTGTCTGTATTAAGAAGTTCTGAGAATGCAGTCACTCCATTTCGCAGTAGGCGCTATATCAAATGCCAGGATTATTATTATTATTATTATTATTATTAGAGAGCAGGAGTGTCACCTGTGCAAAACGCAGGCAGCCTTTCGTTTCAGAGCGGCGGCGGTAGAGTGACGCAGTGCACGCCGGAGCAAAGTTGCCATCTGAAATAAAAACAAAAGTGGCTGGGAACACTGAGCAGGTCAGGCAGCATCTATGGAGAGAGAGAGAGAGAGTGAGAGAGAGAGAGAGAGAGGAAAGTGAGTTAACATTTCAGGTCGGTGACCTATCGTCAGAACTCCAAAAAGGGTCATCGACCTGAAACGTCAGCTCACGTCCGCCCCTCTCTCCGTAGATGCCGCCTGACCTGCGGCGTGTGTCCAGCCGCTTCCGCGTCTGGGCTGCCGCGTCTCGCCCGCAAAACACGCGGTCATCTCACTGTACGGGAGATTCCGTCAAGCTCTTTCGAGACGCGTCGAAGACGCGATAAGCGCCGCCGTGTCAAATGCAGGGATTATTATTATTATTATTATGATGATGATGATGATGATGAATGTCCAGCATCTGCAGTACATTGACCACCTATGGGGATGTAGAGGTCTAGGAGTCAGCCAGAGCCCAGGTTCAGCCTACAAGTCCCGGCGAGCACCGCGCCAGCGCCCCGCCCCCCCCCCACCCCGCGCTGAGCCTACAAGTCCCGGCGAGCCCCGCGCGCGGGGGCTGACGCGCGGCCGTGGCACTGCGCAGGCGCGGGGGGCGGCGGGGAGGGTCGGACACATTGTAACGCTGTCGGTGTGTGGCTCTCAGGCGGGAGATTTAAATCCCAACACCGCCCCCCGGACCGCACCAGAGCCCCCGGGGGACACCGGCCGCCACTCCCCCGGTCCCCGGGAGGGCCACAGAAGCTGTGCCGGGGGGGGGAGGGGGGCGTCTGATCCCATTCCTTCCAGTAATTGGTGTGTGTGTGTGTGTGTGTTTGTTTTCACGGCCACATTTGGGGGGAGGGGGCGATACACCGACCGACCGACCGGTACCTCTCCCACTCCCGGAGCAGCTCTGCCGGTGCGGCCGCCATCTATATCCTCTCTCCCGGGCGTCACTGACCCGTCCTCCAGCGTCACTTCCGCAGCCCTGATCCCCCCCCCCCCACACACACACACACAACACACACACACACACACCCTTTTACCTTCTGTCAAGACTGAAGGTGTTGCAAAGAATCTCACCATTGTGTCCCCCCCTCCCCTCTCCCCCCCACCTCTCCCCCCTCTCCCCCCCTCCCCTCTCCCCTCCCCCCCTCTCCCCCCCCCACCTCTCCCTCCCCTCTCCCTCCCTCCCCCCCTCCCCCCCCCACATTGCTTATGGTTTGGATTCAAGCCTCAAATCTCCTGTTGCTACTACTATTAATAATGCTGACATTTACTATAATAATAATAATAATAATACACCTTTCACACCGCGAGATCTCGAAAGGCTTCACATGATGTACCGCGAAGTGCAGTTAATGACTTATGTCAGCGAAACACAGCGGTCAATTTGGACACAGTATACAGTAGTAGTACATCATCTGTATCATGTTCATGGGTGGGGTGGGGTGGGGGGGGAGAGCGAGAACGAGCCAAGCAGCTGATCACCAAGATTCGCGAAAGAGTGGGCATTTAGGTCGGAATGATTCTTTGTGATACTTCGATTAAATGTTTCTAACGCAGTGACAGAGCTCGACGTTCCGCTCCAGGCGCTCTGGTCGGGCAGGTGTACTTTGGTGGCGACAAGAGGAAACGGCAACACAATATGTCATTACAATCGATACGAGGATTTCAGCACATTTATTAAGCTCCGTAAATCGTTCGAATCTTAGTCTCGAGTGTCCTCTGCTGGACCTTGTGGTGCACTACTCCAGTGATGCGAGTTCTGTTTCCTTCACGTCTATGAACGTTTCGTTATTCTCTCGAGAAGTCAGATGGGTTATGTCGGTACTGTCTCAAGCAGAGCTTTCCAGGTGGGTTTGTTGGTGCTATGCATGTAACTAACTGGCAAGCAATAGGGCGGTTATGGTCCAATTCTCCGGCAAACCTTCAGCCAGTATATGTGGTATATGTGGAATGGGCTGGAGTGTGAATTTGTTGCAAAACACGTCTAAGGGCAAATCTATCAATAATAGTTGAAATTAAGCAACAATTAATGTAGCTTCGGGGACGAAATTGGATCCACCATTTATTTAATAGAATATCATTAGCGCCACAGGATGCAATTACGTTATACCAGAAGTTACCAGGCTGCCAGGAACAGGGTTATTTCTTCCCCGCTGCCAGCATTTCACATTATATACTGCACAATAAATGTGCTGAAATGCCTTAAATCTTGGGTTCCAGACACCAAAGGCTGCAGTTAATGGAACATTCTGAACAGTGGCGCTCTGACCATTCCAACAATTCTTTCAATTAACCAAGAGGAGATTTTGTGTGTGTCTGTGTGTGTGGGGTGGGGGGTGGGGGGGGGGGGGGGGGAAAGATTCAAGAGATGGCCAAGCCGATACCCTCAATGTGTGGAAAATTCCTAACAATAATAATCCTTGCATTTGACATAGCGACTTATTATGCCTTCGACACGTCTCAAAACACTTCACAGAATATAGTAATATAAAGTGAATTGACTGTATATTTGACAGTATAATTGCAGTCAAGTTGATCCTATCTGTCTTAGATTTTATTTGAGGTTTTGGAAAATCTTTTTGTTCAATGACAACATAACAAGAAGCAAGTTAAAAGGTCTGGCTCTCTACTTTCACCAATACTTGCCTGGTAATCTTTTCTTCCTTTAACCTGGGAAGTAGGAATACTCAGAAGATATCCTAGGCAGAGAAGGGACAAACACTCATGCCGAAAAATCTACATTTATAATCATTAACTTTAATGGGCTTCAATAGAAATTACATCAAGACTATAAAATTATAATGTTTCCAGCGGTTTTCTTTTGTTCGAAACTTGCTGGAAAGTTCACAAAAATCTGCATTTCAAAGCTCTTACGTGAACAAGTTTAATTACAGAAAATCTCTTTTTGAATTAAAAGGCAGCATTTAGCGTCTCAAGGCACCGCTGAACTTAAGTATTGCAGGTTTAGTAAAATAATTCCCCTTTTATAATAATCCTTGCATTTGATACAGCGTCTCAAAGCGCTTCACAGAACATACCGCAAAGTGAATTGACTGTATATTTTGTGGGCGAAATGTGGCAGCCAATTGCATACAGCAGCGTCCCACAACCAGTCGTGGATCGAGTGACCAAATTTTTTTGTTTTTAAACATTTTTTTTTTTGAAGGGATTATTACCCCCTGAAAAGCGATCCACCAATCGACTAACAACTGGGTTCCTACTTACTGCTGGGTAAACAGAGGCGTGTGGAGTAAAGAAACTTGGTCCTCTCGCTCGCAAGGCGAGTGCTCTAATCAATAGACTACAGGACTCCACTCCTTTATGGCAAAACAGCAGCACAGTTTGGGACCCGTGTAATAGGTGTAAATGTGCAAGTAAGACAGAGGTTTGTGCAGTTATAACGTTAGATTTTTCGTTTTTTTTTAAAAAAAACAAAAGGCACGATTGTCCTGGACTCCTGACACCAGATAAATAGCTTTTTCCGAGATGTAAACTTAAAGAAACTTCTCAAAAGTTGCAGACAGAGTGCTGCCTATCACTTAGGCACAGGTGAGCAGCAATATTTTCACTTAAAGTTGCATTTTAAAATAAAGCATTTTTTTAAAAAATACATTCTCTCGCTCTCTCTCCCTATTCTCTAACAGGACGCTGTTGTTGTTTTTTTTTTGCTTCGAATCTTTCAAAATTATCGTGCAAGCTTAGACGTTCCCGTTTAAACAGCACGGCCGTTTCCCACGTCGCCACAGCCTTCGACAAGTCCACTCTGTCCGGGAAACACTCGTCAAGCTCTGGAAGATTCTCCACGTCCTTCTGTTCCATAAAACTGTTCAACGAATCTTTTAGGCTGCGGAACAAATGACACCAGGGCTAGGATTGCTTGCAAACAGCGGCTTCAAATTCCTTTGCAAGTTATTATAACAACAGCAATCCTCGCATTAGATATGTACGCTGAAACGTCTCAAAGCTCTTCGGAGGATTTCACTGGAAAGTGGGGTGACAATGTGTGGGTAAATGCAGCAGCCAAGTTGCACACCGCCTCAGTTTTAACGTCTAATCCGAAGGTGGGCGCCTAGCAAAATGCAGTGTTCCCTTTGAGATCTCCCCCCCCCCACCCCCGAAATGCAGCTGAACACGTAACCTTCTAACCCAGTTGGTGAGAATGCATCTCCTGTTAAGCCTGCAGCCAAAGTCCTTACAGGTAGGGTGGTCTACCTGGACAAGCAGCGGGAAAGCTTGCCAGACGTTGCTATCAATGGGAGGCTATGTCATTTTAGCTGGTGAGCTTCCAGCAGTGACCCCCAACGCACACTCTGGGATCCCCAAGCCTTGGCTCCTGCCAACCTGCCCCTGATCCTTTCCGGAATTAGGTAAGCAGGATTCATCCCTCCAGAGGGAGAGAGAGAGCGAGACAGAGAGCGCATTCTATTCCAGCAATCTATCTCTGGGATTTCCGTGTGTAGGCGGGACGCATGGAATTCTCAGTCGGGTTTGGATACTCCTAAGCAATGGCGACGGGTTTCCGCGCGTGTGTCAAGAGACACCCACACGGGAATGCATTTTGGAAGCGTGCAGCGATCGCGGGAATAAATGATTTTCTTTTTTACGGGTTACGTGGGCGGCCAGTTTACCTCCACGTGGGATTGAGAGCGTCGGACGCTTGAACGTTCCTGCACTTGAGGATCAGCATCTCGTGCAGTTCCAGGATGAACACATCGACACTGCTCTGCCCGAAGAAGGCCTGCAGGCTTTTCTTCTCCTCCTCGGACAGGCTCTTTCTGTAATCATCCCCGACTCCCGAGAACGGTTCCTGCGGGAGCGAGCGACACAAGTCACGAGGCCAAACGCAAACACGGGCTGATGAAGTGCACCTTTGTGCATACGAGAGGAGAGAGAGAGAGAGATAGTAAAAACAGCCAATCTTACCCTCTTCAAGCGGAGCAGGTATTCGGACTTTCGTGCAGAAAGGAGTTGCCAAAGAGCCTGGATGTGCTTTAAGCTGCACCTCATCAGTGCCTGGGAGCAGATAAACAAAGCAAAATTAAGATGGTTGACTCACTTAATGTACCCGCGCTAGACAGTCAAGCGTTGGAGTTGTGGGCTGGCGTCAAGGTGGGTGGCGGGCGGTGGTGGGAAGGTGACCAAAGCACGGTCGAAGAGGAAAGTCCTGAGACAGGCCTTGAAGGAGGCAAGGGAATGGGCAAGGCTGAGGTGGGGGCTCCAGGATTGAGTTCCAGAGGGTGGGGGCAGAAAGGCTAAAGGGCCATCCTCTGATGGTGGAGCTGACAGGATGGGGGAGGGGATGGGGACGTGGAGCAAGCCAGTCTGATTAGGCAAAGTTCTTGGCAATGGTGCATTTTGGAGGTGACCAGGGTAAATAGCAGGTGACTTGCCTCCATGACGTGAGGTGCCGTATGGTCTCCCATGTGCAGCACCTTCCTCAGGTAGTCCACGAGCAGCAGGTCAGGCTTCTCGCCCGACATGGCCAGGAAGCCCAAGGTGAGCTCCACGGCTGTGAAGGCTTCGCAGATATCGCTGTACGACTGCAGCTCCGCACTGATGGTATTGATAACGGAATTTGGCAGCAATTCCTAAAGCAGTGTTGGGGAAGGTGAGGTATTGAATTCATGGCGGGGGATAAGTTATTCTATAGCTTTTTTTAATAAAACATGTGAATTTCATCACTATTACCACACACAGGCGCACACACCTCTCTCTCACACACACACACACACACACGCGCATCTCTCTCAACCGCACACGTATGACACATACTCATGTGCAGATCACACATTTTTGCGCACACGGATTTCAACTTGAATCTACAAGTGAACAACGAAGAGTGAGGACAGTCAAGACTATCACCCCGCCACGCCCCCCTCCCCAGTCCCCCGACCCGTAGAAACAAAATACCTGAGGCAGTTTGTTCTTCAAATCTTTGAAGATGTTTTCATAATTTCGGTCTTGTCGACATATCAGTGTCGGTATACCCTGAAAGAAGAAATGACATCTGTACACACAGCAACACAACCACAAAGCTCTTTGAGCCGTCCTCCGGGATTGAAGTAATAATAATAATAATCCTACTTGCATCTGATACAGCGGCGTATCATGTCGTTAAGTCATCTCAAAGCAAAATATACTGTCAAGTGAATTCACTGTGTATTTTGTGGGCAAAACGAGGCAGCCAATTGCGCGCAAAAGTGTCCCACAAACAGCCGCGGATTGAGGGACCAAATTTCTTTTCTGTTCGTTTGTCTGTTTGTTTCTTTCTTTGACCGGACTCACCATGAGGTTGACCAGTGGCTTTCCCTTCAGGAATCGGTTGGTGAGCTGCTGCTCGATTCTGCGCAGGTCGTACTCCAGCACGGTTTCCCCTCCTTTCTCCATCGTGTATTGGCAGTTGGATGAAATGAGTGGGATCAGGTCTCTCTCGACCTCGTACTTAATGACGTGCAGGTCAACCACGTCCGATGCGTTCACAGAGTATCTGCAACGTCCGAGAAATGACTCGTTGGTTAAAACTGAACAAAAAAACAATACAATTTATACTGATATAAAAATTAATATGTACCGATATAAATGCCCCCTCCACTTACCCTCCAACCCCTCTGATCCCAACCCCCAATTTGGAACATCCTCCGCGTAAATACAGCGCCTTTCGTGTCATGAAGTTAAGGGCCAGGACCCAGGACTCATTTAAGAGCGGGAAGCGGGAATTTGTGAACAGAAATGAAACTCACGGCGTCGTTTTGTTCGTGTACTTCTCCACAGTGTAGACGAAGTCGTTCTGAAGAGCGACAAGGTAACTGATCAACGCAGTGGAGCACAAGCCAAGCCCCTGTCGACGTGGCAGCAGGACGTCGAGTGTACTGTTCGCGTTGATATCCTCGGCGCAGTAACTCTCAGGGATCTTAATTTCACCTGAAAACGAACGCACACACCAACAATAACTCCGGCATCCAAATGCCTTTCGCTTCGGGAGGGCGTCCCAGTGCTTTGGGATGTTCTCCCGACGTGAAAGGCGGCGCTTTACAAGTGGCGCGTGTCGTTAATTTGTTGTTGTTTAAAGGAGAGAGAGTTGGGGAGTAGAGGGTACTGAGGGGGATATGACGAAAAGGGTGGGTCGTTTGGATTAAAAGAACCAGCAAAAATCTTTTTTTGGTCTGGTCACCCGGGTGTGCGACACGTGCGGAAAACCTTCGCCGTTGCTTAAGAGCGTCCAAACCAAACTGAGGAGTCCACGCATCCCACCCAGACGTGCGAATCCCACCCACACGTGCGAATCCCACCCACACGTGCGAATCCCACCCACACGTGCGAATCCCACCCACACGTGCGAATCCCACCCACACGTGCGAATCCCACCCACACGTGCGAATCCCACCCACACGTGCGAATCCCACCCACACGTGCGAATCCCACCCACACGTGCGAATCCCACCCACACGTGCGAATCCCACCCACACGTGCGAATCCCACCCACACGTGCGAATCCCACAGATGGATTGTTTGGAATGGGATGCGCACGAGAGACATTCTGACAAAAGCAGTTTTGGCCACAGTTGCCATTCGCGAGATCGGGTCAGATGAACAGGCCCCGTCCGAACTCGCTCCCCCAGAGTGACCGCCTTACTCCACCCTCCCTTCACAGCCTCGATCTCGCTCCCCCAGAGTGACCGCCCTACCCACCCACCCCCTCCACCCCCCGCGCTCCCCTCACAGCATCAAGCTGCGACGTTCACTTCAAGTTAACGGTCAAACTCACCGTTCGTCACCAGGAATGTTCGAAGCTGATTCCACACGTACAGGAAACTGGCGACCCGGGACTCGAACGTATGCTTCACAGACTCTGTGGGAGAAGCCACAGACACGATGGACCAGAGAGGGACGTAACAATTCAAGCGGAAACCTGGAACTGGCACAGCCTACTTTGGTCTGAATGACCAGGTTCATTGCCTTGCAACTAACTCTGCGTATCATTCTGTGCAACAATATATTCAGATGCACCGAGACTGCGCTCTGGGAGGCTACTTGGGTGAGGGGCGCTACTTAATGCAAGTTGTTATTGTTGTTGACACAGGTTTAGGACTTGCGTAGGGGCAAAATTGAATACAGACACCAGTCGGGGGTGCGGGGGGGGGGTGGGGGGAGAAGGCAGGCTGGGGCGGACAGTCAGGGAGAGTGTGATCGGACGGTTGTCCAAACCGATCTCGCCAAGGGGAACTGTGGTTTCGTCAAGACTTCCTGTGCGACGGACACGCCTGGTTTTACCTGGACTGAGGGTCTGAAGGAAGGCGGAGATGGTCGACATGGTCACCTCAGTCACATTCTGGAACCTTTTCACCAAGTCGCCCTGGAGCGCGAGCAGTTCCGGCAGAAACTTCACCAGCCTCAACTGGGGCTCCTGAGGGTCGGCACATGGCCAGCAGATTAATAATAGTAAGTAATAATAATAAATAATAATCTTCACGTCGTTGAGACGTTTCAAAGAGCTTCACGGGATATACTGTAAAGTGAATCGATTGAATATTTTGTGGGTGAAACCCAGCAGCGTCCTGCCCACAAACCCACAAATGGTTGAGTGAACAAATTATTATTAATTGTTTGAAGGGATTATTGCCCCCCGGAAAGCAACCTGCCAATTGACTAACAACCAGGTTCCTATTTCCTTCTGGGTAAAGTGTGTGTGTGTGTGTGTGTGTGTGTGTGGAGTAAGGAAACTTGCCTAACGTTTCGCCCTGCCCGGCTGGGAATCAAACCCAGGTTCCTCTCGCTTGCGAGGCGAGAGCGCTAACCACTAAAATACAGGACTCCACAAGCTACAGGACTCTACTCTGAAGGACTCCACTGAGCAGTCCGGTGTCTGCTGAGTGAGCTGCCCTGCGCAGTACCTTTTGTAGGAACCTGCAGAGGATGGGGACGGTGTCCTTGCCCTCCTGTTGCACGATGTGAGCGAGGTGCTCGATGGAGATTCTCTCCCGGCAGCTCCAGACGGCCGAGCAGTGCAGGACGTTGTCCCGAGGCAGCGGGAGGAAGGTCAGGGGATCCCCGTACACGATCTTGACCATAGGGTTCGAGCAGATCCTCTTGTCCTGACTGATCCGAAGGTTGACCTCTCGAAGCTGCTGGTCCAGGTTCTGAGGCCATGAAAAAAAAGGGGGAAAAAGGGGGAAAACGTAAATAAATGAATAGCGTGTCGCACCAACTGCGACAAGTCGTGATTATATGGTGCTCCTTCGAGCAGGATAGCATCTCGGAGCGCTGCGCAGGGGCGGTGCTGGACACTGAGCAAGGAAGGAGCGCAGCAGGGCGAGTTGAGGATAAATAATAATTTAACCACTCAATCCACGGCTGTTTGTGGGACACCTCTGTGCGCAATTGGCTGCTGGGTTTTGCCCCCAAAATACAGTCACTGCACTTCACAGTATATCCTGAGAAGCGCTTTGAGGCACCTCAACGAGGTGATGAGGCGCTTTATCAAAACGTGAGGATTTAAGGTGCAGTCGAAGAGGTCGGTCTTTTTACATACAGAGGTTCTTTTGGCTGTGAAATGTCCTGTCAGGTGCGGCGGTCGAGGAGGGATCCACATTAGCTTTCGAGAGGGAATTTGACTGATTTAATAATAATCCTTCCATTTGATATAGCGCCTCATCACGTCGTTGAGACGTCTCAAAGCGCTTCACAGGATATGTTTAGATTTGTCTAAAGCAGACTAATCTGCAGGGTTATGGGAGGGAATGGGAGGAGAAATGCAGGTAAACACAACTGAACTGATAGCTCTTTCTAAGAGCCAGCGCAGACACGATGGGCCGAATGGCCTTCTTCTGTGCCGTATTAATTACAACGGTTCTACATTCGCACAGAATGAAAATCACTGGGAACAGCAAGCGAAACACATCGTTAACGAGAGAAAGCAAATGAGAGAGAGAGAGAGAGAGAAAATAAGTCCTTCGACTGACCGCCAGGGTAGGAGTTATGGCATTATCGACAACCGACTTCTCCCAAGCGTTCCTCTCCTGTTTGCTTGCCAGGTTATTCGGTACCCCGGGAACTGGAAAAACAAAGGTTTTACAAAGTGAGTTGCACTTTATTATTATAATAATAGTCCTTATGTGTGATGTAGCACCTTATCACATCATGGAGAATATACTGTAAAGTGTATTGACTGCATATTCGGGGGGTGAAAGGCGGCATCCAATTGCGCACAGCAGTGTCTCACAAACAGTCGAGGATTGAGTGACTTTTTTTGGGGGGTGAGGATTAACAATAAAAAATGACATACGTACAGCGCCTTTCACAGAAGGCGCTTAACTTTGTAACCGACGAGCCTTTAAAATCAGCCATGTGGCTTGACGTGTCGAGCCAAGCTGAGCTGGGAGCTTACACTGGTTTTGCTGGATGAGGTTACAGAGGAGCAGGTGAACCACGTTGGCTGTTTCGTCTATGCTCTTCCCCAAGGATTTCATCAGCTGCTGAAAGTCCCTTTCTATGTGCAGCCCGAGGAAAGGCATGGCCTGGGGCACCTGCGGTTTTATAAGTTGCGCTACAGCCTGCGGGGGCGAGAGGAATCCGCCGTTAAAAAAAAAAATCAGACCCGCCACCCCCAAGTGATGACAGGCATAACAACAACAACAACTACAATGATAATCCTTGCATTTGATACAGTGACTTATCACGTCGGTCAGACGTCGCAAAGCGCTTCTCAGCGCTACACTGTAAAATGGATTGACTATATTTTGTGGGCGAAATGCGGCAGCCAATTGCGCACGGCAGTGTCCCTCAAACAGTCGAGGATCGAGTGACCCATTTCCAATTTTTTTTTTCTTTGGGAAAGATTATTACCCCCGGTAAGCGTTCTGCCAATTGACTAAAACGGGATTACCTGTTTACCGCTAGGTCAACGGAGGCATGTGGTGTGGGGTAAGGAAGCTGGCCTAATGTTTTGCCACGCTCCGGGATTTGAACCCGTGTTACTCTCACTTACGAGGCAAGTGCTCTCACCACTATGCCACCGGACTCCATACAATAGCAATAGAAACAACAACAACAATACCTGGTCATTATACATTGCCCCCACAAACATCGCCATGTGGGTCAGGAGGCGAAGGAGTGTAAATGAAACTGGAGACATGTTTCTGTCAGGTGCAATGACAGTTTCTCTCTTATTTGGATCACCGAGAATGTGACCACTCTGTGTTCTGTCCCCACTGTGAAAATCAGAACACAGAAACAACACATTACACACTTATATAGTGCCTTACGTGTCGAAGGGAGGTTTCAAAGAGCCAAAGAGGGTGGAAGTGGGAAGGAAGACAACTGAATGAGGTGAAACAGGCAAATCTTTTGTGGTGGGGGGGGTGCGGTTTGAAAAGTGAGGAGAGAGGGTGCGAGTGGGAAGGACTTTGGAATGGAGTTCTAGAGAGTGGAGGTAGAATGGCTGAAAGCTCTCCCCATGACCTGTTCGCTCTGTCCGTTAAGCGGGCTCTGGCCAGCCTGCTCCATATCCCCCACCATTGGTGGTAGGGCCTTCAGCCTTTCTGCCCCCACAACTCCATCCCACATTATTATTATTTTTCTTACCCTCTGGCATGTTTAAATCCGCCGACTGGTAGGTGATTCGCTCCTCCGATTTCCGCCTGGCATTCGATGCAACGGCCCTGACTCATCGGCATCCCGCACTGCACATTATCATAATTATTATTAGAAAACAGCAACAGACACACACACACACACCTCAGTTGCATCGTTACGTACAATATTCATCACAACGCACCATACCCAACACACAAAATCAATGAAAAATAAAAAAAGACGTATTGAATCTTACCTCTCCCACAACACACGGGTGGCCATTTGGACAGTCTGAGAGAGAAAGGGAGAGAGAAAAAAAACAGTTTTGCAAACCAAATCTTAGGCACGTAGGAACAGGAGGAGGCCAGTCAGCCCCTCGAGCCTGTTCCACCATTCTATTAAGATTGTGGCTGATCTATACGTCAACTCCAAACGCAACAAATATCTATCCATCTCGTCACTTGAGAATTTGATTAAGTTTCCGGCTACTTTTCCAAAATAAAATAAAAAGCTGCACTCACCGTACCAGTGTACACCGATGAGACCTTCCCACCGCCTGGCCTCATCCGTCAGATCCTCTGGCATGGTTGGTAAGAACGCATGCTGAGCGAGAGACACACACACACACAGACAGACACGAGTAAGTTATGAAACAGCAGAACGCTCCCCATTGAGGAAGCAAAATTGGACCTGGGATATCCCTCCATCTCCCCCTCCCACCCCCACCAAACAACCTCCTCCTCACCCCCATTCACATCAAACAGCACAACATGCAGAAACTGCATCCAGACATGCGAGCGAGCGCACACACACACACACGAACGAACAGGCACACGCAGGCACAGACACACCCCACCCGCCCCCCCCCACCCCGAACATCTTACCACCATGTTAGCAGGATTCAGGACCAGACTGCGCAGGGTGGCCACGGTGACACTCTGCCCGCTCAGGTACACGGCTGTGGCGTGTACGATAATCTCCTGGATTGTCCGGTGCAGGGTGCTTTGGTGAGGATTGACTTTCAGCACGAGGTTCAAGTTCTCGGTCAGTCCGACAAGAAAGGTCTTGAGCTCAGCAGAGCCGGGCACCTTATCCTCTCTTATGTACTCTTGAATGGCGTTACATTGCTGGCAGGCAGAAAGGCGAACCAATTGGTCACTTGCACAGTAACATCCCTTCCCACACATCCACACACACGCAAAAAAAAAAAAAAAAAAAAATCAGACACGCTGACAACTAATAAGAAGAATCCTTGCATTTGATATAATGCCTTATCATGTCATTGAGACGTCTCTAAGTCCTTCACAGGATATATTGTCAAGTGCAGTGACTGTGTATTTTGTGGGTGAAACACGACAGCCAGTTTGTGCACAGCACTGTCCCACAAACAGCCATGGAGTGAGTGACCAATTTTATTTGAGGGGATTGTTGGCCAGGACACCAGGAGAGAGGAACTCCCTTCTCTTTTCGAATAGCACCGTGGGATCTTTAACATCCTCCTGAACAGGTTGAAGGGACCTCAGTTTAACGCCTTGTTCCGAAGGACGGCACCTTCGACAGTTAAACACACCCGCAGCACTGCATTGGAGTGTCAGCTTGGACGGTGTGATTCCAGGTTCCGACGTGGGGGCTTTAACCCGTAACCTTCTGACTCAGAGAGTGCTTCCACTGCGCTCGGTTGACAGACAAAGTATATACACACACACACACACACGCACGTTTCAAAAACAAGTACGAGTCTGTGCACTGACTTACAGCTGGCTTCGGATGGAGGTCTTGGTTTGTGGACGAGTAAAGAACGGTGATCTCCCTGAAGACCGCCAGGGTAATGTAAACGGCTTGCTCGTTCGCTGGCCGGTCGCATTGCTAAACAGGACACCAAGTAACACACAACTCCAGTTAGGATACACGCACGTTAACACCGGCAAGCCAATGCCCTAACGCGTACGGTGGGTTCAAGCTGCGAGAAAGCTCGCCAGACGGGGCTATTGATGGCAAGCTTTAACTGGTTAAGCTCCAGTAGTTACCCCAGTGCAGAATCCCCAAGCCTTGGCTCCTGCCAACCTGCGCCCAATACTTGCCGGAATTAGGTGAGCAGAGTGAGTCCCTCCAGGGAGAGAGCGCACATTCCATTCCAGGGATCTAACTCTGGAATTTCCATGTGTAGGTGGGACGCGTGGAATAATTCTCAGTTGGGTTTGGACACTCTTAAACACGGTGATGGGTTTCCACGTGTCAGACACCCACCCAACTGATCTCCCGCCCCCTCCAAAAAAAAAAAAACACGCAGAGCAGAATAAGCCCACGTTTCTGTACTGCTGACCCGGCTGCATAGGGTTTGATCAAGAAAAATAATCCTTGCATTTGATACGGTACCTTTCACGTCGGAAGGACGTCCCAAGGTGCTGTAAAGTGCATTGACTGTGTATTTTGTGGGCGAAACGCGGCAGCCAGTTTGCGCACAGCGGTGTCCCACAACCAGCCGTGGAGCGAGTGACCAGTCTTGTTTAGGGAACTGTTGGCCAGGACACCGGGAGAGAGGAACGCCCTTCTCTTTTCAAATTGGGCCACGGGATCGTTAACACGAAGACGACTGTTACTGCGGTTGTGTTGTGGCGTATTTTGGGGGTTTGTACCTTCTGGGCTTCGGTGAGGCTTTGCGTCTTGCATTCCAGTAGAGCCCTGGCCAACGCGTCGCGGTAACATCTGTAGTTTTCGCCGCACACGAGGTAGCGGTCAATCTGCCCGGGTGCGTCTCTCTTGAGAACGAGAAACAGAAATAAAGCAGGTCAAAGTCATTGCCTTAACTTAACGAGTAGACGAAACTCTCCGTTTGGTGACATCAGTTGTGTAACTCTTTTTTTTTAAAAGAGGGATTATTATCCCCGGAAAAGCCATCGACTAACAACCAGGTTCCTACCTACTGCTAGGTAAACAGAGGCGTGCGGAGTAAGGAAACTTGCCTAAGGCTTTCGCCTCTGCCCGGGAATTGAACCCAGGTCCTCTCGCTGAAGAACCAAGCGGAAAGAATAGCAATTGACCCGAGTCTACACGACCGGATTGGGGTGTCACTGGTACCTGTTGCTGAATGATTTCAGCTGGAAACAGCCACTGATGCTCCTGATCCTCGGACAGCTGTTGGACGGACTCTATCCCCATCAGACTACACAGCTTCCGCACCAAGTAAATCTGAAACCAAGCGTTTCCACGGCGTGTGCACATTCGTTTTATACAGTCCAGGTAAATGCCCTTTGTTTTAACGTACGCCAAAACCCCACCTGTTGACAACAATAATAATAATATTATTAATATTAATAATAATAATCCCTCCAAAACAAAACAATAATAAATTGGTCATTTTCAATCCAGGACTGTTTGTGGGACATTGCTGTGCGCAATTGGCTGCCGCGTTTGCCCACAAATATACAGTCAATTCACTTTACAGTGTGTTCTGTGAAGCGCTTTGGGACGTCCTCCCGACGTGAAAAGCGCTATATCAAATGCAAGGATTATTATTATTATTATTATCAACAATCAGCCAGCATTAAAATCGCCCTGTACCGGCCAGTGCAGAGCCACAGTGTTCTATTTACAGGGGGAGCCACTACTCCCCAAAGCCCTGGAACTCTCTCCCCCAATCCCTCCGCCTCTCCGCTTCCTTCCTCCCCCACTTTTAGATCATACTGAAGACCTTCCTCTTCAACCGTGCTTATGGTCACCTCTTCCCTCTCCCCCCTCCCCCCCCCCCACTAGGCTCGGTGTCAGGCTCCGCCACTTTTCAAGCGCTCTGGGATGCTACCCCCGCACTTGTTAGATTATAGAAGTTGTAGTCTAATAAGAATAAACATTAAACAAATGTAGAATGGAGAAGGTACTAACAGTCATGGGATTGGACACATCTGGTTTTCTCTGTTTTTGAAAGAATAACAGGACAGCTTTGGAAAAGGGCAGAGGGTCACCTCTTATCAGTAAATGACAACAAGCCCACAGAGATAATGGTCTAAGGTACCGGTTGACACAGTATCTCGACTTAGCAATAAGCCGCTAGATTCTGACAGGGCCTGCCAAGCAACAAAAGGCAACCCTCAAGAATAGCAACTAATGAGCAAGTTGCTTAAACTAGAGGACCTTGGTACCATTCTGGGATACTGATAAGAAATAACCAGTCACTTAAAAGGAATGTACTAATGATCCCACATAGCAATATAATGAGCCCCAGATACAGCCCTAAACCGATCCATCTTCTATCTTAGACAAGACAAAGGGAAGACCTCGTGGAGACTCAAGTCAGGCCGGCCCAAGCCAGAGGGTTAATTAACCTGAGTACGTGACTGTATCAGAAGTGGGTCCCTTACCCTTATCTGACTTTTAAGACCGGACAGTGGGGAACGAAAAAGAACCCAACATGCACTGATCATGTGCGCACATGACACTGAATAATGTGGTGTATACCTTGATTGGCTACAATGGTGTATAAAGGTTACAGTATAATAGGGTTAAAGTTAGTCGACTCCAGAGCAAGACTACTGAGATGTCTTGACTTGAAAAAGGACAAGGAAGAACAAAGGAAAGTAAAAGCGTGGAGCAGAGAAGACCGAAAGCTGGAAACAAAGTGCTGATCTAAAGACTTGTTTGCAGAAAAGACAAAGTGCTGAATCAACAAAGTCCAGTAGTATTGCTCGGCTCTGAATAGTTAGTTTTAGTTGTGTAGTCTTTTTATATTATTGCATGGTTTCCTATTTTATACCTTTTATACTCCATATGTGTACTCATAATTGCTATGTAATAAAGCACTACTGAATTTAGACAATAAACTTGATGTATTCAACCAATACGGTAAATTGAGATCGAACCTTATTCATTTAATCTGGTAACCGGTTGGAAACGGAGACCCGATTTCCTAACACAGTGAAGGGCGCTATGTAAATGCCAGTTGTTGTTGAGTCGAAACAAACGGATTTGAACAGAGAAACAAGAACAGGAACAAGAGCACCAACTTGCATTGTATATAGCGCTGTTCGTTCGCACGGGGTAGCATCTCGGAGAGCTGTAGAATTGCACAGTTTGAAGCCAAGAGGCTCCAACTCCACCCTGGTTCCCTGGTTCCCAAAGCATTATTCTAAGTTACCGAAAGTCTCCTGGGATTCGCACAGCAGCTTAGCGGCCAAATCGAAGCAGAGTCGGATTCTGGCCATCATCTGCAGGTACCCTATGGACGTTTGGTCACGGGGCTTTGATTCATGCCTAAGGCACACTTGAAGGAAGTCCATCTCCAGGTTCAGGTGTGTGATCATCTCTTGCACGGTACAGAAGTGCGACTTTTCATAGATGGAATCCTACAGGAATATAAAAAGGGAAACGACACATTTTTAAAAAAAAAATGTAAAGGCAGGTGAACACAATTTTCAACAATAATAATCCTCGCATTTGACATCACGTCTTAGCATGTCGTCAAGGCGTCACGCAGTGCATCACAGGGATATATTGTAAAGCGGATTGACTGCTCTATATATTAATAATTATTGCCTGTATATTTTGTGAGTGAACATGGCACCCAATTCGCGCAGAGCAGTGTCCCACAAACAGCCATGGAGTACGTGAGTGAGTGCGTGACCAATTTTATTTGGGGGATTTGTTGGCCAGGACACGATGAGAGAGAAACTCCCTTCTCTTTTCCAAAAGCGCCATGGGATCTTTAACGTCCACCCAAACGGAGAAATGGGACCTCAGTTTAACGTCTCATCTGAAGGGTGGTATCTCCGATAATGCAGCACCTCCCCCCCGCCCCCACACACCCCCATGCATTGGAGCATCAGCGTAGACTATGTGAATTATCTGGAAACTAAATCCCAATGTGTTGGATCAGACGTACCCCCAGGCAGTTCAGATACAGAATGTAGAGCTCAGTCTGATCTTCTTTGCTGAAGAGCTTTAACGTTTGGATTGCAGTGAGGTATTGTTGCAGGTAATCCTTAATGTCATCAAAACTGCCAAGGAAAACATGCATATATATATATTTTTACCCCCAGTGAAATCTCAAGCACTAAAAAGACACGGATGTTATTGAAGGCCAAATACGAAGAACAAGTGGAGATTTTGCAAAGCTTAGGTTTCCAAACAATAAAGATAATAAATGTTATTTACAACAACAACTTGCATTTGTATAGCGCCCCTCACACAGGGGGTGGGTGTGGGGGGGTAAGGGTTAGGTGACCATAGGCACGGTTGAAGAGGAAGGTCTTCAAGCACGACCTAAAGATTGGGGAGGGGGCAAGGCGGAAGGATTGAGGGAGAATGTTCCAAAGCGTAGTGGCTGAAAGTGCGGCTGCCGATGGTGGAACAGAGGCACGAGGGACAAGCAGGAGGCCGTAGCCAGTCGAGCGGAGGTAGTGGGTTGGGGAGTAAGCAGCTAATCCAACATGGCAATAGCGTATCAGATCTTTCAATGTGGCGCACAGAGTAGGTGAAAGCCTTAAGCCTCTCACTTTATACCTGTATTTCAACAGCAGTTTTAGTACTATAGAGCGGATAACAGGATTCCGATCAACTGATTCGTCAAAGGGTGAAAGGGCTCCGGTATGATACGGTTGATCTAAAAGAAAAGGAAGGGTTGGGAAGGTGAGAATGGGAGAAAGAAAAATGATTATGATGTAAATAATGTGAAGAAAGAGAAAAAAAAAAACCCACAATGAACACCACAAATGGAAAATCCCAATGAGACCAAGTTTGTTGAGATCCCAAATTCCACTTGGTCTTAGGAACATAAGTAGGCCATTCAGCCCCTCGAGCCAGATCCGCCATTCTGTCAAATCACGGGCGATCTGTACCTCAACTCCAATTTAAGACAATACTCAACTCCAATTTCAAACAAGTTTTGTTAGCCTTTAAGACATTTGCCCTTGAAATTTCAGATTGCGCCAAACTTTGGAACAATACTTAAAATTCCACCTTCATTTGGAAGCAGTCTCGCTCCAGCTTGCCTGAAGGTTTTGCCCTGTCCGGGAATTGAACCCGTGTCCTCCCGCTTGCGAGGCGAATGCTCTTACCAATATGCTATAGGACCACACCCTGGTTGGAGGGAGAAGTGGGAGAGAGTGAGACAGAGAGAGAGGTTCGAATCAGCTCTCGGGACGGACCTGTGAGTGAGCCTCTCGTTAGCAGCTCTTTCTTAATGACCAATCGTGACAGCAGCTGCAAGATCACGTCCTTAGCTGGTGGTGAGTTGTCTCTGAAGCAAACCATGGAGACCAGAGAGATGAAGAAGGCATCACACCTCTTGCGGAACAAGGAGTTCTTACGGACGGCCTCTCTGTGATGGTTATATTATGTTTAAAAAAAAGCGACAGGTTAGCTGACTTCATAATAATATTATACACAAGTATGATCTGGAAAATCGTTTAATTGCCCAAGTCGTATATCTGCCCAAGACCCGTTCAAGAGTTTATGTCTTAGCCTCAAGCCTGTTCTGTTACAATTGTTTTTAAGTCCTCACGGCTCACGCTCACACACCTTATCACGTCACACACCACCACCTTGAAGTCAGCCGGCAGATCTGTTAGGCAAAAAGGGCAATTCATCTGCCCGGGAGCCAACCAGCATTTTATACATTGTAAACAGTAGATGTGGTTGCATGGAAGCAAGACTGGGTCGATGAGCTCCCTAATGCAAATTGGACACTCCTTCAGGCCGTATCTGTAACAAAACCCAACAATACCGTCAATACTAATAAAAATAATTCTCGCGTTTGGTATAGCGCCTTATCATATCATTGACTAGTCTCAAAGCGCTTTAAATGGATTGACTGTGTACTTTGTGAGCGTAACGAGGCAGCCAATTGTACACAGCAGTGTCCCACAAACACAATTTGTTTTTGGGGTTGGAGGGATAATTTACCCCCGCAAATCGACTAACAACCGGGTTCCAATTTGCTAGATAGACAAGAGGCAGATGGAGTAAGTAAACTTGCCTAAGGTTTCACCCTGCCTGGGAATCAAACCTGGGTCCTCTCGCTTGCGAGGCGAGAGCCCTAACCGCTACGCAACAAACCTCCTTACTTGCAGTACACCTGGCTCGCTTGTTCCTTGCATTGCTTAAGAGTCTGCACCACAGCCTTAAAGGGGGCTAAGGATTTCATATCAGAGTTTCCCTGTAGGCACTGTAAAAAAAAAAATAAACACAAGAAAGCACTTGGTCATTTTTCTCCCCTCACGCAAGTTTTGGAAGTTTTTTTTAAATAAATCTGAAAAGCGCTCCGCTCCGTGCTTTGGGTTCCGATGTCGAGATCTTTATGCTGTGTCTTCCCGGTCAATAAGACGCAGTAAAAGATCGATGTTGGCAGCAATTGGTACGAGATAAGACAGACCACAGGGATATGCAGAGGGAGCTTTGCAGGTAACAACAACAAAAGCGTGTTTCATGTCGGGAGGACGTCCCAAGTCGCGGGACAGTCAAGGATTTGCACCCGAGCTGGGGGTTGGGATCAGGAGGAGTGGAGGGCGGAGTGGGGGAGGGGGTGACCAAAGGCGCGGTTGAAGAGGAGGGTCTTGAGATGAAGGAGCCAAGGGAGGAAGCGAGGCGAAGGAACTGTGGGATGGAGTTCCAAAGGGTGAGGGCAGAGCGGCTGATGGTGAAACAAAACCAGGAAAGCCACCTTTCCGAGCTGGTGAGCGCATCTCCCAACCAAATCCTGCAACTGTTGGTCCACCTCTCCGACACCCAGGACCACGTGCTCCACGTACAGTGACAGTGAAAACAATCGGCTCCAGCCCGCTCTGAAATACAAAAAGCAGGAACTTAGTAGAGAGTCGTCAGCAACAACAAGAATTTATATAGCGCCCTCCACGCCGGGCAGTGTCCCAGAGCATTTAGCAATGATTCCAAGCCGGGGGGACGGGGGAAGGAGACCATCGGCATGGTCGAACAGGAAGGTCTTCAGACGCAACCTGAAAATGGGGAAAGTGGGGGCAAGGCGAAGGGATTGAGGGAGGGACTTCCATAGCTTGGGGGGATGGGCGGGGGGAGGCGTAGCGGCTGAAGGCACAGCCGCAGATGGTAGAGCGGCGATGAAGCGGGTTTCATGTGGAAACGCGTACACGTTGAGGAGAGGAAACGGCAGCTCAACCTCGTTGCACTTCCCCTTCCCGCACAGGTGGCGGAGTTTCTCACCTGATGTGGTTTATAGGCGGAGTTCTCGCTTCCTGACCGCTTAGCGATTCGTCAGCGCAGATCAGCTCGATGGGCGTTTGCAGGCTTTTCACCTTCTGCAGCCAAGCCTCGCACGAGGCGTCAGACCTGAACTCTGTTGCCAGAGGCTCCAGCATTTCAACACAGGCCGCAGCAGCATAAACATCCAGGACCTGCGGGGAACACGACGACGACGACAACAATAATCCCTGCATTTGATATAGAACCCCATCACATCGTTGAGACGTTTTCAAAGCGCTTCACGGGATATATTGTAATGTGGAACGACTGGGCATTTTGTGGCCGAAAAGTGGCAGCCAATTGCGCACAGCAGTGTCCCACAAACACCCGTGGAGCGAGCAACCAATTTTATTTGGGGGATTGTCTGCCAGGACACCGGGAGAGAGAGAGAGAGACACCCATCTCTTTTCCAATAGCGCCATGGGATCTTCAACATTCACACCCACCCCCACCCCCCCACCCCACCACCAAGCACCGAGTTGGAATGTCATCTTAGACGATGTGATTCCAAGTCTCCACGTGGGGCTTTGAACCCACAACCTTCAGACTCCGAGCCGAGGGCAGAGCTACCAGCTGAGCCAAGCTGACAAAAATAGCTGCGTCAAATCAACCCCGTCGAGCGGGTCACATACCATCTCGTTTTCTCCAGCTCGGTCAATTTGTCCCTTCTGCCCCTGCAGCAGCTCCAGAACCTTAGGGTTCACTGCAATCATGCGCAAGAAGTTCTGCAGCCGGCGTTTGAAGCGTTGATATGCCACGTGCACCCAGACTAAAGACAGGTCGTCCAAAGCACATTTCTGCGTTTTAATTTCATTGATACAGGACAGCAGCGCCCCTTGTAGAAACTGAAAAAAATGCACAAATGCGCGCACACACACACACACACACACACAATAAAAAGGACAGTGAGCCACAGTTCAATAAAATACAACACCGAATAGAATCTTTAACGTTTCTCAGTCTCATCAGGGCACATTACTGCATAACAACAACAATCACCCGTGCATCGGGCTTTATCGCTCACAAAACACACAGCCACTCGTTCCACTTTACAGGATATCCTGCGAGACGTCTCGATGACGTGATAATGAACTATATCAAATGCAAAGAGTATTATATTATTTATTGTGCCCGATGCTACAGTTTTGCTTGTCTGTGGGTTAGATTAAAAGACGAGAGAGAGAGAGAGAGAGAGAAAGATAAACGATTTATCAGTGGAGCTGCTCATGAAATACTGTACCTCAAATTCAGCCGCGCATGAAACGCTGACAGTCATCAGCACAAAATCGTGCAGGTACATGAGGAAACATTTGCATTTCACGCCTTCACTCAGGTCAGAGAGGTATTTCCCAAATCCGGCATTATTGAATATTTCGTTGAGTTTCTGCTCAGTTTCTCCTGTTAATATAATAACAAAATAATGAAAAACACACACACACACGCTATGGCGAGAACCCTAAGATGAAAGCTCCTGATGTATACGTCACTGAATAATAACAACTTGGATTTATATTGTGCAGACTCCGTTATAATGTGTTGATTTCACCCACCACACACAGTCAATTCACTTTACAGTATATTCTGTGAAGCCCTTTGAGACGTCTCGAAGACGTGATAAGGCGCTATATCAAATGCCAGGATTATTATTATTATTATATTAAAAAAAACAGACCCCACATTATAATAACGAGAATCCTTGCATTTGATATAGCACCTGATCACATTGTTGAGGTGTTTCACAGCACTTCACAGAATATATTGTGAAGTGGATCACCTGTGGATTTTGTGGGCAAAACACAGCAGCCAATTAATGAGTAATTAGTAATGGAGTTCATGAAAAAATAAAACATCAGGTCACTGGTGACTCAGTTCCTGTGCATACGCACGGGAAACTGACCGACGACAACAACAACTTGCATTAACACAGCACCCTTCATAGAGGGTAGAGTCTCGGAGCGCTGAGGAGACACCACTAGCAGCATACTGCACTTGCAGTATATGGTATATCTGTGCAATTATAAGGGGTCGCGGACTGCATTGAGCTTTGCTGGACTCCCTCGATTCTCATCGCATACCTTCCATGTATCGGGCCTGAACCAACAATTCATCCAAATAGTCTTTGATCCTCCAGCTGAAAGGCAGGAGGTTGCAAGCTTCCGGGCGGTCCATCTTCATGTAGTTGGGAACCACAATTTCGGACTGCGTACTATAGAAGAACATTGGCCAAGGATAAATAATAATAATACAATAATGATCTTCGCATTCACAGATGAAGCCTCATTGCATTGCCAGAAACGTCTCGAAGGGCTTCTTCGCACTTTTACTCTGAAGTGCGGCGACTATCTTTTACAGGCGAACGCAGAGGCCAATTAACACACAGAAGCGTCCCATGAACAGCCAAGCTGGTAAAAGCCCTATTTTATCTGGGGGTGGTGGGGGGGTGGTGGTGAAGTAATAAAATTATCTGGGCGTCTCGTCGCAGGAGACAGCGATTAGCCGAGGGACCGTTTAAGAGTCAGACTGTTCTGTAGAATGTATTTAAAACAAAAAGAAAACACATTTAACGTTTTACCTGATGAGATTTCTGTTGTAAGGAATATCCAGGAGATTCGAGTCGTTGAAAATGTCCATCCACAGCTTCCTTACAAACTCGGGGGTATCAGGGTCGACCAGCAACCTCAGGTTGCAGTCTCTGTCCACCACGGAGATGATCTGTGCCAGGAAAGGGGTGATGACCGCTTGAACTTTCTTCCAGAGCGTGTGTCTGCAGAGCCAAACGTAAAACAGTGTCAAAGAGCCCGGCTCAGTTGAGTAGTGCCCTGCCCGCACCTCCGAGGCGGTTTATACACCCCTTCTATAAAAATAAAAAAGAAAGTCTCGATTCATTCCGGTACGTGCAGCGGGTTATACCTGAAAGTCCCTCCTTCCTGGAGAGCCTCGAGGTTTGAGGCCTCTCGGACCATCCACTCGTTGGGGTTCTGGGATCCCTCGTCCCTCTTCAGCAGCAGACTGTATAGCCTTTGTTTCATCATCCCCAGGAATGAAGCTGAGAAGCCAGGACAGGAACACACACGGACACACACACACACACAGACAGACAGTATTAGTCTCTCTTAGCTTTCTCTGTGGAGAACACTTCTAGGTTGGGGTAATTCTTTGTGAAATGGATCAAACGCCATCTCAAAGACGCACAGTTTGTTTTTTGTGTAGCCCTCCACGGTGGGCGTGGACCAGGCTATGTGTGTGTGCAGACTTGCACAGAGAGCTCCACAACCAGGAGTGCTCACACCAGTAGGAAACCAATGTGGACTTTTCCCCGGTTCTCCCACAGAAGCAGTAGCGCAATAAAAAAAAGTGAGCGAGCGAACCTTTCAACCCATCGCCTTCCTCCAAGAGGAGGAGAAGCATCTCCACCCGCTTGGTGCTGCGATCGTAGCTTTTGTGCTGGTCCCTCAGAAGGCTGACAGCAGCCTGGACACAGCTCCGAATCACTGGGGTGGTTTCCAGCACTCGCTCTTTATCCTTTCGTTGTGTTTGAAGAAGGTTTTTTGGGGCGGGGGTGGTGGGGGGTGGTGGGGGGAGAGAGAGAGAGCGGAGAGAAGAAAAAAGCACATAACATTTCACAAGCGTGAACGCACGGCGCACGAAAGCAACGCGAGATCGTGAGATAACTGGACTCAAACGATTGGGTTTTGTTTTAAAAAATAAACGAAGCGAAACTCACAATAGGTGGTTGAATCACAGTTTGCTCACTGTTCTCCGTGTCGTCATCTATAATCATGGCTGGAATGTAAAGTACAGGACTGTTAGGTGCCCAACAGTCACAGTTTTCGACCGATCATGACGCACGACAATTTGCCCCCACTCCCCCGAGGTTACATGCAAATTGACCCCCCCCCACTACCTCCCAGTTTAGCAGAGGTTGACTAAGGCAGCAGTGGGGGAGCGAGGGAGGGAATTTTTGGCGAGAGAACACACAGACACAGCTGCTCTTTTCCAATAACGTCACGGGGATCTTTAGCACCCACCTGAGCTTTAATCCAAATTAAGTGCGTGCGTGCGTAAAAAAGAGGCAATCAAGAATTCTTGTGTTGAATAGAAGAAAGGGATCTCAACAGTGTCTCGAAAGGAGTAATAATAATAATAATCCTTGCATTTGATGCAGCGCCTTATTGCGGCGTTGAGACGTCTCAAAGCGCTTCACAGAATGTATTGGGAAGTGGAGTGACTGTGTATTTTATGAGCGAAAGTTTGCGGCAGCCACTTGCGCGCAGCAGCGTCCCACGAACACAGTACGTACCCTCAGGTTCCTCTGGGTCAACTTCAAACAGCCGGCTGATAGCAACATCTTTGAGAGCGGAAACATCTGCGACCATGTCTCTCGACTTGCGGAGATCATCGATGTGAACCGACTGCCAGGGGTCTTTTTTTTTGGATGGTGGGGGGGGTGGGGGACAAACAAGATTTTGAAAAAAACAGTCAGACCGTTTCCCCATTACCTTAATATAAAAGTCCCTTTTGTATTTGACACAGCACCTCATTGTGCCCCAACAAACCTCTCAAACCAGCAGAAGAAAATCATATCGTGACCTTCACGTGGGGCATCGTTTCGGAGCACTTTACAGTGGCGGAGCGTTACCCCGAGTTAGGGGCAGGAAGGAAGGAGGGAGGAGGTGACCGTAAGCACAGTAGAAGAGGACCATGGAAACTCCTAACCTAAGGGAGATTTCGGATCTCAACGCTGTTAATACGCAGCTTCTTTTTAAAGATCGGGCCTCTTACCGCCATGAAATCCGATGTACGTCGACCCCCCCTCCATTCTGGGCAGTTTGGTGATGAAGTACACGTAAACTGTTCCACCTTCTCTCTTGGATTTGTTGACTTCATTGATGGTGGAGTACCTACGTGAAGCAATTGCAATAATCCTTTACATCGGACGCCAAAGTCGGGAAGACTCTTCCATGCCGTGAGCCAAGGTGATTCGCTGCTTAAAGTTAAATACGCTGGCTGCAAATATTTCCGCGCAGTTCATTCATTCGTTGCGCGAAAATTTGTCTTCACATCAGAGCTTTAAAATGAAGCAATTTATAGATATGTTTCTCTAATGTGTTTATGTATGTATATATATGTTTCGCCTACAAATATACGATCAATTCACTTAACAGTCTATTCTGTGAAGCGCTTTGAGACGTCGAGAAGACGTGAAAAGCGCTATAATCAAATGCAAGGACTATTATTATTATATTTTTTTTCCAATTTGGATGAATTATTTGAGGGAGGACAAGTTTGCAGTGCCATGGGGAGAGAGTAAGAGAGTGGGATTGAATTGGATGCCTCTTTTTAAAGAGCCCGCTGTGTGGGAGTATCGTTTGAGCAGCGGAGAGGAGGAAAGCAGAGCTGGTACTAACTTGGCTGATGCGATGAGATTGGAACTTTGCGATCCGTTTCCAAAGTCGGTTTGGATGAGCAGGATTTTGTTTCCCTGGCTTGAAGCAACAGAATGCCTGGAGTAAAAGAGAGGGCAGGAAATAAAACATTAGGACTATTTTGATGTTTAGGGGTTCGGAGAAAGGGAGGGGCAATAAATAAATCCGATTAAAATAATCACTGTATTGGGGTTTTTAAAAAAAAAATCCTTTCTCCGCGCCAAGGCAATTTGCAGCCAACGATTTTGCCCAACGTGAAACCGAAACCGCGAACCTGATCTTCTTGAGGAACGAATGCTCAGTGTCAAACTGCTGCAGCGAGAGAGAGAAGATGCTCTGGATGTGGCCACTCAGCTCCTTTTGCATAAACTCAACGTCAGAGGCCGTCAGAAGCCGCGAATAGGTTGTGACCTGAAAACAGACGGAGGGGCAGTGTATTAAGAAAAAAAAGAGAGAGAACGTAAGGATTGCTCGACCGTCCTGGCAGTCATTTGTTATGCCCCAAACTATATACTCTATCGCAAGATAGTAGTGGGGAACGGAACGAGTTGGATTACTGAGCAAATTTTGATTTTGCCACAAGAATGTACCTTAACATCCCTTTCCCCCCCACCCCCCACCACCCCTCCCACCCACAAACAGACCACAGCACAGTCAAGCTTACCGTTGCGGCATATTTGAAGGATACCTTCATTGATTAAATTAACAGCAACAAGTTGCATTTATACAATGCCTTTCGCGTCAGGAGGACGTCGCAAGGCACTGGACAGTGACGGGTTTGCAGCTGAGCTGGGGTTTGGAGCCAAGAAGGGTGGAGGGTAGGGGCGGTGGGTGTGGAGGTGGGAGAATGACTGAAGCTTGAAGAGAAAGGGCCTCGAAGAAGGCAAGGGAAGGGGCGAGGTGGAGGAGCAGGAGCTACGAGATAGATAAACCGTGTACACAACACAGACACACACCCACACAGATATACCCAGACAGAGACGCAGACACACCCACACACAGGCAGACACACCCACACCACCAGATTGACTTTGTACCTCTGTGAATGCTGCCTGGAACTTATTTTCGGCTTTGGAGTGAGAGAGGACGAAATCGGCCAGAGAGTCGTGGTGCTGGTTGGTGAAGTACTCATGAGTCAGTGTGGCCACTAGTGTCGTGTCGAGTCTGGACTGGCTCAAACGGACCACGGAGTCCGGCGTGGCGCAGTTCAGCAGCACCTTCTGCGCATCCTCCAGGATTTGTCTGTGAGAGGCACTGCTCTGCTTCCACCTCTCCGTCACCTGCAGAACTACGGAGGCGCAGGTGTGGTCGGAGTGGTAGCCGATGAACACGTCGGAGAGCTTGTATTTCTGTTGATTGCCCTGCATCCAAGGCTGGTTGGATCTTGGAGTGGCAAAATCCTCCACCCATCTGCTCAGGCATTTGACCAGGTGCTTTTGACCACCATCGATGACTGTGTTGATGTCCAGGTAATGCTTCTCGAGCCTGTTGATGAGCGGAATTGGAAACTCCTTGTGCACCACTTCCTTCTCCTCTATGACGATCAGCTTGAAGTTCCTGTGGACCCGACACTTGACCCTGTGCGTCCCCAACCCCAGGTCCACGTACTTCTGTCCTCCCAGGTACACGTAGTACTGGTTCAGTGCGTCGTAGAGGCTCTCGTAAAGGTTCTGCAGGTTCAGGAGGACCACTGTTTGCCCAGTCTCCATGCAGATCTTTACCCGATTGATGTTCCTGCAGATCTGGGTGTACTCCTGATCCTTGGGGAAACTGGACCCGAAGATGATCTCGGGCTGGAGGTTGTCGTTGAAGAACATCTGTTGAAGGATTTGAAGGGCCACGTAGTTTTTGGTCAGGACTAGTAAGTAACGACACTCTCCGTCCTGGGACTCGGAGTAGATGTTCTGCCGGACCAGGGTCAGGGCATTGATGCAGTCAGGGGGCTCATCTCCCAGCACGGTCTTGAATGCTTCCCTGGGATTCACCTCGTCGCTGCCACTGAAGTTGCGTAGGACCACGTGTGTCATCTCCGGTTCGGTGGGCTCGGAGTTGGAAGCCTTGGATAGGGCAAAGACCATTTTGATCAGGCTGTAGTAGTCCCTCAGCCCAAAAAACTCCTTCGTCTGCTCCTTGCAGATATTCAGGTAGGCCTCCGCTAGGCTCTGGAAGATGGCTTGGACTTTCCTCAGCACCATGGGGTTGGAAGCGCAAATGCCCTTGGCCGTCTCGATCAGCTCGCTCTTGTCGGGGACACCACGGGACACAAAGATGCCCCGGTTCATCTTGGCCGGGTCCAAGGCCCAGTTGGAGATGCCCACGAAGCCCACTTTCTTGTGCTTGAGGGGGTCGTCATCGATGCAGCCGTCCTCCAGCAGCGGGTGGAGAGTCTTCAGGGGCATCTTGGGGGAGTCTTCGGCCAGGCCGATCTCGTCCAGGACCACCACCGAGACATACTCCTCCAGGTTCTTGCTCTCCTGGAAGCGGGCGCACTGCCGGAAGGTGTTGATGATGCCCTCAGGCGTAGAGTGGGGGCTGCACTGGAACGACACCAAGTGGATCTGCTTCAGGTCCCGGTAGAGCTTCGAGTGTGCTGCTTGCCTCTGCATGGCGTCCGCCACGATGGTCTTGGCCAGCGACTTGGAGCTGCCGGGCTTGCCCACGAGGAAGAGGGGGATCTTGAGCTCGATGCAGATCACCATCATGAAGACGTTCTCCTTCAGGGCGGCGTTTTTGGCGATGGTGTCTCTGGGGGGCACCCCGCTCAGCAAGAGGTCCTGCACCAGCGTGATCTGCTCCAGGATTTTGCTGGGTTGGTCGTACGGAGAGGGAAGGTGGCGGCTGATGAGCCTCCGGTACTCGTTCTTCCGCTCCAGGCAGGCGTGGTAGCAAACGCCCACTGCCAGTACAAGGGCCCACATGGCCTCGTCTCTGGGTCCGTCATAGACCCGTTCGATTGCCTCGTGGAACTCCCTCAGCCTCTCCAGCAGCATCTGGCGGTGGGTGTAGAACCAGACAAACACCCGCATGCAACGCTCCACATCCCGTAGGCTGACAAAGCTGCACTCGTCCTGCCGTTGTCTCATGAACCCTTGCGAGGCCGAGAGTACTTGGACCACCCTCGGCACGCTGGGCGCGGGGACGGAGTGGGACAGCGTCAGCCTCTGCACGATCTGCTGGATGTAGATCTTCTCGGTCGCGTCGTTCAGCTGGCCGAAGTCCCAGACCAGCGGGATCATGCTGGGCGGCAGAGCCTGGACCCGGTACACCAGTTGCCTGAGGGGAATGGATCCCAACTTGTCCTCCGTCTCCCCAGCTCGCACGCGGTAGCCCAGCCCGGCGGACTCCAGGCGCTCGATCATCTCGGCGGTGTGCTTCCTGTACGGGTTGCAGGCGGCAATGATGCGTAGCCCGGTGTCGCGAGCCAGCGGGACTCCGTCGATGGTCTGGTCGCACAGGACCTCCTTGATGCAGCTGATGGCTTCTGTGGTGTTGGCCTCGTCGAAGAACAGGACGGTGTCGAAGCCGTACTCCTGCTTGTTGGAGACGGCCTTAGCCTCGGCCTCCCTGATCTTGGAGCGGATGTTGTCCGCTGTGGTGCCGCCGTGGACCTTGACCAGCTTCATGTTGTCCGTCGGGGCGCCGGCCTTGCCGAGCTCGCACAGGAAGCGGATCAGCCTGGTCTTGCCGCAGCCTGTCTCTCCCATGATGATGACCGGGATGCCGCAGCGGAAGCGCATGTGGATGGCCAGGATCTTCAGGATGTTGTCCGTGGTCAGCTCATAGGTATCGTCGGGGTCGAGCGGCCACTCGATGCCCAGCACCATGGTGAGCCGCTCGATCTTCTCACCGCGTTCCAGCTTGTCGAAATCCAGGTTGAAGGGGACCCTCTGCAGCAGCAGACCCTGGTACAGCTGGCGGCTCATGACGTCCTCCTTGATGACCTGGCGGTTGGCGGGGTTCACGGCATCCACCGATCCCCGGCCGTTCTCCTGCAGGTGGAACCCGATGAAGGTCATGGATGTGTGGTCGCTGTTGAAGAAGATGTAAGGGTGCGGCTCGCACTCCCACTTCTTCCTGATGAGGAACGGCGCGATGTCCTTCTCCGACATGCCCTCCAGGCTCACCATTTGCCTCCCGGGGCTCTGGTCCGAGATGCTGAGCGACGGCGTGGCGAAGTCCTTGGCCATCAGGATCATGAAGCTGACCACGAACTGCTTGAAGCCCTGCAGGGTGTCCTCGATGAACGTGAAGTCGCAGAACACCGAGGTCTCGCAGTCCCTCAGCTGCAGGTTCAGGAACCAGGCGAAGTTGTGCAGCTCTGACCAGGAAGGGTCGGCCACTCCGCAGTAGATGAGGAACAGTTGGATCCACTCCACGTGGCTGCCCTCGACGCTGTCGGCCAGGTAACTGAAAGTATCCAGGTTCTGCTGCTGCCTGAACCTTCTGAGGTACTGATAAGGCCTTTGGAAGGCCTCGCTGCGGAATTCCTTCTCGTCCATCAGGGGGTCCACCCCATTCACCGCTTTGCCCTCGGATATGCCCACTTCCAACTCCAGCACCTCCTTCGGGGGTCTGCAGCACACCATGGGGAAGACATCCAGGAAGCTGTACTTGGGCACTCGGTTCCCCTACGATTTGAAAGCAGAAACAATAATAGTAACGATAATAATCCTTGCATTTGATCCAGCGCCTCATCACGTCTTCGACACGTCTCAAAGCGCTTCACAGAATATACCGTAAAGGGAAGTGACTGTATATTTTGTGGCCAAAACGCGGCAGCCAGTTGCGCACAGCAGCGTCCCACAAACAGTCGTGGATCGAGTGACCGATTTATTATTCTTTTTTTTTGAAGGAATTATTACCCCAGAAAAAGCGATCCGCCAATCGACTAACAACTGGGTTACTACTTACTGCTGGGTAAACAGAAGCGTGTGGAGTAAGGAAACTTGCCCAAGGTTTCGCCCTGCCCGGGAATCGAACCCAGGTCTCTCGCTTGCGAGGCGAGTGCTCTAAGCACTGAGCCACAAGCTTCCAACTGGGGACGGTTCCCCGGGTGCCGCCTGACCACAGCACCGCACAGTGCGTGACAACCGAGGAGCCGCTTACCAGTCTCATGCGGTGCATTGACGGGGATTGAGGTGCCTCAACCAGTTCGATGATGTACAAGTGACACGGTTGGCATTTCCACATTTTCCCGTCCGTGTCCATCAGATATTGCAGGATGAGCAATTTGAACAGAAACGCCGATAATCCTTTCTGCACCTGAAAGAGAAATCTTTGCGTCAGCTTCTGATCAAGTCCAGTCAAAAGGTTGGCCATCAATAATAATAATAAAATAATAATAATCCTTGCATTTGGCGTATAGAGGGCCTTATCACACTGTTGGGAAGTATCAAATCGCTTCATAGGATTGACCATGTTTTAACACAACCGCTGATTATAACTTTAACGAAAAGCATAAATTCCAATGCAGTCAAAACTGTTCGAGCAACCACCACCTCCATTCAGCAACCACCCCCTGTTAACAACCACACGGGCACCACCACCACCTTTCTCAGAAGCCACTACTTTGGCTCATTGACCCCGAGAAGTTCTTAAAGACTGTACTTTAACGATGTTTATGGTTCCAAAGGTCCCGTATTAACTGTAAGGATTATTTCTTTAGAAACTTACAGAAGAAGTGATGTCAAAGTGGAAGATGGTGGGGCCGAGTGGCCTTGACGTTTGCAGGAGTGACAAAACTGTCTTCAGGACTTTATTTTCATCCACCTGTGGTTCGATCAGCCGGATGGTCTTCAGACAGCTCTTGCTCCTGTTTTCTTTCTTCAAGGTTTCGTGCAGTCTCTTCACATAAAGGGATTTCCCTTTGAAACACAAAATCCATCCATCGTTCCGTGCAGATTAGACCCGGTAAAATACTTACAACTTAACCATGTTATGAAACAATGGCATGAAGTAATAATAATAATAATACCACCTACAATTGGTAAAGCTCCTTTCACATCGGGAGGATGTCCCAAAGCGCTTCACAGGATATACTGTAAAGCGGAGTGACTGTTTATCGGCAGCCAACTTGCGCATATCAGCGTCCCCCCTACAAACAGCCGTGAAGTGAAGGGAGTATTTCTTCCAACAGTTTGGGAACGGGACGTAAGGTTGCGCTATCCCACTGCGGCTCTTATAACAACTCGTCTTTCTTTTTAAATAAAAAAAAGGAAATCAGAATTATTTTGACACTCACCAACTCCGCCTCTCTTTGAAGACACGATCCTTACAAACATCTGGTCATTAAACACAGAAGCCGCCGAGAGAACATTGGGTGGAACCTTGTATTGCTTCTCAAGGTAGAGTTTGATGTTCTCGAGGGAGTCGTGTGGGACTGCGTGGCTCTTGTACTGACTGAAAGCCGACGGGATGTAGCAATGGTCCTGATCGCTGTCGCACACTATTACCAGCTGGTAGTCAGGCCTACCCTGCAATTGCAGGTTTTTGAACAGTTCTTCAAACCTTACACTGACGTCATACGTCAGTGCGTCTGCAAACAGCAAGCTGTATATCTTGGAGCCTCTGCAACCCTTGGTCAGGCATCTGCGCAGGAAGATCTCAATCTGCTCGAGGCCCGTCTCCGCCGTGCAAAGCAGGACCTCGTCATAGGTGGGCAGCGGCTGGTGTAGGGTGTGCATGTACACGCACAGAGCGCAGGTCAGCAACTCGGAGCGCGGGCAGACCACGAGGTTCGGGCGGCCCTCCAGCAGGCCGGGAGGAAGGGCTCGCTCGATGGACGTCTTCTGCGCGTCACCGAGAATGTTGAGGAGCCCGCCCAGGGTGCCGACGTCAAGGCAGCCGGAGAGAAAGTAAGTCATGTTCTCCATGTAGTACTTCCACAGCAAGTCCAGCTTTAGTTCCACGGTTCTCGCCTCGGCGATTTCCTGCACTCGTAGCTGCATGGAAGCTCTCTTCTCCACCTTTCTGCCCCCAAAGGGCTTCAGCCTCGTGCCCAATAAGGTTTCAGGACCCTGGACGGTATTCCAAATGGTCCATGCTTGCCTTATGTCTTCAGCGGTACAGTCAGGTTTAACGAAGGACAACATCATCAAGACGTTCTCCTGTAGCCTGCTGCTGCTGTTCCGCTGAAACAGCTCAGTGCAGAGGTAGACAATCTGCTCGGCAGTGTAAAAGTTTAGGTAATAGCAGTGGGACCGTTGCTGGTCCATGAATTGCTTCCACACGTCCAGGAAGGCTTCCATCTTTCGACAGAGGACAGGGAGCTGCTCAGTGACATTTCCATTTGCCAGGACGGCGCCAACACCCCTCACGCTGAAGTCCATGTTAACGCAGACCGGGCTGTCTGTCGAGCAGTACACCTCCGCTTTCCACCTCCTGAAGAGCATGTTACCGGCAGAGCACAGGCTGATGAAGGAGGAGGCAAGTCTCTGGACGTTGGCAAACACCTGCGACACAAAAGGTTCGTTATGGTCTTCAAACAGAATGAATTTCACAGGGACTTGCAAACAAGCGAGTCCACTACACCAGCGGGGAAATGGGTCAAACCCCCAACAATGGAGGGTTGGTAAAAAAAAAATTATATAAAAAAGGAGAAAATAGAGAAGCAAGTAACTTTGGTCATCACAAATCGCAGCCCAGATTTGACAGCGCCAAATGCAAGGATTATTTCATTGACTTCCAAACACACTCTTTGCACTGGCACATTCATGGGGCAGCATTTCAGTAAGATGGGTTACAGTACGAAAATCATGCCCTTTCCACCAAATCGTACAAGCCTACTTGTCTCTCTCCCTACAAACTTACCAACCCTCCATTATTGGGTTGGGCGTTTGACCCCATTTCCTGCTGGTGAAGTGAATTGCACGTTGCAAGTCCCAGTGAAATTCGTTCCATAATGATTGCAACAAACAGGATTCACGGGAGAGAAAATTGGGTGAGAAAGGTCCTTCCACCCATTTGATCTCACCCTTCCTGGTAAAGCCACCTTGCTTTCCTCTCATTATGGCAACAAGGCGTGTCTTAAATGTGCCCGGCCTCCTGGCCTCAACAGCAACAACAAATTACATTTGGATAACGCCTTTCACGTCCCAATGCGCTGGACAGCCGTTGACAATCTCACATTTACCTCCGCAAACCTCTCCACCTCTTCTTGGCCGTGGTCTCCCTTCCCCGACATCAGCATGAGTTTGTTCTGGAGCTCCTTCAGTTCTTCCAGCGTGTAGCAACGCAGCTCCTCACTGTCCTCGAGAACTTCGGGCAGGTGTAGCTTGATGGCCGACCCCAGAGAAAGCTGCCGGATTGAAACAACCAAATATCATTCTGGAGTCTGCAGTTGCGGGAAACCCGGCTCTAAACCTGAGCTGCTTCTCGCTCAGAAACAAGTCCCCGATCCCCATGCCCCAGAACGAGCTACAACCCACTGATCATCTAACGGCACCGACAAGTTGCAAATGGTCGGACCCAAGATCGTGCCATCGCAGGGAAAATGCGATATTTTCGCATCACATCACTACGATCACAAATGTGTGTAACTATGTCAGTAATGAGAGTAAAGTCCAATCTCCGCACTAATTGGGAACGCTGCCCTTTGTGGATGCCTTATCACGTCATTGAGATGTCTCAAAGCGCTTCACAGAATATACTGCGAAGTGTAGTGACTAGGTATTTTGTCAATGTGGCACCTTGAGCCGCTACTGTACCTTGTGTTGCTCCTCAGAACCGATGATGTAGATGCCATCGCTATTGATGGCGGAGGCCAGTGAGAGGGAGGATAGTTCCACAGACCCGTGGCTTTCCTTAACCGTTTTCAGCCAGTCCAGATGCCTCGCTGAATCTCGCTGGCAAGCGGCAGAGAAAACAAAGAGTTTAAAATAATAATAATAATAATCCTTGCATTTGATAGAGGGCCTTATCAAGTCTTCGAGACGTCTCAAAGCACTTCATAGAATATACTGCAAAGTGTAGTGACTAGGTATTTTGTGGGCGAAACGCGGCAGCTGTTTGTGTCCCACAAACAGTCGTGGATTGAGTGACCAAATTATTATTTTTTTTATATAAAGGGATTATTACTCCCGGAAAAATCCACCGATCGATTACAATCGAGGTGAAATCGATGTGAGGTTAAACCCAGAAAAAAAAAGGCCTAAACGTAATTATGCAGAATATCTTTGAAGTCGAATGACAAGTTCAAAGTGTTGGGGAGGAATTTTTCATGTGAAATGTTTTAACCCTGAATTGCTCATGATCTTATCGAGTTCAGCTGGGACTGTTGGAACAGGTCTGAGCTCTATTTGAAAGAAGAACGTTAAACATCAAAGGCACTTTGAGGGCAATTCTTTGAATTACCAGCTTTTTCGAAAGATTGTGGTCATTTTTGAGAGCCTTCCATAGCTTCTGCAAGCAAGGCATGAAGTCCACAAAGCCGAATTCGGGTTTTAATTCGTACAGCAATGATGAGTAGCCCAACACAGCATCGTGGAAGCAAGCTACACGGTCAACGTCAAGGTCATTTTCACCGGCTGAGATCGAGGCCAGGTCAACGAAGACCTTCAATTCATTGATATCTGGGGAAAGACAAAAAAAGTGCACAATTAGCAGTAACTTTCTACCACGGAACCGTAAACATCCTTTAACCAGCAATCCTTCCAGTCCCATTTACCAGTCTTGATGATGATAATCCTTGCATTTCATATCGCGACTTATCACGTCATTGAGACGTCTCAAACCGCTTCACAGGATATACTGTAATGTAGAATGACTGTAGGTTTTGTGGGCAAAACTCATCAGCCAATTGCGCCCGGCAGTGTCCCACAAACAGTCATGGATTGAGTGACCATATTATTATTTTTGTATTTTATGGGGTCTTATCTGCATACCAATCAGTTAAGACTAAGTAAAGCATTCAGACCTCTCTCAAATTAGCTGGAAGTTGGTAGACAAAACATGTGAAGTGTTGGCCCTTTACCTCCCAATGCATCTTTGATCCAGTGTACAAATTGCTGCCTTTGAATGAGCTCTTCCAAACATTTCCTGCAAGGCTCTGAAATGTTCACAAGAAGGCTTCTGGCTTCTATAAGTTCATCACTTATGCAGTTCAGCTTTTTTTCCTTAAACGACTCGTCTCTCTGAAAAAGGAAGCAACATTTTGTGAGCTCGTTCCATCTGCAGCCCAACAGATCCGAAGCGACTTCAAATTGACTAAACCAGCCTTCTACGGGCAGACGACAGAATCAAGTTGCAGGTCAGTGAGCCCTTGAAGTGCTGGATCAGTCTTATTGAGGGAAATACGAGGAAAATAAGGAACCCATTGATAATTAACGATAGTCCTTGCATTTGACACAACGCACAGGTTACATTGGGGAGGGGGTGGTGAGGGGTGGTGGGGAAAAGGGGGAGGATGGTCTCGTCACCACTTACCATGTTCAGCAGAGTTTCCAGCACACTGAAGTTGCCCTTCAGTGACAGGATGTCTTTGGCCCGCATGATTATCTCCGCACACTTCACGGCCGAATGGAGCTGGTGATATTCTTGAATCTGCTGGATGCGTTTGCCTACCCACTGGCCATCCCGGGGCGACAACTTGCACATGATCTCGAAGTCCCTTTTCAGATCCTCGTAGCTTTCGCCATAGTCTCTGAACTGCTCGTCCACCTCTCTGAATGTCAGGCTGCCCTCCTTCACTTTTTGGTAGATGCTCTGGTAGTGGGTGAAGCACGGCTCCCACAGCCTGGCGTTCAGTTGGTCAAGGGTCACGGACGGGGCCATGGACGATTCCACGTACAGCTCCTCCTCTCCTTCCTGCTCGTCGGAAAACTCGATGTCAGCGGGAGCCTTGGCGGACAGGTCTTTAGCCGCTTTCTCCCAACACATTTGAAAAACGTGGCTGTCTTTAAATTGGTGGATGTTTCTTGCCATCTCCGCTGTCTGTTCGCTCAAATGGAACCAAGTTACCGCCTTGCAGGCTGGTCTCGTTTGGGGAATGCTCTGGTTGCTCATTGCAGTCACGTTCATTACTTGCTTCAGTTCTGTTGAGCCAAAATCAGCTTTAAGGCGCTCTTCAAGTTCTTCCGTGTCCACTGCAACCAAAGGACAGAATTAATTAAATAAAGAATAATTATAATTGCATTCGATATAGCACCTCATCACGTCTTCGAGACGTCTCAAAGAGCTTCATAGAATATATTGTAAAGTGGATTGACAGTGTATTTTGTGGGCGAAACCGGGCAGCCAATTGCGCACAGCAGCGTCCCACAAACAGTCGAGCATTCAGTGACCTCATTTTTTTTTTGAGGGATTGTTACCCACGGAAAGAGATCCACCAATCGACTAACAACCGGGTTCCTACTTACTGAGAGGTAAACAGAGGCCAAAGGTTTCACCGCACCTGGGAATCAAACTCAGGTCTTCTCACTTGCAAGGCGAGGGTGCTAAACACTACGCTACGAGACGACATTTGCATATTAGATTAATATTTAAACGCAAAGCAAATGAAACACACTGCCTTTTTTTTTTTACACCAAAATTAAATCACGCTCCACAAAGAGTCGTGCTCTTAGTGCTCAAGCGGTCGTACACAGTATACCACAACAATGACTCGAAGACAATATTCCTCGTGTTTGACATAGCACCTTTCACATCGCGAGGACGTCTCAAAAGCACTTCACAGGATATACTGTAAAGTGTAGTGACTGCGTGTTTTGTGGACGAACACAGCAATTTTGCGTAGAAAAGATCCGTCAAGTTGAATGACCAATTGCATTGGAGGGGTTGGGGGGGGGGGTACAACTCCGTGCCCGTATACACGCATCCTGCACGTCTTTACCTTTCACAAACTCGGTAATTTTGCGGCACATTTTCAAGAGACTGTCAACGCCATCCTTTCTCTCGTTGAACCCCTTCAGTTCGTTTTCCCGTATTGACAGCACCGCTTGGTTGTACTTCATTTGGCACGATCCGCTCTGTTTCTCTGCGAAAGAGTGTTCATTGTGTGGGAATTGTAAAACGTAAGACGCTCACCAACACACACACACACACTCACACACACACACACACACACAGGTGCGCAAAAATATCAGCCGTTTCACAGAACATACTGTAAAGTGAATTGACAATTTTGTGGGTGAAACGAGGCAGCCAATTGTGCACAGCAGCGTCCCACAAACCAACAGTCTTGGATTGAGTGATCAAATTATTATTATTATTTTGCAGCGGAGGGCATTAATCGTACCGTGTGTGGTTGGAACCGTGGTAATATTGGGTCTTATGCCGAGGCTAAAATATTACAATGTTTATGCTGTTGTTATTTGGCATCAACGGAACGGTTGTGCATGGAGTTCAACTCACTTATGTCGTGCAAAGTATTAAAGTTTTGTTTCTTCTCTATAATCCACTTCAAATGCTTTATTTGGATGGAGCCCTGCTGCAGCTTATTGACCACATCTAGGAAGACGGAATCTGCGAGGGCCATCAGCTCCTTCGCCTCATCGGTCAGTTCGTCGATGAGTTTCTTATCTGATCCTAAACAATATATTTTTTAAAAAAAACATCGGATTAATAATAAAAAAAAACAAAATGAAGTGAATTAGCCAATTTTGTTTTCAATACATGGGCCCACCTTGCAGCTTGAAGATATTCTTGGCCGCAGACCAATCAAGCAAATGACGGATGACATCGTCGTAACCTTTCACAAACTGTCCGCTGCCGTCTTTCTGCCAGGCTTTCTCGATGATCGTCGAGAGCAATTTACCAAACTTCTTCAAGTCACACTGGCCCAGACTGAGAAACAGCTGCGCCTCCGCCTTATCCTAAAGGGCAAAGAGCACAGACTGCAAAGTTATCCCCCCGTCCGATCACCGCGCCTAAAACTTGGGGAGACGTGGCGAAGCACGTGCACGTGGAACTGCTCTCGAGTGTGGAGCCTGACTGCGGCCGATTTGCACACAGCGAATTTCCCCCAAAACAGCCACGAAGTGAGTGGCCGATTTCATCCGGAGGATTGTATCGGTCTGGACACTGGAAGAGAAACTCCCTTCTCTTTCCAAATCACGCCACGGGACCTTGAACGCGAATCAGTGAAAAGGCTGAGCCTCTGCTGACAGGTATATGAGGAAGTGTGTGTGTGTGTGGGGGGGGGGGGGGGCAGGTAAATGGAATTGGAAGAATTGCTTTTGAAAGAAACAATGGGCTGATTGGCCTTCTTCAGTGCTTTGCTGTAAATTTCTATGGGTTTAGGAGCTTGGTTTAAGGTCTTCTTCCTACCTCTATCCTCCCCGCCTTCCACCTCCCCTAATTCCAACCCCCAGCTCCAAATCCCTGACTGTCCAGCGCCTTGGGACATCCTCCCGACGTGAAAGGCGCTGTACAAATGTAATTTTGTTGTTGTTTCGTTGTCTCCCCCGAAGGATGGCAGCGCTTCTGCCCGCACTGCATTCCATCAAACTTAGTACTATTTTTTAACAAAAAAAAATTAGAATTAATACTATTCAAGTCCGGTACCTGGCACACAGGATGGACAGCATCGAGAGCGCAGTCCTCAAAACATTTAGCAACCAGAGGATTATGCTCATTGATTTCGGTGTGGCACTTGCAGTAGACTTCTATCTGTCTAAGATGTTTTTCCTAATGGATAGACAAGAAATGTTAAGTTATTTTTTTTTCTAAACCCCTCCCTTGACCACGGTCTCACCCCACCAAACCCAGCATTTGGTGTAAGAAATCAAGAAAGATGCTCAGGTATTAAATTGGAAATACCGAATCCCTGGTGAAAGGTTAAACACACACAAGCCGTCAACGACTTACACTGATCTATCAACCTTCACCACCCCTTCTCTTTTTGAGCAGCGCCATGGAGTTTTTTAACCGACCTCCTGAACAGGCAGGCGGAACCCCGGTTAAATGTCTCATCCAAAGGATTGTGTCTCTGACAACAAGGCAATCTGGCCATCGCCATCGTGCGTCAGCCTAGACTATACGAATTCAATGTCGCCACAATTCAAGAGCCAAAAGTGCTTGCCAACTGAGCCAGGCTGATGCACAAATACAAATTATTCAGTGGCATAAGTATAGAAATTGAAGAGCATCGCGACTCTTTGACGCTGTACATTAGCCACAGGTACGTTACCTGTTTTATTTTCCCTTCCAGATCCTTCAGGAGTTCCGTAGTCCAAATGGAAGTCAGTCTCTCGTCTCCAAAGGTTAAGTCGATCAGCCTGCTCCAGATCTTTACACGTGTGAAAGATAAAAGAACGCTTTGCTCAACCCTTCAATCAGGTGCGGTCACTTTAGTTTAAATCTTGCACACGCATAATACATATATTATTACTCGATCCCGGAGTCCTTCGATTTTTGTGGAGGGTAAACACTGGTACGGAACTAGAATAGCCTGTTTCTGTGCTGTACGGGCTATGCTAATCATTCTGTGGCTCACCCCTTTCCCTCTTCTTCCCCCCCCCCCCCCACACACACACACACACAATGCCCTGTCTTACCTGAAGTTCATCCTTATCAACATAAGCAGCATATGATTTCAGCAGTTGGGATCCAAGTTTTTTCATCCAACTTCTTGTGTTTTTCAAAACTATGTGCAAGACTCTTTCACCACTGGGCACAGCAGCAACCTCATCGCTTTCAGGCTTCTTATCTGCAACCTAACGTTTTTGGGGGGGGGGGGGGGGGGAAGATTTTTCACATTTTCAGAATGAGATAAACGCAGGAGGGAGAAGGGAACAGAAGGGTCGTGGGAGGGAGCAAGGAGCGGGAGGAGACTCGGGCGAATCATAAGCAAAAACTTTTATCCAGAAGAGACATATTTGCAAATAACTCAACTCCTCGTGTAGTTAGAGAAATTATTTCAAAATATAGCTGGTAAAAGATTTTCTGTAAAGTGGACTGTGTGGGCAAACACTAACAGCACAAGGGCCACAGATAGCCATGATATGAATGGCCAATATTTTTATTAAATTGTGAGTGGGGGGTGAGGGGATTATTGGCCAGGACACCGAGAGATACTAACTTGTTTCTCTTATCGAGTAGTGACACAGGATCTCTAACGTCCACCTGAACAGACAGACGGGATCTCGTTTAATGTCTTACCCGAAGTGCAACATCTCAGGTCCTTCCCCCAGCAATGCACTGGAGAGCATCGGCTGAGCTAAATTTGGATTTAACCTATCGCACCACGTCAGTGAACCGAATCACCGATCATGAGACATTAATATTCAATTATTTCAATAGGTTTGCAAAGCCAAATGTTATTTTATTTGCTTTTAATTTCTTTTTTTTTTTAAAAGTCACACACATTTCACTCACTCACCTGTCCTGATAAGGAATTATCTGATCCGACAAGTTCGCTAATGATCTCAACAGAAGCAGTCAACATGCCGCAGTTCATTTTGAATCTCACAAGTCCGCAACAAATTAATTCGTGTACTTTCAGAGCTGCCACCTTGCACGCTTCTGTGTGGTCACCAGGAAGAACTCTAGGGGTGAAAACGTATTAGGTAAGAGATTTTGCACGACAAAATGCATTGTCGGGAATGATTTGAAAACATATGCACAGAATAATCCTTGCACTTGATATAATAATACGACTTGCATTTGATATAGCCCCTTTATCATGTCGTTGAGATGTCTGAAAGTGCTTCACAGAATAATAATAATCCTTGCATTTGATATAGCGCTTTTCACGTCTTCTAGACATCCCAAAGTGCTTCACAGAATATACTGTAAAGTGAATTGACTGTATATTTGTGGGTGAACGCGGCAGCCAATTGCACACAGCAGTGTCCCACAAACAGTCGTGGATTGAAAATGACCAATTTATTATTGTTTTGGTTTTGGAGGGATTATTATTAGGCTGTGTGTGGAGTAAGGAAACTTGCCCAAGGTTTCGCTCTGTCTGGAATTGAACTCAGGTCTCTCGCTTGCAAAGCGAGTGCTCTAACCACTGTGCTACAGGATTCCACAAATATACTCTAAAGTGAATTAATTGTATATTTTGGGCGAAAAGCGTCAGCCAATTGTGCACAGCAGTGCCCCACAAACAGTCGTGGATTCAGTAACCAAAATTATTATTTTTTGAAGGGATTACCCCTAAAAAAGCAATACGCCAATCAATTAACAAACGGGTTCCTACTTACTGCTAGGTAAACAGAGGCGTGCGGAGTAAGGAAACTTGCCCATCGTTTCTGCCTGCCCGGGAATCAAACCTAAATCCTCTCGCTTGCGAGGCGAGAGCGCTAACCACTACGCTACAGGACTCCAGGAATGGGCGTGGGTTACCCTTATCACATCGTTGAGACGTCTCAAAGCGCTTCCCAGAATATATGTAGAGTGGATTGACTGTGTATTTTGTGGGCGGCAAGGCAGCCAAACACCCACCCCCCACCCCCCGCTATTGCCCAGACGTGACAATTCCACTTGCCTCACCAGATACCCTCCGCCCTCTTTGAGTGAGCTCACAAGACTAGCCCAGAGAAAGAAAGACCTTCGTCCCACCTCATTTCACCTCTCCGGAGCACCCTCCCTACCGTCCTACTATCACGGCACCATGCGGTTTTATTTTACGTGAGCCAGCAAGCTGCCCTCAACCACCCCTGGTGGTCAACCGCATCATAGATTTCAAAGTTTGTTGCTGGAATCTGTACCTGTGCAAGTTGTCTTTCACGTACTGCAGCAGATTTTCAAACACCTGTTGGCACAACTCAAAAAAAAACAAGTTCTCCCAATTAATACAAAGTTTGTAACAAAAAAAAACTTATTAACAGAAGCTTCTGACAATGAGTATCATATTGCTACAAAGTCAAGAGCGCTATTAAACACTATTAATCCTTCTCTGGGTGCATTTATAACAATTAATAATAATAACGCTCATCCTTGCATTTGATTTGGTGTTTTATCACGTCCTCGAGACGTCTCAAAGCGCTTCACAGAATATACTGTAAAGTGAATTGACTGTATGTTTTGTGGGCGAAATGCGGCAGCCAATTGCGCACAGCAGCGTCCCACAAACAGTCGTGGATTGAAGTGACCAATTTTTTTTATATAAAGGAATTATTACCCCCGGAAAAGCGATCCGCCAATCGACTAACAACCGGGTTCCTACTTACTGCTGGATAAGAGGCGTGTGGAGTAAGGAAAGTTGCTCAACACTTCGCCCTGCCGGGAATCAAACCCAGGTCTCTCACTTGCGAGGTGAGTGCTCTAACCACTGAGTTACATTTTCCCAGTGCCTGCATCGTTGAGATGGCGCACAGCACTTCACAGGTAAACGCTGTAAAGTCTAACCACTGCATTTACAGATGAACTCATCAGCCAATTTGCACACAGCAAGATCCAAACAAACATCTACAAAATGAACGACCAATTTATATGGACATATAATTGCAACAGATTAAATTAAAATAGATTCATTTTCATCATGCAAGATAGAATTAATGGACATTTGAGGACGATCAGACAAGTATATCATAAGGACAAACCGTTGTTTGATCCAAATGCAACTTTTCTTTCAGTCTATAAATTAGACCTTGTAGAACGACGAGTGGATCAGGAGTCACAGTATTGACGTATTCGAACAGGGAATTCATTGGTATCAAACTGAACCAAGATCGATGCAGAAATCCATCAAAATCCACCAAATGCTTATTTTTTCTCATGATCTCAAACAGTTGCCTTCACAGAAATAAATTCACACACGGTTAATACTGTTAATAGTAATAATAATTCTTGCATTTGATACAGTGTCTTATCCGTCGTTAAGCTCTCTGGGACTCTAGCCTGTGTGAAGGGAGCTATATAAATGCAAATTGTTGTTATTGAGACGTTTCAAAGTGCTTGACAGAATGTATTGTAAAGTGGATTGATTGTGTATTTTGTGGGCGAAATGCTGTAGCCAACTGCCCTCAGCAGTGTCCCACAAACAGCCGTGAAATGAGTGACCAAATTATTATTATTTTTTTAAGGGACTATTACCCCCGGAAAAGCGATCCGCCAATCGAATAACAAACGGGTTCCTACTCACTGCTCGGTAAACAGAGGCGATTGGAGCTAGGAAACTTGCCCAAGGTTTCACCCTGCCTGGGAATCAAACCTGGATCTTCTCGCTTGTGAAGTGAACGCGCTGACCACTAAGATACAAAACTCCACAGCGCTCTCTTGTGAGAAGGACGCTGTATAAATTCGAGTTGTTGTTGCTGTTGTTCCATATTGTGCTAAGATTCAACACTTCGCAAATGTCACTTGCTCAACTGTCCAGTCTTATTCTAGACAGAGAAGCTTCCCACGCTCCGACTTTAAAGTAGCAACTCAGTAAATTGTCCCCAAATTGTGGACATTATTTTTAACGTCAAAGACAATCTAATTGTGAATTTTTCCGCCACCTTCAGAGGATGGCTCCCCCGCTAACCCATGAGAATGTCGTACTGGATTTGATTTCTATACCGTAGAGCGAGTGAGGGAACATTCACAGTAAAGCTCACCATAGGCTTTCATATTCATACTTTTCTCTGCAATTAACGTACGCAATTCCTTCCAATCCGGCCCAGACGTCTTGAGAATGGCCAGTGAAAGACAAAGTTGGTTTGGACGAAGAGCAAAATATGTGGAAGACAGGAATCACCTGCACCCATTGAAAACTTCGGTCCTCAATACATTTCTGTATCATCAGGAGCAGAGCTTCACTAAACCTGTAACAAAAGACAGACATTAGAAGACTTTGGATATACAGCGGGCTCCAACCTGCTCCACGTGCCCACCCGATCAGGCCCACCATCGACGGTCAAGCCTTCAGCCTCTCTGCCCCCACCCTTTGGAATTCCATCCCACAATTTTCTTGCCTCGCTCCCTCCCTTGCCTCCTTCAAGGCCCATCTCAAGACCCTCCTCTTTGACCATGTCTTCAGTCATCCTCCTACTCCTACCCTCCTGCCCTCCACCTTTCCTGATCCCAACTCAGGGTCCAAATGCCTCACTGTCCAGCGCCTTTAGACATCTTCACGACATGCCAAGGCGCTATACAAATGTACTTTATTGCTGTTATCGTAGTAACACTTCTTACAGTGGGCCCCCACCCTTTGGAGGGTGCGCCTCCCCTTTGGAACTCCACCCCACAATCCCTTCGCCTTGCTCCCTCCCTTGCCTCCTTCAAGGTACGACTCAAGAACCTCCTTTTCGACCGAGCCTTCAGCCGCCCTTCCACCTCTCTGCCCTCCCTCATCGCAAACCGGCCCCCCCCCACACTCAGGTCCTGATCCCGTTCAGAGCCTTGGGACGTCCTCACGACATGAAAGGCGCTTTACAAATGTAATTTTGTTGTTGTTCTTACCTCTCGTTTAAGGGAGTTTCTTTGAATATTTGCACCTCCATTTCAGAAACTTTGCTGGACATCTGTTGCAGACTCAGAAGTTGACAGACCGCGTGGATATCCTTCTTGGTCATATTAATGCTATAGCGATAAGTCAGATACAAAATCAACATTCCCATTCGAAGCCGGCGTTCTACAGAGTCTTTCCCAGCTTCGGAGTTTTGGTCATCCTTTGCAAGGAGAAGCTTTGCCTTATCCCTCAAAAGTGTAAGTATTAAATCTTTGACCTGGACAGTAAAACAAAAAACAGCAATTTATTCAACTCGAAACTCAGCCCATAGACTTCACTAGCTTTGATGTTCAAGGAACTAATAATAATAATCATCCTTACCTCTCGTATAGTGCCTTTCACACCCCTCAAAGCACTTTAGCACTAAAGTGAAGTGACTGTTTTGTGTGGACCAACGGGGCAGCCAACTTGTGCACAGCAACTTGCATCTCGCAAACAGCCATGAAGTGGATGACCAACTGTATCTGGGGAACTGCTGGCCAGCCAGGGTAAGTTTGGCCTTTTTTGACTAGAGAAGAGACTAGAGTGTAACGGGGAACTAAACGTACAGGTGAGGGAGAAGGGAATAAAAGAGTATGTGAGGGAGGAAGGAATGGGCGAGGACTCCTGTGGAGTATGAACACCGGCGCGGATAATTTGTGACCAATGGGCATTTTCTGTGCCGTATGATCTATGTACATTTTCAGGGGATATCTGAACAGCATCCTGCAAACCTTTTCTGCGCACCGCACTAGCTGTACTCATCAACTTACTTCCTTCTCGCCAAATGGTAGGTCTTTCCATGATTTGGGATCATTTTCAAATACCATAGGATTTGAGTAAACCAATAAGAACTGGTGGAACTGAAAGAAGAAGCTCCTTAGATTGATTTTGTTCCATGTCGAGAGGATGTCAAACAATGATTCCAGCATGAATCTGCCCGCCAGATTCTTCCCATTTGCCACATCTTTCTTCCCTTCCCATTTGTTCCTGATGTAATTTTTCGCCTTCGTGTAGTAGGTTTTCCAACCTTCAGCAGGTGGAGCGCAGACGATATCATCGTATTGATGCCATTCTGTTACAACATATATATGTGTACAATATAAACAACTTCATCTTAAACATTCACACACACACCAACAACAAAATTAAATGTGTATAGCACCTTTCAAGTCAGAAGGACCTCCCAAGGCACTGAACAGTTATGGGTTTGCGCCCGCGCTGGGGGTTGGATTCAGGAGAGGTGGAGGGTAGGGGGATAGGGATGAGGATGGGAGGATGACCGAAGGCACGGTCAAAGTGGAAAGTCCTGAGACGGGCCTTGAAGGAGGCAAGAGAGGGGGTGAGGAAGCAGAAAAGCTGAAGGCCCGACTGCCAATGGTGGGCAAGGTATATGGCGCAGGCCAGTGCCTGCCGAGCAAAGTGGTTGGTAATGGTGTTAATAGGTTGCAGAGGTAGGGAAGAGAAGGACCATAAATGGCTTTAACAGTGAGGACGAGGATTTTAAACTTGATCCTCTGGGGAATGGGGAGCAGGCAACGTTAGCGGCTGAAGGTTTGGAGCAGGAAACAAGCAGTGGACCAGATGCGGAAAAGCAGAGAGCACAGGGCAGGAGAATAGGGCTGGAACTAACACTAAAAAGGGCAACAACACAGCTACTTACCCGATTGGTTTAGGAATTTCGATTGGATACAGAGATAACGGTTGACGTGAACTCCTTCTGTTGCATCGTGTTTATATATAGTCTCATATTCAACCTCTTTATCCCGCAAGACTGCATATTTATAGGCAATGCTCTTATTCAGGAATTCTTTACGAAAATATTGCTGCCCTTGAATTAAGTAACCGTGTTCCCCCAAGTCTCTGTAGACAGGAAACAGAAACTCATAGGATTTTTTTCCCACACATGCTCAAAATTATAATAATAATCCTTCCATTTGGTATAATAATAATCCTTGCATTTGATATAGCACCTTATCACAGCTTCGAGACATCTCAAAGCGCTTCAGAGTGTACTGTAAAGTGAATTTTTAATTTATATTTTTAAAAATATAGTGCCTTTCACGTTGGGAGGATATCCCAAAACACTTCACTGTGACTGTGTATTTGTGTGCAAACACGGCAGCCAAATTTGCGCACAGCGATGTCCCACAAACAGCCGGTGAGTGGTCAATTTTATTTGGGGGAATTAGTTGTCCAGGACACTGGGAGAGAGAAATGCCTTTCTCTTTTCGAATAGATCCTCAACTTGGGTTCGAATACAATTTAAACAAACGTTACATGCGTTTCAAAACAAAATAAAGCTATTCAGCACTCATTCTCTTCATGATGGTTTTTTTAAAATAATTCAAAGGGGGGGGGAGGGGGAAGAAAATTGCAGCAATAATGACGAAACAAAACCTGTAACAATTCAACAGTACTGAAACGATACGAGAGAAACTTACTGAGACACATTCATCACGAGCACATCAGCGGTCCAGTTTCCTCCAGTAAGTTGTCCCGATCTCAGCACCACTCTGTGCTTTTCAACATCGAATTTAAAATCCTTCGACAAAATTGCATGGAAATAAACAGTGACTCGTTCCTCGGGCTTCAAATCACTGCTGCTTTGGATAAAGCAAACAACAGTTCTCAGTTGGACAGATAAACAACAACAACTTGCCATTTTACAGTAGGATAGTGATGGTGGTAGTGCTGGCTGAGGAGTGGGGTGGGGAGGGGGGCGGGGGAGAAAGAAGAGGTGGCTATGGGCGTGCTTTAAGAGGTAGGTCTTCAGGTGGATTTAAGGATAAACCGGGAGTGAGCGGAGGGATCGAGTCAGGGAGTTCCAGAGAACAGGGACGTCGTGGCAGAAGGCACAGTTGCCTCTGGTGGTGCGGAGGGGCACGGGGAGCGTGTTAGCTGACAGGCTCAGACGAGAACCTCGGGTTAACGTCTCATATAAAAGAAGGCACCTCCAGCAATGCGACATCCCTCTACCCCCTCCCCCCCATCCCCCTGAAGGGCCTTTTTCATCCCACAAACGTTAGACTCTGAAGCAAACAAGCAGTCAACTGAGTCAGGCTGACATCTGTGAATTGATATTACTCGAGAACTGATACAAAAAAAGTACATTTTTAATTAACGAGTGAATTGCGCACCCTTGATAGGCGGGAGATTTATTTTTATTTATGTTGCGTTTTCTCGACAACTCTGTCGTTTCTCTGTCTTTCTGATCACTCTTGCCGCCCTCGTTGATAGTGGCCGAAGGTTTGGTGTGGTTCTTTGGCTTCTCCTTACCCTTCTTGGTTTGTGAACTCGCCTCCTAGGATGTTAACAGAGAAGAGAGCTTCACCGTTCTGGAAAAGCTCGCCCGACGCAGGATTTCACCAGCTCAAAGTCACAATAGGGGGTAACTTGCCAATGGCGCACTTCCCATTATCTGTGCTAAACAAATGCGCTCGGAGTTGACTCGTCAAATTCCCTGCGATAATCCAGGCAAGAGGACAGATGATTCACTTGAAAAGCAACTTGTGAAAGAGGATCGGTAAATGGATGTGAACGGATGGGTCAAAGGGCCTTCTTCATCCAAAACTAGCAAGTCAGGGTGAAGGTGTGGGGGGTGGAGGGGGGGGGAAATTGGACTGTTCCCTATTGACTGCAAGCACTGCTGTGTCCATAGGCCGTCAGTATCAACACACCTCACAATGGTGCCCTTCAATAAGAGCACCGATCAAGAGGTCGAGAGAAAAAAAAAGCCCAGAGTAAACGAGAAAATCCAAGAGAGAGAGAGAGAGAGAGAGAGAGAATGTGAAAAAGATTGCAAGAGGGACTCCAAGGGGGAAAATGAAACAAAAACCGAAAGTACCACAGAAATAGGACAAAAAAAAAAGCTTAAAATAAGTAATGGAATGAGGAACAAAAAAAAAGCAAATGACAATAAAGGAAATAACAATGTCAAACTTCCTTATTTTATTTAGCACCTTTCACTTCGGAAGGACGTCTCAAAGCGCTCGACTACTGCTGGGGTGGGGGTGGGGGGGGCACCCGAGTAGGAGGTCAGAGCTGATAGATGACCTAAGGCGCGGTCAAAGAAAGTATAGAAGAGTACAGTGAGCTAGATACCTGTCTGTTTAAGGTGTCCTTTTCAATCTTACGGTCAGATTGTTGGTCGCTCTTCGCCTTAACCAAACTACCCGAGTCTCCGTCTCCCAGGTGACTCCGCTTGCTGCCACCATCAGTGAGCGACAACTGAGGTTCACCTGCTCTCTCGGCCTGGTCGGTCTCTTGTCCTCCATTTCGGCCACTGTCTTTCTTATGGGTTAAGTCACCTTCCACTGAATGACCAGATCCAGCGCTCGTTATTGGGTGGGTTTTCTCGCTCACAGCCTTAGACAAGGAAGGATCTTTTTCTGCGCCTCTGTGGTCAATACTACTGCAGGGGCTTGGGTCACTGGACTCGGTGGTTTTTGTAGGACTCCCATTTTGCTCTTCACCCAGAGTCGACCCAACCCTTTGGCCTTTGGAAGCAGAATTGACGTCCTGATGTTCAGACGCATCAGATGACTTAGTTGGGCTGGACTGCGGCTCGGGATGTCTTCCCTCGCCCTGGTTAGTTTGGTTTGTAATGGCGCTGTGATTTTCTACCTCGCCTTCCTTCTGATCGCTATCTAAACGGATCTGCTTGGGGGACTTCGAGGAGCTGGGAGGTGCTTTGATTTGTCCGGCCGGGTTGTTTTTCTGTTTCTTCCGTTTCTTCTTTTTCTGTGCAAACGTTGACAAATAAAATAGAATAAAATAGACAATAATCCTTGCTTCTCACATACAGCGTCTTTCACGTTGGGACGACCTCTCAAAGCGCTTCGCAGCATTCGCAGTAAAGTTTAGTGACTCTTATTTTTATAGATCGCCGCAGCAGACAATTTGCACACAGGTGGATGTTAAAAGATCCCGTGGCAGTAAATAAAGCGCAGTAAAGCGCTTCAATAGTAATCATTTTGCTTGATATAGCACCTTATCACATCGTTGAGACGTCTCAAAGCGCTTCACCGAATATATTGCGAAGTGGACTGACTGCAAAATACTTTTAAGACGTCTTGGTGACACGATAAGATTTTACGTCACGATTCAGAGTGACACGGACTGAGCCGCGCTGACCCGAGGAAGTTAGAGAAGTGGTTAGAATAAACATCGCACAATAATTTCCCGGTGAAGAATTTCGGTCCTCATCAAACTTACTTTTTTATTGGCCTTTTTGCTTTCGGAAGCGTTATTTTCCTTTTGCAACACTGTCGCTGGGGCAGTGTTAGTGTTGCTTTCGATCTCCACATCAGAAAGCTCTGGGTCCAGTGAGGCTTCTCCACTCTCAATGGTTGTGTCCATTGAGACGTCTTTGCTGCCGTTGGTTGGGTCCAATGAGCTTTCTTCACTCTCATTGGTTGGCTCCGGTGAATTTAATCCACTCTCGTTGGTTGAATCCATTGAAGTTTCTCCGCTCTCGTTGGTTGAGTCCAGCGAGGCGTCTCTGATCTCATTGGTTGGATCCCGTGAGGTGTCACCACTCTCATTGGTTAGATCCCGTGAGGTGTCACCACTCTCATTGGTTGGATCCTGTGAGGTGTCACCACTCTCATTGGTTAGATCCCATGAGGTGTCACCACTCTCATTGGTTAGATCCCGTGAGAGGTCTCCGCTCTCATTGGTTGGATCCCGTGAGGGGTCTCCGCTCTCATTGGTTGGATCCCATGAGGTTTCTCCGCTCTCATCGGTTGTGTCCATTGAGTAGTCGGTTGTTTCTTCCTGGTTTACACTGTCAACATCTGGCAACGTTGCTGACTCTGGCGGTTCTGATTCCATCTTCCCACGAACCGGGGCCGTCAACGACACTAAACAATTAAAAATATGAGTCAAATTGACATAGATTTGCACTCCAAAACAACACAAAGGACACGACAGAGATGGAATCCAACGCCCGAAGGAACAAAGTGAAACTAAATTGTGACCACGACTCTGAATTTTCTCGATTCAGCAATTCTTTCAACAACAATTTGCACTTATTAGAGCACCCACCGTGCAGGGTGGCATCTCGGAGCACTAAGCAGTGGCGGAGGTGGGGAGGGGGGGGGGCGGTGGAAGGGGTGGCCATAAGCACGGTCGCAGAGGATATTTATATACAATATTTATCGTAAGTCTACAATAAATATGAGTCAGAAGGGTATGGGTTTGAACTCAACTGAGCCAAGCTGACACATGGGTACTTTTTTGGGGGGGTCAGCTATTTGTCTGACAATTGTGGAAACCCATCGTCATACTTAAGAGTATCCAAACCAAACTGAGAATTCCAGGTGTCCCACCTACAGGTGGAAATTCCAGAGATGGATTGATTGGTTGGGATAGAATGTGCTCTCCCTCTCACCCTGGAGGGACACGTCCTGCTTACCTAATTCCGGGAAGTATTAGGCGCAGGTTGGCAAGAGCCAAGGCTTGGAGACCTTCGATTGTGCGTTGGGGTAACCGCTGGAGCATAACCAGCTGAAAAATCGCGGAGCTTGCAATTGAGATCGCTGTCTGGCAAGCTTCCCCCCAGCTTGTCCAGCTAGGACTATGCTACCCATTATTAGGAAAATTCTAATAAACTGACAGAACATGCTCGATGGACTGAATGGCCTCCTCCTGAGTTTTCTGCCGTGTTGTTAGCTGAAGACGAAAGTTAATTACAGCAAAAGACCCCAGGACCGAACCACCAAATGAAGCGTGGTGACCGCGCCTTCATGCGAGTAATATACTGCACAAAACTTACCACTCTGTGTAACAACTTGTGTCAATCGGTTCCCGCATTGGCTGCAGAATTTGGCCGATTCCTCTTTGGAAAGGTACCCGCACTGGTCACACTTCATCCGCTCCATCTCCGTCTCCGTCTCCCTGATTTGGGAGAAAAGAGCCACACAAACTTTTTTTTAAAAAAAAAATAAGATTTTTCTGTTTAAAAACAAAATAAGTCGACTTAAAAGATTGCAACAAGGAAATAAGAAGCTTAAAGCTGCTTAAGCATGGGTGTGTGGGAAAACAGGGGCAGGAAGAGGCCATTCAGCCCATGGAGCCTGTTCATTGGATCTTGGCAGATGTTTTAATCCCGCCCTTTCACCACAGCTTTCGCCACCACCACAACTTACATTTATATAGCGTCTTTCAGGTCAGGAGGGTGTCCACAACTCCAATACTTCAACGACCCACGTACCCATCCTTGGTGACCCACCCACCTCTCAAACCAAGAAATGTTTCATTTTAAGGAGGTGTTTTGAAGGCGAGGAGGGGTTGCTAAATTCCGCAAAATACACAGTTGACAGTAAAATCCCGTAAATGTGTTGTTCTGAAGTGCTTTGAGGGTTCCGCCTTTGACATGAAAGGCGAGGCATCAAATGGGAATCCTATGTAAGTGTATAACTGGTCCCTGGCCGGGCGATGCCTCAGGTCAGTTTTTTATTTTTAACTCTGCACTTGTTTACCTCGCAGTAAGTGGGAACCTGGTTGTTAGTCGATTGGCGGATTGTATTCCCGGAGGTAATAATCCTTGAGTAACGTGGAATAAGCTGTGGCCTGATCCACGTCCCCCGCCCGGCCTCACCCCCACAGTCCCTTTGCCTCGTTCCCTCCCTTGTCTCCTTCAAGGCACGTCTCCTCTTCGACCGCACCTCCGGGCACCCTCCTACCCCTACCCTCCCCGCCCTCCACCCCTCCTGATTCCCAACCCCCCCAGCTCGGGTCCAAATCCCTGACCGTCCAGCGCTTTGGGACGTCCTCCCGACGCGAAAGGCGCCGCTTACGCGCAACTTGTTGTCGTTAATCGATCCCTTTTAACTTTAACGAACTGCTTTCCGATCGCAATGAATTACTTTTCGTTTGAGTTGCAAACGGATTGCTCTTTATTTGCGATTTGATTGCAATGAATTGGGGGCTGCAACTTGCAAAACGTGGTTGGCCATTCTTTCGCTCTGAATGAATAATGAATGAATGAATCAATCAATCAATCAATAAATCAATCAATCAATAAATCAATAAATCAATCAATCACCCTCCCTCTTGTAGGTCAGGACACCAGAAAAACAATACCAACTCGAGATGCAAACATCTCCTCCCAGCAAAACAATCTATAAAAATATATATATATACACACACACACACACCACAGCCCTCGGCCTCACATTCACCCCCTCCCCCCCCTCCCCCCCCCCCCCCCATCCGCAATAACTTCATTAAAATTGCAAACACATTCTGAACAGGAAACAATGCCATTTTGTTCGCAAATAAATGGGATACATTTAATGCGGATACACAGTAACTGGAGAGCCACAGCGGGTGGATTTATTGATTTATTTATCTTATTTATTTACCTTATGTCTCTGCAATATTGTATGAGTTTGCAAATAAATAAAATAAATAAGATAAATGCGGATACAAAGTAACTGGGGGGGAGAGAGGGAGAGAGAGAGAGAGAGAGAGGGGAGGAACAGTGCAACACTGTATCTGTTTGCGTATAAACGGATACGTTGATGCGGATACGAAGTATCTCTGTTTGCAATGAAATGGGTAAAAAATGTGGATACAAACGGATCACTCACCTGCGGGAGCCACTGGTGCTGTGTGGGGAGGGGGGGGAGCCTTTCGTTAAGGGTGTTAGAGGCGCAAAATAGCACGTGAGAGTCTCCCCCCCCCCCACCCACCCTCCTCTCTCTCTCTCTCTCTCTCTTTGGTTGTGTAACTGCTGCAAAATAAGGTTTCGATTCACTGTCAGAGGGGGAAAAAAATTGAAGTGGTTTCGTTTTCGACTTCGCCAAAACGTCATGGAAGCCGAATGATTGGCGCTGTCACCGTTTTCTTTGGCGCGGACCGGAGCGGACACGGTGGCCGCCGCCTCCGCCGCCGCTCGCTCGTGATCGTCCGCGCGGCGAAATTCCCCGAGAGCCCGCAACTTGGCGCTGCTCCGACCTCCGGCCCGGCTCAGCTCCCAGTTTCGTTGAAAACCCGTCTCGCTTGAGTAGGGAACACATCCGGATCATTTGCCCCCCCTCTCTCTCTCTCTCTCTCTCTCCCACCAGCCACCACCCCCCCCCACCATTAAGGGTTCCACACCCCATTCATTTCTTTTAAATTAAAGCTATTCTTTCAGTTATGTGCTCGGACTCCTTTTTATTGCTGCCGGACACCGCGCCCCCCCCCCCCCCCCGCACAAAGGGCGCAATACAACTGCAAGTTGCTGCACATTTCCCCCCAATCCCTCTGCCTTGCCCCCTTCCTACCCCTCTTTTAGATGGCGGCTGAAGAGCTTTCCTCTTCGACCGTTCTTACGGTCACCTCCCTCACTCACTCCCTCCCTCCCTCCGGCTCGCCATCAGGCTCCGACACGCTACCCCACGCGTGAAAGGCGCTATATAAATGCAAGTTGTTGTTGACTGCCAGACAGTCTCAAAGATGTTACACAGAATACATTCCAGAGTGAATCGACTTATCTGTTTTTTTGTGGGCGAAACGCGGCAGCCAATTGCGCACAGCAATGTCCCACAAATAGCCATGGGTTAAGTGACCAAATTTTTTGGGGGGGAGGTTTTGGAAGGGATTATTGCCCCCGGCAATTGACTAACGACCGGGTTCCTACTTCCTGCTCGGTAAACAGAGACGGTTGGAGTAAGGAAACTTGCCTAAGGTTTCGCCCTGCCTGGGTATTGAACCCCGGTCCTCTCACTTGTGAGGTCGGCGCGCTAACCCCTACCCTACAGGACTCCATTTTTGAATAGTGCCTCAGGATCATTAAAGCTCACCTGAACAGGTACTGACGGGACCTCAGTTCAATGTCTCATCTGAAGGATGGCGCCTCCAACAGTACACACTCCCTCCTAGCTCTTTTAAGCAGCGAGAAAGAGAAAGTACACAAGAGTCAGGAAAACGAAACCCTTGAAACTCCTGCACTGACTAACATTCGTCAAACTGCTCATGAGTCAGCATCTCTCATCGAGTGCAGATATATTCTAGTGCGGATAACACCCAATTGTACAGAGAGACGTTTTGTTACATTCAGAAAAATGGCATTGAATTGCTTAATGGAAAAGTTTACCATTTATCAGCCACTCTGCAACCACTGGGCCTTTTGCACTTGAGGGTGAGCAAGGGTGAGCACTTGAGCAAAATGTTGCATGGCTAACAGGTACCTTTAAGAGGAACATTGCTGTTAAGAGCCAGGCACGTGTAAAGGCTCTACAGTACAGTCAGGAAAACAACAGGGCCTGGAGCAAAGAGTTTCCATTGCTTGCAATAATAATCCTTGCATACAATGCAGAGCCTTATCACGTTGTTGAGATGTCTCAAAGCGCTTCACAGGAGATACTGTAAAGTGGAGTGACTGTGTATTTTAGCATTTTTGCAGTTGCTTTACTTTTTCAGCTCCACCGGTAACAGCATCAATGGCTATTGAACGTGGTGATAAGAGGAAATCCTTCACCAACTTCACTGCTGGTGTGGCTATGACTGGCACTTTGATCATCCTTGGTCATGTCTGGTGCTCCCTATTATTGCGAAGACAACAACAACAACAACAACATGTACTTATATAGCGCCTTTCACGCTCCTTGTGGCTGTCTGTATTTTATGGTCAAACACAGCAGGCAATTTGCACACAGCAATGTCACAACAACCTGGAGTGAGTGACCAATTCCATTTTGGGGCATTATTGATCTAGCACACGGGGAGAAATTCCAGTTGTTATAAATGTAGTAGAAAATGTTTTTGACAGTAAACCACATAACCTAATTATAATATTTGTTACGGTTCTTGGACCCCTATGTGCACACCCATGTTATGGCTCACTTAACCCTCACAGAGTGTACTGGATGGCCTCAGTGTTCAATCCTCTTTCATGAATGCAAATCCCTATAACTAGGTGTAACTTGACGAATGAGTTCTTCCGTATCAACATCTACCAATTGCTATTTAAATTAAAGCAAATTGGGCAGCTTCAGTCAATCAGAGGATTATTTTCAAACACCTCTGCGACCTAGGCTGAAATTCTTTTGTATTCTCTCCTTTGATTTATACAGAAAGCTCGAGAACTCAGCGGAATTTTACTGTAGCTTCAATGAAATCCACAACCCTCGGCATTAAATCTTTAACGACATGACAAATATCAACAAACACAACTATGAAATAACAAACATTAATCACACTTAGACTACACACGCTAGCAGCCACTTGTAATAATTAATAATAATAATCCTTGCATTTTTTTCACGTCTTCTCGACGTCTCAAGGCGCTTCACAGAATAGACTGCAAAGTGAATTGATCATATATTTGTGGGCGAGAGTTAAATACAGTTAATATAAAGTGCACGAGGAACCAACCTCTGACTACTAATCAATCAACAGTCAGAACACGTACCTTCGTTGACATCAGGTAGAAAAAAAGTGACCTGAGCACCTGGTGTTCGTTCTTTTATGGGCATTGAACCCCTCCCCAAATTACGGCACCCAATGGTAATTGTATTGCACCAATTACTTGACAATTAATTGGTGCCTTTTTTATGGTCCAATCAGGTCCTCCCCTCAGGTGCCCAATAGGCGACACGTACACATTCGATCCTTAACTGGCATATTAGAATGGTAAATTACCGCCAAATTGTTGCAACCGAAGCCTTTGGAGACCCGATGGCAAAATAAGCATAAAAAATAACGTTAAATACACAAAAAAAATATGTTTAAAGGGCTACTCGACGTGCATCAGTTCTACCGAATTTCGTCACTTTCCGAGTTTCCCTGAGCGCAATCCGTAATTACTAACCCCACTCACACTGGCTAATGCTTTTAGCGAGACATAAACTTTGCAGAACATATTTTAAACAACAGACAGGCATAGAAAATAATGGGGCGACTGCGTCATAGTACTTGTACAGTAACAGTAAACTAATTATTGTAACTTTAAATAATTGTTTAAGTTTCGCCTACAAAATCCACAGACAATTCACTTTATAATATATTCTGTGAAGCACTTTGAGAAATCTCAACAATGTGATAAGGCGCTATGGCAAATGCACAGATTATTATTATTATTATAGGATATGCTCGAAATGTTGGTTGGAGGAGGTGACACCAAGGGATTTCAGTATAATGGTTGATGAATCGTTAAGGCTTCAGGGTGTTTTAAGAGGGAGGAAGCCTGTCTATAACTTAATGTCTGGTGAGCTAGTCAGGTGGACTGTGATAAGGGCAAGTTGGAGTTGCAAACTGTAAATCAACCAACGACATGATGAGGAACTATATCAAATGCAAGGATTATTATTTCTCTAAGCAAAGGGGTTGCTTTCTGTAAACATTATCACCTTTTATGTGTTTGTGGAGAGGATCGCATCTGTGAGAAAGTACAGTTAGTCAAGGTTGTCTGTGAGAACGTGATTAAATAGCTGCTTATGCTGGACAAAGGATGAACACTCGCTGATAATGGAACAATAATAAGAGATGGGACATTGCTGTGCGCAATTGGCTGCCGCGTTCGCCCACAAATATACAGTCAATTCACTTTACAGTGTGTTCTGTGAAGCGCTTTGGGACATCCTCCCGACGTGAAAAGCGCTATATCAAATGCAAGGATTATTATTATTATTATGTGACTATCTCACTCCCACTCGTGATTGAAAAACATTCAATCGAGAATGCCCGGTACTGATGTGTGCTGTAGGGTACAAAGGCTCGGACACCCAGGAGAGAACAGAGCTGCTTTTACCTCGATCCTCAAGGTCAGACCTCCTCCCAGAGATTCAAGCAAGAAGGGAAAGCCTGTACATAAGATTCAACACTCAACCCAAGAGAATGTTTACCTGCTGCCTATGAAATTTGATATTGTCGCTGTGACAAGTAAACACAATGCTGTCTATTCACTCACAATCCGACTCAATAATAACTGAGTTTTTAAGCATAGAATACAGTTGATTTGGGTTCCTCTGTTCGCGGGTTTCTATTCCAACGAAGGAGCTGTTGCCCTTTGGAAGGGACTCTGCTCTCATTGTAGGCCAAATGACCTCTTTAAGTCCAGTAGTTCCTGATGTATTTATTCTTCCAATTTGGCAGCAATCTAATTGGTTTTCAGCTGACTGGAATCAACTGTAGTTTGGCTGAGGACCAAGAGAGAGGTCAATCAATGCCCTTTTCCTTGTCCATGTGATCGATACATTCCGAGCCCTTACATAAAAGTGATTTATTCAGAAGGCAGAGTGTTCAACTGATCTGAATAATGCAGTGTTATTTTTCTTTTTCTTTTATTTCTTTAAAAAGAACACTGCATTATTCAGACAAGTTTGAACAACATTGATTGGCTTCTGTGAGAGAGAGGATGACGAGAAGACAAAATATGTAATACACACCCACACACACGCAAACATAATCAGAGCACACATAAAAAAAATGCTAAACCTGACTGGTGACAAACTCATTGTGCTATTTGGGGAATGCAGTTAATTGGAGCTGAGTAATCATGGTATTGAACGAACATCTCGCTCTGAGAGTCAGTGCAGGCTTGATGGGACAATTGCCTCCTTTTGTGCTGCAAAAATTTCTATGGTCCCACAGCAGAATTCTACCAGGCAAGTAATTGCCTTTGTAAGCGGGAAATCTGCACCAGTGTGGTACAGGAGTTCAGAAAGTCCTGTTACCTACCCCGCCCCCGCGCCCTCCCCAACCCACTATTTTTTTCTTACAATTAATTTTTATTTTTTGTTGCAGATGCGTCAAGTGTAATAATGTCTGATTCCAGTAACTAGCTCCTCATTCCATCCATCCATCCATCCATCCATCTTACAAAAGATGACAACCGTGAAAATGAATTTTCCAAGTGACTACGAAGCTCGCTGAGATTGTTTGAAAGAGTAATGGCTTGTATTTCCTATAAGAAAATGTTAATTAAAGGTGCTTTTAAGCACACAAACAAGAAAAGACGTCAGAATCTGAGACAGTAGCGTACTTTAATAGGTTATTCACCACCAGGCAGTTGGGAATTTTTACTGTCAACTACACGGTATCATTTTACAGCATAGAAATACGTATCGCAACATGCTTTTCTTAGGATTGCTGAAATTCAAATACAATCTTTAAAAAAAAACAGTCGGAATTATAAGAGGAATCACCCAAATGCATGTGTCGCCATTGTAATCTCACCACGAGGCTAGTTTTGTACTGTGAATAAAACACGAGTGGAACAGTATCAGGCAATCACTCCAGAAATTGAGGTCGTTCAAAGTTTCAGTCGAAAATGCTTACGGATTAAGAGCTATTACCATCGTCTCTGTAAGCAGACTATTTTTGGTAATGACATAAATAGGGGTGTGTTACATCTGTGTTACAAATGATGCTGTAATACAAAAATGCTGCTGTTATTACCGAGTCATTTTCTTAAGAATGCTTCACCATGAAAGACTTTTTTGGGTCGAAATTCCTGTGTCGGCAGAATGCATAGAGTTTCGTTCACAAAATATACATTCAATTCACTTTACAGTATATTCTGTGACGCTATGTCAAATGCAAGGATTATTATTATATTGTAGCGCCTTCGACGCGATTATAACAGCCGCCAAAGGTGCTGCGCATAATACCGACCGGGAATTTCTACCGCTTTTGGAGGATTTGCCACACTTGGATTTCTTAATTAAGGAATCCTGCAAAATTCCTCTCTCCCAGAAACAACGCTCTGGGTGTGCGATTGGAATGTGAATCAGCTTCACAGTGCTGTAAACGGGCAGAAACTGTGCCTCTCTCACTAGCGTAGCTGGTGAAGTGCTTAACCACATGTACAGAATATAAAAGGTAACGTTAGTGCACCTACGGGAGTCCAACGTGCGATATTTGCAAAAGGATTTGTGAATAGCTGATGGCGCGGGCACCCAGATTTCTCTCTCTGGAATCTCGCGCTGACACCAATCTGGGATTGTGGCCAAATTAGGCTCCTGTACCTTCAGGAACTCCAGATCTGCTATTCACAAACTCTCCCAAATATCACAAACTAAACCGTAGTATTGGTTAGAAAAAAGGGTTACACCGCAGACGTGAGACACGCTTACCAAAGCCATGTTCCCATTTACAGTTTATCAGAATTAAGTTGAATAAAGAATGACGGGTGGGGTGGGGGCGGGTGGGTGAGGGGGGGGGGTGAAGAGAGTTTGTGTTTTGATAGATCTAAAGGAGATTGAGTCAGCAAAGTGGAACCTAGTCACCTCTGTGATGTTCGCACCTCTGTGATGCTCATGCAAAGAAGATGGAGAATGGGAATTGCCGCGATAGAGAATCTTTCACGCCAGGACATCCTACCGGTGTGAAAGGCGCTAGACAAAAAAAAAGAATAAGGTTGATCATGTGAGTTGGGTGAACCGTTTGCAAAATGCGTGCGTGTAATGGGGACCCGTTTACAAAATTGACAACCAATGAATCTGTAGAGCTTTCTATTCCATACTTATGGCACCTGTGCCTCTCTCTATCCACGTGGACTCACAGAACCTGTGTAAAACGCAAACGTTTCCACGTTTCTTGTGTAATAAGCATGCAATTTGCACGACTCAATGGCCGTCTCCAAATCATCTGCACGGGTAAACCCACTGAGCTGGAGTGAAGACGTCTCAAAATAAAAATGGTCCTTTTAGTCCAAAAGTGTCTCTTTTGCTGCGAGCCAAAAGCGGGGGATGGAATAAGCTCTGGTATTGTGACTTTTCCCAAATAAATCGAGGTTTAGGGAGTTAGGGATGCAAGTTATTTTTGACGGGCAACCGCAACTAGCGGTAAGGGGCTGGACGCTACTTAACTGGTAGTTGGGTCCGGTAGACACACCGGGGTGAGGGTTACGGGGTTTCTATCGCGATTCTTGTGCTAATCAACGCAACGAACGTGTTGTTCACTTGGGGTGAAGGCTCAGTAGTTCAGGATCAACGTTACACACATACAGATTGGTTAATAGTTTTTTTTCATATAATGGGAGTCAAGACCAGGAGGCGGGGGCCTGTATATATTTCGGGAAGTGGGGGGGGGGCGGGGGAGAGATGGGGAGGTGACTTGAAGGAGGCATTTCAGTAGGACGAGTTTAAACTGCCTTCACAACATACATTGGGCATGGACTGACTAGGGTGGGTGCAGGCAATACCTGCAGCAGGTTGGGGGGGAAACAGTATCACTTCCTCACTTTGATCAGCGGCTGGTAAATTGGCTTGACGATGACATGCAGGTGCAAGGAGTTGTCGATCAGGTAATCCGAGGTGCGTTTCTGGAGGTCGGCCCGCAGCAGGAAGTCCCCCGTCTCCTCCGTGCTTTGGTGGAAGTCGTAGATGTGCTTGACGTACGTCCTGCCGTCCTGCCTCGCCCTCACAAGCACCGTCTTCTGAAAGCTGACCCCGGCGAAGTCCGCACTGTTGGTGGCCGGAGTGACGATGATCCTGGGCCGGACGTCCTCGGGTTTCAGGGCCTGGATTGCCCCGTGGTCGGCGTAGGAGGACCTCAGGCTGATGGGCAGCCACCTTGGGGAGAAGAGGACGTTCCAGGTGACCTTTTTGCTCGTGTCGTAATTGCTGGGCCCCAGTTGGGTTTGGAAGTTACTGCTGCGGTCGTCCCGGGCAGGGTTGTTGATCACCCACTGGGAGCCCCAGGACCCCGAGAGGTAGTTCCTCGGCACGAACAGGCTGCAGTTGACGTCGAAGTACTTGGCGAACTGCAGCGGCGTGGTGGAGTGGAACTGGAACGCCAGGAAGAAGAGATCCTGCACCGAGACGTAATGCTCGCTCATGAGGGGCGACTCCTTCTGGATGTGGAAGAGGTGCTGGGGGGCGATCATGGCGTAGCGGATGGACCTCAGCACGCTGTCCGACACCGCCGTCTCGGGCCGGTTCCTGGCCAGCCACTCCTCCACGGCCGAGTAAATCTCCAGCTCGTTCTCCACCACCAGGTCAGAGCGCTGGAGCAAGGACAGCAGCAGGTCTTGGCTGATGGATTGCCACTCTCCGCTGTGCACCAAGGGCGACAGGTTCCAAGCCAGGAACCTCTTGCACCTCTCCTGGAGCTCCTGGTTGCCCGCCCTGAACGCGTAGTGATACCAGCCCACCACATGCCCTTGGGGCAAGTCGCTGGCCAAGTGCTGGCTCATGTAATCCATGATACCATGCTCCAGGGCAGTCACATGGTACTTGGTGGCCAGCTTGTGTAGGGGCACGGCCTGATCCAACATGATGGTGATCTCGCCGCAGTACAGATACCTGGAGACGAGTAAAATATTCCCTTTGAGTTGTTAAGACTTTGGAACTCCTTGGCTCTATCCCTCCGCCTGGCCCCCGCACCACCCACCCCCGGCCATCTTCAAATCCCACCTTAAAGCCCACCTCTTCGGCCTATGCCTAAACATTCACCGACCACCGAAATCTCTCTCCGGAATTTCCATGTGGAGGTGGGATGCATGGAATTCTCAGTTTGGTTAACTCTTAAAGCACGGTGATGGGTTCCAGCATGTGTCAGACACCCACCCGGCTGACCACCTCCCCAACGCCCCCCCCCCCTCCCACCAGTGAAGTTGTTGCGAGAAGGGGGAGTAGGATTGGAGCGGACAGAGTGTGGAGGGGAAGGGGGAGCGGAACTTTAGGTAACAGGAATTTCAATTTACCTGATGAACTTCTCGAAGAGGGCAGCGCATTCCGCCGTCTCCCGCAACACGAGGGTGGCCACGCTCTGATTGTGTAGCAGGTTCTCGAAGACCTCACTCTGGAGGGTGAGGAGCAGGTAGTGGGTGTGGAAGACCTTCACCTCGTCCGAGTGAACTGTGTGGACTTTGAGGGTGATATCGCTGGTGTTGGAGTCACGCAGCAGGTCCTGGAGGTGGTCGATCAGGGTGGCCGAGTGTTTTATGGTCCAAAGAGAACCCTCGCCATTTAACTCCAGCTTCTGGGCTGTGTGGGAAAAGAAGAAAACGCAACAACCTACAGTCACTACACTTTACAGTATATTCTGTGAAGCGCTTTGAGACGTCTCGAAGATGCGATAAGGCGCTGCATCAAATGCAAGGATTATTATTGTTATTATAATGCAAATGGTCTTTTTTTAAAAAAAAAATAGATATAAAACCATTCAATTTTCACTTTCCAAATGCAACAACAACACAAAAAAAACACAACCAACGAGGGGGAAGGGAAGGAGAGGACAGGGGGGGTGGGTTAGGGAGATCGTTAAGAAAGTATATTCGGAGTCTAAAATCTTACAACTGTTACTTCCTTTACACACACAAATAAGATACACAAAATTGGATCGATATAACCAGCGTGAAGCAAAAAAATCTTAATATCCTAACAGGAATCTATCTCATTTGCAGAAAGATGTCTTGTACTAACCAGACCAGCAAGGAATTAAAACTACGCCACTTTTGTTGTTGAGCTGTCGCACACTTTAATGAACTTTAAAACGCTTACGCTGTAAGACTCCAGGTGGCAAAAAAGGAACCGGTGCAAACGGATATTATTGCCAAATCTAACGAAGTGTTGAAAATAATTTATGGCACAAGTCAAGAAACATTTCTATCAATATAATAAACCGAGATTATTTAACACTGCCGTGCGCAATTGGCTGCCACGTTTCGCCCGCAAAATACGCAGTCACTACACCTTACAGGATATTCTGTGAAGCGCTTTGAGGCTCCTCAACGACGTGACAAGGCGCTGTGTCAAACGCAAGGATTATTGCTATTTATAAATCAAGATTTTAGATGCTCCAGATTCATTCTGTCAGGGATTAAAACGCAAGGATTATTTGAAGGATTATTCGACGTTCAAACACATCTGTCAGATGCTGGGAGTGCAAACTACTGCTCCCTCGTCTGGCAGTAGGGAGAAGGTGCCTCAGTCATGAACGATGACAAAGAAAATATCAATTCCATTGGCGCGAGTGTTACGCGAATGTTTTTGTGGAGAGCAGGATTATTAAACTTCAGTGATCTGAACTGCAGATCTCTATTTACTCTTCGCCGTTGGAGTCAACAAGCGTAAACCCCTTTGCTAATCAGTAACTCAGCCAGCCTTCAAATGCGTCCTGCCTGCCTGGTCGGGTGGACTTCAAAGGTACCATGACGCTACTTGAAAAAAGCAAATGGAGCTTCTCTCTCTTCGGGCCAACAGATAAAATCGGTCATTCACGTCACCCCTGTTTTGAGGGGATATTAAATCCTGTGAAGCGTTTTGAGACGTCCTTCCTGCGCGAAAAGCGCTAAATCAAAGGATTTAGCGAGGATTATTATTATTATTATTATTATTACCATTATCATGGGTTACTGTCACAACCGGTAGCTGTACTGGATGAAATTAAGATATGTTAAGCTCTTGGATGATAACGAAATTCATTTTTAAGAGCTGTGGTTCTGTGCTAAGAGCTTCGGGTCGACAACGACGACATCAAATGACATTTGTATAGTGCCTTTCGCGTCGGGAGGACATCCCTAAAGTGAAGGGCAGCAACATGGCACAGCATATGTTCGAGCTTACAGTGGTCCTTTCATTGGGAACTTGGTTCAGCTCCAGGCCTGAGCTCCAGCTAAGCTCAATGGCTCTGGAGGGGATTCAGTGAAAGGCATTTGGGAGGATGTTAATCAGTTTCCACCAGACATAACTTAACCCCAAATTGACTTGAAGTCAGCAATAGCTGTGAAATCCCAACCACCCCAACTTTCACTGGCACCGATCCTCCAGATGAGTTGGTCACTTCACCTCACGGCCTCACGTGGAACCTGGTGAGCCCCGGCCCGCTGGCTACCAAGTTTGCCTACAGAAAAATACTCACTACATAGATTCATACAGCACTGTACCGCACTGCAACAAGCCATTCGCTCTTTATACTCCACGAGTCTTCACCCACTCGCAAACATGTTGCCACGTTACATGCCATATGGGGATTCCATTGCCAGACATGTCACCCTGGAGTCAATTCAGCCCCGAAGAGACCAGACATAGTAATTATCCACACATTTGGAGGGAGGGAGCTATTCAGCCATTGTGTTGCTGCTGTTGCTCTTTTTCTAAATCACTCATTAAAAAAAATTAATTCCACTTTCCAGCTCTGTCCCTACATGTTTTGCCCCCGTAATGTTTTTTTCTCTCTCTCTCACTGCTCACGTGCCTGTGTCCATTTCCTTAAGGAACGATCCCATTGTTCCAGCCTCACTCAACAACAATTGCCACCTTTGGCTCAGCCTCAGAGTTTACGCTGCTCCTAAAATGAACATTGATGATACCTCAACTGAAAACTGGTTGAAAGGGAACATCTTAAGCGTTTGAAGCAGTCACGAGATTGGTTCCGATGAAGAAGACCCTTTGACCCATTTGGTCTCATCCCCCCATGCAAAGCCACCTTATCAAACTGTTCTTTAAGTGAATTCCAGTGTCCTGGCCTCAACCACCTGACCAGGTTACTTGTTACCAGTCGTTAGTCCTCCCGGGCAAAGAAACACTTCCCGGGGTCTATTCTCAATTGCCCTTTGCAACCATAAACCTGCGTCCTCTTGTTCTACCATCTCGGTGCATCCTAACATATTGTTCAACAACGACAACTTTCATTTATGTAGCGCCCCTCGCGCAAGATACATTATACAAACTTACCTTTGGCATTTCTATCCAGAGGTCCACTCCCCTTCAACCTGTTATTCTCTCTCCTCCCCCCCCCCACCCCACCCCAGACACACACCATTTCCAATCTGATAACCGCGATATAATAACTATTAAACTGACCAACCGTTGTGGTCATATACAACTCAGTGAATATATGTCCTGCATTCCTAGGTGCAACCATTTTAAGGGGTGGGGGGGAAAAAAACACAAAACAAAAGGATTGTAACAATTATTTTATTCAGAAACTACAGCTAGTGTATAAGGTTGAACAAGATGGGTCTACATGTGGCAGGCTTGACTACCTCTGGCTTTGACAGTTTGGAAGCTCTGACCTGAGAGGTTTTGACAGAGCCCAGTGATACATGCAAGAAGCTTCTCTGCTGCCAGCGATATCTACTAACGAGACGTGGGAGGTCAGGCTATCTATCCGACTGCAAGGTTTACCATGTGTCAGCCTGGCAAAGCGGAGAGTGTTCTGACTTAGAGCACTTTCCACTCTGAGTCAGAAGGTTCTGGGTTCACATTGGGACTTGGAATCACACAGTCTAAGCTGACATTCCAATGCAGCGCTGGGGGGGTGGGGGGTGGTTGCATTGTCGGAGGTGCCATCCTTCGGATGAGATGTTAACCGAGGTCTCATCTGATTGTTCAGGTGGATGCGAAAGATTCCGTGGCGCAAATTGAAAAGAGAGTTTCTCTCCCGGTTTCCTGGCCAACAATCCCCCAAATAAAATTTGGTGACTCACTTTGTGGCTGTTTGTGGGACATTGCTGTGTACAAACTGGGTGCTGGGTTTCGCCCACAAAATATACAACCAAACCACTTTTACAGTGTATCCTGAGACTTCTCAAGGACACGATAAGGCGCTGTGTCAAATGCAAGGATTATTATCGTTATTACTATCCTGTTGACTAAGGGCTTCTGCATCCCCTTTAGTCATCCCTATTTTGCGACGTTCCAGGGACTAGCCGAGGGATGGGATTTGCTGCCTGCCACCTTACACTTTGCTGATGTCAGGAAACAGGCTTCCGTCCGGGTAACAATTACTGGAAGCATTACCCTGGTCTTCATCCTCTCCCGCTCCCGTGTTCCTGTCCGCAGTCACTGGGGCCCATTTTGTCGTGTCTTCCCGTGTAGTCAGAAGACCTGAGTTGTCTGACTGAGTGAGAACCTTCGCATGGGTGTCTGGGCTGAATCTTCCTAGTGACTTGCTGAGACCTAGGGGAAACATAAAGGAGACTGCAGAAGATGGACCGAGGGCAATACTTCCAAAAAGACTTACAAAAAAGAACGTGGCTTGATCTGAGGACAGAACGTTACAGCTGTAAAACCCAAAGTACCTTTTAAGCCACTGCCCCCTGGCTACCTTATGTTGTAAGTGGGTGGAGCTTGCTTGGATGACTTGAATTAAAGTTTTTTTTTGTAGATTTCCATGAATTTGGTCGGGCTATCAGCAAAGATAATGCACTCTTGTATGGCTCAGGCCCATCCCGCTGGGCAAATGTGTGAAGCTGAAGGTAGCGTCCAATAATAAAACCAGACTTACCCTTGTAAGATTTCTCTCTGAAGGCCTTAGTTCTAATTGAAAAGTGGCCTCTGCAGTGGACAGAGCTCCTGGTTTCCATGTGAGATCCTCATCAGTGGATTAGCCCCGATTATGCACCTGACATCATCAATGACACCCATCCAACGCTCCTTCCTCCCGATCCATCTGATACCTCACGGGCGACATTTTTCGTCTGGGTAGTCTTCTCCCAAAATCAAGCCTGGGCGATGTTGAGTTTGGGTGGACGCTTCTCCTTAACCTTCTCATCTCGACCGTTTCCTTGTTCCTCAATGAACTCCACTTCCTTGTCCAGCACATTACACGAGCTGACCTCATCAACTTGTCCCCAAAACAGCTCCCCCCCCTCCCCTCCTGCTCCTCTACCTTAGCTCTCCATACCTTTGCTGCATCTCTGGGGCCTGTTTTTGCCCTAACCACATTGATCCATCTCTCTGAGGTAGATTCAGGTAAATAAACAGAACCTCTCCTCAGCAACACAAAGTATGAAATACGGGAGCAAAACCCACGGATGCATCCCTGGCAATTAACAGGATGTGAACTCTGCAATAATTCCCAGATTGGAGATGCTCACCTGCTCCTATGGACCTCTATAGGCGACCATGACGGCAATTGACTCTCCTCCCCCATTTTAATAGGCATGGCCTTCACCAACTTTGATGTAATCTTCGTCGGAGAGTCATCGAGCAGCATAACGACTGAATGGATGAGGCACCAGAACATTTCCTATTCTTTAGACCCGACTAGTGATGCCCTCAAACTCCTAGCACCGGAGGCTGATGTGGGATACTGATGCTTCACTGTTACCCTAGATCAGAAACCAAACTTTGGCCAACAGGGACCAGGACTTCAGACGTCCCTCCAAATGGCCAACTGTCCTGCTCCATCGCGGAAACAGTGCTTTGATCTCAGATCCCTCCCCGGTGCTTACAGACATAGGAGCAGGAGCCCAGTCAGCCATTCTATTAGATCACGGCCGATCTGTACCTCAACTCCATTTAACCGCCTTTGCTCTCCATCCCTTGATGTCCTTACGTGAGCAATTTATTTTTTGCGATCGAAGCTTCAAAAATTCCACAACCAGGAAAGGACCAGGAACGATGTTACCTGTTATTGGATGCGTCTCCTGTCGCCGTTCCATTCCCACCTCCCTCTAACTCACCCCACACTCCCCCACCACCCCACCCCCCCCACTCCCCCCCAGACACTCCCCTTCAGCAGAGGTGATCGCGAAAGTAAAAGGGTTGGTTGGCAACGGCGAAAGGTCACATTACCGAGAGCGCCAGGAGGTAACAGTGAAAAGTGCCGGAAAGCTTGAAATTCGGTTTGGCACTGGCACCTCAGTCGCCCACCCCCTCCCCACACCCACCCCCCACACCCCGCACCCCCCACACTCCCCCACCCCCTTCCCCTTCTGCGCACCATTAAAGCAGCATAAGCAGATCTCTCTTTCATCACAGTGTAACAAACCCAGAATATTCAACGAATATCACCAGTGGAAGCTGAGAGTGTTGCAAACTTCACTGTCGGAGCTGCCAAAAGCGAATAAAGAACCATTTAGACAGTGGGGTGCATCGTTCTTTTAACTTGCCCCAGTGCCCAGCTCGCTGACAAGGGAGGGTTAGCAGCTGTGAGTGGATTAAATGCACCAGAGCATCAATTATGTAGACTGATACAGTCTTTGAATTAATACGGTGCTAATACTAAATTATTAACACATTTTTACGAATGAATGATTCACCCACAAAATATAGAGTCTCTACGCTTTACAGTGTATCCTGTGAACCGCTTCAAGACGTCTCGAAGACGTGATAAGGTGCTATATCAAACGCAAGTATTATTATTATTACATATATAATGATTATTAATTAATAATTCCCATTAATGCTGAAAGAGCTGCTAAACCTGTACTGAGTGAGTAAGACAGCGTCGCATCGCTTTAAAACCTCAGCTTCGCAAAACTTTCCCCAGTTAATCATCGTAATTAGAGTGCAGAAGCTTTATGTCTCAAATATGTCGAAAATAGACAATAGACAGGCAGCTAAATGCACAAAATAAGCTAACATAAAACCCCATCACTTCCAGTGTTTGAACCCATGCGAAGTTTTGCACTTGCAAAAACATGTAACATTTTTCGATGGGGCGGAGGTGGGTGGGGAGGGGGATAAGGAGAGAGGGGGTTGGGGGGGGGGGGGCGGTGGTGGGGGCAAAGAGGCAACATAGTCAAGCAAGCTAGAGGTTCTCAATTCATATTCCATTCCTTTAACGTATCACGTGGAATCTTTTTCCATTGACAAAGCAGGGCAGTGTTTTTTCGTACACACGACTCCCTCTTCCCTGTACCAAAGGGAACAAAAACAGAATTGCCGCGTGGAGGGAAGGGGAGAGGAGGTGAGGGGGAGTGGGGGGGATCGCAAAGACAACAGATTGCTCCTACCTCCTTCGGCCACAGCGCTCTGCAAAGCCAAGGTAGCGAAGAGAATCAAACTCTTCATTTTCCTCTGGATTTCTCACCGCAGAAGGGTTTGGCGTCCGGCGATGGCTACAAACTCACTCGGAGTAGGATGTGGATCGACGGATCTTTATTTAGGGCAACGCTCTTTTGTCAGCTACTCCTCCCGGGCAAAAGACTTTTTCTTATTGGTAGATGCTGTCACTCGCCGCCATGGTAACTTGGTCAAATCCCTGGTCCTCTTCACTGCCATCCAGTGATGCGTGAGAACCTGCACAAAGGACGGAGGAAAATAATACAGATACACTCAAACACACACACCACACACACTACACACTCACACAACGCTCAGGCTGAAACGTGAGTGAATTCAGAAACCCCAGAGGCACACAGAGATGAGCCTTTCTCTCTCTCTCTCTCTCTCTCTGTTTCCCCCACCCCATCCCCTCCTCTCCTCCTTTCAACCGTGGCGGAGAGGAAAGAAACTCGAAGCCGGTTCTTTCTTTCGCCGGTCGAGAGATAAAAGAAAAGATTAAATGTCGATGGACGCTTCATTTTTAAGTATTAATTCAGTTGAAAGAGACAACGCCTTCTCTGCGACGAGGGTTCACACAGCAAGAGCAACTTGCATTTAAATAGCGGGATAGCGTCTCGGAGCGCTTTACGGTCGGGTAGTACGTGGGGAGAGGTGTCAGCTCCGCGCTCTGACCTCTGAGCCGGCTAATCGATGTTAGATCAGGTTTGCAACACAAATGGGTCTGGGCTGACACTGTGACATGTGCGAAGGGTTTATTGAATAGCCGTCTGTTCTGAACTAATTAAATTTGGCAGCATTTCACCACTGGCTGCGAGAGCTGGATAATTCAGTTACTCAAAGCCCTGCCAGCCAGCCAGCCAGCCGTGGGTATTATTCCACACGGTCACAAAAGAATTAAAGGGTGAGGTGGGGTTGGGCAGGTGGGGGGAAGGAGAGGAGAGGGGATAAATTCTCAACGTGGAGTTTGACGAGAACGTGGAATCCTCGGCCACAAATCGCGCGGGAGGACGAGTCAGTCCGTCGACCCTTTGAATAAGGGAAATCGGTCAGACCCCCTTCTCCAAGAGAAGGAAGATCGCAACGACAATAATCCTTGCATTTGGTGCAGCGCCTCACCACGTCGGAAAGACGTCTCAAAGCGCCTCGCGGGATTTTCACTGTGAAATGGAGCGACTGGGCATTTGTAGGCAAACGCGGCAAAAGAAGTCACCCTCTTCCCCCCCCCCCCGCTCCATCCTCGCCACTTTGTCCTGAAACATTAGTTCGGCTTCTTTGAACAAAAGCGTGGAGCTCGGGTGACAATGTGAGCAGCACAGACGGCCGGACAGTGGGGGTTAGAGCAGGGCTCCCAGACCCCTGGGGGCCACACTCCTCTCTCGATTGGAACAAATTGCGCAATTGAATCATCCCGACTCCCCGCTGACAACCTCTGCTCTATCCTGGGGTCGAACGAAAGGCTGATGTGCAGTTACCTTCCTGGCTCTCAGCAGCAGTTGGCAAATCACTCTCTAATTTGAAGTGTTGAAGAGATTCTGTGTGTGTGTGTGTGTGTGTGTGTTGTTGCAGGGGAGAGGCGGGGGGGAGGTTTTTTTGTGGGGGTGGGGGAAAAATACTTAAAAAGAGAAGGAACCAGCAGTGCTGTTCTCCGTTCAGTTTGCCACAGGGCAGCCAAAGAGTTCTAACATGAAATTAAAATCAGACTCAGTTCAATCGATCCACAGAGCACACAAATAACACCCCAAGGAATTCCACCGCGAGTGGCATTTCAAATGACTCCAAAGGCAGCAGCTTCCAGAGCAATGTGATAACAATAATTATGATTATTCATTATAATAATTGCTGGGTTTGATGCAGAGCCTCGTATAACGCTGTCAGAACTCCTTCCCCATCAGAGACAGTTTCTCCCCACGTTCTGGCTGATGATGCCCCAACAATATTCCCGACACAGTTGTTATTGGGGCATCGCTGTGTGCAAAATTGCCAGCTGGGTTTGCCTACAAAAACTCACAGTCACTAACAAGAATATTAACATTTGTCACATTTGACACAGTGCCTTTCACATCTCTAAATGTTTTATGGGATAGACTGTAAAAGTCCAATGTTTGTATTTTGTAAGCAAACGCAGCAGTCAATTTGCGCACAGCGACGTCCTACAAACAGCTAAGGATTGAGTGAGTAATTTTATTTAGGGGATTGCCGGGAGAGAGCAACTCTCTTCTCTTTTCTAATAGTGCCTCGTGTAGGAGTCACTTGAACCTGTGACCCTGAGGTGAAGTAAGGACCGACACAAATTCTTCAATCAATTGATTTTGATGAATGCAAATTAGTAAGGTTATATAAGTTACAATCAGTTAATCAACCAAAGGTGATGCTTACGCATAGTCAGTACAATTCACAACGAGTAAAGTTGGCTGGACCAATGTTGTGGAAGAGATGGAGGAAGAACCAACTTGACCGACTAATACCAAGATTGTTTTTTTTAAGTGTCGATCGTTGATCAGTATTTTGATGGTTGCCTCGATCTTTTCCTTCGTGTAAATCCTTTTAAGATGCCTGGTCACGGGTAGTTAGTCCGTTCTCCAAACCCCTGCTCTTCTAGGCTCGTTGAGAATTATCCTTTACGTTTATATCTTGTTAAAAACGATACGCGTCGACCTTGTAAAGACGCCTGGCGTCGGCTCCACAACAACATCTTTGTCTCCAGTTCGTCTCAAACAGTTCGTCTGAGTACCGCGGATTTTACACTGATCCTGTAGCAACAGCGTCTTATCAACGATGACGTTGAAACTTTTTGTTCTGTAAATGTGCTTCCAACCCGTTTTCCGTTATCCTTGGCCTCCGTGCATAAGTAAATAAGTCCATGAGTCATGGCGATTTTTTGGGACCGTTTAAAACAGTTCCACCCGAACAAGGTCCTGGGATTAACGTCTCATTCGAAGGACGGCACCTCCGTCCGACAATGCCACACAACACCAGCGAGTCGGAGTGTCAGCTTAGACTTAGCGCTCGAGACGGTTCGAAGTCAGAGGCCCGCCTTCAAACAAAAGTATTGTTTATGATGGAACTAATATGAAGAGACGCTGAAATTAAAAGTTAGCTCCTTCAGGGGGAAAGGAGAAGACACACTGGTTTACAATTGGTGGATAAATCTTCGCAACGTGCATGTTTCACAGAAAGCAGCGTTGCTGGAGGTTTATCCGCCTTCAAATGATGATCACCAATGCCCTCGCACAAGCTGACATTACCAGCTGTTGCAGTAACACAGAGGCACACCGCGTGTGACATGTGCAAGGCTTCATTTCGCCACAGCGGGTTAGCGCACACACTGCGTGAGGATGATTATTGTTATTTACTTATTTATTTACCTATTTGTTATAAGCTTTCGGCTGCCGGAGGCACTTGTGTCAATGGGTCGCTGTTTACAAATCACTGCCGAACTGTGAACATCGTCGAAATGTCTCACAGGGTGAGCGCTTCACGGGATTTATCACGGAGTGTAGCGATTGTGTACCGCGGGCTGACGAGGCAGGCAATTTGCACACAGCGACGTCCCCGCAAACAGATATGAACCCACAACCCTCCCCCCCACCCCACCACCCAACCTCGAGGCGAGAAGAGTCAGAGAGAAACAGAGCGTGTGAGCGAGCGACCTGTGGCTGAGACCTGTGGCGTGCACAGAAATCTCTCTAAATTGCCACAGTTCATTTACGCATTAAACGGTAATTACGTCAAGCGGCGACTGAAAGGGCGAACAAATTAGCCGCCATTTAAATTGCAGAACAACACCGACCCCCAACCCGCAAATAGCCCTCCCACCCCCACCACCACCACTGACCCACCCGCCTGCTTGCCCCCTGCCATCCACACGGTATTAAATCGAATCAGCCCGTTACAATCACTTGCGAGGCTGCTGTGAGGTCGAGCATAACAGGCAGCGAGGCGACCATCCTTATTTATAAGATTTCAGCCTGGCTTCGCATTTGCTGATCAAGCACAGGGGCTAAAACCAACAAGAGCCCTCTGTGCCTGACGCTCTCATATCTTGGCGACAGCATGGATAAATTGCATTCAGCCTCATTTGCGACGCTCTGGACTCTCACCTGCCTCTCCGGCTCCACCTCTAATTGCCTGCGTCGTTCCAGCCCTCCCCCCTTCTCGTCGCAGGCGAGCGGGCGAGCGAGCGAACGAGCGAACGAGGCAGCGGAGAAATAGTTTCTCTGTTTAACACAACGTTTCTGTCTTGCGCCCGACATCCTCCGCTCTCGGGACGCAGGTTATTTTGCTGCTGCCCGCTTCAGCCCTTTACGGCTTGCGAGGACGAGGAGAGGAGTTTGGGGTCAGGAAAGAAGAGTCTTTTGACTGTTCGTTTTGTCCAGAGATCAGAGGCAGAACGGAACATCTTCATCACTGCCGCAAACAGGTATTAAGCTTAAGAGAGATGTGAGTTGCCTGCACCAACCTGGACAGGGAGAGAGTACAGCCAGCGAGACAGTGAGCAGCTGAGGTGAGTGGCTTCTTTGCTAACGGTTTATTTTCTAACTCGGCTCCTCGTCAGCCCAGATTATATTAAAACCAACAGATTTGGGGAACGGCCGAAAACACGAGGTTGCCGCAGTTTTACAGCAAAATCGCTCCGAGACACTCTCCCGACGCGAAAGGCGCTGTATCAAATGCAAGGATTATCATCATTAAAAAAAAATTTGATCACTCAATCCACGACTGTTTGCGGGACACTGTTGCCCGCAATTGGCTGTCGCGTTTCGCCCAGAAAATACGCAGTCAATTCACTTTACAGTGTATCCTGCAAAGTACCTTTGAGACGTCTCAACGATGTGATAAGGCGCTATGTGAAAAGCAAGGATTATTGTCATTATTATTGTTATAACAACGCCCTTTCCAGATGGATCTGTATGTTGACATAATAGAGGAATAAATGGGCGGAAAGGGGACGAAAGGTCCCGATTGTATAAAACTGGTTCAATGGAGAACAATTCACTCTCCTTCATGATCAGTATTTTGTCACAGTTTAGCTCAGGTTGTCTAAGTCCCATCTCCATCACACGCTGTAGCGGCACATCGTGGATTTCTGAGAATCGTCAGCTATTTTTGCTGCGAGCCGACAATATAGCCCTAATTAGAATAATAATCCGTGCATTTAACATCCCATCTGCAGTCGTTTTTGTGTTTTTTTTTAACAGTGTTTGATGTTCTCAGTAACTTGAAGGAAGCCCAGAGCATCTCCACGGGTCTCACACTGGCCACTCGCACGGTTGCTCCCCAGGCGCTCGCATGTTCCTGCCCACGGGGGAAATGATCGAAGGGGAAATGAGCGAAGGGCACAACGCCACCCCACCGGGCCCCTCGCAGGGAGTGGGGGCAGCGGAGATGGAGAAATCGCCCTGCGTCCTGGGAGTCATCCCGCTCGTTTACTACAGCGTCCTGCTCTGCCTGGGATTGCCTGGTAAGTCAGCCACAACAACAGTTTGCCTTTATATAGCGGTGTAGAGTCCCGGAGTCCAAGAGCCAAGGCTTCAGATCGCTGTCCTACACACAACACCAAAGCAAAGAGTTTTTTTCGAACAGCGCCGATGGGGTCTTTAACGTCCACCTGAACAGGCACAGGCGGGACCTCGGTTTAACGTCTCATCCGAAGATTTGGCTGCGGGCTGCTGCCTGCTGCGCGCGCTTGCGTACAAAGTACACAGTCACTACACTTTATTATTATTATTTAGACTCAGAATTGCAGCCCAATTTGTACCCCTCTCCCCCCGCAAAAAAAAAACTGTTTCAAAATTTCCACGAGACTACAACTAAAACGAATTACATTTACGCGGCGCCTTTCATGTCGGGAGGACGTCCCAAAGGGCCGGACAGTCAAGGGTTTGCACCCGAGCTGAGGGTTGGCATCAGGCGGCGTGGGGGGAAGGGAGGGTGGGGGGGTTTGGAACGTGACCGAAGGCGCGGTCGAAGAGGAAGGTCTTGAGACGGCAGCAATCAGCAGTGATTCATGACGATGTTTCAGACAGAGAGATCTTATTACCAGCCAGAGCTTGTACTCACGTTGGCAGGAACATTGCATTTGGTGCCTGCGAATTGAATTTATCTCAGGTCTCCCATCCCCTCTCACACACACGTGCACACAGACACACACGCACACACACACACGTGCACACAGACACACACACACACACACACACACACACACAGAGCTCCCGACATCAACGGCTGATTCATCACTTGCTGTGTTACAGCCATTCGAATTGGATCACAGAAAGTGGTAAAGCAATCAGACGAAATCAGAGCAAAGGAGCTTCACTGACCCAACGGGTGGAAACGACAACATATTGGGCGGGTGAGGGGGGTGTGGGGTTTGGGGAGGCAATGAGGTGGGGTAGAAATCTCACCCGGGTCTAGATTTACGTACTATTTAACGAGGCGATAAAACGCAAAGATTATTATTATTATTGTTATTTCAGAGGGTGCAGAACTTTGCAAATTGATGAATTCAGCCTTAACTTTCAAGTCGTCTTTTCTTTTAACCCCCTTTGTTCTTGAAAGAAATACCCCTTCTTTGCCCGTTCCTCCAATCACACGGATTAAGAAATTCTGGACTCCTGGAATTCTGAAATACTACGTTGTTAATAAGAGTCAAACGGACTTTATTCCCGGGGATGAATCTCTACCCGATCAATCTGGTGTGGAGACAGACCCCCCTCCCCTAAGCACGGTGATGGGTTTCCGTGTGTGTCAGATACACCCCCTCACCCCACCTCCCCGGCTGACCAAAAAGAAAAAGAAAACAGTCTTGCAGGTTGAGTGTAATTTCAGAGCTCGGGGTGGGTGGGGGTGGGGGGGGCGGGCAGGCTGCAGGCACGTGGTGTGTGAATGGATGGAGACGTGTGTGTGTGTGTGTGTGTGTGTGTTTTTGTTCGATGGTCGAGTGTCTGACTGGCTTATCGTTGCCACATGGACGTGCTGATGTGAAGGTACATTCTGTTCCCATCAAAACACGGTCCAGCGGAGCTCAGTGTGTACTCGCGGTAACTTTCTCTCTCCTTTACCCTCAGTGAACGTCCTGAACACGGTGGTCCTCTCCAGCCTGGCCGCCAAGACCAAGAAGTCCTCCTATTGCTACCTGCTGGCCCTGTCGGCCTCCGACCTGCTGACCCAGTTCTTCATCGTGTTCGTGGGCTTCATCCTGGAGGCTGGGCTGCTGGCCCGCGAGTTGCCGGAGGCAATGGCCCACAGCGTGAGCGTCATGGAGTTCGCCGCCAACCACGCCTCCATCTGGATCACTGTTCCGCTCACCGTGGACCGCTACTACGCCCTGTGTCACCCGCTGAGGTACAGAGCCGTCTCGTACCCCGGCCGAACCTACAAGGTCATAGCCACCGTCTTCGTGGCTTCCCTCCTGACGGGCGTGCCGTTTTACTGGTGGTCGGATCTGTGGCGGGTCAGGAGCCCCCCCACCCCGCTGGACCAGGTGCTGGTATGGACCCACTGCTTCATCATCTACTTTGTGCCGTGCACCGTGTTCCTGGTGGTGAACTCGATCATCGTCCACAAGCTCGGGCGCAGGAGGGCTCCCAGCGGGCGTTCGGGCAAGACAACGGCCATTCTCCTGGCGGTCACTACCGTCTTCGCCATCCTCTGGGCCCCTCGTACTGTGGTCATCATCTACCATCTGTACGTCTCCTCGGTCAACAGGGACTGGAAGGTCCACCTGGCCTTCGACCTGGCCAACATGCTGGCCATGACCAACACCGCCGTCAACTTCTTCCTGTACTGCTTCGTGAGCAAACGCTTCCGAGTCACCGTCAAGGAGGTCGTCAGGTCGTTCTGCAAGAGGTGACCAGCTGCCCTCCTGTGGGTGTGTGTGTGTGTGTGTGTGTGTGATGGGGTTGGGGGGTAGAGAAGGGGGAGCGAGAGAGAGGAGAAAGCCTTCAGATGGATTTCCGCGACGTCTCCTCATGTCGTGAGCTTCTCGTGTCCGCTGTGCGTTTGACCTCCGCCGTGAATCAGCGGCGCAGAACGGGAGCTGCCACCCCAAGGCAGAGACATCCCGACCCCCGTCGTTTGCTTGTGGTAAACGGTGCCGTTTGCACGTGTCGTAAATGCTATTGTACTGGAAGTGAAACGTGGCAATAAACACCGTCGGCGCTGGGTTCCCGCGTTTGTAACCAAGTTTGGCCTCGTCTTTCTCGACGCTCGCAGGCGGACGGGCGGAGAACGATGGGGCCCGGTTTCGGGGAGCAATTTTCAGGACAGACACCGGGAAGTTTGTCTTTACCCAGAGGCCGGGTGGCGGACTGGCTCCCCATTGGGGCTCGGGATTGTCAGGGGAAAATGGGGGGGGGCGGGGGGTGGAGGGGGAGAGGGAGGGTGGGGAGGCAGCAGGTCGGCACGAAACATCCATTGAACTAAGCTGCGCCGGGCGGGAAGTGCCGGGAGCAAATCACAGGGGCCGCTCGGGAAATTTCACAGAAATTTCACAGTCCGCCCCTGCCCGAGGGTGATTTAACAACTATAGCCACCAAAGTTCCTCCTCAGTTTCAGCCGTAAAACCGTTTAAACGTTCAGAATGGGCGGAAATTACGGAGCATTCTAATTCGGAAAGCCGGTTTTCCCCGCAGTTCTTAAACACAACCCCACCCCACCCCCAACCCCCCCCCCACCCCCCCGACCCCCACCCACCCCACTTCCCCACCCTCAAGAAATGTTTTGCAAATAAAGTCCGAATGCATTCGCAGAGTCTTTCAATACACTTGATTAAATTCCGAAGGCTCAAGACCGACGGGAAATATTCCGGACTCCGGGAATATTTTCGGTGGCCGCATTTGCCAACAAGGCCACCGGAGGGAGACGCTCCTCCTCCTCGTTGCGTGATCCTTATGGGGGACGTTTTTACTCGATTTGTTTTGGGTCAACCGAGTGTCCGATACGTGTGTGGAAACCCATCACCGCTGCTTAAGAGTATCCAAACCGAGCTGAGAATTCCATGCATCCCACCTACACGTGGAAATCCCAGAGATAGATTGGTGGGATGGAATGCGCATTCTCTCTCTCTCTCTCCTGGAGGGATGCATCCTGCTTACCTAATTCCGGAAAGTATTAGGCGCGGGTTGGCAAAAGACGAGGCTCGGGGGGGCAGCCCGGAGCATGCGTTGGGGGGACTGCTGGAGTCTAACCAGCTAAAACCGCACAGCAGTGAGGGCCACTGCTCCGTGCTGCTGAACCTCCGAACCGATTTGCACACAGTATCGCAAGGTTATAAAAGTCAGATTTAATTCACGGGTAATAACATGGACTTCGCTGAGCAGCACGTGCGCTGAAGACAGTCAGATCCACCCGATAATTACCAGATCATAGAAGGTGTCTCTCTCTCTCTCTCTCTCTCTGTCTCTCTCTCCCATCACATCCGGACCATTGCAAACAAAGGATCAAACGCACTCGGTATGAAAGCGGAGCACAGGACCCAATGTGTGACTTACCCACAGCGAAGGGCGAAGGTGGGAATAATAATCCTCACGTTTCACACAACCCCTCGATCTTCCAAATGTCTCCAAGCAGGCGATGCTTCGAACAGCCATCTGCGGAAACTCATTTCGCGTCATGTTACAACTTACATTGATATCGTGCCTTTCACAAGCTCCGCCACTGCTGAGCGCTCCGACACCCCTGCCCGGGTGAAGGCCCGGCGACGTGAACGCAGGTTGTTTTAGTTTCATGTCGGTGGGGGGGCAACGTCTTAGAGAGTGTCAAAAAAAAAGTTCGATTTTTTTTTTTTTGCTTTTACGATTTTTAGTAATTTACCAAAATTTCCCTGGCGAGGAAGTCTGTGCCTATTGTACAATCCTTCAACCCGATGGTGGGCAGATGTATCTCAGACCTGCACTGAATCTAAGCGTCCCGAGACACGAAAGGCGCTATACAAGTGCAAGTTGCTGTCGTTGGATCAGTCTGGGCCGGTCCACATACAGGGGTCTCTCTGGAAGTGCTGTCAACGTGTGGAAGGCATGTGATTCCCACAGGCAGCCACGAGATGGAGGTAATTGCTTAGCTGACGTGATACACGTGTACGTATCTTTCCTCACTAATAACCTGTAATTATAAACAAGTCGCACAAGTAAATATAAAGTAAAGAAAGAAATGTTGAAAGAGTTTACAATGAAGGGTATTTGACTCGATAACTTGGTCCAAGAGGGGTAATAAGAGTCCCAGAGGATAAATACTACAGTTTAAACCTGTTTAGAACAGCCACCTCTATTCAGCAACCTCCCGATGTCAACAACCACCCTGGAACAGAACTGGCCAATTTTCCATCATAAACCACCTCTATTCAGCCTAACGCAACCAGTGGCCGTGCTTCTTGTTAGCCCTGTCCGTATACGTTTACAGGATGGTACCAGTCCGTGGATTGAGTGACCAGAAAAAAATGTAGTCACTCATCCCACGACTGTTTGTGGGACGCTGCTGCGCACAATTGGCCGCCTCGCTTCGCTACCATAATACGCACAATCAGTTCACTTTACAATCCATCCTGTGAAGCGCTTTGACACGTCTGAATGGCGTGGTAAGGCGTGGTACTTTTCAGCGGCTGGTCGGGCGGGCTGCTCAGCAGGGCGTCAGCATGTCTCAGGAGACCAGCCTGAGTCTACGCCCCGGCCCACAGGAATTTTTGGCCAATGCAAACAGTAATTATTTGCACTTTGCATTTGAATTATTACTTCATTCAAACCAGATTAATTTGATATGTGCACCGTATTTTTCTATGCACTTTGAAATTACGCACACACACACACACACACACACACACACAAACCCTTACATAAAAGCTACTTTGGTCCCACCCCTGAGTGGTTGTTGATGAAAGTAATGAGAATAATAATATTAATAATAATAATCCTTACACTTGATGCCCAGAATCTTCCACGTCAGTAGGACGTCTGAATGTGCTCCACAGGATTCACAGCCATGTGTAATCATTGTGTATTTTGTGGGCGTGAAGAATCCCTACGTGTGAGAGGCCACCTTAGAAACAGGAGGAGGCCATTCAGCCCCTCGAGCCTGTTCCGCCATTCTATCAGATCATGGCTGATAGGTACCTCAACTCCAATTACCTTATTTCATGGAAACAGCTCAAATTGAGACATTAGGGCCAAAAGGCAGACCTTCGGGATCAAAAAATCTGCAGAAATCTAATAAACTGGCGGAACAGGTTTGATGGGCTGAATGTCCTCTTCCTGTTCACCGAAATTCCTGTGCTCTTAAATCACTTCACAGAGAGAGTTTCTTTGCTCATAGAAAATGTAGTGAACCCGCAAAAGAGGGAACTATTTTCAACTCCCAAAACTTTCAGAAAACAGAGAGGTCATGAGAAAAAATTCTGTTTTCAACAAAACATTTAACCTTGCTGGTCCCTTCGGGGGAAACTCTCAGTTCCTGCTAAATGCATCGCCTGTCTGATTCTCACGCTTCAGATACCAAGTAAATCTCCTCCTGCTCTGCCCAGACTTGGGGTCTTATAATATTAATAATAATAATAATAATCCTTGCATTTGACATAGCGCCTCGTCACGTGTTTGAGACGTCTCAAAGCCCTTCACAGGATATTCTGTAAAGTGAAAGTGGGACGTCCTCCCGACGTGAAAGGCGCTATACAAATGTAATTTTGTTGTTGTTGCTGTTGAATTGACTGTGTATTTTGTGGGCGAAACGGGGAAGCCAGTTGCGCACAGCAGTGTGTGTGTGTATATATATATAATAATAAAAACGCTTGTTACAGTGTCTAGAACTTACAAAGTGCTTCACAACACCACAGTGCTTTCTCTCTGTCCGCCCCCCACCCCCCCACCCCCCCCAAGCACTGTATTGGAACATCACCCTAAACTGCGTGAGCGCAAAGCCCCAACACAGAGAGACTGAACCCGCAATCCTCTGACTCAAAGTTGAGAGACACGGAGAGAGAGTGTTATCACGTGAGCCAGGCTGACACCTCCTCATTATAATATAATATATAACATAATAATAATCCTTGCATTTGAGATAGCAGCTTATCATGGCGTTGAGGACGTCTCAAAGCGCTTCACAGATACACTGCAAAATGCAGTGACTGTATTTTGTGGGCGAAATTAATAATTCAATTATTAACGCAAGGGAGTATGCCTGAAACAAGGGCAGACAATAATAATAATCTTTTTGCGTTCGGTATAGCGCCTTCTAATAATAATGATCCTTATTATAATTACTATCATCACGGCGTCGAGACATCTCAAAGCGCTTCACGGGATTTACTGTGCGACGGTATTTTGTGGGCGAAGAGCGGGGCGGTGCACAAAAGAGCAGGTCTGGATTGACAGCTGGTGTGAGAATTAGGGAGGGGGAAGGGGTGGGGAAGGGGGAGTGGGGGGGGGGGGGGGGAAGAGTTCCCTGGTGTGGGAGACGCTATCAGCCTTTAGGATTGTGCTGAATCTCACAGGCTGATGTCACATTCTGATGTCAGTGCTGAGAGGCTGGAGTCACACACTCACTCGCTCGCTCGCTCACTCACTCAGTGAGTGCAGTTCTCTCCTCTTTACTCCCGTCTGTCCGAAAGTGGGATAATAATAATAATAATAATAATAATACTATTAAGCGAGTGCCAAGGAGGTGGCGGAGGAAGCTGACTTTGCCTCGGTTTCCTGGATCTGTCAGTTGACAACACAAACCCAGGAGTGTGGCACCAGGACAGAGCTTTGCTTTACTTGGGATCTCACTGCCTGAACTTGTATCCAGTCTGTCCTGCTGCCTCAGGTAAGATCTCACTCCGTCTCCATGTCTCTCTCTCTCCCTCTCTCTCTCTGGATTTCTTTGTCCGTCTTTTGCACCTTGATCATGAGAATTCATCATTATTATTATTATTATTATTATTAAATTGTTGATTATTGGGGGATCCCCCCCCCCACCACCACAAAAACACAGCCACAACAGGTTCTCCCCCATACATGTATTAAGTTGCAAAATATTTGAAGTTGTTAAAGAAAAAGCATAATTTTGGGGGGCTTTTTTTTTAAAAAAAGGAAAGCGTGGGGAGAAGGTGTATGGGGGGGGGGGGGTGGAGTGGGTGGGTGGGGGGGGGGAGATAAAGTGGATAAAAAGATTGGGTCTGATTTGAGTGTGTGTCTCTGTCTTTGTCTGTGTGCATGTGTCTTTGTGTGTGTGTGTGTGTGAGTGTCTGTATGTGTCTTTGTGTGGTGTGTGTCTGTGTGTGTGTGTTTATATGTGTTTTTGTGGGTGGGTGCATGTGTTTTTATGTGTGTTTGTGCCTGTCTGTGTGTGTGTGTGTCTGTGTGTGTGTGTGTTGTGCTTCTGCTGCTGATTTTCAGGTTGGACGTCTTGTGTTAATTCAGATTGCCCGGGTCGGGTGGCAGTGAGTGAATCAGATAGTGAAACAAGGTGCTTTGAGAAAGGGGAGCAGGGCAAGTCCGGTCAAGACGGCGATTAAAAGCCCGACTGTTCTCAGTTGTTAGTGCAACTGAACATCCACCGCACTCTGGCTTCTCCCTGAGCAGAGGTGGCAAGTCTGAGACCAGGGCTTCGGGTCAGCCTTGGGGTTTGTGTGTGAAGCTCACACAGAGACGGAGGGAGCTTGGGTTTAGTACACAGGGGTTCCTGAGTTGAGTTGACAATTAAGACTGAATAATAACAATAATAATCCTTGCCTTTGATACAGCGCCTTATTGCATCTTCGAGACGTCTCAAAGCGCTTCACAGGATATACTGTAAAGTGAATTGACTGTGTATTGTGTGGGTGAAACGCGGCAGTCAATTGCGCACAGCAGCGTCCCACAAACAGTCGTGGATTGAGTGATCGCATTATTATTGTTATCAATAAAGTTATTGTTATCTATGCTGGGATATAAATAGATATACTGTACAGCAGGATATTGTTTCATAGGGCAATTATAATTTGTAAAGCGCTTCAGGGCACTTATTGCATGTGGAAGATGCTATATTATTAATAACAGCTTCCCTGCGCCACCCACACACTCCTACACAGAGTCGCTTGTCAACACTTTTCAGGTACTCATTGCCAGTGAATAATGATCTTATTGTATTAAGTTTATAAACACCTTTCGGCATAACTCTGACCCTTTTTCTTGGGTGGGGGAGTGGGGCCTGAACAATAACTTAATTTAATTAATTAATTGATGTTTCACACAAGTTTTGCCCCACCCTGACAAGGAACCAGGAACTCAAACCGTGGGGCTAAATTTCCACTTATCCCTCGTGGTATTAATTAGCACAAGGGAACACCACAAAATGGGCTGTTGCTTCTTAATTAGCGCCGCAATTGCCAATTTGCCCGCACTCACCTCACCTCTCCGCACCCAGTCTCCAATTCTTTGAGACTCATCACAGCCTTTTCTCGTGTCCCGGCCGACAATTCCCTAAATACAATTGATCGCTCACTCCACGGCTGTTTGTGGGACAAAATACAGTCACTTCACTTTATGGTGTTTCCTGTGATATTAGAGATTGGGAGCAACCGGGCGATCGCAGTTAGGTATAGCCAGCGGGTATTTCCTTAAATTGCTCCGTGCGACAATTAATATGAGGAACATCTTGAGGAACGCACGCAAATTCTGCTGCTGTAGAGTCTCAGGAACGGCCACCCAGTCTTAGCCCATTTTGTCTTAACGTTTCAGATTTAAATGTAAGAAATTTGGGGGGAGAGGGGGGGTTCAGCCTAATCTGGAAGCCAGGACTTTGAAAGGAGGACCTTACGAATGACGACTGAATTGAAGAGTTGGCTGGGATTCCCTTAAGGATTTTAAAAGCAAAAAAATTTGTCTCAAGGCTATAGCAGGTTGGAATTTCAGGACTTCGGGTGGTCATTTGGGAGCCCTATGATGCAGCTCTCTGGGAGATTGTAACCACGGCTACAAACAACGTTGAGCCATCCCCCCAGTGCCTGAATTTCGGGACCAAACCTCATTAGCAAATCATTTTCCAAGACCAACCAGTGCTGATTTGACAAACATCTGCTCATTACTGAGCTGTTCGTTTGCAAACCTGTGCCAGTCTCTGCCTCTGAATGAAAGATTTTGTGTGTTTTTTTGTGTTAATTGGATAATTGGGGGAGGTTTGCATTTCAAAGGGGGCAAAATAACTCTGTGCATCACTTCCCCACCTCACTGCCTCTTTCCCCTCCCCCCACCGTTACTCAGGAATTCCATACCAGAGCCGCTCTGATTCCCTCCCTCCCTCCATCTCCTTATTCAACTCCTGACTTAAGATCTCCCTCTTCGACCGTGCCTTCGACCACACTCTTCCCCACCCGCCCACCCCCTTGACTCCCAAGACCTAGTCGGGTACAAACCCTTAACTGTCCCAACGGCTTGGCACGTCCTTCCGACGTGAGGTACTATATAAATGTTCTTTGTAAAATAACTATTGCCTTCTTTTTTCTTGCATCGTCAATACCTCTGATCCCATCATCTCCTGTCCTCCAGCTAATCTTTTCCTTTGTCTTTCTTTCCCCGCCCTCCCATCTCTGCCGGTCCTTATCAACTGCTCCCTTCCAACATCCCCCAGTTCTGACGAAAGGTCATTGACCTGAAACGTTAACTCACTTTCCTCTCTTCGGAGATGCTGCCTGACCTGCTGACTTTTATTTTAAATGTAATTTGTTATTGTTGTCGCACTTTTAGTCATCGTCCTGCACCCCCACACACAGACCCCACCCCCTCCCCTCGATTTTCTCCCCCACCCGTGCCCCCCAACCCCCCCCTCGCAGCTCAGTGATGCCTTCTCTCTTGCACCGCAGCATCACGTGGCTGCTGACTGACCTCGCTTCTCCTCCTCAACAGGTTGGGGACCATAGAGCGCCAGCCCAGGGGGGAGGCCAGTGGGTGGCGATGGCGGGCTGGCCCTGGAGCTGGGCATGTGTCAGTGTCCTGCCCTTGGTTGGAGCTGCCATGGTACCTCAGGGGTGCGGGCCCGACGTGAACGCCCTCTACTTCAACCTGTGTGACCTGGGTGCCGTGTGGGGCATCGTCCTGCAGGCGCTGAGCGGGGCCGGAGTGCTGAGCTGCTTCGTGTTGGCGCTGGTGTTGCTGGCCAGCGTCCCCTTCATCCAGGAGGGCAAGAAGAAGAGCACGGTCGGAACTCAATTGCTCTTCTTGTTCGGCACTCTCGGCCTCTTCTGTCTGGTCTTTGATTTCGTGGTGAAGATGAACTTTGCCACCTGCGCCTCCCGCAGGTTCCTCTTCGGCCTCCTCTTTGCCGTGTGCTTCTCCTGCCTGCTGACGCACGCGCTCAGACTCAACTTCCTGAGCAGGAAGAACTCGGGGCCCAATGGTTGGCGTGTGATGGGCTTGGCGTTGACCCTGAGCTTGGTGGAGGCCATCATCAACACCGAGTGGCTGGTCATCACCATCTTGAGGAACAACGCCACCTCCTCACCGGTGCTCGGAGATCCCTGCGACATCGCTAACATGGACTTTGCCATGGCTCTCATCTACGTGATGGTTCTCATGGCCCTGACCCTAGTTCTGGGCTTCACCAGCCAGTGGGGGAGCTTCAAACACTGGAAGAAGCACGGCGTGTTCATCCTCGTCACCATCTGGCTCTCGGTCGCTATCTGGGTGGCCTGGATCACCATGTACGTCTACGGGAACGAGGCCTTGGGGCGCGAGGGCTGGGACGACCCCACCCTCGGCATCGCTCTCGTGGCCAACGCCTGGGTCTTTCTCTTCTTCTACATTGTCCCCGAGATCTGCCAGGTGACGAAGGCGGGGATGGAGCAGACCTATGTGGAGGAGGTGTATCCCACCAGGGGTGTGGGCTACGAGACCATTCTCAAGGAGCAACAATCTCAGCACATGTACATAGAGAACAAAGCCTTTTCAATGGATGAGCCCAATGCAGGTGAGACTTGGGGTGGTTGGGGGGGTGGGGGTTGCTCTCTGGTGGAGTCTCGTCTTCACCTGATCCATCCCCCCCCAAACACTCTGCCATGTACCCAATGCAACACATTGGACATTTCGACAACGTGATCGGGCACGATATTAAACATAGGAATTCTTATAAGCGGAATGGTCAATTATTGGTGTGAGGATATTGGATAACAAGCGCTTACTGAAGGGGTTGTGTGGATAACCTGTGGATTTGGGCTTTTTTTTTTTGCAGCTAACAAAAGCCAGTCACCTTACGGTGGTTACAGCAGCCAACTTCGCAGCAGCGTGTATCAGCCCACAGAGATGGCCCTGATGAACAAAAATAACGTGAGTCGCTTTATATTTCGGAGTCGGGGCAGTGGGGGAAGTGGGAGGGGGGGGTTACGTTACTGCATCTCACACTGTAAAGTACATCACAGCATCAATACTCTCTCACCACTAAAACACTGCCCTGCTCAGTCCTCACCAGCCTCTCCCCTGCTCAGTGCCTCGCTCTGTGCTGTCTCGCTCTTTCATCTGCCAAAGCCTGGCCGGGTGAGACAAAGAGATACTGTAATCAAACTCAGTCCTGGGCCCAAAAGATTTCATATCGGATGTCCAATTTCAACACTCCGATTGGATTTCCTTTTCTGTGCTTCCAGCCACCGTGCAGTTAAGTCATTCCCATTTGCCTTCGACTGTGATTTACCCTCGACCTTGCAAATCAGATTATATCAAATTCTCAAAACAACTCTGCCCAAACGCATTACATGCAATAACAATCCTCGCGTTTGAACCGGCGCCTAAAAATATCGCGAACGTCTCGTCGTGTTTCACAAACTGTGAAGTGCAGTTGCTGCATTTTTTTTTTTAGACGAACCCCAGAAATATGGAGACAATTCACGTTACAATATATTCCGTGTAGCGTTTTGAGACGTTTTGAAGACGTGAACAGCGCTATAATCAAACGCAAGGATTATATTTTATTATTTTTAAACGCAGCAGCTAATTTGCACGCAGCAAACCGTGAAGTGAATGATCAACTTGATCTGGGGGATTGTTGCCAGGGAGAAGCAAGTTCCTTTCTGTTTTCCGATAGTGTCACAGGCTGCTGAACGTCCACCTGTACAGGCACAGATGGGAACTTGGTTTGACGTCTCATCCAAAAGCTCCTCCAACAATGCGAATGCAACCTCCCACCCCCTCCGCAGCGTAGCCCGCAAAATAGACAGTCAATTCACTTTACAGTATATTCTGTGAAGCGCTTTGAGACGCCTCGAAGAAGTGATAAGGGTCTATATCCAGGGATTAATATTATTTTATTATTATAGCACGAGAGCATCACTGTTGACCCCAGCGTGGGTGCTTGAAACCCACAACCACCTGATCCAGAGACACCTTTTAATTATAACAGCACCGATGATTGCGCTGCGTGTTGATGCCTCCGATTAGCGGCTCCTGAATTTCCCGCAGAAATTGGGTTTTGTTTGAAGGCCGGAATCGCACGAGAGGAATTCTCTCCAGCGACCTCGCGTGCCGTCTTCTGGGATTTAATAAACACAACATTTATTTTCGAGCTGTTGGAAAACAATATCATTAGCTTAATTACCAACAATTATTATCAGGGTTAAATGGAAGGAGTTGCTGCATGTTTTTAGTTACAAAATGACTGATATCCTCTCGGGATGGGGAAAGCGAGGTGGAGGGATTCGGAACTAGCGTGTCCGTGTTGAGAGGAGGTGAGGGGCCAGAATACGTGGTGGAGGGAGTCAAAAGACATTTTGGTTTAATCATTTACGAGCGTGCTCGTGATCTTGCCCACAAAATGCACAGTCACTACACTTCACAGGACATTCTGTGAAGCGGTTTGAGAGGTCTCGAAGAAGTGATCAGGGACTATACCACATACAAAGATTATTATTGTGAAACTCAACCATGTTAGTCTGTGCTACTCTCCTCTTTCTCTTTCTCTCACCCCTTCTCAACCCTCCCCCTCTGCTCCAGCAGCTGGAGAATCCCTATGACCATTACATCCCGAGAGTCACCATTAACCCGTCGGCGATCTCCAGCAATGCCTCCACACTCCGAGCAGAGGACGTGTTCGCAGCCGGGAGCCGGCAGCCCCAGCCCGAGGGCGGCCACGTAAGGAACTTCTGACACCCCAGAGCATGACGGCAGCGAGACAACCCAGAGATAGGTAAAGCTCACCCAAAGGCGCTATCTATCCAAATGTGATTTGGTGCTGTTTGTCCCATCGCTGCGCCATAACACAAGACCTTTCAGTGACTAGCTCTGAGCGAGGTTGACTAGGATAATAATAATAATAATAATATAATATTCCTTGCATTTGATATAGCGCCTGTTCACATTGTCGCGACGCCTCAAAGCGCTTCACAAGGGCGGGCACCCTCCGACAATGCAACCCGCCGCCCGAAACACAGCGCCGGAATGTCAGCTTAGACTGTGTGATTCCAAGCCATTTGGATCTTGAGGGGAGAATCTTTTTAACAGCTGGTTGGAAAGCCCAAGCAGGGGCCTCCCTCGAGCAACCAGCCTGTCTTCAGGTGTGACGTGAAGGGCATTGCATTGCCGGCCCATTCACAGAGCAGTGATGGGTCGTATTGCGAATGCTGCAGATGCACATGGAGCACCTGATTAACCCAACTTCCCGCAGAGCAGAGAGCAATCTGTCAGCGTCCTTACCTTTGGGGTGAATTGGGATTGTTTTGTTTTATTTGCCCGACTCAGCGGGTGGTGGACGATATAAAGATCAGTCAAAGGGGGCCCTTCAACCCGTCTGATCTCATCCTTCCAGAATACCCACACCCCATCACAGAGTCGAGCTATTCTGTTCTAAGACGAGCGAGGTATTTGTGTTTCTAAAGCTACATCCGTCTGTCTACTCTTGTAAGAAATTGCCGCTTTGCGCACGTTAAAGTATTGATAGGGACGTGCTACAAATGACTGAATTCAGACAGTATCCCTCCCTATAAAAGTCTGCGTCAAAAAATAACCGAAAATAGACAATAGACTGGAAGGAGACAAGAATTCAGAGCTTCGCTCTCAGGAACTCCATTGAGACGTCCCTCCTACTCGTTCAAGACGCATCTCAAAATGTGCCTCTGTGACTGCGCTTTCATTTATCTCTCTCTAACCCCCTCCCCAACTCTGTCCAGCACTGTGAATATGCTTTGGAACTTCCTCCCGACATTAGGGGCGCTCTGCAAATGTACACTGCATTGTATGCATTTATTTGAATCGTCTTTTCCCCCCCATCTTCCCCAACAAATTATTAACATGCTTTTTCTTTTGTTGTTTTTGATCTGAACAGGCTGATGGCCCCCCTTGTGGATAATCGCCATAGCGACCAGAGCCCCCGGCCACTGGGCACATCTCAAACTGAACATCGGGAACCGTAACCTTGAGCCTTCGCTGAACCCCCTCCCAACCCCACAGCCCCCTCCTCTCGGAGAGTTGAGGGGAAAGGGAGGATGGGGTGGACAATCCTCGTGTCCAAAATGGAAGCAAAAACAACCCACAAAGACCGAAAGCCGCTGACTTTGATCATCGCTGAGCACAAGACAGGACAGGACAATGGCAACCGTAGAGGACCATCGCCGTGATCTGGAATGCAGGAACAGGAAGAGGCGGTTCAGCCCACCGAGCCTGTTCGTCCGTGGCAGATATTGGACTGTGGCAGATCGTTTAACCCCATTTACCTATCTTTTCTGCATAACCCTTTTTAGAACAGTGGAAATGTATCTCATTGACCTTGCTTCCCAAAGCAGTATCTATTGTTTGTGAGCTCACCTCAGTGAATTTGAAAGGATTTTTTTTTGTGTGTGTTTGGTAGATTAAAAGTCACTCGGTGACCCTCAACACATCCACCGAAGATCCCTCAGAACTGCTTAATGCGTCCTTGGACATATCTGTCTCCTTTCCACATCTCATGGGGCAGTTTGTCAGAGGCAGATATCCATCTCACACAACAACACATCATATTTACGCAGTGCCTTTCACGTCGGGAGGACGTCCCGAGGCGCTGGATAGCGTCAGGAATTTGGACCCGAGCTGGGCGTTGGGAAAAGGGCAGGGAGGGTAGGGGTAGGAGGGTGAGCCTAGGCCCAGTCAAAGTGGAGGGTCTTGAGATGGGCCTTGAAGGAGGCAAGGGAGGGAGTGAGGTGAAGGGTCTCTGGGATGGCGTTCCAACGGGTGGGGGCAGAAAGGCTGAAGGCTCGACCACCCGATGGTGGGGTTGGTCAGGCGGGGGTGGCATGGAGCAGGCCGGTGCCATTGCTCTGATAGGAACGGTTCAAGCCAGCTTTTTAATGCGGTAAAATTCCCGGGTGTTAGTTAGCACCAGGAATAGGTACGCAACACCAGGGTCACACAGGAACCTCTGCATTTCCTTCACCAACCAGTTGCTTGTTTCCCTTTGTGGGTGAAAACAGGCTCAATCCATTAGACGCCGAAGAATGTGGATAAATGTCTAGATTTCTGATTACCTGCTGTTTGTTTTACTTCGTATCCGCATGTACACACAAACCAGAATGGCTCACCTACAACATACACAACACTTCACAGTGAATCCTGGGAAGTGCTTTGTGAAGTGCGCCCAATATGAAAGGCACTATATCAAATGCAAAGCTTATTGTAATGTCCCCGTGCTATACACAGGCCGGTGCTTTTGCAGCGAGTTTCATGATATGTTGACGTATTCAGTGGAAGCTGGTACTTTGGCGCAGGCTAAGACTATAGGGAATTCTGTTTGTCAGCAAGGTTACTGAATACCCATACCACAGAAGACTTGCCCCCTGTATAAAAGCTATCAGCCTTTGAGTGAGTGCCAGCCATCTCTCCCTTCCTTCAAAGCCTGTCTCAAGACCCTCCTCTTTGACCGATCTTCGGTCACCTTCCTACCCCTACTCTCCACTCCTCCTGATCCCAAACCCCAGCTCGGGTCCAAATCCTTGACGGTCCAGCACCTTGGGACGTCCTCCCGATGTTAAAGGCTCTATACAAATGTGATTTGTTGTTGTTTGTTCCCCCCCTTTCTCTACCTTTAGGAAAATGCACAGAATCCTACAAAATTAAGCCCGCTTTCAGTCCTGAGCAGATCTCGTGGTCACTGCTCACCAGGCTATCAGTAATAACCACAGGCGCCTGGTTAACAGCCCAAAGTCTCTTTAGCACTCACCCAGACAGCTGAACAAAAGTCGTATTAAAATAACAAAGGGGGCGAGTTTCCAGTCCACTGACAACAAGGCTTACAATAACGTGCACTGGCTTACTAGAAATTCCTGGCATTTCCTGAGAAAAACAATCCCTCGTCCTGTGGGTAGGTCCTTGAGAGGCCAAATCAGCCTATAAATAGGGTACTCAGAGCAGTGCAGCGCGCCGGACTCAAGCTGCATGGATCAGTATCTATTCCACTGACAGATGGTGGACTGCAGCTCAGCAGCTGCTGCTGTCAAGGGGAATGGCGATGTGATACCTTAAGTGTATCGGAGGATGGATCGTTGCTGAGATTTATCTCCAGGCATCGCGTCTGTGGACAGGATCGACAAGGGAACGCGGGCTACAGCTCTCTTTGGCATGGCATTGACCGATCATGTGGCCACTGGCTTTTATATGGAGCCACAACCCTAATGACCCTTGACATCTCAAGAGCTTCACAAGATTTACCGTGAAGTGCACTGTATATGTATTTTGTGGATGAACGCGGCAGCCGTAAAACAAACAGCGAAGTCACACGCGCAGCCAAGAAGTGAGTGAACAATTTTACCCGGAGGGATAGTCAGCCAGGAAACGGGGCGAAAGAAACTCTCTTCTCTTTTCAAATAGTGCCATGGGATCTTTAACCTCCAACCTCGGGTTTAACATCTCATCCAAAAGACAGCACCTCCAACAATAGAGCCCCACACCACCCCCCACCCAGCACTGCATTGGAGTGCCAGCCAAGACTATACATTCAAAGTTCCTCCCGACTCAAAGGCAAGGCTGTTACTAACTGAGCCAGGATGACATATGTGTTAAGAGAGCATCACGTTCATTAGCCTGGGATTATGTTCCCATCGAGCGGGGCTCAGGTTGTTGACTCTGTACACAGGCAGGAAGGAAGGAGAGGACAGAAGGTGAGAGAAGGACATCGGACGAGATGAGGCGGCAGTATACAGATCGTCTTACCTAACTAACATCCCAGCAAATTGTTGCAAATAGACAGGAAACAACAGCAAGTCCATGAATAATTTAGCGAGCCAAGCGCAGTCAAAATGCATTTGCAACCCAAAACTCCCTCCCCCGATACTGACATCTGTGCTGAACGCTGAGATTTAGAGCTGCAGCAGTTATCCCAGTCTGACTGGGATGGTGTTTCCAGAATCAGCAAAATGCCGGAATTGGCTTTGGAGCCTCCAAGTCCAAAGTTTGTTGTTCAAGGCCCATGTTGGGGACTCTGAGCTCACAGTCTAGGCTGACACTAGTCTCTTCTCCTGCCCCCCACCCTCATCACAGCATCAAAGCTGCTTTTTAAATGAGTCAAATGTCCTGGAGCTAAGGCGGGTAATTGGAGTTGAGGTACAGATCAGCCATGATCTAATAGGATGGTGGGACAGGCTCAAGGAGCTGAATGGCCTCCTCCCATTCCTATCTTTCTATGTCCTGGCATCAAGCCCTGTTCACGTAGGATAAGCGTCTTGGAGCGCACGGAGAAGGGGTAAAGGCAAGGGGCCAGGATGGGAAGAAGAAGAGAGGAAGGAAAGAAAGGAATGAGCGCAGGTTCTAGTGAAATAAAAGGAAAAATGACGAGGAACATTTTAACCCCAGTCAAACAGACCACAGGACGTGGCTCGGGACAAGCAAGCTCTCTTCGAGGGAGACACGCACATATCAGCTTTGAAGCTTCAGCACGTCAACAGGAATTTTTGAGGTTGCCTGATTTTCTGCTGGGCTGCCAGTTCAAATAAAGCCAAAGGACAAAATAACAGAGCCGCCACTGTTTTTTTCTGTTCACAATAATATAAGATAGCAGACGGCGAGCGGCCTTCCCGGGATTCAGAAACCAAGCTAGTAATTACCCCAACGGCTCTTCAAATGTAAAGCCCTCCTGTTCTGCTTTCCTCCAACCTTCAGGGGGGGTGGGTATGGGGGCGAACAATCGGTACAGGGTCTGCAAGAACCAAGATTATCCCCCCCACCAACAGTCAGAACCCATCCGATCATTTCAGTCTTAAAATTTTCAATTATTGGAAATGCTTAAATTTGGTTTTAGTTATGGAGTCCTGTAACGTAGTGGTTAGAGCACTCGTCTCACAAGTGAGAGGATCCGGGTTTGAGTCCCAGGCAGGGCAAAACCTTAGCCAAGTTCCTTACTCCACATGCCTCCATTTACCCAGCAAAATAGGAACATGGTTGTTAGTCGATTGGCAGATCGCTTTCCCGTTGGTATATAATCCCTCAAAATCTGGTTCCTCAATCCACGACTGTTTGTGGGACACTGCCGTGCGCAATCGGCTGCCACGTTTCGCCCATAAAATACACAGTCAATCAACTTTACAATATATTCTGTGAAGCGCCTTGAGACGTCTCAACGACTTAATAAGGTGCCATATCAAATGCAAGCATTAGCATTATTATTAGATTGGGACTCTGGGAAAACTGGCTTCCCACATTCAGACTGAACATTTGCTCCCACTCGCTCACTTGTGAAATGTGCCCAGTTGATCCCACGGTGATTTAATCCTGTGCAGATGGCATTATCTTCACTTCCCATTGAAGTAAAATCTCTGGCTGTTAAATTGCTGCCAATAACAGCAACAAGGCATTGGTAAAGTAACAAAGAACATTTGCAGTGATGGCCTTCAGATTACAAACACAACCACTGAGGAGAATTTATGCTCAGACAGTCCTGTTTCTCTGTTAATCTTCCCAATTTCTATTGTTCAACTATGTCCAGACCTGCCCCGTAGCTGGGAACCTCTCCTGCAATCACTCACTCGGCCCATTGTTCAGCTAACAGGGTTTACAACAGGGTTCTGGCTCGTTATTAACAGCCTGAGCTGCAAAAATCTCTTTTGTTCATAGGCTTAAGATCTTTGCCTTCAAAAATTTTAGATCGTGCGAGACTTTAGCAAACAAACGAGTCTTAAATTCCATCTCAATTTGGAAGCTGATTTTTCTACACTCCCCAAAGAAGATCTAGAGACTTTCACGTTCACTCCAGGATCCAACACACTCCAGGATCTAATAGAATGAGGAGCCATAAGGAATACAGAAGCCTTGGCATATGGTGCCGAGCTTGACAAACTGGGGGTGGGGAGGTGGGTTTGATGTGATATGTTGCACTCATAGTCTGTGGCTTCACAATAATTACTAGGGGCGTTGTCGTGAATTGGATCCTTCTGACGTTAAGGGTACCACGGGGCTATTATAGCTTGCTACAGGCCGTTGGGGACAGCCGATTCTGTAATCTGTGGTGTTCAAGAGTACGAGCAGGCCTTTGTGTTTTACAGAACGTGTAGAGTCTTGTTTACAGCTGGTGTAGAGCCCACAACACGGGCAGGGACATCAAATAAACAGTGATAAACAGGCAACATGATTACACAACACGGGGCTGGAGTGGATGTGCTGCCTGGATGTTCATTGTTCCAGTCTGTGTGTGTGAGAGTGTGAGTGTGTGTGTGCACACCAGTCTCTTTAGAGGCAAAGGGTATCCTAGCAGAGCGTGAGGGAGCAAGGCTGGAGGAAGGGTTTGGGGGGGGAAGAGTTTCAGAGAGCGAAGGCAAAGTGACCGAAAGCTCTCCCACCCACAGTGTGGCAGAGGGGGTGTGGGACATGCAGCATGCCTGAGTTGGCAGAGGAGAAGAAGTGGCTGGAGGAGGAGGACCCCAGGAGATCACAGAGCCAGGTGGGGCGAGGCTGCGGAAGCATTTGACGTTTTGCTTCCTTTCATCGAGCAATGCAACCCCTTAAAGCTAGGAATTTCTGTGCTGGAGCTATTGCACTCAAACACAGGGTCAGACAGAGAAACTTTCTTCTACATTTTGACATTAACGCTGGGCAGGCTCTCTGGTTTGCGTTTCTTTCAAGTTTGATTATTAAATAAACATTCCTCAAAAAAATACTCCCCCTCCCCGTTTTTTGCTGCCTTGACAAAACCCCAGCGGGAACAGAGAGTCTCTGTAAATGGGGACCCAGCAAACGGAACCAGCGCCACAATGGGGCACCCTGACTCTGCCTCGCCCACAAAGGCACAGTTTCTCCTCATTGTCCTCTTCATAAAGACCAATACACCCCTCATTGAAATTTGCAATGGAAGGCACACATGCCTCAAGGGACACTGATCCTGCAAGAAACCAAAGCAAAATGGGATAGTTTCCAAAATGTCCAGCTCATCAAGTGATGAGCAACTACACACACACATTGCTGGAGGTGCTGTCTTTCAGATGAGATGTTAAAACCAATCGACCGATCCCATGTACCTGTTCAGGGAGACGTTAAAAATCCCACAATGCTATTCGAAAAGAAAAGGGAGTTTTCCTCCCTCTGCCCTGATAAAAAAAAGGTCAGTTATTACACAGCTGTTTCTGGGTGTTGCTGTGCACAAGTTGGTTGCCGTGTTGGCCTACAAACAAAAAAGGCATCAACTTGACAGCAAATTCCTGCGAAGAGATGTTTTGAGGTTAAAAGTGCTGATATTGAATGCAAGGATGATTATTATTATTACTAAATTGATAGTTCTCACTCACACGATAGCTCTCACAGGTTCCACAGTCCATCCTCCCGGTATCTTGCTTAAGGGCCCATTGCTCTTCCTGTGTGAGAGGCTGGGCAGTGGACAGGTTGTTTGACAGCTGATCCCAATCCTATCCTCAGCCCACGTCTCCCTTCCCCCATCGCCCTTTCCAGAGTGGGGTGGGGGGGGGCAGAAAATCCTCTCACCTTTGCCCTCAGTCCCGTCGCTGGGTTCAAGAGTGAAAAGGCATAGTGCAAATTTGGAATCCAGCCTTTTTGGAATATTTGACCCTCAGCCTGACTTTAATTACATTGGGAGCTCTAGGCTTTCCAATCCCGCTTCATTAATTTCCTGAGCTGAAAAAGTGGAGCCATCCGCTGCCTCAATTATTGACAGGATGTAATTGAAAATAGTTTGATGGGGAGTGGGCCGGGCGTTTCTGTAAACAATAATCTAACTTCTTACAAGGCAATCCACCTGAAAAATGCAAATATTGTACGACAGGACGTGTGTGAAATGCTGATTACTCATGTCTGTTAACTTATTACATTTTCTGGAATGAATGTTCTGTAAAACGAATGACTCTGTGAGTTCCAGAGAAATACTGTGCCCGGGTGAGTGCATCCCCGTGAGTGTATCTGGGTTTCAAATTTGGTTAACTGTATTTAGACGACCACAGGATCGGTGTGTGTGAGCGCCATTGTGATTTCGTTTGACGCCCTGTTTGGTGCGAAATCTTCCGTGACGTGGATGGTTGGGGTGAGGAGGCGAAATGCATCTCTGACAGTTTGTTTCGGCTCCTCCATAGTCTCATATCGCTGTTTGGTAACGGGAAGGGGGTGGGGGCGGGTTGGCTGTGTAACAAGACTTTGTGAACATCTTGCACAAATCCCACCGTGCTCTGATTTATTGTGCAGTTTTTAGGCTTTTTTTAAATGAATACTTTTAAGGTGTGGGACCTGTGTTGAGCAGTAAATTCGCATGGTTAGAAGATGGGGGAATCACTGTGGCTGTGCCTAGGTTAAGAGCTGATAAACACTGTGCTCAGCCAAACTCTCTGACATCTGAACGCTTGCGAATTAGGTTCCTTTAATCTGAACCCTGTGGAATTTCGTTATCAGGCGACATGTCAAAGAAACTTTTTTTTTATAATACGCTCCTTGTCTAGGATTTCGTCTCTGCTCTCACTCAGTTGAAGGGTGTATGGGTTTACTCAGTGATTCATCAGTCACCCTAACGTCACTCCGCCACAGTGCATTTCCACCTCAGTGCAACCCCCAAAATTCAGTGTTTCTGTTCTCACTTGTACGGGTTAAAAGTATGGATGGAATGAACTAATGGCTCCCGTGCTACACAATATCAAACAAAGTGAGTTCGCTGACATAGGGCAATGGCTTGGAAGACCATGGATCCATTCCTACAATGTCAACTTGACTCAAACGTTCACACTCTGGCCTGTGAGTCAGAAGATTGTGAGTTGAAGCCTCACATCAGAGCTATGGGCTGATATAGTTCACTATTTTCCTTACGGAAATCCTGGGTGTGGTTGCACTGACCCTGGTCACAGCAAAGGCATCCTTATTTTGTGTACCAATAACATGTTATGGGCAGGGAGTTTGGTGATAAAGTTGACATAAAACAGTATCATGTGCTGAGCTATCATGTGCGGTCACCTTTCCTTTATAGGCTCTGCTTCTCCTTAAACAGCTCTGCAAGGTTGAGGGCAAAGAGGACATTGAAAGAGGACTACTTCCCTCAGTGAACTCGGCAGGGTCTATCTTGTGTACTCGCATTTAGGGTTAACAACAGCATAGTTAGGGTTAAAGTCAAGTGCATTTGAGGGAATTATAATGTCAACACTTCAGAACATTGGCCAATGTTTTTTTTGAGGGGGGAAGAGAGAAGTGAGATGGACATTTGTTAGGGCCTTTAACGTTGGGCTGATGTTACAGCTGAGGTCTTTCTTTCCAATAATATCACAGAACAGGTTCAGGTGAAGAATCTTCGACCCATCGGATCTTATTCCTACCCTTCCGTCTTCCCATTACAGCAACCTCCCTCCCAGGTAACCCCATACCAAAACTCAAGCACTTGTGCGCGCAGGATGCAGATTTGGGATTTCTGCCTCTCGTTGAATTGAGCTTTTCAAAGCAAAGAATGTTGCCCCAGCGAAATGTTCTATACCTTGTGCACCTGCCAGCAACTGGCATAACTCATAGACCGCCATTAATGACTGGAATGTGAGGCATTCAAGGACATGATTCAACACAGAAACATATAAAAGGGCAGGGCACAGCACTTTCATAGAGAGAGAGAGAGAGAGAGAGACAGACTTCACAGGCACGATGGGTCGAACAAGCTCCTTCTGTGCTACAGTATTAAATTCTGGGTTCGTTCGCAGTCTAGTTGTGCGCAGGAGAGTTGGACGAGGTGCATAAGAGGTCTTTGTGTGTAATAAATAGTGAGAGTCTTTCTGAATCTCAGGAAGGAAGGTCAAAGGACGTAACTCTTTCAAGGCACCATAGACAATATTCAAAGGAGCTGAAATAAAGTTAAACAGCTAGCTCAAGGACAAGGCTAAGATATATTCAAAGCTTACATTGTGCAGGGCTCAATATATCCAGCCTTTTTCCCCCCTCTGCACAATGCATTCCTGACGGAACAGCATTAATTGCAACCTGCTGATCTGATAACAGCACTACTCGCTCCATTATTTGTTCCCTTTTAATACCCTGAACTTTATATTGCGCCAATATGCCTAGCACGCGGGAGACTATAAAGGAAATAAACATTGTAATACAGAATAATGTTGCACTTCATTAACAGAGATGATGCCCTTCGGATGAGACGTTAAACCGAGATTCCCGTTTGCATATCAAAGATTCTGTAACGCCGCTCGAAAAGGTTTTTTTCTCCTTGGTGTCCTGGCCTCCGGATAAATTGGCCTTTCACTTCATGACTATTTATAAAATGAGACCTGGCTGTGAGCAATAATACCTGCCATGTTTCCCACAAAAAACAGCACCACACTTGACAGTAATCACTGTACAGTGCTTTGAGCTGCGATAAGATGCCATAAAAATGCAATTTATTTTTTCTCCTCATTTCCTCCATTAACTTGTTTTCAATAAAGACCGCAAAACAGACCCCTCTTTGCTCGTCTCAGGTAACAGGCCTAATGTCAACACACCAGATGGTGGCTTCTCTCCAACGTTAATAGATTTCTGCTGAAAGCACTCAACCCCACAAACTGCTATGTCCTGTTCTTGCTTGTCCTGCAGTAAAAGAGCTGACAACACGCAGAAACATCTTGTCTCAAGGACAGCACCTCTTTGAGTGCAACAACAACTTGCATTTATATAGTGCCCTTCACGCGAGGTCGCAACACACTTCAGGGTCAACTCAGGCTGTAACATCAAGCACAGACACGGGCAACCAATCGCACAACCTTAATTCCTTGTAAGTCAGGATAAGTGCAGAATAGGTCATCTTTCCATTGCTTCGGGCCAGACAATTTGCGCTTATAATATTCTTTCATGTAGGAGGATACCTCAAAAGATCTTTACAAGGATTAAGTAGAAGCCTGAGCTGGGGAAGGGGGAAAAAAATCAAAGTATCATTTTTCAACAAGTTATGAAAGCAGAAGTAGATGAGGCGAGGCAGAGGGATTTGGGCAGTTTTTCAGAGGGTGAGACGAAGAGTCTGAAAGCTCATGCTTTGATGGTGGGGAATGTGAAGCAGGCCAATTGTGGGAGATTCCTGTAGAGGAACGACAAGCGGAATATAAATGTGCTTCTCTCACCTCACTCATCACCCAAAAGATCACACACGGTGTGCTCTTGCCCAATCTGTAATAACACTCTAATTAATGCGGGCCTCTTATCTGCATTTTTTACAAAGCTGAATAGTTACCACCTTTTTAATCTCAGTTTTACGGCTTTGAGGATCAATGAGATTTATTGTAACAAAGAAAAGTCAGAAATAAAAAACGAAGTCGCTGGGAACACTCAGGCAGGATCTAAGGAGGAAAGTGAGTTAACGTTTCAGGTCGATGACCTTTCGTCAGAACTTGGCGATGTTGGAAGGGAGCAGTTGATAAGGACCGGCAGAGATGGGAGGGCAGGGAAAGAAAGATAAAGGAAAAGATTAGCTGGAGGACAGGAGATGATGATATCAGAGGTGTTGACGGCACAAGGCAAAAGAAGGCAATAGTGGGAGATTATAGAAAGAAAAGATGTGTCTGAGACCCAGAGGATGTGTGAATGATTATAGAAGAGGGGGAGTGGGGGGCAAGGCTGAGAGAACATGGGAGCTGTGTTTAAGGTCCCATCTTAAAAGTCAGATGTCATTCACATTTGGGAAAGGAAACTTGGCATTTCTCCACTCATATTAACCATTAGGAACATTTATTGTGGTGACTCATAGCTTTTGCTCAACGGGTTACCTGGTTACACTGAACCCAAACAAAACAATGTCTGTCCCAACGCTCGGAAGTGCTGCCTAACACTTATCATAGTCACAAGCTCCCCGGGTGATTCAGTGGATAAATCAACTGGTGAGTGATACGGATGAGGCTGGTTTCAGTGGCAGGGGAGAGCGTAAAGAGAGCTAGGGAAGGGGAAATAAAGCCCCACTTGACTTCAGTGTACTCAGGCTGGAGAGCCAAGTCTCTAACGATAATCCATACATTTGATGCAATAATAATCTTATTGATTCTCAATAATAGTGCCTTTCACGTTGGGATGCCAAAGTGCTTTGTGGGATAAATTGTAAAGTAATTGTGACTGTGCGTTTTTTTTTAAGGCAAATCTGGCAGCCAATTTGCACACAGCAATGTCCCACCAACAGCCATGAAGTGAGTGGAGTGACCAATTTCATCTGGGGAATTATTAGCCAGGACACTGGGAGAAACTCCCTTCTCTTTTCGAACAGCGCCACGGGATCTTCCAACATCCACCTGAAGAAACACAGATGAGACCTTGGTTAATGTCTCTTCAGAAGGGCAGCACTATCAGTCCCCACAGTCTGCTGATACTATGCAAAACAGATACATGGCAAGGTACTGAAGGACATCTGCAGGAGCAGACCACAGGGGGAAAAAAATAGTGCTTTGAGGGGAAGAAAATTGGTGAAACTTAACGAGCAAAATGAGAATGAATGGTGGCCCCTCCAGGGAGCTCCTGCCTGGAATTTATTTTTATTTATGCTCTCGACTTTTGTTCTGCCAATTCTCTCTCCTCCCTTTCCTCCTTTCCTCCCCAAAGCACGTACTCTCACCGCCTAGAACAATTTTCAACCCACCCCAGAGCTTATTTGCATCAAGGGATGGATTGACACGGAATCAAAGCTGGTCTGTGGTAGCAAAATTAGAGGGATCCGTCAACAACTAGTGTACGATACAGTATGTGACTAAAGCGGCAACCTTCACAGAGAACGGTGATTTGAGAACATATTTCCTAACATAGCTTGTGCTTAGGTTATCGGCTACAAAAAGAGAATTATTTGAGGCAATTAATCCCAAGTGAACCACGGATTCTCAATCTTTAAATTTCTGCTCTGTTACAAGAATGGAGGTTTCTGTAAACAAAATTACTCTCTTCATCTCTGCCAATAATGAATTCTCTTCTGCCAATGAGCTACCGAACGTGCATTTTTATAGCAATAAAAAAGAGACGACTTCTCAACAAACCTTCAGATTAATTGGTCATTCACCCAGTGGCTGTTGTTAGACCTTGCCCTGGCAAAACTCTTCAGTGCATTTCATTATAAATACCCTTCCCTCATGACCGCACTTTAAGAGATGTGTTGACGCAACACTCTTCTGTAAAATACAAGCTCTTCCTTACTGTAGAGCAGGCGTTTGTGTTAATTTGTAAGGCAATTAGAACTTACTATAAAAGTTTACATTTGCAAAAACACAGCAATTTAGGATCTGAATTCAAATCACTCCCTGCATCGTAATCCACCAACTCCTGAACAACCTGAAGAAAATGCTCCATCACTGTGCAATTCCTGAGCACTGCACAAAGCTCTAGCTCAGAGCTAGCAAGAGTACAAAACCTCCCATGTGTTTTCAGTCACTATTTACTATAACTATAGCAACGTCTTTGTATGAAAATGCACTTCAGTTGAATCTGATCAGTTGAGTTATCCTTTGCTTACGAGTAAAATAAAAAACTTTTGCGAGTTAAGTAAATTGCTTTCGAAGGCAGCACAGAGGGTACAAAATCACTGGTGCCCTGAACTGACCTCGTGAGGTCTCAGGCGTTGCGAGATGGATCATTTACAAATGTTCTTTCTCAGACAGCTGCCCGAGAACTCAACTGATAAACGTGGCTGGCACAGAGAAGTGCTGGGAAGACAGGTGGGTGGGCTCTGCGATAGGAGCCCAGCTCATACAGCAGGTCTCTGCTGCGTGTTGAAGTGAGATTACACGGTGTCAAAGATAAATCTCAACAGCATCAACATTCCACTAAAATTGGCATCCATCACGTACAAGCCTGGCCTGGCGAGTGTTTGTGTGCAGCCGGAGGAGCCCGATTTGGCGCAGACACTATGCGACAAATGGCCTCGTAATTTATGTTTATTGAGCGACAAAGTATGACTTTGGAACTCTCTGCCTCAATCTCTCTCTGCCTTGCCTCCCCCATTTTCAGATCACGCCTGAAGGCCCTCCTCTTCCACCGTTCTTACGGTTACTTCTCCCCTCGACTCGGCGTCACCGCTGAGCGCTCCGAGACGCTACCCCACGCGAAGGACGCTCGATGGTTAACGAACGAGTCGTGCACAGCCGGTCCTTTGGTTTCACAAGTTAAGCCGCACTCGTTGGAAATATTTCAAACACCAAAAAGTGGGACAACATTCGAAATGGAAGAGTATCACTGGCTTTATTCAATGTGTAAGAGGTTCTTTTCCTAACCAGTAAATAGAACAGCTTCTCATTATTTCTCCTTGGGAAAGGCTAACCCACCCCTAGCTCCCTGCGTCCTTTTGTAATACAACCAGCCAGAGAGGTAAACAAGAAGCAGCTTGCGGAAACTCGGGGTCGTTGTTTAGCTGATGGAAGCTGAATTTATGCCTGTGCCAATCCCTTGGGAAAAACAAACATCTGACCATTTTGTTAGGACTCTTGACCTCTCCACAGAAGAGAAGGGTTAGGTTTCCCACTGTTTGCACCAGGGATTAAACTCTCTCTGTTATTTGTACAGTCACTGATTCTCAAACAGTGCAGCTTTGACAACGGCAGCCAGTTGTGTACTACAGGGAGAAATCTGCAGACCCAGCCTCTTAGAGGGCTTCATCACTGAGCAGGCCTGTGACTCGTCATTGTTACGTATTAGATCTGGCTAATTGATACAGCGCCTCATCACTTTCAAAGTCTCAAAGCGCTTCACAAGGTGTATTGTTAGGTGTATATTCTGTGGGCGAAATGTGGCAGCCAGTTGCAATCCACAGATAAGAACGTAACTGACAGATCAACAAGTATGGAGTCCTCATTTGCATCATCCAAGGCTGGATGAGAGTCTGACTCAGCATAACAAGCTGGTTATTCAGGATTCCTTCGCTTATCTGTACTGTCCTTATTCTTGGACAGATTTTGTTGCTTCCGTTTCTTTAGTTCTCTGTAAGCCTTCACCACCCTCTCTCGTTCCTCCAGCATCATCCTCTGGCGAGCCATGGACATTGTGGACACTTTAGCGCCTCCTGGCGTCTTGCGGGTGCTTTCTGATGTGCTTTTGTTTTGCTCGAACAGAGCCTTCAGAAGTAATGCCTTCTGGCCAGACTGGAATAGCAGACACTGGTATTAACATACGTAGGAAGACATGGAAAGCACCATTGAAGGCTAGATATGAGTGCTCACTTCCTCACTACACATTTAAGAAATAACCTGGAATTCACCACCTTGTACTAAAAATTTATATTTGCCCCCCCAGATTTTTCAAGCTTCTCCCAGATGTGAAAACAATTTAACAGTAACAGGTAAGGATTTCAGAGTGGAATGAGGTTTAACTGCAGAGCAAATAAATTGAGTTGATGCTTTTATTCCTTATCAGACCACTTGTAAACACAACTCTCTGCTCTACAAATACTGGGATGTGACGTTTCCACCTTGTGTCAATACTACTCCTGGAGTCTGGAAGGTCATGAATCCAGCTCAACACAATAGGCTACACACACTAAACATTTACTGCAGCTGCCAACAGAGCTTGTACTGGTAGACAGGAACGGTTGAACTCTTCTATAAAGGCTTTTGAATACACAATGTCCGTGCTTTTTGGTGGGAGAACAAGATGTGAAATATTTACCCTCTCCGTTTGCTGGCTTTTCCTGGGTTTAGCTGTGAGGGTCGGGGGCTGCAGCACCACTTCTCCAAAACTCACAGGATCTGCAAAACAGGATCAGCGATTCTCTGAACAAAGAACTGTATGTTTACACTGAGAATGACTGAATTCCAATGCTTCAGAGAGATTTATTATGGCTTTGTCTTGTGGATAGGGGTAAAAGAGTTAAGGGGGAAGGGAGAGAAAACTCCTCTACTTCCCTCTTCCTCCTGTGCACCCAATACATCTTAGCTCAAAGCACAAACGTGCCGCTGATGGCAATGGCCAGCTCGAAGCATATTAAAGCAGATCAGTCAGTCAGCAATCATGAGGTGAACGAAGCATGCTAGGAATTGATGGTTTCACTCCTGGATGAGGTGAGCCACCCAGTGGACAAATTAGTTTAAACATCACACCAGGAGCAGAGTGCTGCCCAAGTACAGTACCAGCCACACCACACTCTGGATATGGCAACACAATAATAACGCTTGCATTTGAATCTAACCTGCCCAGGAATCTAACCGAGGTCCTCTCGTTTGCGAGGCGAGCGCTCTAACCACTACCCTACGGCACTCCACAACAACACAAGTAACATGAAGACACAGCCGGCACCAGCACATAATAATAATAATCCTTGCATTTGATACAGCACTTTTGCACGTCTTCTCGACGTCTCAAAGCACTTCACAGAATATACTGTAAAGTGAATTAACCATATATTTGTGGGGGGAAATGAACGCGCACATGGAACGCAAGCGGAAAGCGGGACGCTCAATGCTACGTTACCCGTTATATACCTGAGAGCATTTCTTTCTCTCGGTCCACCTCGTTTCGCTCAACTTTCTTTCTGTTCAACCTCTCCACTCTCCTTCTGTCAAAGCTATTGGATGCAAACAGAAATTAGTCAACGAACACAATGCAGCATAGTGAGAATAATACTTGCGCTTCAAATAGGGCCTCGTGTCGTTGAAACATGTCAAAGCACTTCTCAGGATTTACTGTAAAGTGCAGTGAATTCATAGGTGAATGAACCTGAAGAGAATGTAAGGTGCTTAACCCTTCAGCACAGTACAGGCTCACCTCAGCACATCTGCTGTGCAGCATTCCACAATTCTTTTTCATTGGGACTCAATTTAAAGGAAGTTACATGGAAGAGATGGGCAGTTTTCTTGAAATTCATTGTGGGCAGAACCAATAGCATGGATTACGTACTTTTTCTTTCGCTCTGATTTAGGTTTGACCAGGCTCTCCTCCTGCTTCGGCTCTTGCATCTCAGGGCAACGGTACTCTTGATTTCGCGTCAGAAACATGACGTACTGCGACTCCCGGTCCATCCGCTGTATGTAGGCTCTCTCCGATTCCCCCTTCTTCTGCTTAAACTTCGGAACAGCTATGTAATCCTGCGGTTTTGAGTGTCCTGAAGCGGGTTTCGCTGCTGGGGCCACTGTTTACAAAGAGCAGATTTCTGTGGTTAAGTATTTCCCTCTAATTTTTAAAAAAACAATATTCTAGTTTCGCGGCACTTTTTGGGGATAAAAATTACAGGTTCTCCAAACAGCCCTCCACAGTCATGAAACGTCAGCCAAGGCAGCAAGTGTTGAGAGCGAGTCCAGCCGAGTCTTGTCCTGATCTCAACTAATGTCCACACTCGGTTTGCAGCGGGGATCACAGAGATCAAAAGCAGAAACTCTGGCTAAGTCCTTCTCCACCCAACCCCAATACAAAGCCAATGAGGATAATTGTCATGCTCCATCCGCTATTCCGGGAATAACGGATATTAGCAAAAACACACTAATAAAGACTTAAGGAAGGACAATTTTCACCATGCCGTGATTGTCAGTGGCTGCATCAGAGTAATCTGAATGTCTGAGGGGTATTACTGAAAGCAACTATCCTTTACCAGCGTTCTTCTTTGGCTTATTCATCCGTTTCTTCAATTTCTCTTTACTTCTCATTATTTCACGAAGTTTGTACGGAATCTCCTGATCGTCGACGTTCTTGGGCCTCATGTTGATCTCCTTGGGTTTCCTACGCAGTTACAAACACAGGCTATTACGACGGCCAAAACTGCAGTAAAATACAAATAGCCCATTATATTGCGGCCAATTATATTCAATCTGCCCGCGCCCCCCACTTATCCCCTCCTGCGGCCATCCTTCGATTGGACAAGCGCCTCATCAAGTTGCCAACGCGTCTCAAAGCTCTTCACGGGGTGTACCGCACAGTGTAGTGACTGGCGTATCCTCTTGCACTTGACCTCAGAGCGCTCCACGGAGAGTCAGCGACTGTCGAGTGTCGCGACTCTCACTGCGCACACCCCCCCCCCCCCCCACCCCGCCCGCCCCCCGAAATGCGTCAGCCTGTCACAGCGGCGGCGCTCCCGCCTCTCGGGACAGAAGGTCGCGGGTTCAGGCCCCGAGTCGGGGGCTCCGAATGGCACGTTCTAAGCTGACGTTCCAGTGCTGCGTTGTCGGGAGGCGCCGTCCTTCGGACGAGACGTTAAACACGAGGTCCCGCTTCCCTGTCCTGGTGGACGTTAACGATCCCGCGGCACTACTCCGAGTTTGTTTCCCTCTCTCCCGGTGTTCCCGGACGACAATCCCTCCAACCCCCCACCCCTCACTCCCTCAATCCTCCCCTCCGCCACCGCCTCCGCCCCAACCCAATGCAATCGGGTGCCTCACGCTCCGCGACTCGGGGACTGCGCCGCCGCCGCCGCCGCCTTTCACCCACAAAACACGCGCAAAAGTCACTACACTTTGCAGCATATTCTGCCCAAGCGCTTAGGGACGTCCGGAAGGACGTGACGGGGCGACGTGTCAACAAACGCAAAGGCCGACGGGGGAATGGTCGCCCCCCCACACACACCGCCGCACCGCACCTCTGGAGCTGCAAGTGCCCGGGTACCGGGCCACTCGGAGCCGCGGCTTTGCCTCTCCTCCTCCTCCTCCCCTCCCCCGGGGCCGGTGCCCCGCGTGTCCCCTTCATGGCTTCGGGGAGAAGCGACACACGTGGCCCTGACAACGGCGGCGAGTGGCGGCGGCGACCCTTGACCTCGGGGAGGAGGAGGAGGTGGAGAGCGTCTCGCGCTCCGATTAGCCGGACTCGCTGTCGCTCAACGGATCCGGCCAATCGCCCGCTGCCGGCGGCCCGCCGGGCTGTTCGTCACTTCCGTTGTGGGCGGCTACTTCCGGGGCCAAGGATGACGGGAGGAGGGAGAGCGGGATCCGCCGGTGGGAAAATGGCGGCCTAGCGACCGCGCCGACTCTCCTTCCCTCCCTCCCTCATGCGCCTCCTTCCCCTCCTCCCGGTCAGGGCCTGGCGGCGGCTGTGCGTGTGCGGGGGGAGAGCGGCGCGGGGCGGTTCCGGTCACCCTCTGGCCTCGGTAAGTGCCGAGTTAACCAGCCTCACCCCTCCCCGCACCGCCCCCCCCCCCCCACCCCATGACAACAACAACAACAACAACAACAATAATCCTTGCATTTCTGACACAGCGCCGCCTCACGCCTTCGAGACGTCTCAAAAGCCCTTCACACAACACCCAACACAACACAACGCGCCGCGCGGCGCAGCGAATGGGCTGTACTTTTTTTTCCTCTCTCGCGCGAGCGGCGGAGGAGGGCGGCCGAGATACCGATAGGGCTTACGTTGCCGCCGTCCACGTCGACGGGAGAACGTGACAGAAGCATTGCTGGCCAAAGCCGGAGGGTCCCGAGCCCCGACAGCGGTGTGCGCCCCCATCTCTGCTGGGGTGGGCATGGTCGACAACAACAACAACTTGCATTTATATAGTGCCCGCCCCACCCTCATTGCAGGGTAGCGTCCCGCAGCGCTTAAATCACGACGCTCGGCAGCAACTGACTCCCTGTGAAGTGCTCCCTGGGGGTTAAGCGCACGAATAAACCCCGGCTCTGAAAACCATTCGCCTTGGCCGTCGACGCGCCCTCTCCGTTGGGATCGGAAGACAAAGGTTGCGTCTCAAGAGGGAATCGGAAGTGCACCGGCCTCTGGATCAGACGGTTGTGGGAATGTCTCTCTCCCTGTGTCCCAGCCGACAAGCCCCCCCCCCCCCCCGTACTAATTGGTCGTTCACTTCATGGCTGTCACGGTGCGCCAAAATGGGCTGCCGTGTTTGCCCTACAAAAACCTGTGAAATGCTTTGGGACACCCTGATTTGAGAGGTGCTGTAGCAAATGCTGTATCTCATTATTAATAAAAAGTGTATGTACGTTGGGCTGACTTCACTGACCAGGCTCCTGTGTAATGGCCACTTGGCCGAGGTACCGTTTCCTGCTGGCAACCACATACAACTTTAACCCAGCAACGCCTAAAGAGAGGAGGCAGAGAGAATTGGACAAATGTCTCTGCCAAAGCCAAGTGCATTTAACTATGTTTGTCCAATTCTCTCCAGCACTGTAGTGGTGTCTCAGTCATCCAGCACCAGGCCAGCAGGTGTAAAACCTGTCCAATTGTTCAGGACACCGTGACTTAACATGAAAACATATTGAAAATATTCCTTTATTTCACAGATTCTTACACAACAGCCTTTAAGGTTCTTGCCTGGCAGAGACGGGTGGACAGTGAACTTGCCTTTTTTAGCATGGTCTTTGACTTCCTACAGGCCTGGACTCTTTAAGACTTTTCAGTTAACACGCTGTACCTGTATATTTGTCACATGCAAATGTTTTTTTACTTCGTCTGGGAGGGTGAGCTGTGAAGATAATAAACAGAATGGTCCTAGTCACCTTCAGAGTAAAGACCAAAGAGATTGGGGCAACAGGCCTATGCCCTTCCCACCACTTCCAACCACTTGCTGTATGAGTGGCTGCCAAAATTGTGTGTGGGTCACGTACGCAGAGGAGTTGATGAAGAATTTCCGGATGGAGGAGAGAAGGCCCTTGAAATGATTGAGGAGCACATTGAGGATGAAACCCTGAAAGCCTTTCTTAAGATGGAAATCCGGTTGAGGATGCAGGACAATATATGAGTGCAATGTATCCTAGTTTTGTGTGATTTCTAGCTCAATGAAGCTCAGATCCTTTAAACAGTGACACTCCCAGCTGCACAAATTAATCTGATTCATTGGGAGTGTTGTGACTTATTGCAGACACATCATAAATTATATTCTAAATTAAATTAAAACCTGACCTCTTTTAACTCATTGCTGTTGGATGTCACTGTCTGCAGCTCTAAACCTCGTCTACTTGTGTCTGCCCAGCATCTGCCAGCTAGAATATTGTCGAGGGTTATTTTGAGCTGTAAATTAAAGCTTTAAGTACGGATTGAGTTAAACAAGCTTCTGTTTTATTTCCAGGCAGATAACTTTGCAAATACAATGGAAGAGGAAACGTGCCATGGTCTTTAGCAAATAACTTCAAACCATTAAATACATGACAAATTTGCAGTTTGCCTGGAGTAAAACAGCCATCTATCTATATTACAGAAGCTGAACATCATAGCATGCAAAATAATGTTCAATAATCTGTTGTTGAAAAGTGATTCGCAAACACAGTGGTACCACGTCTCTCGTTTCAATCTAATGCAGTACTTTTCACATTCATCCCAGTGACTGTGCAGCACAACTGGAAGAGAAAAATCATTTTACTGCTCTGATACATAAGCGGTTCTGTCTACATTGCAAAGTCTCACACTTCATTCTCAAATTCTAATAGGAATTCTGCTCGGTGATGTAATTCTATGCCAACCACCTGTTACCCTGAATTTGCTGAGCATACAAAGTAAACTCCACCTGTATGTAATAATACAAGCACATTTGTACTCTGCCCCGGTTTCCTCCGTTGTTCATGTCCTGAAGGGTTCGGCCTGCAGGATGTATTAAAAAGCCAGGGACTTATCTCCTGTGTGCTGCTGTAGCACATTCTCCTTCCCACACAGGTGGAATGTGTGTTCACAAAATACACAGTCAATTCACTTCATAGTATATTCTGTGATAGTGCTTTGAGGAGCCTCAATGGCATGATAAGGCGCTATAGCAAATGCAAGGAATATTCTTTTTATAATGTGATTGAGCACAGATTCAAAGAATATAAAGGGTGGGGGTGCAGTGACTATTACACAGCGGTAATTCATCTCGTGTAGTGACTTGGAGGTGACAACCGCTTGCATTTATATAGCGGCCTTCACTCAGTGCAGCATCTCGGAGCGCTAAACGGTGGCAGAGCTTGGCAAACCCAAGGTGCCAAGTTTGTGCTCGTAGTGGATTTTATTTTTAAAAAGTTCGCCTGTTTCTGTTCAAAGCTCCTTCCATTAATTAAACCAACTGATGTCGTACAAGTACAGTAGCAGAGATATTTATACGGATCGTTTTGTTTTTAAAATCCACTGTCTTGATTCTTGTCGGAGTCCTGTGGCTCAGTGGTTAGAGCACTCGCTTTGCAAGTGAGAGACCTGAGTTCAATTCCAGGCAGAGGGCCAAACCTTGGGCAAGTTTCCTTACTCCACACAGAGCCTAATAACAATCCCTCCAAAACCAAAAACAATAATAAATTGGTCATTTTCAATCTACGACTGTTTGTGGGACATTGCTGTGCGCAATTGGCTGCCGCGTTCGCCCACAAATATACAGTCAATTCACTTTACAGTGCGTTCTGTGAAGCGCTTCGGGACGTCCTCCCGACGTGAAAAGCGCTATATCAAATGCAAGGATTATTATTATTAAGGGGGTCACAGAATACGAGGAAGCATAATTTTTTTGCTTTCGTCACGTATTTATTTTTGGGGAGGATCCATGTTATAAGGCTACATCCTGTTTATGTGCAAGATAGGAACCTGGGTGGATTGTGAGTGCCTCACAGGAAGAAGAGCTTTGTCAGACCATGGCATGAAGAATATGGATTAACCTTATCAGAGAGTGAGGGAGGTTTGCCATATAGAATGGGGGGGGGGGTGGGGGGGGCACCGAGCTGTGGAGAATTCCTGAAACCAGTCTGAATTTTGTCAGCCGGGCTCGGCCGATGGCAGTCTTGCCTCTGAGTAAGGCTCAGGCCCCTCTTCAGAGCTCACGGTCTGGGGGGGGCGACACCCCACACGCTTCTGTTTATCTCGCAGTAACGAGAAACCCGGTGGCGGTCAAGTCGATTGACGGATCGCTTTCCGGAGGGGTGGAGGTGGGGGTGGGGGGGTGTGGGGGGGGGGGGTAATAATCCCTTCGAAAATTAAAAGCGCGTTCACTCAACCCACGGCTGTTCGTGGGACGCCGCTGCGCGCGGTTGGCTGTCGCGTTCCGCCCGCGGAGTCTTAACAGCCGACGCACTTCCGCGGCGCGTTCCGCGAGCGGCTTCGAGACGTCTCCAAACGACGCGACCAGGCGCTGCGCGTCAAAGGCTCTCATTAATTACTATTGATATATCGATTATTAATATCATTATTATTATTATTATTACGCATAACGATAAGAGGGCCCGATCAGCTCGTTGGGTCTGTGTGGTGTTATAGTACAGACTGTGCAGATGGGATAGGATGTGGCAGTCAGACACAGGGCTGTGGATAGGCTGAGCTGTCAGTCACACAGACTGGAGTGAGTGAGTGAGTGTGTGTGTGTGTGTGTGAGTGAGTGAGTGAGTGTGTGTGTGTGAGTGTGTGTTGTAGGTACAGTCATATGGGACTTTGACGCACTGACGTGTCCCGGAGACTGCGATCCTGGTGTTGGGATTTGCTGAGTTCATTATCCTCAGGAAACCAGAGCCCTGAAGTCTGGGAATCCTCCCCCCAAACCCCCCCAACCCCCCCCCCCCCCCCCACACCCCCCCACACACACACCCCTCCCCATCTACCTCCCTCCCTCCCTCCCTCCATCCATCCTTCCCCCACTCCTCCTCCTCCCTCCTCCTCCTCCTCCCCACACCCTCACTCCCCCCCCCCCTTGTGTGTAAAAAAAAGAAAAGCCCTGCAATTATTTACAGCGTATTTTAAAATTCTCCTTTCGAGTTCTTTTCATTTTTTTCGCACCGAAATGGAAGGGAACGTTTACGGAGCGGCCAAAGCGGGCGGTGCCTTCGACTTAGTGAACTTTCTGAAACAGCCGCAGACCATCGCCAGGTTCCTGAGTTGGGTGAGTGAAAAACCCCCCTCCAAAAAAAAAATATATCTATAAATCTATATGTATGTAAAATGACATCGCTGTCTGATCAATTGAGACATTTGTTGCACTCCCCTCCGCTATACCTGTGCGGCTACAATGTATCCGCGATGTATCCCCTTTCGCTCGTCCGATGTTTGCGGAGTGTTTTTTCTTCTCAATATTTTTTCTTTTATTTGGTAAAATCGCGACATGTGTTTCTTTTCGAAACGGGTTTTTCCTTAAAACAAAATAGGATGTTTTTTTGGTTCGAGTGAGGCTTCTGGTTCCAAGAAAAAAAAACCCCAAACCCCCCCCCTCTCCACCCCCCCCCCCCCCTCCACCCCCCGTCGGTCGGTGTTTTTTTTTATTTTGTATTTCTGTCCCCATTTTCAAGGTTTCGATTCGCTTTAAAGCGAAATCGAAATGTGTAAATACATAGATATGTGTCGTGGCTTTTTGATACGATCTTGCACTTGGTGATTTTTTTTATGTGTGTGTGTGTGTGTGTGTGATGACTAATGATGAGGAGGATTTTTATTCCTTTAATACTCAGATCCCCTCCTCCTCCTCTTAAGAAATTCGAGTTTTAAAAGCAAAAAAAGATAATCAAGAGTGTGTCACTTGATGAGATTCACTTCTTGTTTATCTCACTCTCGTTTCTCCTGAACCTGTCTGTAACATTGCCAACTGCAGGCCCGAAATAAACCCATAGAAAGTCTTGTGTGTGTGTTTTTTTGCTGCACAACAACCCCCCCCCCCTCCCCTGTCTTTCACCTACTTCCGCGTTGTGAACTTCAGAGAATCACATGCTCGGCCTCATGTTTCAGGTTCAAAGAGGAGAAGGGATGAATCCAATCCCAGTGCTGGGAAATAAACATATACACATACAACTCAGGCACTCACTCACTCACACACAACAACAACCCGCTCAGCGCTTGCTGACTACCCTACTTTTAAAGCGCAGGACTAGGCAGAGAACCGGCACCACGTTTAGGTACGCGGTCCACGCGCTCAAGGTGGCGTGCAGACGCTTACGCTGGAATAAATGCCCGAAAGACGAGCCTTGCAACGAATGATGTGCTTGCAGAGCGCGTTAAGTGCTGCGTAAATGAAGCCCTCGAATAAGTGCCCCCGTGTGTGAAACATTGCTGGTGTTTCAGCCCTTGTCTCGGGTCAACAACAACAATAACAAATTGCTTTAAGATAGTGCCTCTCACGTCGGGAGGTTCAGGTGGTGCATTAAACCCCATTCGCGCATTAACCACAATCGCCGTACTCTTGTTTTCCCTTTGCCTCAGATAACAGGCCTTCGGTGTTGCCTTTTTAATGCAGTTTTCTCGTAGGGGCCTCGGCGAGTGTGTGTGGGTCATCTTTTAAAAAAATCATTCAACGTTCTTTCTGGGTATAATAAACGGGCACCGGTAATCTGGCTGATTCACATCTCAACCCAGGCAGCTCCAGGGGATGTAGGGAACCCAGTCAGAAAAAAAGTCCTTGATGTTGCTATTGGAATAAGTCAGACAGGACGAGGTGAAACAGCAAAGCAGCTTTGGTCAAGAACAGGCTCTTTTCTCTGAGTGCTTCCTCTCAGGACATGAGAAGCTCAGAGAGTGAGAATGGCAAAGAGGCTGAGAAGTGGTGTTGAGAACAGTGACGTGTTTCTGCACTGTTGGGTCTATCGGCCATTTTTAGCTGTTGTGGTATTTTGATCTGCACCAGGAAGTAAGGTCGATCATTGCCACATGAGTCTTGGATGTGGCGTGTTGCTAACTTGGCTTTTTTTGTGTTGTTGCGCCGTTTTGTTGCAGGTCTTTGCAATAGTTGTCTTCGGCTGCATCGTGAGCGAGGGCTATGAAAACACCCACACATCTGGAGAGTTGAAATGCATCTTCAATGGAAACACCAACGCCTGCCACTACGGTGTGGGGATCGGAGTGACTGCATTCCTCATCAGCACCGTCTTCTTTGGGCTGGATGGCTACTTCCCCCAGATCAGCAACATCACTCAACGCAAACACATCGTGATTGTTGACCTGGTGGTTTCAGGTAGTGAATCCTGCACGCACTGTGGGTTTTAGTTTCCAGGCAATAAGGAGCGGAAGGGGGGGGTAGGGAGTGGGGGTGGGTGGGGAGGAGAGAGATGCTCTTACATTGACTCTCAGCACTTTAATAGAATTTCAGTATTCCCACTGCTTATTTTAATGTTTATAACTGGACTGCTTCCTGTAGCTAGCGCCAGTCTGATTGAGTTGGCAGTGCTCTCGTCTCTGAGTCAGAGGGTTGTGTATTCGAGCCGCCACTTAGGGCTCATGGTCCACGGTCGTGCTCCAGTATTTTGCTGGAGGACTGGGGTGGAGAGTAAGTGAGCCGCACTTGGAAATGCCGTCCTTTGGACGAGACGTTAAAAATCGAGCTCCGTCGGCCTGTTCGGGCGGACGTTAAAGGTCCCTGCCAGGACTCTATTCCCCCCTCTCCAAAAGAGAAGGGGAATTTCTTGCACTGACATGTCCAACCGAGCCTCCGGTTAAAGTATTCGTTCACCTCATAGCTGTTCGTGTGACGTGTGCCGCGTGTGAAGTGACCGGCGCATTTGCCTGCGGTGGTGGTCTGAGTGGGGGGTGGGGGAAAAAAAAACTCTGCCCTCGCCCGTCGGTAGGAATAACCGTGAAGTGTGTGGAGATGTTTCCCCGCGATTAAACCTGAAAATAGCTTCGCCGCCTGGCGGGTTCACGCTGCCGTTTTCTCTGGTTCTCCTGTAGCTTCCTGGACCTTTCTGTGGTTTGTCGGCTTCTGCTACCTGACCAATCAGTGGGGGTCCACTCCCCTCAAGGAGTACGGGGTGGACGCCAGCCGAGCCAACAGCGCCCGGGCTGCCATCGCCTTCTGCTTCTTCTCGATTTTCAGCTGGGTAAGGCGCGAGCGAGGCCTGGCTCGGGATTGCGCGGGTCCAGGGACTTGCAGGATAGAGGTATAGCTGCGTGGGGTCTTCTGGGTCTCGGTCTGCGCCTCTCCCGAAGGCAGCCGACCGCGGCAAGCAGTCGTTTCTCGCTCTCGACCGGGGCGCCCGCCGTTATCGCGACGCCCTTTCTTGCGAGCCATCGAACGGGCACGGAACCAAACGGAAGGGGTTTTCGAGCTCCCATTTGCTTAAGATATTCTGAACAAAACAGTAATAATCCGGTCTCTCAATTCCACGACCGTTTGCGAGGGTGGGGGGTGGGGGGGGAAGGAAAGGGGGGCAAGGGGGGGACACTACCGGGAGCAATTGGCTACCGGGTCTGTGCCCACAAAATATACAGTTGACAACAACAAGGACAACAGCAAGATTATATTTGTAACAGCACCTTTCACGTCGGGAGGACGTCCCAAGGCGCTGGACAGTGGACAGCATCTCAAGCCACTTAAACAGAGCATTCTCGCGAAGCGCCTTGAGGTGCCATCCTGCCCCCACCCCCCACGCCCCCCTTGTCATTCTGCCTGGTTGACGGTCTGACCGCCCTTCTCTCTCTCTCTCTCTGTCTCTCTCTGTCTCCGGTGTCGCACAGGGCTTCCAGACGTGCTTCGCCCTGAAGCGATATCGCATGGGGGTGGAGGACTTTTCCGACAAGTACACGGACCCCACCCACGACACCGCCGGGCCGTACTCTGCTTACCCGAGCAATGCCGACGACAACTACCAGCAGCCGCCGTTCACTGCTGCCCCGGAACAGGGCGCGGACGAGTACGTGCCTCCCGTGTACTAGAGGGGCGAAGCGGACCCGGAGCCCTGCCCGAGCATCTGAGACAGCTTGCCAACGTAACGCAACGACGGCGCTCCGTGGCCTTTCCTTGTAATATCTTTATGTGGCTTTCGCCCCTTTTTCCCCCCCTTCCCTTTTTTTTGTCCCACCCCTCTTTTTTTTTGCTGGGCCTGCAGTGAGTGTCATGACCCGCTTCCCAGTGTCGCTGCTTCAATGTGAGTAAGTGTGAGTGAGTGAGTGTTGCTGAATAACTCTACTCCCCCCCACCCTCTCCCTCCCTCCCTGGCAGAGGGATGCACCCAACCCTTACCTTACCTCACACACACCCCATTCCCACCCCCCACCCCATCACCCCACCGAGGAATCGGGCACGCACTCACTGATTGCACTCTCAACCCAGCCCTCTCCCCATCATAGAACGTACTAATTCCCCTCTTCCCCTCCCTACCTCGGCCCGCAACCTCTTCTCATTCATTCATTCTGAGGAGGGAGGGGGTGGGAGGGGGGGATATCGGGGTGGGCGATTTTGGGACGGGTGTCCTGACTCTTGCTCGGGATCTCCCTACTCGTTTCACTTTCCTGCGCAGAATGAAACCTGTGCTGGACATGCCGTGTGTATTTGAGCTTGATGGCAGAAGCCCTGGTTACAGGTGAGCCTGTAACTCACTCCACTGGCGTGGTTCGGCTTCTCACACATTCACAGTGACTGGTCCGTACAGAGACAAAGAGAGAGAGAGGGGTCCTCTCCCCTTCCCTCCCCTTCACCCAATTCCCCTCCCGACAACACCGTCCCTAACTCAATCCACACAGCATTGGGTCCGTCATGTTCCCCTACTGTTTTGGGTATTTGTGTGTTTTAATGGCAGCAGCTTAAACCCGATCAGGGGTTTGCCTGGGTGAGGTGTTTGCTTGTTAACATCTGGCAGTGGGTGGGGGAGTGGGAGAGGGAGGGCTTGTAAAGGGGCTGTCTGTAGCCAGGCTGCCTCTCTGCGGGGTTACTGTGAGGAGTGTGGAAGCGCTGGATTCCTTGCGGTGTTTTCAGAAAGAATTGGAAGTCGGTCGCAAACACTTACCATCATCCTTGCTGGCAGCAGATTCCAGCCTGGGGAGTGACTGTGAGTGTGGGTGGGGGAGGTTGGGTTGGGATGCGATCCACACCCAATCTCAGCACAGATCCTAACCCCTTAAGGTACAGTCCGAGTTACCTGCTGTGTTCTTGCCCAGGGGAAGATTTCATCTGGGAGGGAGGAACAGTTCATTTTCTTTTGCTTTTTAATTTAAAAAAAAGCTGAATCAGTGAAACAAAGCGGGTTGAAAGAGGGAGGGATTGATTTATTTTACTGTAGTCCCGTGATAATCTCCACAGGTTCTGGTTTGCTCCTAGTGAAGGATGGCGATAGGACTGCTTTTGATAACTTAGATTTATTGAGGATTTTTTTTGTTGTGTTGCTTCATATTGTGTATTTTGTTTCGTCTGCTAGTAGAAAGGGGGAAAAAAATCACTTGAGTAAAAACGAGAATTTTATATTCTTTTTATAAACTACTGAAATGGGTCTTTAAAATAGGAGAGAGGACATATTCGCTTGACTCTGATTTGTACTGATTGAATGTAAAATATCAAATTGTATGTTTGGGAAATTGTTGGGGCTGAAGTGTAATCGAGACTCTGACTGGCGGTCACACTTGGCTTGTTGTTGCTGCTTGGAGGGGACTGTGCCAGAGACTGGGGTGGGGGTTTGGGGTTGGATTGTTCCCACTTAACAAGTGGGGAATAACTTGAGGTGTAGTTTGTGAATGGAGGAACGGTGGATATCAGGTCACGACTACCTTCCCACCATGTGCAGTAAGTGGGCGCTGCGGAGAAGCTAGACCGTCCATGCCTCGCTCACATCAGCGCGACTTCCGTACAAGATGCACGTCCAAGTAAAGCTAAGCCTTTGATTTCCCCCTTTGCACTTGTGAGTGAATGGTCTGCATGCACTTCACCTGCATTGGGTTGGTCAGTGCCCATTGCAAACAGTGCCTTCACCTTCTGCCTTAATGTTGATCAGATGCACCTCAGTGGAAGGGGAGCGAACCCCTGCACACCTCCCATTGTACCAAAAAAAATCACTGTTTCTTATTTAAATCTATTAAAACCTCTTGATTTTGTTTCCTACGCTTATCCACAGTGGTCACGTCCAGTTATGTTCCTCCGATGCCATGATTATTCAACCTAAATAAAATTGGTTGATGTTATTTGAAAGAAACGATTAAACAGATCACTGAGGCTGTTACTTGGTCAGGCTGTCCATCCGTCCATCCATCCTCCCCCACCACCAATCCCAGTTTAGGTGAAGTACATTTCACTTACTCTCTTGATCACTCCCAACTGTGGCTATCAACAGAACAAAGGTAACAAGAGGCTGGGAGCTGCTGCTCCCGAACTGGACGGTGGTGGTTGTAGGTTTAGAGAGGGAATAACTTTTGTAAAGTGTGCTTAACTTTCAGTCCTAGAGCTGCTCTTTGCAACCCTTGCTTTTAACTGGTGCTGTGTTCAATCGCATCGGCAAAGAATGTTTGATTGAATGGTGGTTTGCCCTGAAACACACAATGCAGGGCAGACCATCAGCTGAAACTACCTACATGCTAAACCCCAATCATTTGCTAGTCTTTGTGACCAAACCAACACTGGCGAGTGTTAGTGCTAGAACAGAGTTTAGAAGACAATTCAGTACTTATGCTAGGAATAAAGATGACTTCACATGGCCCAACAAAGTGCACTTTTAATACTGGCGTTGCATATTGAGCACTTGTCTTCCCACAGATGACTCATGTTTTACTCATAAAGAATAGCCTTTGTTTCACAAATCACACCCACGCAAAATGAAACTGCACTATACCCACAAAATTTGGATTACTTTTTGAACCAATGACATTTGTTCAAAACCGAGTGTCTCTCTGAGCAGTCTTAGGACCAGCCCAGTTGATCTGTAATAATCTCGTGGATAGTCCATATCGGAGGTGTCTTTAGATAGATGACATTTAATGGTTCACGTTTTCAAGCTAGCCTGCAGTGTTAAAATAAACCTGAAAGAACACTGGTTCGGAATATGGAGGAGTGGCGGTGTTGTTAATGCTGTGGCCTTACCTTCGTTGATGTGCCTTCCAGTTCTTTCCGCTACTGGCTGATGTGTTGCAGCTTTTGCTGTGATGTACTTTCATTCTCTAAAGCTGTTTGTGGGTTGAAGTTTCCAGTAAATCATGGGAAGTTTTATTGATCAGGAAGTCGTTCAATACTATCCAAATAAACACCCTTTGGAAAGCAATGGGGAAATGTTGAGTGTTTTTTCAAATGTATCGTTTTTGGATGAAAATAGTTTGGTGTTGTAAGTGGTACCAGCACTGGGTATGGGCAATGGTTTCAAAATTAATCCGGTTTAATGTACAAGGGGAATGGAGCCAGGATTGGCAAAGCAGCCTTGTGTAACTCTGGTAGATTTTCAGCATTTTTTTGTTATGTAGAATTGCGTAGAACTTTACAGTAACAGGCCATTCATCCCAACTACAAAGTTCGCTTACAAAACAGTAACTATACTTGCCAATATATTCCTGTGAAGTGCTTGAGACATCCTCCCTTTATGAAAGGTGCTATATCAAAATGTAGATTTATTAAATATTCCATGCTGGTGTTGATACTCCACACTCTCTCCCAACCCTCAAAATAGATTTGAGTGCATGATCAAATTGGACATCTTTGATCCAACCCCCAACTCAAAAGACCTTCCTTTGGCAAAGCTATTGCAAGAGGGTCGCTCGCTGGATTGCTGTCCACTTCACACACAGAATCCAAGTACTGACATTACAGGCAAGTGCAAAATGCAGCCAGTACAGACTAACAACTGGAGATTCAAAGAAACAAACCCCACATAACATGGCTTAAAGAAGTAATGAACCTCTGACCTAACAATGTAATGATTTAAACAATGTTTTTAATGTGTTCAGTTACAAAATTCAGTTACACAAAAATTTTACGCATAAGAGGCACCCGAATATTCCAAAGCCCAGTAAACGATTTTACAGCAAATAGGTCACCAAAGTGTTAACAGTGTTTGTCCCGTATTGAATGTTGTTCCAGTATTGAGACAGAGCAGTGCTTGCTTATGCAGTGTGAGAAGCTGCCTGGAATAATGGTTCTGCTGCCTAGAGAAAGTAAGTGCAATGAACACTGCAGTTAGCAAGATAATTGAGTTCACAAAACACAGGAAAGACCAGAAGGTGTTGCATCTTCTCTCCGAATTCTGTGAGCGGGATGCGTCCCTCCAGGTAGTGTGCATATTCCGTTACAATAAAGATCTTTGAATTTCCATGTGTAGATGGGATGCATGAAACTCTTTAGTGTGGATATTCCTAAGCATTGCGATGGGTTTCCTCGTGTGTCAGACACCCGGCTGACCCGAAAAATACTGACATTTATTAGACCTTAGCCTGCGAGACCAATTTTTTCTTAATCACGCAGATTTTGGCAGATAACTCTTCAATTCAGCCTTGATCTGGAAGCCAGTTTCTATAAACTGAATGCGAAAACCAGCTTCCAAACCCAAGGCTGAAGTCGAGCGCAATCTTAAAGGCAAAAGTGGTCAAAGAGGCTAAGACTAGGTGGAATTTGGGGGCTTTGAATAATAGCCTATCCAGGGCTATTGTGGCAGTGAACTCACACAGCATGTGGTAGTTGTAGCAAATGGGACCATCCCTGATGTATATTGAAAGCACCTTTGAGCGGGTTTGGGGGAGTTGAATCCTGATGAGCTAATTCAGGCACAGATTTTCTAAGGCCCTCCTCGGTGTTTTACTAACTTTCTGATTGTCGAAGTGTTTCAAGTGGAGGGAAGTCTCGTCCTTTCTTCCCAGATTTTCTTTTTCAGTCTTTCTCTGCAGCGGCTCCGATTCCCCAAAGTAGCAGCGCCTGCACGTGGCTCGGTATATGTCAGTCCCACCGATGACCTCCACCTGCCAGAGGGAACAACTGGTTAACCAGCTAGATACCCAGCCACACCTGAAACAATAAGTTATACTTACACAGCACCTTTCATGTCAGGAGGATGTTCCAAGGCGCGGAACAGTCGAGGTTTTGCACCCAAGCTGGGGTTGGAATCAAGAAGGGTAGCGGCCAAAGGGGGATGGAAGGATGACCGAATGCACGGTCAAGGAGGAAGCTCTTGAGATGGGCTTTGAAGGAGGCAGGTAGGTGGCGAAGCGAATGAGCTCCGGAGATGGCGTTCCGGAGATGGAGTTTGGAGGGTAGGGCGGACAGGCTGAAGGCCCGACCGCCGACTGTGGGATGGGGACACACAGCAGGCCAGTGCTCGCGAGCGGAAAGGTTGGTTTGTAAGCCATACAGCTGGGGAGGAGCAAGACAGTGAAGTGCATTGAAAGGGAGGACGAAGATCTTAAATTCGATCCTCTTGGCGATGGGGAGCCAGTGAAGCCGGGCAAGGATGGGGGTGATCGGATCATGGAGCTTGGTGTACTAACTACCAAGTGCTCCTGTGAAACAGGATTGCATCCAGCATGATCCCACAAGATTAACAACAAATTAAAACAAACATGATATCCTCGGGGACACTGACCTGTTTTTCAGAGCCCAGCCGGGTTGTGTACGAGGCTTCCCTGTAGCAGCCCATACACACGGCGTTCAGCTTCACCACACTCTCAGCCAAGGGAACTAGATTCAGGATATTGCCAAAAGCCTGGAAAGTAAGAGAGCAAACACACGCTCAATCAGACACCAAGGACAACTGCACCAGAGACAGAGTTACAAGCTCCTGATGGGAGTCACGTAGAGTATTGGTTAGAGCGCTTGCCTCACAAGAGAGAGGACCCAGGTTCGATTCCCGGCTGGGCGAAACCTTGGGCAAGTTTCTTTACACGCCTATGTTTATCTAGCGGTAAGTTGGAACTCGGTTGTCCTTACTTTTCTTTGGAAAGTTCCATCCAGCGCTGCCACGATCACCGTTCTCCCCTGGTTGGCCATTTCCTCAGAGAAATCGACACAATCTGGAAACTGGACAGAACACAAGAAAAGTTACAGACTGTTCTTAAAGCAGTATAGAATTAACTCACTTGGACCAACATTCACACGGTGCTCAGGTGGCACCAACATCAGCCTCTAATTCGAAATGGAAGTTTAAAAGATCTGGCTTTCCTACAAAAATGAGACACCGCACCTTTAAAGGCTTGGAATCTCTCCCATCCGAGTTTCTCAATTAGATATAATTATTTTTCCAGAGATTATCATTAATTATTATTATTACAAAGTGCAAATAATTTATAGATGTTGACTATTCACAGCCCACACCGAGGTAGGGAAATGAGCGTCAATGTTACAGTGAGCTTCACACTCACAAACTGTCCTTCGTCGATTCCAATAACAGAGCATTGCAGGGCTTCTTGATAGACCTCCGACAGCATGGTCACAGCGATCGCTGGCATTGTGAACCTGCGCCAAACAAGACGAAACCTCAACTGAGTTCCAAAGAGAAATTACGGAATAACAGCACGTTCCACCAAAGCCTGGACCGTCAAGTACCGTACAAATGAAGAATCAGATGCCAAGAGGTGACATCCATCGTTATTCTTTACCAAAATCCGGGCACCAAATCTCTTCCATCAAATGTCAGGCGCCTCACTAACCTTTCCATAACATTTCAGATTGGTTTACTGATCTGCAGTCATCCTCCCTTCCTCTCCCCTTTGAAAGCCCAAATGACTGCGTTAAAATAAAAAATCGCAACAATTCTAGGGTTTCTAGAGCGTGTCTTTGATCACACCTGCTCCCAGCAAAGAAAACTTAAAGCTGGCCACTCGTTTACAGTTGCAGAATTCGGTTTCGAAAAACTGAATTTAAAAGCTAAATTCATTACACTTCATTACAATAACGTCAACCAGATTAGCCCAGTTAATTACCACCCTGACATCGTACTGACTTGTCATGTGTAGCCACGTCTTCGTTGCTGTACCGCACATCCTTTGCGTACTTGATCACAAGGCACACATGCTGAGCAATCTGATACCTCCTCACACGGCGCATCAGTTCTGTGCTGCAGAAAGATACCCAAGTTAGTCCCAACCGAGGGCTTTGTAAAGTTTTAAAATAAACTTCCTGCTAGCTAATTTATCTCTCCATGGAACATCTGGCCTAATTCCTGGGCTCTTCAGACTTCTTGTAACAAGCAAGTCGCTAGTCACCAAAACGAACAAGAGAGCATCAGAAGGAGATTTTGTTGGGTTCTCAACATTGAAGAGAATCTCTTGTTTCTCATTGTTGGAACACCTCGTAGCACTTCACAGGACTTACTGTAAAGGGTAGCGAGTGCATTCAAAACACGCATGGAACAGCCAATTTGCATACAGCACTATCTGACAAACTGCTATGACGTCAAGATGTCCAATTTTATCAGGGGTGAGGAACAGAATCACTGGACAGGAAACCTTGAGAAAATTCCCTTTGTGTGTTTCACACCAATGTCTCACAGGCGTGTGGGTTCCTGTAGCTCAGTAGGTGGAGTCCTGTGGCTCAGCGGTTAGAGCACTCGCTTCGCAAGCGAGAGGAACTGGGTTTGATTCCTGTCAGGGCAAAATGTTGGGCAAGTTTCCTTACTCCACACGCCTCTGTTTACTCAGCAGTAAGGTAGGAACCCAGTTGTGAGTCGATTGGTGGATCGCTTTTCCGGGGTTAATAGTTCCTCAAAAAAAAACCACAATAATAATTTGGTCACTCAATCCATGACTGTTCGTGGGACACTGCGGTGCACAATTCACTGCGCGTTTCGCCCACAAATGTACAGTCAATCATCCAAATGCAAGCCACCGGTGTACAGTTGCACAGTTGGGTCATGACCCGAGCAGGGGGGAAATGGTCAGGGTGAGGGGAGGGAAGGGAGGGAGCGAGGAGGGGGGAAATGGTCAGGGTGAGGGGAGGGAAGGGAGGGAGCGAGGAGGGGGAAGAGAGTCGAGAGGGGAGCTGAAGGCACGGTCAAAGAGAAAGGTTTTGAGACCGGCCTTGAAGGAGGAAAGGGAGGAAGCGGTGAAGGCACTGGGGGATGGAGTTCCAGAGCCTGAGGGCTGAGAGGCTGAAGGCCCGACCACCGATGGTAGGGCGGTTGGGGCGGGGGACATGGAGCAGACCGGAGCCAGAGGAACGGAGGGTACGGGCAGGTAGGTAGGGGGATAGTAGGTTGGAGAGGTAGGAAGGAGCGAGGCCGTGAATGGCCTTGTAGGTGAGGATGAGGATCTTGAAATCAATCCTCTGGGGGATGGGGAGCCAGTGGAGGCGAGCGAGGGTGGGAGTGATGTGGTCGCGGTGTCTGGTGCGGGACAGTACACGAGCTGCAGAGTTCTGAATGACCTGCAGCTTGTGGAGGGAGGTGGCGGGAAGGCCGGCGAGGAGAGAGTTCCCATAGTCCAGCCTTGAGGTGACAAAGGCGTGGACCAGAGTTTCAGCTGCGTGAGGGGTGAGGTAGTGCCGTAGTCTGGCGATATTCCGGAGGTGATGGAAGGCGGTGCCAGTTGTGGTGCGGATGTGAGGGAGAAAGGACAGCTCAGGGTCGAACAAAACGCCGAGGTTCCTGACTGGCTTTGAGAGGTGGAGAGTGCAGCCTTGGATGCTGATGGTGTCAGCGCCTGAGGTGCGGAGGCGCTGACGTGAGCCAATCAGGAGGGCCTCGGTTTTTCCAAATACTCTTCGACCGAGCCTTCAGCTCCCCTCTCGACTCTCTTCCCCCTCCTCGCTCCCTCCCTTCCCTCCCCTCACCCTGACCATTTCCCCCCCTCCTCGCTCCCTCCCTCCCTTCCCTCCCCTCACCCTGACCATTTCCCCCCCTCCTCGCTCCCTCCCTCCCTCCCTTCCCTCCCCTCACCCTGACCATTTCCCCCCCTCGCTCCCTCCCTCCTCCCTTCCCTCCCTCACCCTGACCATTTCCCCCCTCCTCGCTCCCTCCCTCCCTCCCTTCCCTCCCCTCACCCTGACCATTTCCCCCCCTCCTCGCTCCCTCCCTCCCTCCCTCCCTTCCCTCCCCTCACCCTGACCATTTCCCCCCCTCCTCGCTCTCTCCCTCCCTTCCCTCCCCTCACCCTGACCATTTCCCCCCAATGCTCGGGTCATGACCCAACTGTGCAGCGCCTCGGGACGTCCTCCCGACGTGAAAGGCGCTCTATAAATGGAATCTTGTTGTTGTTCCTTCAGTCGATTTTAAAATCTTGTATTTGGAAGGGGAGCGAGCGGCGGCTACAAATCTATCGCTCCTCCGGGCCGGGACAGCGTCCGGACGTGATCTGTGGCCCCTCCCATCCTGGGTGGGAAGGGGTAGGTGTCAGAGCCTTCTTTTTAACGAAAAAGAAGTTGGCTTTTTGAATGAAGAAATTTGAATCTCCCGCCGGCGGGTTCCAACAGTTTCACTCCCTGTGACTTTGCAACAGGAAACTGCTGAGTTCAATGAAGACATTGTATATATTTCTCTAAAAAATATCTAGTTCCAGGAGGCTGCACAGAATGCATCCTCTCTGCAGCCAGACATCATGATCATCATCTAATGAAAGAAAAGTCACTTTGCAATTTGTTTTATTCCCCCATCCTCTCTGAACACCCCACCCCCCCCCCCCACCCACCCCCCCACCCCCACCACCACTCACCCACCCAACTAATGACTGCAATAAAACATTTTTTTACCTTTTTCCAGAGAACATGGGCCCGAAGATAATCTGAGGCAGAAGAAAGAAAGTGAAAGAGTTTTTTTTAAAAAAGTGAAGGTTATTCAGTTCTGGAGGGAATGGAAAAGAAATTACTATCAACTCTTAACAAAGAAAGGCCACGAGTTACCCGAACCCGAGTCCTGATCGACGACTGAACAGTAATATCATTTAAATTGCAATCGAGTCAAACGATCCCAAAAGTGCCTATTTTTTAACATATATATATACAATAGTTTGGGGGGAGTTTTACCTGAATTTGACCCTTCACTTTGCTGGGGGAGGTTGGCATGTTTAAGCAGTTCATGGTCCTTTTTTTTACATATACCCCCCCCCAAGAAAATAAAACTCCAGTGCGGAAAAAGTCGAAAAAAAAACGAAAGTTTTAAGTCAAAAGGCGAAGAGGGAAGAGAGAGAGAGAGAAAATGACAACTCAGAGAGTGAGTGAGAGAGAGAGAGAGAGTAATTGTGAATGGAATGAAACTGTATCGCTCAGGAGTCTCGACCAATCAGCGGAGCCTCTTCGTCACTGCTCACCCCCCAGCACAGCTGATGATAAGGGGGTCAGGACCCGCCCCCCCCCCCACCCCCCCCCCACCCAGACACCCCCCCCACCCCCCCCACAGCAAGGCTTGGGCTTCTCGACGTCCCAAAGCGCTTCGCAGAATAGACCGTAGACTGCGCACGGCGGCGTCCGTCCGTCCGTCCGTCCCGTCCCCCCACTCCGCCCCGAGGGCGCGAACGGTCGTGGATTGAAAATGACCGATTTGTTATCGTTTTATCTTTTTTTTTCGGGGGGGTGGGGGGAGGGGGGAGGGGTTGCTGTTAGGCCGCGCGCGCGCGCGCGCGTGAGTGGAGTAAGGGAACTTGCCCAAGGTTTTGCCCGGACCTGCCCGGAATTGAACTCGGGTCTCTCTCTCTCTCTCTCTCTCTCTCTCTCGCTTGCGAAGCGAGCGCTCTAACCTCCCAGCCGCTCGGTCCCCCCATCCTCTGGAACGCCATCCATCCCCCACGGTCCCCCTGCCTCGCTAAGACTCCCCCCCTTTCACTCAAAGGGACGCAGAAATCTGGAATTCTCTCCCCCCCCCCCCCCCAAAGGCTGTGGATGTCGGATCCATCCACACCTTCAAGAGTGAGGTTGATAGATTTTTGGTAGGTCAGGGTATTTAGGATATGGGGAGAAAGCCGGAAATTAGAATTGAAAGCACTATTTGGGGTACAGATCAGCCATGATCTAATTAAGTTGCGGAACAAGCTTTAAGGGCTGAATGATCTCCTCATGTTCCTATGTTCAAATGGAAGTCGTCGTTGTTGTTAATCCTAATCCTCAAGACAAAGCCCTTGGATAAAATAGGATTGTCCCTGCTGGACAAGCAGCGGGAACCTTGCTAGACAGGGCTTTCAATGGCAAGCTATGGAGTTCCAACTCCTTAAATTCCAGCAGTGAGCTTCAATACCATTCGGAGGTCTCCAAATTTTAGCACTTGCTCCCTTTCGCTTAATACTTTCTGAAATTGGTGAGCTGGGTGTATGTCTCCAGGGGTGGCGTGCCTATTCTAGAAATGGAAATTTCCAGGTATGGAAATTTCAATTTGGTTTGGATTCCCCTAGGCACAGTGACGGGTTATGACTGACCAACATAATAAAAGAATAATAATCCTTGCATTTGATATCGCGCCTTATCCTGTCTTTGAGACATCTCAAATCGCTTCACAGAACAAACCCAGTTCCCATTTGTGCCTGTTCAGGTGGACGTTAAACAGCATATGACACTAATTGGAAAAGAGAAAGGAACTTGCTTCTCCCTGGCCAAGAATCCCCCAGATAAAATTGGTGGAGTGAGTGACCAATTTTTGTTCAAGGAGTTATTACCCCCAGAAAAGCGATCCGCCAATCGACGACCAAAAAACAGATTCTTACTGCTAGGTAAACAGAGGCATGTGGAGTAAGGAAACTTGTCCAACTTGATCGTGATTCGCACGCAGGTCTCTTGCTTGCGAGGCGAGTGCGCTAACTATTGAGCTACAGGACTCCACACCGAAACTATGAAATATATACATTTTCTGGAATATTTAGGGCCAATTGTGATACGCAAATCTCTCCATTATGAGTCAAATGACTTCCACCTGTACTGTATATTTCAAAATGTTGACTGGAATACAGATAGTGACTTAACAGTTAAAAGTAACCAATATTTGCCTGCACAGCATACTTTACTCTCCCAGAGCACACAGCGATTTCCAGAGCTGATTACATAACAAGGTTAATTCCTGACCAAGTCACCAGCTCTGTGAGAATTCCTGCAACTTTCAGCAGCAGTATGTGCTCTTGGAAGCAAATGGATTTAGAAGTAAGTCCATTTTGATTAGCTGGTCTACGCACAGCATACTAGGATAATCTTTTTTCGATTGCTGCCATACCCTGCTTGATTGCCAGTACATTAGAGTGTCTTCATAAATATAAACGACTAAGTGAACATATTAAATGTAAGTAGGGAACCTGATACACAGCCTCATCAAACTGCATTCACATGATCAAAGTAACAGGATACAAACTTGGAAGCTCTGAGTGCTTTTTTTTTGGCTTATTTGTTTCTCTCTCCTCTCCTCGCACTGACTCCTGTTGGAATACAGTTTGACAGTTACCAGCAATCCTAAACCGATCAGTACTTTACCCGTCGTGCGTGACACTGAGTGTTAATGGGAATGCATCACAGCTGAGCCTGATCGTGAATTCATCAAATGTTCTCTCTCCTACATACACACATATATACTGTCTGTGCAACAAAGCAGCCTCTGGATAAGGATCAGGAACAAAATCCCTGACTGTTTTTCTCTTTCTCCAGCCTAGCAACTCCGAGGCCACATAGCATTAATAATTACTTGCCTTATTGCGACGAGGTAGTAAGAGGGCAGTTATTTCACCTGCGATATTTAGTTTGTATGCCTCAGTTTGATTCTAAACAGCGTCTATGCCCAGGTATCTGATTGGACTGAGGTAGCAATGGGGAAAGTTGCTATTTTAATAAAGTATATATATATATATATGTATGCACATATTTTATTTTGTTTTCTAATTCATAGCCATTCATAGCCGACTTGTATTCCAAAGAGGTGAGATAACTATAGGTTTGCACTCGCTCTACCAAGATTACCACTTTGTACCAGAATATGTTTAATCTTTTACTTTAAGCCAGAGGTAGCCAACCTTTTTGGTCGACCAACAAAGTAAATTTTCTTGATTGAATATTTTGTGTTTTGTGTCATAACTGAAGAACTATTGCCATGGGTTGGCCACCACCGCGTTAAGAGCTCCGCGATGTCATTCCATGTGAAGAGTGCTATATAAATGCAAGTTGTTGTTATTTACTTTGTGAAACATCTGTAAATTTTGTAGGAGCTTCAAAAGCAATATTCCCCCAGTTGCTGGTCGCATCGCATGGACAAGGACGCAGTGATACAAGCCCACATCAAAGTGCTAACTGAAGGTAATATACCAAAAATGATGTGTTTGATTTGAGATCATTTCAGTTTATTCCGTATTTCTTGTCTTCCCAGAGCTAAACACCAATGGAAGCCGTGAGAGAGGCTAGGTTTCCTGCTCCTAGTCTGTTATTATGAATCCCCTACACCGGTGGCTTGCATTTGGATGATTGATCGATCTTGACTTACTGTAGGGAGATTCACTCAAGGTCAATGTGATAAGTTATAACAAGTTAATGGTGTGAGAATCAAGGGCAACTGTCAGATGTCAGTAAAGTCCAAAATTATTTATTTCTCAAATCATTTTCTGTCTTCCTTGAAATCCCTTTCCAGGTACAGCACAGGGTCACAGTGCAGCTCAGTCTTTGTTGGACGTGCCTTATGGGTCAGGCAATGCAGAAAAACTCGACATTTATCTTCCTCCAAACCCATCACTAGGTTTGTAGAAGACATAATAATAATAATAATAATAGTAATAGTAATAGTAATAGTAATAATAATAATAATCCTGGCATTTGATATAGTGCCTCATTACTTCCATAATATTGATACAAGCAGACAGAAACTAACCTCCACTTAATTTATTTCGTTAAATGATAGCTCCAGCTCTGCTCATCTATTTTCATGGAGGATACTGGCAGTTACTGAGGTGAGCCTGGTAAAAGTACTGAATTATCATTCTGGCCAAGTGTGCACAGGCATCCTACGGGATTCAGGCACAGCCAAAAGCACCATCTTGTTCTGTAATTTTTGGTTAAATTAATTAAATTAAAAATAACCCAACCAATTTACTTTTTATTTTTCTTGAATATTTACAGCAAAGACTTGTCTGGGTTTATGGTTCCTCCTCTAGTTAAAGCCGGAGTCGTGGTTGTTTCTGTTGGTTACGACTTGGCACCAAAAGGTAAATAGATGCAAATGCTTAACTGTCAGACCACTTCAGGGATGATTGCCTATACACTGCATCCAAGCGATGGAAGCAGCATCTCTCGAACAATGCGGTTTGTGTCCCCACTATTACTGCTTAAATTATAAATGACCTAAATTAGATTCAATAAGTGGCTCAGCATCTTCATTTTTTTTGAATTGATGAACCGCTCCTTTGATGTTAGATTCTGACGTCAAGCAATAAAGGTTTGCATCTGCCAGATTGAACATTTGTTGCTGTCTGCTTCATAAAATTGCGCTTCCAAACTAAAGCTTTGCTTCAGAATTTGCTTTGCTGTCTTTTCAGGTAATATGGATTTAATTGTGTCTCAGGTCCGTCGAAGCGTAGTCTTCATTGTTCAGCAATATTCCACCTTCAGGTAAGATATAATTGGAACAGCTCATGTGTCGAATAGGTCAGAGTGATTGATGGACGGCAATCAATGGCGGAGAATGGTGCAGATCAGTAAGAGACTGACAATAATCCATTCTAAAATTAACATTTTACAACTAAACTTTGAATGTTTGTGAACAAATAAAGAGGTGATTTTCTTCATGGGCGAGATTCTTCAAATCTCAGATTTGTTTCTGGAGGATCTGCTCACACTTTGGTGGAGTGCGTTGAGAAGTCTGTAGTGTATTAGGGACATCCTTTGCTCCTATTTGCAGTTGTCACTGAATCTGAGATAGAGAGGGTTGAAAGGGAACCCTTCAGAACAAACGGAGAAAGAAAATCCCCAACTCAACATCTATGTTTTTTTGGATGTGAAAATATTCTGAAATATATGACTGTTGCTGGTTTCCCAAATTCAACATTCTCCTCTTCACTTTCAAATGCCTCCATGGCTTCACCCCAACAACAGCAACTTGCATTTATATAGCGCCCTTCACGTGGGGTAGCACCCAGGAGCGCTCAACAGTGGCGGAGTCTTCTCACCGAGCCAAGGGGAGAGGGAGGGTGGACGTGAGTGTGAGCACGATCAAAAAGGAAGGACTTTGGGCGGGATTTGAAAGTGGGGAGGGAGGGGGCAAGGTGGAGGGATGGAGGGAAAGAGTTCCAGGGTTTCAGATCTGTCTCTTTGACTGCAGTTTTGGCCACATTTCATCTTTAATTTCTCATCACTCTCTTCTTTTGAGATTCAAAGATTTTGCCTCTTGCTCGAAAAACCCTTTGCATGTCTTTCAGTGGTATTTATCTGTGCGGACACTCAGCTGGTGCCCACCTGGCAGCTATGGTGCTTTGTACAGATTGGTCAGAATATGGTGTTGTCCCTGATGTTAAAGGTAAGCACAGAAGAGTGCATGTTCCAGAGATTCTTAGAGATATAACATTGCATCAATCACATTTTCTTAAGGTTGTGATGGTATCCACAGGCCACTCGTAACCGACCTTATAACCAGCATTTTGGGTCCATAAAATGAGGCCCTATGTCGCAACGGGCTGTGTTATAATAATAATCCTTGCATTTGATATAGCGCCTCGTGATGTGGTTGAGACGTCTCAAAGCGCTTCACAGGATATATTGTAAAATGGATTGACTGTGTATTTTGTGGGCAAAACACAGCAGCCAATTGCATGCAGCAATGTCCCACAAACATTCATGGAATGAAAATAATAGCCTGATTTTTTTTTCCTTCCACAGGAGCTTTTCTTGTCAGTGGGATTTATGATCTTTGTCCAATTGTCCCAACCAGAACCAACATCCTTCTCAAAATGACTCAGTACGTTCACAAACGGGTGGCAAGTTTTCAAAGTTCACGTAAAATAACATGCACACATTAATTATGCTAGAGGGTGAATACAAAAACATTGATAAAGAATTTTCTTTACAAGCTATTATAATGCAAAGTTCACTCATTCCATTACTTGTACCTAACGCCGACTTTTTAAAACTCCCGTTTAGCATAATAGTTCTTGAGAGCAGTTTGGTCTTTAAATCTAAAGGTTCACTTAGTTCTTTTTTTTCAAATAATTTTGTCATCAATTGCATTTTAAAGTGAGGAAGCAGCACTGATGATTTAAGACACCACCGCTACTTTGTGTGTGTCTCGTATACAGGTCTACTTTACTAATGACACATTTGTGCGAGTTTATAATTGTGTTCATTTATTATGTGAATTAAACGTTCAGGACAAGATATACATACAATTGTCCAACACCATGAATAGACATGTAATATAGGCTACCAAGTGAAGACACTGAATTATACAAAAAACTCAAACCCGTCCGCTCAAGCGCAGATGGCGGAAAACTGGCCTGACAGTCCACCGCCAACTGCGGCTCAAACATCTCCACAGCTACCGCCGTTCTTTGACAAGCGCAAAAACGGCTTCTACTCCAACATCATCTTGGAGGCTAAACACAACCCCAAAATCCTTTATCCACCACCCACTACCTCCTCCGTGCCCCCCCTCAGGCCTCCTCAATCTTCGTATCAAATGCTAAGTGCGAGGAGGTCATGGACTTCTTTTGAACTAAAATACTGAACACCCGCCAGGCAGCCTCATCCACCTGCCCCTTGTCACCCACCACCATGGCTCCCTATCCCTATCCCAGAGAGGATCGATTTCAAGATCCTCACCCTCGTATTCAAGTCCCTGCACTCCTCTGCATCCCTCTACCTCTCTGACTTCCTCTCTCCTCAGCACAGTACCCGTTGCCTTCGTTCCTCCGGGTCTGGTCTCCTCCTCGTCCCCCGAGTCCTCCGTTCCACCCTCGGTGGCCGTATCTTCATCCACTACGCCCCGAGGCTCTGGAACTCCTTCCTCACTCTCTTCATCTCGCTCCCTCCCTTCCCATTTTTAGATCTCTGCTGAAGACCTTTCTTTTCGACCGAGCCTTTGGTCACCTCCCCCCCCTCCCCCCGGCTCGGTCCCGGGATCCTAAACTGTAAAGTGCTCTGAGACGCCGTCCGGCGTGGAGGGCGCTATGTAAATCCAAGTTGTTGTTGTTGTCTGTTTATGTTTCTATACTGCTCCTTATTTGTTATACCCCCAGTTTGATGTCATCTATGATTTTCAACAACGTACTTCCTATATTGGTGTCCAAATCATTTACAAACATGGTAAAGAGCAGTGGTCCTATTTCCCTACTTCTCTGCAGACTATCACTGAGAAGCTGCCCTTTACTCCTACTCTTTGACGATAGGGGACAATGACTTCGAGTACAGATACACAGGTAGAATTAATAGCTGCTGGCACTTTTAACAGGGACGATGCCCTCCGAAACAGCCCCATGCAACTTGTGAACAAAATGAAATGGCTGGCCGGAAACTGTGAGATTCTGGTGGTTGTGGCAGAACATGATTCAGATGAATTTCGAAAACAATCGCAAGAGTTTTACAAGGTTGGTTCTTTCATTCGCACTTTCCCATCTTCTCATTTTCAGGTGAATACTGTACTTTGTTATTTTGCATTGCACCTTACAAATACCTCATAGAAATATGCAAAACTTTGGTCAACACTTTTATTGTTACACCCCTCCTATCTCTCCGACTTTCTAACCCCTTATCAGCCTGTCCACTCCCTCTGCTCAGCAAGCTCGGCCCTGCCCCCACCATCAGAACGGCAAAGGGTAAATACTCAACTTTAAAATATAGGGGAGCCTCAAGGCAACGGCACTTTTTTGTGCTACTAAAGGAGAAGGCAAAAGAGCATAATATAATAATAGTAATCCTTGCATTTCATATAGTGCTTTTCACGAGACGTCTCAAAGCTCTTCACAGAATAGACTGTAAAGTGAATTGAATTGAGGAGAGCAGTCCGCCAGTCGGGAGCAGAGGCATCAGATTAAAAAAAAGTGAGAAAATTAAAAAGTGACGTCTGAGCGACGTCAGTATCAAAGACTTAACAGCTAACACTAACTACTAACAGTAAATAACACTAACTACGAAGTAACAATACGAAAAATCAATTATTTTTTTTAAAAAATCAAGAATTTAACTTTTAAAAATAACTTTCACTCCCAGTGGGGGTGGGAGAGGTGAGAATGGCGTGAAAAGGTATCGTGTGAGGACTGCAACAGTGTGGGAGTTGCTGGAGGGCCGTCTGAGCCCAGGCGACCACTTCTGCAGCAAATGTCTGCAACTGAGGCCGCTCCAGCTCAGAGTGCTCCACTGCGGTACGAGACCAGTTATAGGTAAAACTTAGCATTCCAGCTCCACTACTGATCTGTTGAACCATCTTTCTTTGCAGGCTATCAAGGACGCTGGGTTGATGGGCAGTTTTGAAGATGTCCAAACACAGATCATTTTGATGTCATAGAAAAACTGGTGGAAGATGATTATATCCTTACACAGGTAGACTTTTTTCTTAGGCTTTAATATGAAATGAATAAGAATCCCAAATATGTGTATGACCTTATGTTCCTTTATTCTGTAGGACTGTGTTATTACAAAGATGAGTACATAGCACTGCAGTGGCTAAATCCTACGGAAAAGTTCAGTGATGAATTTTGCATTATTTGAAAAGTAGACTCCATTGCACTTTGCTGTGAGCTGTCTACCATATTCATTTTTTTTTATGAATGGCTGGCCAGTATATATTGTTTGCAATGCAATGAAAATGAAGCATTTTTAGCATGCATTGTAATTCAATGTAAATTAAGCAGTTATCTGAAAAGGAGAAATATGCAGAATCAAACGTCTATCTGCTATATTTTGTGTCCACTTTGTATAATGCAAGGCCAGTTATTTTTTTCCCACTCTTCCAAGTCTTGGGAGAGAATTCTGCATCATAATGGAATGGAAGTATACTTCTACAGTTAATGTTTATTAACATGTTAAACTATAGATCTATCCACACACTGTGCAGCATAAGGCGACAACAACAGCAAAATTTGTATAGCACCTTTCACGTCGGGAGGACGTCCCAAGGCGCTGGACAGACAGAGTTTCGGACCTGAGCTGGGGGTTGGGGTCAGGAAGGGTGGAGGGCGCGGGGGAAGCAGGGAGATCGAAAGCACCACAATAAGACCATAAGACATAGGAGCAGTAGACCATTCGGCCCCTCGAGCCTGCCCCGCCATTTAATAAGATCATGGCTGATCTTCTAACCTAATTCCATTTACCCACCCTATCCCCATACCCATTAATCCCTCTATCCTTTAGAAATCTATCAACCTCAGTCTTGAATATGTTCAAGGACTGAGCATCCACAGCCTTCTGGGGTAGAGAATTCCACAAATTCACTACCCTCTGAGTGAAGAAATGTTTCCTCAACTCAGTTCGAAAAGCCTGACCGTCAATCTTGAGACTATGACCCCTAATTTTAGATTCTCCAACCAGGGGAAACAGTCTTGAGATGGGTCTTGAAGGAGGCAAGGAATGGGGTGAGGCAGAGGGACTGTGGGATGGAGTCCAGAGGGTGGGTGCAGACATGCACGCATGAGTAACACGCACGCGTGTTACTCAAAGGCTGTTGTATTCTTGGATTGAGGCCGGAGTTTGACAAGAGAAAGATTCATGAATATTTTTTCTTGCGTGAGGATGGCATTTAACATGAAACTAGAAAGAAAATAAATTACAGCTGTTAAGGCAAAGAAGTGTCACTCGCTGTATTTTTATGCGATGGTCTTAGCATTTTTTGCATTCATCTGACAAAATTCCAGCGGTAGCTAATGGAGATATACATCAGGAGTATAAACTCAGAGCCTTCATTTGCACAGTACATAGTATAGCACAACAAAAGGGAAATAGCGTGTTACTTGTACATTGATAAACCACAAGAGTAAAGGTGATCAGTTTGATGTCCATTGCTTTCTAATGTACTGCAGCCTGTGTCTGCCCGTCACTCGACTGATCACAGCTGAACTCCAGGACAGCTCTTCTGTTTGAAAGGGATATGTCTCAGAAACAAATTGCCTGATTTCGATAAAATTGGAACAAGTGACTCGAACTGCAATGGTAATTACGCAGATGTCTACTGCACCTTAGGGAAACCGTGTACTCTTTTCTGCACATATACCCCTGATACATGTTGTAATAGTAAAGAATCCAATATAATTACCATTTTTATGCAATTGTTTTAGATTACAATGTACATAATCATTCTTTTTATGTTTCCTTTGCAGATTATACTGAAAACTGTGACTAGAAAATGCACGAACTGCTAAAAACAAACATATGGACAGGAGTGGACTAGTCTGTCCCATCTAGTTTGTCTTGCTATTAAATTAATTCAATGCTAAGTCTTAAATTGCATTTCCTCACCTTTTGTCTATATCCAATAATATCCCTACTTACCAGATAACTATCTCGCTCTTGAACACCTCCAATTAATTCTGTACTATGAGATGGTAGGTTCCATATTCTCATGATCCTTTATGTAAAGCTGTTCCAATTAAAGTATAACAAATTCTGAATTCTTCTATTACTGTCTCAGTTAAACTTTATTAGCATTTATCACAGTCTCACGTTGATGCAGACTTTATCGATGTATTCTCAGTCCTGAGCAATACTCTATTTCCAATTAACGGTAAATTACTGCCATATTTTATCCCCCTCCTAAGTTTCTGATTGTGCTATATTTCCGCAGATGTTGACAACCCTAAATGAGGTATGTGTAACGGATATTTGTTAAATTTTTAATTTCTGGGTATTTGCTGGGCGGGTGGGTGTAGAGAAATATCGTGGATTACAAAGGAATTTTAACAGGCTTTCAATTCCTGATTTACAATCCAATGAACCATTTAATTCATTCTTTTGCCTTGCCCCTTGTTAATATTTATTAGTTCTGAGTTGTACACTGACTGAATCTTCAGAACAAAGACCCTTTGTTTGCAATCTTGTGAGCCATATTATTCATGACTTTATCTCATCTGTATTAATATTTACCAGGACTGAGGACCACTCTGAAAAGATTACAGTAAGATTTCATGACCCCAGATGAAAACAAGGGATTGGCTTTTGCTATGTCAACATTATGAACCAAGCAAAGTTTAACAAACCAGGAGACAAGTTTTCAACTACACTGCAAACTGACTTCTGTGCTTGGTTTCCTCCGTTCAGATGCTGATGTTCTGTGAGTTCAAGAGGAAGAGGACTATAAATAAGGCTAACAGAAATCTGAACATTTTAATAAGCTTGATGATCAATATTTCCATTCAAAAATGTCAAAGATATGCTTCATTTGTGCAAATTGAACCTCAAATACACTTACATTTTCATTTTATAGCTTAGGCTAAGATAAATATAAATCAAGCTGTCACAAAATGCCCTAGCATTTTTTTTGTCTAATGTACATAATTATGCTACATATAAATTGACTTGGATTTAATACATTTATATTATTTTCCCTTGAAATGTTAGGGTACAGTTCAAATCTCATTCTCTGTGCTCCAACTGTTTTATTCTTCACATACAGACAATTGTGATTGCTGAAAATCAGGGCGCTTTCCTTTCATATTTGCAAATTCCATGTCTCTCACTAGCTGACATTTTAAAAATATATATTTCAGCCATCTTCTACATTCCATCAGTGTGAATTATACTTATAATCCTTGCATTTGATATAGTGCTTTTCATGTCTTCTCGACATCTCAAAGCGCTTCGCAGAATAGACTGTAAGGTGAATTGACCGTATATTTGTGGGCGAAACGCGGCAGCCAATTGCGCACAGCAGCGTCCCAAAGTCGTGGGTTGAAAATGACCAATTTATTATCGTTTTGTCTTGGAGGGATTATTATTAGGCTGTGTGCGGAGTAAGGAAACTTGCCCAAGGTTTCGCCCTGACCTGCCGGGAATTGAACCCGGGTGTCTCGCTTGAACCCACAAGGCGAGCGCTCCAACCGCTGAGCCTCTTTGCAGGTCAAAGATCTGTTCAGCATTAAAATGTTCAGGAAACGTTTGCATATTCCAGGCATCCGATTCAATAACTCGTTCAAGGATCTTCAGTTATTCCCTCGAGTTAACAACCAGCGGAAACACTCTTTTCTTCTCCGTTCACCTCATTCGAAGCCCCTCACGTCCTCGACCGTTATTCGTGAGTCCCCCCCCCCGAAACATGTGCTAATACCTGGGAGCCCTGAAAAGACACAGTGCACGTCTTGCAGCCGACAATGGCTCGAAAAAGCAAAATAATACAGTCTGACGATCGTGTGTAAAGTCGAGATAAACGTGAGGGTCGGGTACGCAGTCTAAGCCGACCCAACAATCCAGCGCTGGGGGTGTGTTATAATAATAATAATAATAATCCTTGCATTTGATATAGCGCTTTTCACGTCGGGAGGACGTCCCAAAGCGCTTCACAGAACACACTGTCAAGTGAATCGACTGTATATTTGTGGGTGAACGCGGCAGCAAATTGCGCACAGCAATGTCCCACAAACAGTCGTAGATTGAAAATGACCAATTTATTATTGTTTGGGGTTTTGGAGGGATTATTATTAGGCTCTGTGTGGAGTAAGGAAACTTGCCCGAGGTTTCGCCCTCTGCCTGGAATTGAACTCAGGTCTCTCACTTGCAAAGCGAGTGCTCTAACTCTAGTGTTGTCCTCGGTTTAACCGGCAGTAAGTAGGAACAATAATAATAAATAAATAAATAAATAAATAATAATAAATCGGCGGCTCGACCGCGACCGTCTCTGCGGGAGGGAGGCTCTGCCGCCTTTCCCCCACCCGGAGGGGTACGCGGTCGCTGCGCCGTAACGGTCCGTCCCGCGAAGTGCTTGGATCCTCGTCCCCGAAGGCGGGAGAGGGGCGCGGCCGCGAAGGTACGGGTCATTACCGCAACTGCGGGGACGTTAACAGGCGCCGCGGCTCCACTCGAAAGGACAGCGACAACCCCCTCCCGCCCGCCCGCCCCCCGAATGGCCTCTCGCCCGCCCCCCGAATGGCCTCTCGCCCGCACCCCGAATGGCCTCTCGCCCGCACCCCGAACGGCCTCTCGCCCGTACCCCGAATGGCCTCTCGCCCGCACCCCGAACGGCCTCTCGCCCGCACCCCGGACGGCCTCTCGCCCGCACCCCGAACGGCCTCTCGCCCGCACCCCGGACGGCCTCTCGCCCGCACCCCGAATGGCCTCTCGCCCGCACCCCGAATGGCCTCTCGCCCACCCAACACAGTCAGAATCCACCCTCCAGTACACCCTGTGAAGGTGAGAAGGCGCTATGGCAGATGCAACGATTATTATTATTATTATTATTAATAATATTACCTGCTGTCCAACACCCCCTCCCGCCCCCACCTATCCCTTCCCGAGGTGGTGGCTGCCAATGGGAGCGCGTGGTGGTGGGTGGGGGGATCACGTGACATAACGACCTGCCCGGGTTTGAATGCGGCGCGAGGCTCCGGGGGGAGGGGGGCGGGGCGGCTCCTCGAGCCAATGGGAGCTCGGCTCAGGCGGGTCACGTGGCCTCGACCGGGGGGTCACGTGGCCCAACGGCCGCCGAGATTTGAATGCGCTCGCGCGCGCGCGCTGGGGGAAAAGGGGGGTGTCGGGCCAGCGAGACGGCGAGACATGGAGGCCGCGCTGAGGAAAAACCGCCACTACTACTGCCTGCAGGACCGGCTGGACACGTTCACCAACTGGCCCTTCATGGACGGCTGCTCTTGCACCCCTGAAAACGTGGGTCGACCGAGTGACTGCGGCCACGGGAAAAGTGGGGGGGGAGAGGGGGGTGAGGGGAGCTGAGAGAGAGTCGAGTGTCCGTGTCGGGTGGGGGGAGGGAGGGAGGACTGTCTGTCTGTTTGTCTGTATCGCCCTCTGCCTGTGTTGATCTTTGTTGGAGGTTTCCGATTCACACGCCTTTTATTTTGTTTGTACGTGTATTTTAAGTGCTTGAGTTTTTATTACTCTCTCCCCCCCACCCCAACACCCTCCCTCCCTCCCTCCCTCCCTCTCACTCGACGTGGAATTGGTCATTCGCTTCCCAACTTGTCTGCGGGGCATTTCTCACAGTCCCTCTGCGTTTGGACACCGCGCCTTAAGCCGGGGACGCGAGACGTCTCGGAGCGCCGCGCTGGATAGACCGTCCCGAGCGAAAACGCGGGCAGCCAGTCGTGCGCGGCAGCGTCCCACGAACCGTCGTGGATTGAGCGACCAAATTATTATTTATTCATTTGTTACCCCCGCCCCCCCCCCACCACCACCACCGAAAAAGCGATCTGACCTATCGACTAACAACCGGGTTCCTACTTACTCGCGGAGTCCTGGTTAGAGCACTCGCTTTGCGAGCGAGACACCCGGGTTCAATTCCAGGCAGGTCCGGGCCAAACCTCGGGCAAGTTTCCTCACTCCACACACAGCCTAATAATAATCCCTCCGAAAAAGAGCAAAACAATAATAAATTGGTCATTTTCAATCCACGACTGTCTGTGGGACAGGCGCTGCTGTGCGCACTCGGCTGCCGCGTTCGCCCACAAATATAATAATAATAATAATAATCCTTGCATTTGATATAGCGCTTTTCACGTCGGGAGGACGTCCCAAAGCGCTTCACAGAACACACTGTAAAGTGAATTGACTGTATATTTGTGGGTGAACGCGGCAGCCAATTGCGCACAATATGCAGTCAATTCGCTTTACGGTATATTCAGCGAAGCGCTTTGGGACGTCGAGAAGACGTGAAAAGCGCTATATCAGATGCGAGGATTATTATTATTATTACTGCTCGGCGAACAGGCGCGCGTGTGTGCGTGTAGTAAGGAAACTTACCCAACGTGCCTGGGAACCGAACCCAGGCCCTCTCGCTTGCGAGGCGAGCGCTCTAACCGCTGAGCTATGGAACTCTTCGTTTGCAACGAAACCTCTTACGTACAGATTGGCCGTCTGTTGCATCCGAACAGAAAAAAAAGGCAGTCATTTTTACAGTCCAGCGCTTGTGAAGAGCTTTGAGTTTTGGGGGGCAGGTGCTAAGCTGCTATATCAAATGCCAGTACTTATGAATTTATACATACCACTTCCTCGCTCTTTCCCTTTTATATTGTATTAAAATCAACTGTTCCATTTAATATGGTGTGCGTATAATTGTCAATGTCTCAAAGCTCTTTACACATGTACTGTCAAGTGTAGTAACTTTTTTTGTAAAATGCTTAAGAGTTGTTCTGTTCTGAAACGTAGAAGTTAAGCCTTGTGGTGGCTTCCAGGACTTTGAACTCTCTCGCAAGGACATTGGTTACAGCTGGATAATGTTTTGTTTCAGATGGCTGCAGCCGGCTTTATTCACATCCCAAGTGAGAACAGTCCAGATGTTGCTCAGTGCTTCTTTTGTTATAAAGAACTAGAAGGCTGGGAACCTGAAGATGAGCCCATGTAAGTATTTGCTATTGTTATTATACTCATTATATAAGGTAATCCTTCCGATGAGATGTTAAACGAAGGTCATGTCTAACTGTTCAGGCAAACTTTAAAAATTCCGTGGCACTATTTGAAAAAAATGAGTTTTTCGTCATGTCTTAGCCAACACTCCTCCAAATAAAATCAGTCATTTGTTTCATGGCTGTTTATGGAACATTGCAGTGCGCTAATTAGCTACTGTGTTAACAAAATGTACAGCTATGACACTTTACAGAAAGTTTCTGTAAAGTGCTGTGAGATGTTCAATAACGAGATAAGGTGCTTTATCAAATGAAGGATTATTATAAGGTATTTGTCTGCGATCCATGCCTTTTCTAGTTTCCTCTTGTGCTAAGAAACAATTTTAAAAAATTGGAATTTGTAAACTGTCAATTTGCATCAAAAAGTGAAAGGGGATTAATATTTTGCATAAGACCCTTTGTCAGAAAATAAATTGGGATGAGGGAAGTCCCTATACAGAGTTCAAAATTGAAAACCTGGGCCGGGGGGGATTAATAGGGAAATTATTTTGAAAAATAAATCTGGAGATAATTTGGGGTTGATTAATGAGTTGAGATTACTTTAATTTGCAGCAGTCCTGTAGAAAGTAATATTTTATACATCAACAGGTTTATATATTATAATATAAACCGCTAGACACTACTTTTCAGTTTTGCAACAGTTAATCTCTTGTTTTGTGAATTGAGGAGCTACTGAGGGGATAAAAATCTGTACAAATACATGCAGCTGTAATTTGCTTCCACATTTTGTCACAGACTTGAACATAAAAAGCACTCCTCGCAGTGTGCTTTCATTGCGCAGAAGAAAAAGTTTGACGACCTCACAACAGAAGAGTTTCTCAAGCTGGAAAAGGAGAGAATAAAGAATGTCATTGTAGGTATTTATTCATCACAGTAGATATTTATATTTATGTAGATATTTATTACTGCAGGAGACGAGCTTCAGTATTTAACTCAACAGCTAAACAGTTTTATCCAATTCTGGCCACCAGGTGGAGTTGACTAAATTGTATAGAATTATTGCCCCACCTGAAAAGGTGAGGAAGGAGACAAAATATAGTCAGACTATGTACAATGTGACGATGCTCATCTTTTCTACTGGATCAGTTAGGAATTGTGCAGGCGCAGTTTTTCTGTATTGTATTTCTATTATAAAGTTTTGAATTAATTATTTGTGGAAAGAGAAAATGCTTAGTAATTGTATTTGGTCGTAAAAAAATAAATTGCTCATCTATACAACTATGTTTAAAGTTGGTAACTGATTTCTTTCTTTACAGAAAAAACAGGTCTCTCAAACAATTCAGTCATTTAAGGATGAATCAAAAATTGTCAGGAGAGTAATCGAGGATTTTGCTACCAAATCAGATTTCAACTAATGCAAGCTATCGTCCCAAATTGAGGATTTTATTAATGTGTATTGTACAGTGTATTTGATATGTAACCACTTGGACTGTCCTTTTCCTTTCAATTTTCAATAAAAGAAGTACTTGCTTTCTGCTTTTTCGTATGAAGTGCTGTGAGTATTTTGTGACCTTCATGCATTTTCTGTTTCATTGATGCAATTAAATCCAGTTAAACCTTTTGGCAACAGCTATTTGCTTACTACTTTAGTAGGAATATTACAATACAGCATTTCCTAGCCATTGCTACAAATAGGCCTGGATGATGATGAGTTTAGAGAATGTGATTCTTATATCAATGTATGCCTTGTGAATAGACTAGTTTTAATAGACTAATATTTTGACTTAATATACATCATATTGGCGACCAGTGACTCGCAGAGGTATGTTGATCAAACTCAGCAAATTGTAATGAAAAGTAGTCACATGTTTGAAGGTCACTCATCAACTGAAGTCGTATACTTCGTGAAATAGACTATTGTTACAATGTTACGTGACGGTTGCAAATCATTTATCGACGACACGATTTCCATCTTATTGCTAAAACCCTCAAAAAGAGAGTCTGCAGCAGACAGCATTGCCTCCTTCACCAGTTCTCCGTCTTCGACAGATTTGTTCCTTTTAGCAAGCACATGAGCAACATTAAAAGATGCAGTCGTGCAATGTTTTGACTTACGAACATGCTCGGTAAAAAACGACTGTTGAATTGCAAGTTCAGATTGTAAATCACCTTTCTTACTACAGAATTGTGTGGGAAATCTGTCAAAAGTCCTTGTGCAAAGTCGAAAGTATCTTTCGACATTATATTTCTTGGGTACTGCCACACTAGCACGGCACAATAAACACATACACTTTCCTTTAATATCAATGAAACAGAACCGCTCTTCCCATTCGCTGTTGAAATTGTATTTTTTTTTGTTTTTTGGTAGATCCACTCATATTAACTGAAAACACAAGGGCTCCGGTGACTTTTAACAGATGGCCGAAACTAGACCAGCCGACTGTTGTGATTGATCCCAGCTGGTCAAGAACCAGGAAAAGGGGTCATGCGAGGAGGAGGGAAGAAATCAACAGTTTTCTTTCGGGTGACATACCTTAGGATTGATAAGGACGTGTCCATATAAGAATGGGGGAGTAAGTCAGACATGTGCTCTGCTATTCACTGTGTTGTGCATAGATTCCTAGAAGGACGAGCAGAGCTTGTAGCTGAGTATGTGTCGGCAAGCCAGCCGGCATGTTCGAAATAGGCAAATTAAACTTCTTTCACGTTATGATTATTTTCCAATTCATGCGGGCACCTAACAGCCCTGCGGTGGGTGCCACGGTGCCCGCAGGCACGTGTTTGGGCGCCCCTGATCTAGACTTCGTAGCCTTCAGCAATGAGAAGAAGTTGCCGAGTGCACAATGAGAATTCTTCGAATCCCATTGTGAACATTTGTGTAGCCAAATGGATTAGGGAGGCAATGGGTTTCATCCTGTTCATCACCTGGGAGGGCTGAGAGTGGTCCAATTGGAAGTCTTGACAAGCTTTTCATTTTCAGAATGAATAAGGTTGATTTTAAAATATTTACACCAGAATCATGCTCTGCAACAATCAAGCTCAGGTGGAAGATTAATGTTTTTAATTAAGTTTACTTCGATAAATTTAAATGGATTCTACCGTTTTCCGAATAACAGAAATTGCCAAAGAGATGGCTTTCACGTTGAGAAAAGAAAACAGCTATTAGCTAGCAGATCGCAGCGGGATCTCCAACTGGGAACAGGGGGTGGTTTTTTTTTTCCCCCACCAGCTAAATATTTATACAGTAATAACCAGGCAGTTATTCCTCATCCAGTTCAGGGGATCGGTAAAGGAGTGGGGTGGGTGGGAGAAAACAGGAGCAAAAAAAAATAAAAGGAACAATTGTGGCATTTGGCAAGTTATTGAAAAGGTATTGGAAAGTGGGGGTGGGGGGGGGGGGAGAGGACTGAAATAAATATAATGATTGGCTTGTGATGCAGTGTGTCCTTTGCACTTGTTGCAGGAATGAATGAAGGTGTGAATGAAACGTTAACATGGGGAGGGGGGGATGAGAAATTACCCAACCTGGGGGGGGGGGGGGTGTGGTGGATGGGTGAAACAACATATTTCAAAGAGAACTCCAGTCATATTTCCTAGAGGGTGGAGTATGAGTTCACACTTTTACGGTGGAGGTTGCTCTGTGCAGGTATTGGATGAAGAGAGACCCATCTGCTGCTGCTGCTGCTGATGCTGATGGTTTGCTTGTGTTGCCTTGAGATGAATGTGGGAGCTGTGTGTGTGATCGCTGGCTGTGCAGGACTTCTCAGTTTTGTGTTTCTAGCTGTCGCGATCGGCACGGATTATTGGTATGTCATCGATGTTTCGAAATCCAAATATAACACCGAGAAGGAATCGGATGACTTGAGCTCTCACTCCGGACTCTGGAGGATTTGCCAAGGTAAGGGGGGTCAGTGTGTGTGGTCTCTGATGAAAGCATCCTACACTGGACACTGAGCTGACAGATGGTTGTGACATCTAACATAATCCGTGGGAATATCTATTTTATAGCGAGTGAAAGTTGTAGTTTTTTAAAAAAAAAAGATGTAACAGGTATTTTTATGATGATGCATAAGCGCTGGAATCGAGTTATAACAGTCCTTTGCAAAGAAATGTGGGAATTTTGAAGGTTGATAAATCCAGATTTTTGTGTCTGACTCATATATACATATATATATATATATATATTTTACAAAAAGTGATTTGATAGCCATTTATTGAACTGCTTTGTTTGATAAACGATTAGTGATCAAATGTAATTATACTGGGGGGAAAAAAGCCACACCTCCACGGCATTCAAATCCCACTGATGTCAACCTCCCTCTAGTTTTTTCACATGTTTTATTTTAAGAGGGGTTAATGGTGTTGGGGGGGAGAGTTGGTGGGGGGGGTTAACTGCAGCCTTAAACCCTCCAGGTGTTGCCTCGGGTATATCCAGCAAATGAATTGATTCTTTCCCCATTACATTAATTACATTTTCGTTAAAAGTCACAAAATTATTAATAATTTCTTAGTAATGGGGAAACGAACTATACCCTCAAGTTATTTGAACCTCACTTCGTCTATACAATGATGTATTGAGATATTGAAACTCTTATCAGAAACCGTGGCCAGCATTATAGATACTGACACTTAACAGTAACAGTGCTTTGGGATGCACATTGGAAATAAATGCTTGCAACAACAACAAAATTACATTTGCATAGTGCCTTTCACATCAGGAGGACGTCCCAAGGCGCTGGACAGACAGAGTTGCAGTGTGCCGAATTGGGCATAAAAATGCGCTTATTCCAGTAGTTACGTCTGATCACATTTCATATCTCTCTTACCTCTGCTCTCCTGAGAATTTTGATAGCGATGTTCGGGAAGAGCACCATGGCTACCACCATTAGTCCTGTTGCTATGCCCTTCATCAGCGCTTTCAACGACGCCCATGTGTAAAAGTGAAAGGTTTCCGAACCCATTTATGGTCGTATGTTTCCACAATCTTTTGTTAATGACTGCAATGGAGTGAAACATTGTATTCTGGTGCTCACAGAAACTGAAGCATTTTAGTAGTTTAATTTCACTTTGCATTTACTTCTGTGTTGTGGCTACAGAAGGAAATCTCACTAATTGTTCCAGAATGATGTAACTACAGGTGCAAACTCTCATAAACGGGGACATAACATTATGGCAGTCGACTTAATACGACTTACGCAAAGTTATGTATAAGTTTGCCTTTGTTGACACCACATCGTGCTTTCAGAGCTTACCTCCTCTTTGGTTAAAAAAAACGAATTACATTTCTACATTATTACACAGGTGTCCACTTAAGCAAAGAATAAGCAAATAATTTGGTCACTCAAACCACGACTGTTTGTGGGATACCGCAGTGCGCAATTCACTTTACAGTATATTCTGTGAAGCGCTTTGAGACGTCTCGAAGACGTGATAAGGCGCTGTATCAAATGCAAGGATTATTGTCACAAGGACAGTCCCTCAAGCTGCCTTTGGGCCTTTACAATGTATAGCACCATGATGACAGGTCATAATCATGACCTTGTTTCGGATATTGTGCTTTTTAAAAACTCTTATGTTGGAATCGCAGTGGGATACAGTCTTGACCTTTTACTCTGCCAAGTTAATGATCTCACCCATTCATGCCTGTTGCTAAAGGGAGCATTTGCAGTGAGCCTGAATATCAGCAAGAACATGGGAATATCCCTAATGAGACACACTTATTATCCTGATACGATGAACAAACAGAGAAGGGGTTGAGAAGAGAGAGTGCGAAACTTCGGAGTGGGTAGCACACTCAAACAAAATACTGCACATTCAGAGAAAATTGAAATGCGGAGTAATAATTTAGTTTTACGCTCTATTCCAACTGAAGAAAATAGAATTGTTAAAGTGATCAAATGTGTTGAGAGGGCATCTACTGCATAATATTGCACTTAAACCTATAATTGGGCCAGTATAAAAGCTGCTTTTCTGCTATGTGCAATTGGCTGTCGCGTTTCGCCCACAAAATATACAGTCAATTCACTTTACAGTATATTCTGCGAAGTGCTTTGAGACGTCTCGAAGACGTGATAAGGCGCTGTATCAAATGCAAGGATTATTATTATTATTACTTCACCCAATTTGGCCTGGATTTGTGCTAAATATAGTTACTTTGTGGGTTATTCTTCCTGCTTTTTATTGGGGGAAAAAAAGTATCTTATACACATAGAAACCAAAGAGTCAAAATGATTCATATGTACTGAAATTTGGCCCTTGGAAAAATGAGTGTAACTATCATTTCATTGGTTTAATACAAGAACAAGTACATTTTGTTTCCAAAATCTTAAACTAGGGCTGCACTGAAGTGGAGAACATTACATCTAAGCGAATGGAAATTTCAACTGTAATGCTCCTCAGACAGACTAAATATCATTTCAAGATTGTTTTTAATGAAACGCGATGTTCCAAAGAATGCATTGATCCGTTTGCTTTAAGATTCAATAGAATTGTAATCTGTCTTTTTTAAAAAATAGATTGTCCTGACAAATGGTATGCCTGTGTGAATTTAATCAATGTATAATTTATTGAGACTATTGCAAGTATATTAGGTATCAAATGTTTTGAATGTGGTAATATTTCAGCCTTTCAGTTTGACAGCTTTATTAATAAGTTTAATTACAAAGTAATTTAGTACTGACAATGAAATTCATACATCTTGATAAAGTCATATAATTTATACACTATATTGGGTAGTCATACTGCATTACAGTGCGGTGCTAAACAATAACCATATACCAAGATAAAGGTTATTTTTTCCATTAAGTGTTGTGTATCTTTCCATGTATAGGTTTCCATCGGTGGGATGGTGGTGTGGAGGCTGGTGGTAGTTCATGATTGAGGTTAATTCAGTTCTCAAATTGAAAATTGTGCAAAAACATCTTAAAATGTAAATTCTGGGTCACTTCTAATGAAGTCTTATCCCTTATCTGACTCTCAAACATATCTATAATTAACTGCATGGTGCTAAAAAGCTACAGCAATTAAGATCATCACCGTTGGCTTTAAAACAACCAGTAGATTTTCAAGACTGAGGCGGATAGAGTTTTGTTCCACAAGGGATATGGGGTAAAGGTGGGTAATTGGAGTTGAGGTACAGATCAGATATGATCTTATAAAATAGTGTAACAGGCTTGAGGGTCTGAATGGCCTACTCCTGTTCCTATGTTCCTAAATTGGCGCTTCCTATATGATTGAGGAAATGGGGGAAGGGGTGGTTTATTGCTACTCTGTGACTATGAAACCTAACTCTAGATGGCTCAGGTTTTATTCTGGTATTACTCTTGCGTGAGGTTTCACGTGGGGCATTTTGCCCGAGTTCACTCCACTTCAGAGCTGCTCTGGACAAGAAGGTGTGAAAATGGAGTACCATTAAGGATCGCTTGCCTCTGCCTCTGATTTATTACTATTTTTGTAAAATAGTACCATACGAATCACAGGGACCAACACCCTTAATGTAATATTTAATGATTTTAATGGTTGTTATTATTCATGCTTGACCAAAAGTACAAGATAATTACAAATCTAAACTGAGCCCAACAGTTTACTGGCTGGACTCATTAGTCTGTAGTCCTGCACAACCTGACACTGATTTGTCAGCATCATGGCTTCAGGTCAAATTAATTATGGAATTAATCCAAGTTGGATTCCGCTCTAAAGCTACATATTTGTAGTTTAATCGCAGTATCTCAATGTTATCCTGTCATGAAGACAGTCCCCGCAGAAGGGTCTCTTTTGTTCTTGGCGCTCCCCCTGAAATGGACGATTTCAATAAAAACCTGCATAATGCAATTCCTAAAGCTTTAATAATCTTTGAACATAATTAAGACCTCTAAACGTCAATTTTTTTCTTTTTTTTCTCACCAACTTCTATCATTATGTATTTTATTGCAGTGAGATTTTTTTTACTGTGCCCACTAAGTGATAAATAATGGCTGAAATACATAAAACCACAAAGACAATTTAAGGTAATTTTCATTGGGAAGGCTTATTAGGCGATTAACCTTGAACCAAAAATTTGCAAATGGAAACCATTAGTGTGAAAGTCATTGATTTTCTTTAACATTATTCAATGTGTTTATATAAATTCTTGTTTATTATTTCTCTCTCTACAGAACTTACAATGTTGCAATAAACCAGAAGATGAATCCTTCTGTTATGCCGATCCCAAAGTTTTCCTTTTCTGTCACATTACGCATGTTGTGTAGGAGACGTTTATTAATTTTTTTTTTCTGGAGGCTCTACATAGATAGATGGTGCTTAGATATTGTATGCTTTAATTTATTTACCAGGGAAGATTAGCTTCAAGCTACCATGTGAAATAATTTTATTCATAAGTTCTTGGCAGTGGAGCAACACAAATTATAGCCAATTATGAGAGGCAGATTAACCTGCCTGAATGGCACATTAACCAAATATGAGATTAACTATTGATTTGTACACATGATTTAGCTCATGGCAGATAGTCAATTGTTGCCATATGTACCATCAAGAACATTTTTAATTAAACCTTTTCAGCACAAAATCGCTTACAAAAAGAATAAAACCTGTCAGACATATTGATCCAGCAGGATGTGCGCAGTCAGTAAGAAAGACTGGAGCACAATAGACAATTTCCTATGGCGGAATCAATGGTGTCATGATATATCCTTTTTTTCTAAGTCACTGTTGCTTTATTGACTGTTTCTGAACTTGTTACACTTGAATGATGCTAAAATTGGTCAGATATGATCAAATGCATTTTTTTATATATCCAGTGTCAATTTGTAGAAGGAGTTATTCAGACATAACGCATCACAGAACGTGATCCAAATAGCTCACTTAAAGACACACGTACACATATGGTTAGAGGGCTTTGCAGAGAGATCACAAGCATATTATTTGCCACTACATTTCTGCGCTCCGCAAAGTATACACGTCTGTATTACTCACTGGATTATTTTGGTAGTTGGTGTATAGGTCACTTAGATTTTTTTAGTTCTTCTTTAAATCCTATCTCATCCTAACTTGTTTCTCCCATCAGGTAAGAACGCTTGCATTGGTTTAATAGATCCACTTGGAGATGAGACTCAACATGTTCCCAAATCACAGCATCATCTGTTACGTAAGTTTAAGTCTAACTTTGAGGTTGGGAGTTATTCAGTGTGGATTTCTGCAATTTAACACTAAACGAGGTATTCTTTACTAAAATTGTCATAGAAGCAGATTCCATGGCAGCTTTTAAAAGGGAATGGGACAAATATTCAAAAGTATATATATATAAGGATATCTTAAAAGGGATAGGAGTGAGATGAAATGGGTTGTTGTTTCAGAGAGACAGCTTCAGCACAATGGGCTGAATTGCCTACTTCTGTCTTGTAAAATTGTACGGTTCCATAAATCACCATAATAAATCCTCATATTAGAATCATTCTGGATTTTCTTTTCAGTTCTTAGGGAGTTTGTTGAACCAATCAGCGCAAACCATTCAATTGTAGCAAAGCAAAAGGAGATAATTGCCCTTTAAAAGGATCACTTTTATTTAGTTTACAACTGTTCAGAGAGGATTGGATGCAACTGTATGTGACTGGGCAGCCACATAGAGCCCAGATGTTGAGTAGGTTGAAATGGTTTGACTTTCACTCCAGAATATTAATTTGTGATGAGATGCACAACTGAGCAATGAGCCAAAAATCCTGCTTTGTGATTATTCCCAGCGGTGTTTCCAAGTGGAGGCGTAAGTACCAGACACACGATTCTCACTTTTGGTTCAAATTCTGCCTGAAGACTTTTGGAATCAGGTTTTACAGAATGTAAGAGAGAGGAAAGGATCAATTGAGTTTATATGTACTGTATTTATACTTTCGAAAGCTGACCCATTTGTAGCAGATGTAAGGTGTGAGAAGATAAATAGAGGCAGATTATTTCCACCGATTGATGAATTGCTATCAAGGGGGTACAAACTCAGCATTAAGGGGAAGCTTCGAAGAAATATTTTCATGCAGAAGGTTAGAACATGAATTATTTTGCCACAAATCATTGTTTGAGTTGGGACGATAATAACAACAATAATAAACCATTTAACATGGAATTGTATAAATATTTAAGGAAGCAACCAATATAGAAGGGCACAGGGAAAGTGGAGGGAATTGGGATTAGATCATAAAACTCCTGAGCTGGCAACAGCACAAGTTAACAGGCTGACTGCCCACCTTCTGTGCTATAATTTCCCAATGAAATATAATGTCACAGCGATCGATAGGTTGGCTGCAATCATGGCTTTACATCAATTAAGAGCCGTGTGTCTCAGTTTGGCTGAACTGAAGCTGTTCTTCACTGGGTCCTCGAAGTAATCTTCTTTTATCCTCTTAGTGATGCAAAAGGTGTGCGTCATTTTGCTGCCTCTCAGTCTGGTTCTTCTGGTGTTTGGAGGTATCTGCGGACTGGTCAGCTCGTTGGCAAATGATCTGTGCATGCTGCTGTTCACTGGCTCCTACTTTCTGGTTGGAGGTAAGACGCTTTGGGAGTTTTTTTTATATAAAGTTACAATTTTACAGTTCATCTACTCTTAAGATAATGCTTGTTGACTTGCGTCTGAACAGTCTGAACACTCGCACCTGCAGAAGACGTGTTACTTTCACAGCCAGCCATTGAGACTCACTTTTATGACACCAGATTGAATGAGTACAGTGCATCTCATCATGACTGGTTTTATTATACAAGAACTAATAGCTGTGACAGAAAGCTATTTCCAGAACCTGGAATAAAGGAACGAGAAAAGGACATTCATTCCCCTCAGCTCTCTGTGTTTCAGGCCCTGGTTTCACATTTTAATTCTTTCCTAAAATCTGAATCCGAATAGCTGTCGATGGCCGTCAAAGATGCTCCTCATGTTACTGTCCTCTGTGCCATACGTTTTCCACTTTAACATATCTACTTTGCTTATTATTTCCTCGCGAGTTACTTTAACTCTGCTTGAGGTTATTTCCATATTAATATCCCATTCTGTCTTCGTGTTATTAAGGGTTCCCTCTATACAATAACTCTGGCCTTGTTATTCAAAGAGACATGGAGTCTTTTTCCCGATTATCCTTGGCTTTACCCTCCTCCTCTCCCAAATGTATCCCCAATTCATCAGCTCTTCATTTCATTATAGTTTATGGGACATTCCTATTGGTGCAGAAAATTATTTGATAGTTTGCCAACATAACAACTTTTAATCAGATTTTGATCCTAGTTCTGCCTGGGAGCCTGTAGAGGAAGAGAAAGGGCTTTAACGCACACATTGCAAACACAGAACAGTGTTAAATGTCAGCGACAAGATCTTTGCTCTTTCAGGAGAAATCTACTGTCCAGAAAGGAGTCAGAATATCGACTTTAATAACCTCGGATGCTAAAGCGAGGTGGAGGCAATTTACTGCTCGACTAAGTGTGATATATTTTCCACTAAACGCCAGTTGTGTTAGATGAAAGATTTCCTGAGAGGAGGTGAAGCTCGATTCACTAATTCATTCTGTCCGTCGTTTGTATTCTATTATAAAAAAGACAAGGCTCCAAAATAAGCCATAGTTAAGCAGTGTATAGATAATTGGATTGTCTTGGCAATGATTAGCCATACAGCAAAAATAATCTAGTAATTCTGTCATGCCTCTGTAGGCATTGGTTTGTTTTCTCCAAAGAAAAAACAATGTTAAAAAAAAGTAATGTATAAAATAAACCAGACTGATTGGTTTTGTTCCAGCACTGACAATGAGACAGTTTCCAAGCCTCTGTATCCAGGAGGTATTGATCAGAAAGAGGGGGTTCATTATATGATATAATGAACTTTAAGGTGAAATAGTTTGACATGCTAGGACTAGGTGACATTGGGAGCCTTGGGAAATATAGTAAAATTAGCTCAAAACTACCAGATTTTGTGACAATTGTAAAAGAAAAGGCAAGAAATTACTTTAAAAAAACAAAATTGTCTCCTAAACACACCACAAACATGAGCCCTCTTGTCCTACTGCCTTAGTGCATCTGAAAATATTCCTCTGAGTTTATTTTTTTGAACCCATTTAGTATCCAATATATTGCTATATTAATCCTTGCATTTGACATAGCGCTGTTCACGTCTTCTCGACGTCTCAAATCGCTTCACAGAATAGACTGTAAAGTGAATTGACTGTATATTTGTGGGCGAAACGCAGCAGCCAATTGCGCACAGCAGCGTCCCACGTTCAGTCTTGGATTGAAAATCACCAATTTATTATTGTTTTGTTTTTTGGAGGAATTATTATTAGGCGTGTGGAGTAGAGAAACTTGCCCAAGGTTTCGCCCTGCCCAAACTTGAGATAGATCCCCACTGAAACATCTCTTTTCAATTTGCTGGTTGTTTAAGCCTTTTGCTTCCCGGAATATATCGATAAATTAAATCAGACCTGTTGGGCGCACACTTCCATCACTCTAACGTGCGACTCTTTTAAACGTTTGATTTCAGGCACCCTCACGCTGACTGGAATCACAGTGTATATTGCATACTCCAAGGCCGCCTTCGCTGAAGTGATGTGTTTGTACGACCACAGAATGTTCGATGACATTGACACCAGCTTCAGTTGGTCCATGGGGCTGGCTTGGCTCTCCTTCACCCTGGAGATCATCTCCGGAGCTCTGCTTCTTTTAGCAGCCAAACTAAATGCCGTGAGACACCCAATACAGTCAGTCGTCATATGAACGTTAGCCCTGCCCAGGAATCTTGTGTGTGTTACTGTGTTGCTGTTGTGACTAGTTCTGTAAATGGCTTAGATTCGGAGAACTATTGAAATATCCAGCAGAGAGAGAGAGTGAGACAGAGACGTAGGCACAAACCAATTTGCGCTTTTAAACTCGGCTAAAGAAAATTTACTTGCCCCCCAAAAAAAAATTTTTTCGCTTTGAATCTCAGCCAGAGAAGAACATTCCTTGAAAAAAAAATACAACTTTGGAGAAGACGCCAAAGGTAGATTGGCAAACTTGGTTATGCAGAGGTGGTTGCTGAGTGCTCGCTCACGTCAATGGTGAGTCCTGTTCAACTCTAATTCGCACGAGATTCAAAATCCCACCCAGTCCGAGCCTGCGAAAATCACTTTATCCTAAAATATAAGATCGCATAGTCTGAATTCGGAAGTTGTTTTTCCCCGGCTCTTTAACAAAAAAGAAAAGGGCTTCACAAAATTCTGACACCAGTTGAGAGCGCCAGCAACTGAGTCAATTAAAGATTTCAAAAAACAATTATGTTGCAGAAGTAAGAGGATAATTTCATACAGTTGTAAGCATTTCAGAGAAGACCGATATTTGCTTCACTGATGCATCCCAGACTTCCCATGTGCCCGGCACAGCCCAAGCACGAACACAAACCATTAATTTGATTGTCCCAGCTCACAGTAGGTAATGTCTCAGTAATGAGCAGAACATTATCTGTGCACTCGAGAAAAGAACCTATAAAATCCAAGCCGATGCCTCCAGGGCTCTCGACTGGTTGTAAAGCTGAGCACATTCTAATACAAAAATGATTTCACTCTCAACCCACTTTGAACTTTTTCTAAGTATCCCGCAGTTAAAGATGACACAGAAGAGTGATCTTGCGAGTGATTTCAACTCGGGTTCTGATTAAGAAAAAAATGGAAGAAATACCAAAGAAAAGGACCGAGCTTGCTTTTTTAGCATTTCCGTGCAGCACTTCACTTCACTTGGGTAAAAAAATTCCCTTCAGCAATAATTTGCCCAGCGCCTTTGCCAATTCAAGTGTAATTCTGAACAGAACTTTTACCCAATTGTGAAAATTCTCAAAGTGCTTTACAGCAATTGCCGCCGACTGTAGTAATCGGTTTTGAAGGTAAACCTGGCAGTCAGGATGGCTTGCACGGCAAGATCCCAGAAACGGCCGAGAAGCAAGTGAATGACCGAAGAGTTCACGTGAAGAATTGAAGTGTCGGACTTTTCCTTACTTTCGTGCTGCACACGCCTACCCCAATGTGTCTCTTACCTTTGCCTTCTCTCCTCCTTTCTGACATGTTCTCTCGGGCATTCTCTCAGGCAGTTTTTGCAATACCTGGTCCACAGATATTGTCCACCAGCCTTGGCAACCAAGCCAATTAAGAGCGTACGCCTACAATAAAATGCAAACTACCCACTTTTGTGCCAGTTTTTGTGTCAGTGGGAGCCCTACCTTACCAAGATTGCAACACAGCCACTGAGGGAAAGAGAAAAGCTCCTTCTCTGTCTCACTCTCTCTTCTTCGCCCTAGTTGTTATCGCAGTAATAAGGTTTTCTGTCTATTTCGGTGTTGCTGGAGTTGGAGCCTGCAACACAATCTGCCTGGCCCTTCAAAATGTCACATAAACTGCCATCACCATCTCTCGTCTCTCATTCTCAATTTAATAATAATAATATTAAATAAAGTTTTGAAGGTTTCATTGAAAAGTTTTATTTAATAATTTAAGTCCTTTTACTAGTGCTTCTGCGCTAAATAGAGCACTTTGGGAGTGAGGGGTGTATGGTATTTTCTTGGTCTGTAAATTACCAACTCTTTGGCGAGTAATTTTAGGACTAACATTCGCAAATATTTCTTTACCCAGAGGATAAACAACAGCTGGCACTGATTCCAATGAAATGCAGTTGAGCCCAGGGTGTTGGAGTCATTAAGAAACATTCTTGATGCTGCAAAAGGAGGATGGTAGGGTGGGGAACACTGGAAGCTGAGATCAAATGGGCTGATGAGATCTGAACCTCTGGTGATCTTGTGAACTTCGTGTTTCTTCCTCATTAAATTCCGAAAGCAATTCAAAAGAGCCTTATATATTGATTCCCCCCAAAAGCATGTTCATCTTATTTTTAAGTGATTAACAAGCATTTGATTTCATGATTTATTTCACCAGGTTGTGTTTTAACGACTGCCGTCATCAAGCTTGTCACTATTGCTGTGCCTGTGGAAACTGTTTTGTAAGAGTTCCGTGAATAAATGTGCTGTGGAAGTGAACGGGTGCATTGTCTAATCAGACACTTCATTGATGTGGTGAGACATCTTCCTCAGATGTCCTGACCTGTTTGGGTAGATTTTATATGGTGTGGGATGGGACCTGTCTCGTCATTTCCATCCAGCACTCGTGCAGTTAAAAGGGAAGGGACGAGGTACACCTGAGGTTGGGCTAGTATGGGAGAGCATGGGGCAAAGTAGCACAAGCACAGGAAACCCAACTGAGTGTCACTGACCTCAATGCTCACAAATCCTGGATTACTAAGACGAGGTGGTATTTGGTCAACGGACAATAAGGTAAGGCATAGTATAAACTGAACAAATCCTTGCATCGGTGGTCGGGCCTTCAGCGTCTCAGCCCCGAGGCTCTGGGACTCCATCCCCCAGTGCCTTCGCCGCTTCCTCCCTTTCCTCCTTCAAGGCCGGTCTCAAGACCTTTCTCTTTGACTGTGCCTTCAGCTCCCCTCTCGACTCCCTACCCCCTCCTCGCTCCCTCCCTTCCCTCCCCTCACCCTGACCGTTTCCCACCTGCTCGGGTCCCGACCCAACTGTCCAGCGTCTTGGGACGTCCTCCCAACGTGAAAGGCGCTCTATAAATGAACTGTTGTTGTTGTTTTATGTGGGAGAGTTAGTAGTAATGTACTATATTTAGGACTGTGTAATGGGTTATCACCACAAACAGGATGTCCTGATTTGCAGTGTAATGCAGCTTTCAGCTTGAGAACAGTGTGTCACTGAGCAAAGACAGATTGGGAACTAATAGTTCTGAACCATTTTTTTTTAACATCGGAGTAATAGGATCTGAAGTGTTCAGCACAATAATTCCTGCCGGCGAAAGAGTCTCCTTTCTAACAGGTTATATATGAAAGGCGGACAAGAAGCAAGGCTATCATTTCCAATTGCTCGTGTTGATTAAGGTTGCAAGCACAGAGCAGCCAATGCCCCATTCAAAATGCTCCTTCCTCTGTACTCTTCTATAGCCTGCCTCTAGAAGTGGTTTAACTTACTGAAAGAAAATTTGCTGTTGTAAGGCAGACATTGTCCAGTATTCTGTCAGGATGACGTGAGGAGACAGTAAGGATGCAGCGACTGAGAAAGAATCGCTGCGGGTTTGCAGAGTGATCATCTAGTTTATTATTGAAAATTAACGCAATGGTATGAGTTGCTTCGCAGAAAAATGTCTCGATTCTCCGCATTATTTCAGCTTCCATTCCCAGCGTATTGCATTGCTGCTCGTAGGCTGCTGCTGGTGTAATTTAGCTGCTACATCTGCCTACTCAAATTCCAGTTAATTTCTTAGCAAATTTAATTTCAGTGAAACACCTTGTGCGTTTTATTTTACCCTGAAGGTTTTATGTCAATGCTAATTTTTCGATTATATTTGAACGCTCGGGAGACAGGGATGAGTGCATTCTGGGCCCGAGAGCATCATCCCTTGAGTTTCTCCACAACAAACCGCAGTTTCTGTACAGCCAGGTCTGTGTCCTCCTCGGAAATGCCCAGGTACCAAACTGCCCGCACTGAGCGGCCGTAGAATGGCATCATTAACACCCGCACTCCGCAACCCACTGCCGCCACTTCCTCCGCTGTCACCTCGGCCATACGGTCACAAAACTCCTGGGGCGAGATCCTCGGATCATTCACTGTAAGCATCAGGATATTGGTTTCCAACGCGTCCATGTTGGTGTCGCACACAGGGTAGGCGTATTTCTGGATGCCTAAAAGTTGGTTTGGAGAGTAAAAAGGTGGGTGACTGTTTTAAGATGTCGCTGAGCTGATATTGATTTCAGAGGCGCAGTTAAGTTAAGCGATCAGTCAATTCCAACAGGAACACACAAAAAAAAAGACCGACAGTACTTTCCCACCAGCCACCCGATGCGCATTTACTCACATCGCACTTGCTGAGAACACATGACTGATGTTGCACATCAATGTAATGGGCTCGAGAAAGCACAATCAGTTTTCATCGAGAGGGTGTGAGCTTCCAGGCTCGAAATCAAACATTTTACGCACGATACACAGCTCGAGCCTGAGGTTGTGAATAAGCTTGAGCACTGGAATAGTTGATAGATAGTAGGACCCTAAGAGATTTTCGCTTCAAACCCAGGAAGGCTAATACCAATTGTCACTGATTTAGTCAATCCGATGCTTTCTGGTCTGTAAGGCCGAGTGTCGATCCCATTGATCTATCACAGCGGCTTGCTCTTACTTTGCTTAATGTTCAATCTGATGCTAATCATAGGTGACTTAACAAAAGGGAGTGAAATATATCTTCCTAATGGTTATCAGAGCTCGGATGTGTTTGAGGGAACTAGTGTCCACCGTGTCGACTGTAAAACAGGAAATGGTTGAGAATCAGTAACTATAAAGTGCAGTACAGTAATGTTATAGTAATCCCAGCATTAAAAGGAAGATTGAAGGGCAGGCCTGTGACGCTGCACAAGGATATATACACCTTGATAACAACAACGACAACTTGCATTTACACCTTGATGATAGAAGGAAACTGAACAATCCTGTACTTGTAAGCATTCTTATTATTTTATTCATGCGCTGTACGTACCCTGGGAAAATATCCTTGCGTTCGTATGGTCATCCTTCAGCCTCTCAACCATTTGAGATATAGAAATGAGCCCTGCTGCAGCCAGTAGCCCTGCCTGTCTCATGCCACCTCCGAGCACCTTGCGGGCATGGCTAGCCTGGTCGATGAATGATTGTCGTCCGCCAATGAGAGACCCAACAGGAGCTCCCAAACCCTACAGTGCAGAGAAAAAGGTCAGTGAGGGGACATATTTTGCGGATATTGAATAATAGTAATAATAATCCTTGTTATTACTATTAATATTATTACTTATTATTCCAGACCTTCCTCTTCGACTGCCCCTTCGGTCACCCTCCTACCTCCACCCTCCCTGCTATCCACCCCTCCTGATGCCAACCTCCAGCTCGGGTACCAATCCTTGACTGTGCAATGCCTTGGGACGTCCTCCCGACGTGAAAGGCGTTATACGAGTGTAATTTGTTGTTGTATTGACTTAGCACCTGCAATGTCAAAAGTCAGTGAAACCCAACTTCTGCCTTAAATTGTTAGGTACCTTAGACAGGCACATGGAGACAGAGTCACAGAAACGCAGGATGGCTTGTGCTTCAACCCCCATAGCAACGGCTGCATTCATCAATCGGGCTCCATCCATGTGAACAGCCAGGCTGTACTTGTCAGCGAGGCTTCGAACCTGCAGTGTCGGGAAGTGTAATAGAACTTGTCACCCTGAGGCACAGAACGTCTTACAATGAGCCTTGTGTCTGATACAGTCTAACGCCAAAACATCGCAAAGGTGAGTGAAGTAAGTGCCAAGTGAACTTATCTTTGGAGGAAAAAATTGGGTCGCGCACAGCAATTTCCCACAAGTGGACACCAGATGAATGACCAATTGTTGGCTTGGATTACATAGATATAGACATAGAAACCGGAGTAGGCTATTCAGCCCCTTGAGCCTGTTCCGGCATTTTATAAAATCATGGCTGATCTATACCTCAAGTCCAGTTACCCACCCTTGCCCCATATCTCTTAATACCCTGACCTAACAAATATCTATCTACTTCCATCTTGATTCTAGGAGAAATTTGCTTCTTGTAATGTATGTTTTAACCAGCTACTTCCTCACCTCCTGTAGAAAGGAGAGGGGTAAAACCCGACCCCCTTGTACATTGTGAGTGTTTTCCAGGCAAATCAGGCGTGTTCTGGTGCAGTGAGGATCAGTATAGTCGTTATGTATCTTAGACTCTAGCTCGTTCAGGTCAAAGGTTCCGTCTGGAAGATTTCTCAGAGTACGTGAATGAACCCCTGCAATCTGAAACACAGAGGATTAGTACAGAAGCTTGGAGTGTGCTAACTGATAAGGGTGAGAACCCAAATGGATTAAAAAAAACTCTATTCCCCGAACATAAAAGGTACGAGCAGGTGGTAAAAGGCTAGAGATGCAGGTCAAAATGTTTCACAAGATCACGAGAGAGGTCCAAATGAAGAAGGCTCTTCAGCTCATTTGATCTCATCCCACAAACAGCCATGGAACGAGTGACTAATTTTATTTTGAGGGATTGTTGGTCAGGACACCGGGAGAAACTCCCTTCTCTTTTCGAAAAGAGCCATGGGATCTTTAACGTTCACCTGAACAGGCAGGCGGGACCTCGGTTTAACGTCTCATCAGAAAGACGGCACCTCCGACAATGCAGCACACCCTCAGCGCTGGGTTGGGAGTGTCGGCTTCCAAGTCCCGAAGCGGGGCTTGAACCCACAAACCTTCTGACTCAAGAGAGGAGAGCGCTAGGGTTGAGCCAGGCTGATTCACATTGAACAGTTTAATCTGTTCAATGTCGAATTGCCCAGTTTCTAGGTGCACGGAATCAGCAAACTCCTGTTTTTTTAGGCAACTTCGTTCAATTGGTTGGCAAAAGAGAAAAAAATAATCCAGTGGAGGGCAGCCAACTCTTGCAGGAGAGTTTCCGCATGTGTTAAGATACCCGGCTGACCAAACAAAAAATGAGACCCCCCCCCCAAACTGAACTGAAGTAGGACACCACTGGAGGGCAGTATCTTCATAGCAATACCCAAAGACTGGGAGCAAAACACAATGCAAAGTCAGATAAATAGTTAAATACACAATAATATGTTCAAGAACCCTACACACATTTGCAAATTCCTTTCAGTATTCCTACTCTGCACTTCCCCTCATTGCAATCAAACTCCCCTTAGTTAAGGGGGGGTTAGTCAATAACTAACACATGTCTTATCCCGTTGATACCAGACTAATTAGGGTTTTACTCAATTGATGGCTGTGAGCTTTGCTTTTCAAATAATACCAAGTTCTGAAGTATTGCCTGTTTTTCGGAACTACTTGGAAATGTGCTTCAGGACGTTGCGGATGGCTCGGGGCTGAAGAATAATGTGCAATTTGAAAGCTGCAAAACCTCTTCAGTGCTCAGAGAGCTTCGCGCACTTCAATGTGCAAACACCTTGGAAATGTGCTTCAGGACATTGCGGATGGCTCGGGGCTGAAGAATAATGTGCAATTTGAAAGCTGCAAAACCTCTTCAGTGCTCAGAAAGCTTCGCGCACTTCAATGTGCAAACATCTACCCCCTGTATGATCAGAAAGGCTGGATATTCTTTCCAAAAGCTGGTCCCAAGTTTTACCAAGTTCCCCAAGGAAAGTAGAGAGCTGACACTGTGCCAAAGTGGAAATGTTCACCCAAATACAAGTCGAGTTTCTTTGTTTCCAAAGGCATTGCCTAGTGTCACGTGGCCTGACCCATTCCAACTTCCAAGGTTCAAAGAGTACTCAGGTAAGGTATTGCTGGATGTTTGACATACCTGTGCTGTTCCTCCTTGCTCGAACAGGTGGATATGAGCTTGGTCACCAACGATCAGTTCTGCTCCCCTCTCACGGCAGTGGCACATGACTGTAAAAGGAGGCGTGAAATATGGCTATGGCACAACCAAAGATGGCAAACAACAAAAACAAAAGCCTGTAGCTCAGTGGTTAGAGCACTCGCCTTGCAAGCAAGACACCTGGGTTTGATTCCCGGCAGGGTGAAACCTTGGGCAAGTTTCCTTACTCCACACGCCTGATAATAATTCTTCCAAAAAACAAAACAATAATAAATTGCTCACTGCAATCCACGACTGTTTGTAGGAAACTGCTGTGCGCAATTGCCTGCCGCGTTTTGCCCCCAAATATACGGTCAATTCACTTTACAGTGTGTTCTGTGAAGCGCTTTGGGACGTCCTCCCGACGTGAAAAGCGCTATATCAAATGCAAGGATTATTATTATTATTATTATTATTTACAGCATATTCTGTGAAGCGCTTTGAGACAACAACAACAACATTACATTTGTATAACGCCTTTCACGTCGGGAGGACGTCCCAAGGCGCTGAAGTCTAGAAGGCGTCTAGAAGCGCGATATCAAATGCAAGGATTATTATTATTGTTAATGCAAAACCATTTGGTGGGCTTTAAAAAAAAAGTTGGAACATTGACTATATGTTTGTTCCCTCTTCATAGCTTCAGATTGTTTCTATCTTGTGATGAATCTTGTATTCACACTACATGTAGTTGCAAGGTACATGCATTGGGCCCTAAGCTAATGTTGGTGTCTAATCTGTGGTATTTCCTTATGTTTCTTAAGAAAATGCATCTCTTCACTGACAGGTGTTTACAATACAGAAGGAGGTTGTTAGGCCCACTATGTCTGTGCTGGTGTTACTTCCCTGTCGGAATTATTTACTCCAGTTTATTTTCACCCTTCACTTTCTTCATGGACTCTAATATGATTGCTTCAAGGGTTCATCCGATTCCCTTTCCAAAGCTTCGCTCTCATAGCCATTTATGGCAAAACACTCCATATTCTGACAACTTTCTATGTAAAAACTCTTTTATTTTCCCTCTAGAGATAATTCCCAAATTGTTCCTGAATTTGCCGATCAGCGGAAGCAACAACCACAACAACAAATTACATTTGTATCGTGCCTTTCACCTCAGGAGGATGTCCAAAGGCACTGAAACAGCCTTTCTCTGGTTTTGTTAGGGTTAAAATAATTCAACCCAATTCAGTTATTTTCTCATTTCGCTTCCCTCTCAAAGACAATGCTACAAAGCTATGCGTCATTTCAAGGTTGCAGTGTACTCTCTCTTCCTCTGCGGTCAGTTCTCATAACTGTTATCAGATGTAGTCAAATGGCTTGAACCTAGTTATATACCCAAAGAGGACAACGCAGGATAGCAATTCCACATCTAAAATACGGTTGTGAACTCTGTATACCCCTGCTTCCTGTGTTCTTTCAGAACAATTTTCTGTTGCAGCCATCCTTCTAAGAACTGGGTTGGATGAGCCAGTTGGAGAGGCAATATATCACACCTTTTATCTCAACGCTGTGAAAAGTTCTAGCACACCAACAGGTTATCTGCTTGCAATCTGGCCCCCGCCCACACCTCACCACAGCTCTTTCTAATGTCTTTCAATAACACGTACAATAGCACAGTCACTCGTTAAAAACACACACACACGCACACGCACACACACAGACACTCGCACGACTGGCTTTGGGTGTGAAGGTCTCCCACTAAACTACCTGAAACAGGAGCTGCTCGCTGTTCAAAGTGTCAAGCTGAAGTGCAGAAAGAGTGAGGGAGTCTTGCCCCATGTGTCTCGTCATGAATACAATGTCAGAAATATTAGGGGAGAAGTTACAAGCGATCGCAATTTCTTTACTTAAAGGTAAAGTTTCAAACTCATTACAACAACAACAACAACAACAACAAGATTCCATTTATAGAGCGCCTTTCACGTCGGGAGTACGTCCCAAGGCTCTGTACAGTTGGGTCAGGACCCGAGCAGGGGGGAAATGGTCAGGGTGAGGGGAGAAGGGAGGGAGCGAGGAGGGGGTAGAGAGTTGAGAGGGGAGCTGAAGGCACGGTCGAAGAGAAAGGTCTTGAGACCGGCCTTGAAGGAGGAAAGGGAGGAAGCGGCGAAGGCACTGGGGGATAGAGTTCCAGAGCCTCAGGGCTGAGAGGCTGAAGGCTCGGCCACCGATGGTAGGGCGGTTGGGGCGGGGGATGTGGAGCAGACCGGAGCCAGAGGAACGGAGGGTACGGGTAGGTAGATAGGGCGATAGTAGGTCGGAGAGGTAGGAGGGAGCAAGGCCGTGAATGGCCTTGTAGGTGAGGATGAGGATCTTGAATTCGATCCTCTGGGGGATGGGGAGCCAGTGGAGGCGAGCGAGGGTGGGAGTGATGTGGGCGCGAGGCCTGGTGCGGGACAGTACACGAGCTGCAGATTTCTGAATGACCTGCAGTGTGGAGGGAGGGCCGGGAAGGCCGACGAGGAGAGAGTTCCCATAATCCAGCCTTGAGGTGATAAAGGCGTGGACCAAAGTTTCAGCCGCGTGAGGGGTGATGTAGTGCCATCGTCTGACGATATTCCGGAGATGATGGAAGGCGGTGCCAGTTGTAGTGCGGATGTGAGGGAGAAAGGACAGCTCAGGGTCGAACAGAACCCCGAGGTTCCTGACTGGCTTTGAGAGGTGGAGAGTGCAGCCTTGGATGCTGATGCTATCAGCGCCAGAGGTGCGGCGGCGCTGACGCGAGCCAATCAGGAGGGCCTCAGTTTTACGCACGTTGAGCTGAAGAAAGTTGTCAGGACATCGGTGGTCGTGGAGTTGAGGGTAGAGGAGGAAAGGTAGAGTTGGGTGTCATCCGCATACATGTGGAAGTTAACTCCATGTCTGCGGATGATGTCACCGAGGGGGAGCATATAGAGGGTGAAGAGGAGGGGACCGAGGACAGAGCCCTGAGGGACACCGCACGAGACAGTGCGGGGGCCGGAGGAAAAGCCATTCGTGGAAACAAAGTGAAGACGGTGGGAGAGGTACGACCTAAACCACTCAAGGACAGGGCCACAGATAGATAACGAGGCTGGGTCAATAGAATCAATCCCTCACTTGTAAGGAAACTAGATAAGCACCCCAGCAGTGAAAGGATCATTCAGAGATATTCAGTGAGAGCTAGAAATGTGATAATAAAAATAGTCATTTAAATAACAGATACAGGCAACAATACATGAAAGGCTTCCTTCTGAGCAGACCAGTTTTGTGTTTCTATAAGTACTGGTGCAGACAGAAATTCCTCTTGTTTTTTAACAACCAAGTGTTAAGATTGATGACTTTTTGAAACCACATAAATACAGTGAAACAAGTGGAGTCCTGTAGCTCAGTGGTTAGAGCACTCGCCTTGTTCGATTCCCGGCAGGGCGAAATGTAGGGTGAGTTTCCTTACTCCACCCGTCTCTGTTTACCTAACAGTAAGTAGGAACCCAGGGGGTAATAATTCCGGGGGTAATAATTCCTTTTCCGGGGGTAATAATTCCTTCCCCCCAAAATAATAAATTGGTTTCTAAATTCACGATTGTTTGTGGGACGCTGCTGTGCGCAATTGGCTGCCGGGTTTTGCCCACAAAATATACAGTCAATTCCCTTTACAGTATATCCTGTGAAGCGCTTTGAGGCGTCTCGAAGACGGGATAAGGCGCTGTATCAAATACAAGGATCATTATTATTAGTAGTAGTAAGTATGGGAGATTTAACAATGAACTGCAGGGCAAGAGCAATGTTGTATGCCTCACCCACTCTCTTGCCTCCTTCAAGTCCCATCTAAAGACCTTCCTCTTCGACCGTGCCTTCGGGCACCCTCCCACCCCCACCCCACCCCTGCCCTCCACCCATCCTGACCCCAACTCCCAGCTCGGGTCCAAAAACCCCTGGGACGTCTTTCTGACGTGAAGGGCACGATACAAGTGTAATTTGTTGTTGTTCTTGTTGTACGCAGCGAGATAAAGGTAGTTGCCCCTGAATTAGACCTAACATCGGTTAGTGTTGGTGGGGTACAGGTCTTCGATGCATAGAAGCTGTTGTGCAGTGACATACAGACCTGAGATGAGGTTGCCCATCGTCCCGGACGGCACGAATAGTGAGGCCTCCATCCCAAACAGGCCCGCGGCTTGCCTCTGCAGTTCTGAAAGTAAAGTTTTTTTTTAAAAAAAAGCTGTGTTTTGTACCGATATCACAATATAAATGGAGTTTCAATCTAGAGGATCTGACAAACCTACTGATCAGTCTCCTCCTTCGCTGGGCCATCCTGATCAAGATAGACCCAGCCTGGATCCCAAGGCATTGCCTCGATTAGTGCTTCTCTATTTGTCTGTCAGTGTGGGTTGTACGTTAAGAGTTCAATGTTCTCACGTGAGGAGCTCTTAAACAGCTGTGCAGGCAACTCTGGTTAGTTAGGCTTTGTAGGTCAGCAGTTTGTGGGTTCAAGGCCCCACGATGAGACTTGAGATCAGTCCCGGATGGCATAACAGTGCAGTACTTAGAGGAGGTGAGGGAGGGAGCTAATAAATAAAAATAATAATCCTTGAATTTGATATAGTGCCTCATCAACAAGGGCTGCACTGTTAGAAATGCCATCCTTTGGATGAGATGTTTAACCAAGGTCCCATCTGTCTTCTTCATGTAAAGATCCCGTGATACTATTGGAAAAGAGAACAGGGTTTCTCCCACTGTCCTGGCCAACAATTCTCCTGATCGATTGGTCAGTCCGTTTTAGCTGATTTTGGGATGGTCCCGGCATTTAGAACAATCAGGAAAACAACTCATGCAACAGTTGCCATTAATTCATACAAAGATAACAATGAGGACATTCAACCTCAAGTTCCCAATCTGCCTCTATTCATTTTCAGAGAAAATAGTAACTTTCAGCACCGTGTGGGAGGGGAGGATTCAGCCCATCGTGACTGTGTCACCTCTATTTGGTTTTCTAATTTTCTCTCTTGTTTTTAATCCCACTTTCCAGCTCCTTCCCAGAAAGATCTTGCCTTCTGTGTTTTCCTTGTGTGTGAGTGTGTGTGTCTCTCGCTCTCCCTCTCTCTGATATGGTGCCAACTTCCTTATAGTTCCTGGAACGGACAATGAAACATGTTTCCCACCACACCCTGTACATCTCATCACTATTAACTCAGCACTGGTGGGTCCAGGGAGTGAGTGTGTGCGAGTGTGAGACTTGAGTTCAGTCTCAGAAGGCAGAATGGTGTGGGGGTGAGGAGAGCAAGTGCTGCACAGTCAGAAGGGGAAGGAGGGGGGGAATAATAGGGGAAATAAAGATTACAAAGTGCCACTTCCCAGATTAATATTTGAGAACAGAGCCACAGTGCCACAATTCTGGAATATTATGTTCGTTGAGTGGTTGACGCATCCGTTTTTTACTCATTGCCCTTTCCAGGAAGTTTGTGTAACTTTGTAATACTTGCTGGGAATGTTTACATGCCTGTCCTTCACACCAGCACAAGTTCCTCCTTCCAGGCAGAACATGGTACAGTACAGCACTTTCCAATGAGTCACTCACCGTACGTACCAGAATCACAAGGCAATTTACATTGCAATCCAGGCCAGATGGGCAACCTCATTGTTTCAAAAGTTCAACCAGTCAGTTTACTGTAACCCTGTATTTTGCACAAGAGCGATGCACTCATTTTAAATGCACAATGAAGGCAAAGATGGTTTCTACCGATGCTGCTTTTAAGGAGGCTGGAAATACGACAGCAAAACGGAATCGCTGCCCAGTACCCTCTAGGGTGATTTGAAGCAAATAAAAGTACAGAACATCTGATAATAATAATAATCATCATCATCATCATTCTTGCGTTTGATATGGTGTCTTATGACATCGCCAAAAGGTTTCAAAATGTCTCGCTGGATTGTTACTGTGAAGTGTCGACGTATCTGTAGGTAACCCATTGGTGCACAGCAATGACCCACAGACAGCCAAGGGGGCATTGCTGGCCAGAACATCAAGAGGGAATTCCCTTCTCTTTTCGAATAGTGCCACTGGATCCTTAAAGTTGACCCGTTACGGGCAGAAGAAACTTTGGCTTAATGAACAACAACAACAACAACAAATTACACCTGCATGACACTCATCACGTCGGAAAGACGACCCAGAGCACTGGACTGGTGCTGGGAGAGCGGCCGAAGGCACGGTCGGAAAGGAAAGTCTTTAGACGGGACTTGAAGGACGCAAGGGAGGGGATGAGGCGGAGGGATTGCGGGATAGAGTTCCACTCTAAGACAGCACCTCCACAGGCACTACATTAAATTATCAGACAAAACTGTGATCTCAAAGTCTCTTCGTGGGGTTTGAATCTTCAGACTCAATGGCCTGAGAGATAGATCCTAACTGAGCCGGGCTGGCACCTTGTAAGAATCTCGTGTCCTTACAAAGTGCCACTTCTTTAGTTTTGCACAAGTCTCATTCCTCAAAGTGGCTTTTCTCGGAAGTTCACCCAGAACATTGTGGTAAGGTTGCATTTTTCTTATCTTCTGTTTTCTAGGTAACTCTGCTAGAACATAGACCTGATCAAGATGGAGCTAGATAAAAGAAAGATTAATCTTTCTTGCACTGAACCCACTCAGATAGCCTTAGAAGCAAACAGAACGAAAATAGCCAACTGCTCCACCACAATAGCCTCCGACAAAATATCATTGTAACCTAGTAGCCTAAAAATGCAAACGTGACCCACCCACACTGTTAGGGCGGGCTGCCAAAAATGGTCCCCTTGATAAACTTTCCGACGTATTGACACTTACGAAGCTAAAATGAAGCGTCACTTTGGATGTTTTGTGTCTTTGCAATACAATTTACATTGATGCAGCGCCTTTCACATTGGAAGGTTGACCCGGAGCACTTTATCTGACTGGGACATAGGGAGGTGAGAAAAAGCAGTCAGAAAAGATCGGATAAGAGTTAAACTGAACCTGAATACAATGATATATTTTAAACTGCTCGCTCACAAGCTCTCCAACAAGGAGACACAGACTCCAGCTCAGAAAGGGGGAAAGTTGAAAAGATTCAGAATTAATGACTTCACAGAGAGCGGTGAGTATGTGGAGTACACAACCCAGGGGGACGGCAAAGGCAGTTTGCGTCAGCAAATCCAACAGACAAGACATTAATCATCAGCGAATTCACCTAAGATTCCAAACAGGTCATGTCATGTCTGACTGACCAGGAATTCACATATACAAACATTAATTGGACTGATGAGCATTACACTACACAGAGGGCTTTGAAAACAGCCCTTTTACTATATATGGTGTTTGGGAAAGCTGTGCATTCTGTGCTCTCTAGGCTGATCGGACTCAGAAATACCTTCTCTCTCACAGTACAGTACTTAGCAATCGCCCGTCAATTAAATGTCAGCCTGGCCAAGATGGTAGCGCTCTTGCCTTTCGAGTCCAAAGGTTGGGGGTTCAAGCCCCACGTTAGGACTTTGAACTCATATAATCTAGTCTGAAACCGCTTTGAAATAAAAAGAATAGTAATTCTCTACAAGGCTGTTTGTGGGACATTGCAGTGTGCAAATTGGTTGCCGTATCCACCTACAAAAATAAATGACTAAGGCAAATCCTGTCAAGTGTTTTGAGATGTCCTCCTGATGTGAAAGGTGCTTCATCAAATTGCAAGGATTATTATCATGTGCTCTGTCCAAATAAAGCATCGGTACAAAGTCTCGGGGCCTTACTCAGGGGTTGTCAGCGATGTTTTAAGACATTCCAGGTTCTTCCGGGCAACCAATTACATGTTGTTAATTATGTTCTAATAGTCCTGTAGTACTTTAGAAGGGATTTAAATTTTCTTAGATGGAATGACCCATGGGTGTGGCAGGTACACATTTCTATGGTTTGTAGCACTGAGTTAGCGCCACAGCCTTTACAGATTGTCTGGCTAGATATTAGATAAATCCCTTCAAAAAACTAAAATATATAATAAAAATTTGGTCACTCAATCCACGACTGTTTGTAGGACACTGCTGTGTGCAATTGGCTGCCGTCATCAAAATGCACCGTCAATTCACTTTACAATATGTTCTGTGAAGCTCTTTGAGACGTCTCGAAGGTGTAATCAGGCGCTATATCAAATGAAAGGATTATTATTATTATCGTTATTAGGAAAAAAGCTTTGCTTCAGTGAAACAAGGCCACCTTTGCCATTGAGCATTGCTCACTGGTTTATATTCTTTCCCACCATTCGTGTGCGATACCGCGTTGATTTCAGTACGAAAGCACACGCTCAAGAAAACTCACTGGTTGAAAGTTAGGAAATTGACCTGCTCAAAGTTGAACTTTGTCTTAAGTAATCTGCCCAGGAATAGACATGAATTTCTACTTACTGGCAGAGGTATTTCATAACCTGAAGTTTAAACCTAGCATTCCCAGGCACCTAGCTTTACTTTGACCCATAACACAACCCTTTTATTGTTATTTTACTTCCCTCTTCCCCTCCCCCCGAAACCACAAGCAGCACTTTTTCTCACAATACAAATTTTCAAAGTGCATGATATGGATCAGGAAATAATTTCAGAAGCTTATTAGTAAAGCTTATCGCAGTAATATAAATACTGAGTGTACACATGACACCAATTTGCAATAGCAGAGTGGATGACAGGGGAGTAAATATTTAGTGGTTAAACCAAGTACTTGACTCGTTCCAGCTGTTTTGCAGCGACTACGTCAAAGTTTTATGAAGCCAATAACAGAAATGTCATTACTCCTCCAATTCAACGTCATCCTACAGGCAATGTACCTGCACTTTAATTTCGTTCTGGGAACACAATTCCTGTCCTAGAGGGACAAAAAGGGAAGAAACTTCGCTGAGACTCTCTAATTCAGTCTTTGCCCACATGTGGTGTGGTACGTGCGGTATGTGCTGATCAAGAAGTACCGCTGACATGTGGAGTCCTGCAACTCAGTGGTTAGAGCACTCGCTTCACAAGCGAGAGACCTGGGTTCAATTCCCAGCAGGGCGAAACCTTGGGCAAGTTTCCTTACTCCACACACACACACACACACCTGATAATAATCCCTCAAGAAAAAAATTATAAATTTATCACTTCCATCCACAACTGCTTGTGGGACGCTGCTGTGCGCAATTGGCTGCCGCGTTTCACTCACGAAAAAAATAGTCAATTCACTTTACAGTCTATTCTGTGAAGCGCTTTGAGACGTCTCGAAGACGTGAAAAGCACTATATCAAATGCAAGGATTATTATTATTTATTATTATCATTTCCTTTGCGGAGGGATTTCGGCGACACTTAGTGACATCAGTTGGGCCACGATGACCCAGCAGTTGACCATTTGAAGGTCAGAAGAAGGATCTTGGAAACTCAATCCACCGAGGGTTATCAGTGGAGCCTGGCAAGGATGAAGGCAATGGGTTTGCTGAGTCTAGTGCAAGAGACAACACAAGCACGAGTTGGACCTTGTAGACGGACGAATCTGAGGAGAGATTTAGCGACGTCCAACCTCGGAAACAGAAGACCATGAGAATGAGAGAGTGGAAAGAAAATGAGACCTCAACGATTATGGAAAAGTGATCGTTCGGGTTTAACTAACAAATACTGAGGGGGTGGATGTGTTTACGGTCTACGTGCCCCCATCAGTTCTGAACATTTCATTGAAAGCAAAGTGGAACAGGAAGACTGAATCATGCTATCTGCAGGCTGTGAAAGTTGCAAACACAGGGGAGTGGAAAATAACTAAGGTTTATGTACTGAATTTCCACAGAAGAGTAACAGCAGGTCTTTGACTGCTAAATTTAAATGCACATTTTTACAAGTGTAAAGAGCTGTGCCGTTACTGATATCAATATTAATGGGCGACAAACACAACCTGTAAGAAAGACATCATTGCTTCCAACAAAATAATGGCAAATTGATCGAAAGCATAAATTTGCATTCAAGCCACAACAGAGAACGGTGATATGGACAGTAAGATGTATGGTTACTCTCGCCATGAACAGCGCAGGTGTTGAACAAACTACATTCAATATGTACCTTTCCAAGTGACCAAGAAAATGACCTGATTTGTTTTAATCTCGTAAGCGCAACACTTGGGGCTGGTGTGAGTTACACAAGTTGGAACTAAATTACTGGTAATCTGCGTATTTCGGGAACTGGACTATAACAGCCGCCGTTTAGTGACAGTCCAGTGAAGCAAGCGGTTCCCTTGCCTCGCGCAGTGAGTTTTTAGTCCAGTGTGGCCAAGGCGGACACCACATCCGTAGCAACACGGGAATGCTCCAGCTGAAGGAATATTGCGATTTAAACGCTCTGTTAGCCCAAGCGCACGTACTCGTTTTTTTTAATATATATATATATATAAAACGAATCTGTTTCATACGTTATTTAACAACAATAATTAATAATCCTTGCATTTGATAATAACGCCCGTGAGCTCAAAGCACCGAAAATTTATTTTAAAATGTTCTCCCTCTCTGAAGTGCTGCTTGGGTTCTGCGCAGGACTTGCCCGGTTTGCTGCCAGGGCAAAAATTAGTCGACGCACTAATTAATTAGTGCTGTTAATAATAATAATAATAATAATAATCCTTGAATTTGATATAGCGCTTTTCACGTCGGGAGGACGTCCCAAAGCGCTTCACAGAACACACTGTAAAGTGAATTGACTGTATATTTGTGGGCGAACGCGGCAGCCAATTGCGCACAGCGATGTCCCACAAACAGTCGTAGATTGAAAATGACCAATTTTTATTATTGTTTTTGGTTTTTAGAGAGTTTATTATTAGGCCCTGTGTGGAGTAAGGAAACTTGCCCGAGGTTTCACCCTCTGCCTGGAATTGAACTCAGGTCTCTCACTTGCAAAGCGAGTGCTCTAACCACTGAGCTACAGGACTCCACTTAATTCCTGAATGTTAAACGGGGGTAATTTTCCCATTTTCCCAACACTGTGCGCCTCCGGCTCAGGGTTAACTGCACTCGTCACTTAAATAAAAGCCACAACACCGACATGTAGACAGAAGATTTTAGTCAGTGCTACGGTAGTCCCATTCAAAAGAGTTTACGTGCCTTGGAACAGAATCAGCACGTTATTAAATACAAAAGTATCACGGTAAGATAAATAATAACAATCCTTGCATTTGACGCAGCGCCTTATCACGTCGTCGAGACGTCTCAAAGCGCTTCACCGGATAAACTGTAAAGTGAACGGACCCTGTATTCTGGGGGCAAACTGAAGGTTATGAGAAGTGAGAATGCCAGTGAGAAGACAGTACGTCCTCATGTGCAAACGTAATCTTAAAACAAACCCTGCGTTTGGCATAGCGACTGTCATGATAGTGCTTCACAGGATGTACTGTAATGCGCAGTGACTGTGTATTCCGTAGGCGAACTCGGCAGCCAATTTGCACACGGCAATGTCCCACGAACAGCCACAAAGCGAATGACCAACGTTATCTGGGAGGGATTGTCAGCCGGGACATAGGGAGAGAGAAAAGCCCTTTTCTTTTCGATTAGTGCCCTGCGATCTTTAACGTCCACCCGAACAGGCAGCCGGAACCTCGGCTTAACGTCCCATCGAAACACGACGTCTCCAACAACGCAGTGTTCCTCCCGGTACTGTACCGGTGTGTGTCAGCAGAGCCGAGACTAAATGGGTTCAAAGTCCTGACGTGGGACTTAAATCATTCTTTGACTCGATACTTCTAGGAATGAACTTGTAAGTGAGCGGTAAAACATAATAATAAAAGTCATCCCTGCATTCGACGTCGTGGCTTATCATGTCGTCGTGATAGGTTTTGATAGGGTCGACATAGGGAAGATGTTTCCACTTGTTAGGGGGGGGGGGAGGGGGGGAGACCAAAACCGGGGGACCGTCAATATAAAATAGTCACAAATAAGAGATGTTAGAAGAAATGTCTTCGCACAGAGAGTAGTGGGAATGTGGAACGTGCTGCCCACGAGGAGTTGTTGAGGCAAATAGCGTAGGTGTATTCAAGGGGAAGCTGGACACGAGGAGACACGAGGGGACACGAGGGGGACACGAGGGGACACGAGGGGGACACGAGGGGGACACGAGGGGACACGAGGGGACACGAGGGAGAAAGGGACAGAAGGTTTTACTTGAAGGCTTAGTTGAGGAAGGGCAGGAAGAGACTCATATAAACACCGGCATCGACCGGTTAATAATAATAATAATAATAATAATAATAATAATAATAATAATAATAATCCTTGCATTGGATATAGCGCTTTTCACGTCGGGAGGACGTCCCAAAGCGCTTCACAGAACACACTGTAAAGTGAATTGACTGTATATTTGTGGGCGATTGCCCCGTCATTCTACTGCCCCCTCACCTTCTCTATTGCCCCCTCACCCTCTCTATTAAGCCCCTCACCCTCTCTACTGCCTCTCACCCTCTCTACTGCCTCTCACTCTCTCTAACTGCCCCTCACCCTCTCTAACTGCCCGTCACCCTCTCCAACTGCCCCCTCACCTTCTCTATTGCCCCCTCACCCTCTCTTTTGCCCTCTCACCCTCTCTAACTGCCCCCTCACCCTCTCTAACTGCCCCCTCACCCTCTCTAACTGCCCCCTCACCCTCTCTAACTGCCCCCTCACCCTCTCTAACTGCCCCCTCACCCTCTCTAACTGCCCCCTCACCCTCTCTAACTGCCCCCCACCCTCTCTAACTGCCCCCTCACCCTCTCTAACTGCCCCCTCACCCTCTCTAATGCCCCCCCCCCACCACCACCACCCCATTGCGTGGTAATTCCCCCTAAATCCTCTCTTACCATTGACAGTCGGGTCCTCCCCGTACACGTCATCCCCGAGCGGAGCCCGAGCCGCGGCGGCTCTCATGTCGGGGGTGGGACAGCTCAGGGTGTCGCTGCGGAGATCCACGGTGCGGAGGGCGGCAGCGGCTCCGCGGTAACAACGGCACCAGAGCCCCGGGAGCGGCAGCAGCAGCCGCCGTGCCAGCCTCATTGCCCCCCTTGCCCTGCGCAGCACCCACTAACCTCCTTGCCCTGCGCAGCACCCACTGCCCCCCTTGCCCTGCCCGGCACCCGCTGCCCCCTTGCCCTGCGCAGCACCCACTACCCCCTTCCCTGCGCAGCACCCACTACCCCCCTTCCCTGCGCAGCACCCACTACCCCCTTCCCTGCGCAGCACCCACTACCCCCCTTCCCTGCGTGGCACCCACTGCCCCCTTACCCTGCGCAGCACCCACTGCCCCCCTTGCCCTGCGCAGCACCCACTACCCCCCTTGCCCTGCGCAGCACCCACTGCCCCCCTTGCCCTGCACCCACTACCCCCCTGCCCTGCGGGGCACCCACTGCCCCCCTTGCCCTGCTCGGCACCCACTGCCCCCCTTGCCCTGCGCAGCACCCACTGCCCCCCTTGCCCTGCCCTGCACCCACTGCCCCCCCTGCCCTGCCCCCCTTGCCCTGCCCTGCCCCCCCCCCCCCCTGCCCTGCCCCCCCCCTGCCCTGCCCCCCCCCCCCCCCCCGCCCGGCACCCGCCGCTATTGCTCTGCGGAGCCGCTCCGCTCCTCGCGCTGCGGTCCCCGGGAGCGGATGGGGGTCAATGTCCACCGATCAGCGGATACACTGAGAGAGAGAGAGAAGGGCAACGGAGCTGTTAGTGCATCAGAAACCGCGAGGCCTTCCAGAAATGAGTGTAAAGTTCACTCTCTCTCTCACTCACTCACTCATTCTCTCACTCACTCACTCACTCACTCACTCATTCTCCCTCTCTCTGTCTCACTCTCTCTGTCACTCTCTCCCTCTCTCTGTCTCTGTCTCACTCTCTCTGTCACTCTCTCCCTCTCTCTGTCACTCTCTCCCTCTCTCTGTCTCTGTCTCACTCTCTCTGTCACTCTCTCTGTCTCTGTCTCACTCTCTCTGTCACTCTCTCTCCCTCTCTCTCTCTCTGTCACTCTCTCTCCCTCTCTCTCTCTCTCTCTCTCTGTCTCACTCTCTCTGTCACTCTCTCCCTCTCTCTGTCTCTGTCTCACTCTCTCTGTCACTCTCTCCCTCTCTCTGTCTCTGTCTCACTCTCTCTGTCACTCTCTCCCTCTCTCTGTCTCTGTCTCACTCTCTCTGTCACTCTCTCCCTCTCTCTGTCTCTGTCTCACTCTCTCTGTCACTCTCTCCCTCTCTCTGTCTCTGTCTCACTCTCTCTGTCACTCTCTCCCTCTCTCTGTCTCTGTCTCACTCTCTCTGTCACTCTCTCCCTCTCTCTGTCTCTGTCTCACTCTCTCTGTCACTCTCTCCCTCTCTCTGTCTCACTCTCTCTGTCACTCTCTCCCTCTCTGTCTCTGTCTCACTCTCTCTGTCACTCTCTCCCTCTCTCTGTCTCTGTCTCACTCTCTCTGTCACTCTCTCTGTCTCTCTCCATCTCTCACACTCACTTATTCTCTCTCTCCCTCTCTCTCTCTCTCTCTCTCACTCTATCCATCTCTCTGCCTCTGTCTCACTCTCTCTAACTCCCCCCCCCACCCCCCGCAACCCCCCGCACCGCAACCGCAACCACAACCAACCTGCGCCCCTCGCGCAAGGTCGCAGCGTCCCACCGCACCGCTGGGGCACCAGCCCACCCGGGGTCTTGGTCGTCCTGCGGCCGTGACGAGGGGCGCGGGGGGGGGGGGGGGAGAGGGCACCGGGAAGGGCGGGAGCTCGTGCGGGGCATAACCTCTGGCGCAGGAACTGGCGCTGCGCTTGCAAAGGGCTTTGCGTAACATAAAAAAAGAACCACCACCGAATAATCCTCGCGTTTGATGCCGTGGCCCGTGTGGAAATGCCTCACCGGGAAACTGCGGCGAAGTGGTGTGACTGCGCACTCGTGGGCGAAACGCACCGGTCGGTTTGCAGGCGGCGAAGTCTCACCGACAGCCACGGAGCGAGTGATCCGACTAATTTCCCCCTTGTGGGAGAAACCCCGTTCCCTTCTCAAACAGTGACGCGGGCTCTTCGACATCCACCCGAGTAGGCAGACAGATCAGCGTCCGCTGCGTTTATACTTTGTATTCACTCGTCGGTGCGTTCTGCGAAGCGCTTTGAGACGTCTCGAAGACGCGATAAGGCGCCATATCAAATGCAAGGATTATTACTAACATAAGGTTGACGTAAATAGGATGTATCCACTGGTTCGAGAGTCCTTCACCAAGGGATACGAGTGCAAGGTAGCGACCGGAGGGTCTAAAAGAGGATTTAGGAGGAATTACTTTCAGCAGAGGATAGCGACATTGTGGAACTCGCTGCCTGGAGCAGTGGTTGAATCAGAGAGTGTAGATGGGAGTCGAAAGGAAGCGAGACCTTCACATGAGGGAGGCGGGGGGGTAGCAGGTGACGGGAGGGAGTAAGGAGCGGGAGGGAAACTCGTGTGCACTGTCTTTCCATGCTGTACATTCTTTGTAAACCTTTAATAATAATAATAATAATAATAATCCTTGCATTTGATATAGCGCTTTTCACGTCGGGAGGACGTCCCAAAGCGCTTCACAGAACGCTTTGGGAACACAAAGCGCTTTGGACACGTCCCACCTAAAAGACGGCACCTCTGCTGATGCAGTGATCCCGAGTTCTGCACTGGAACGACAGCCTCGTTTGGGATTCCCCAACTCCCATCGTGAGGCTGGAGCTCACACCCGGGCACACTGTCTGGGATTACTCACAAAGTGTCTGTGCGGATCACTGAAATAGTTTTTTTTGGGGGGTCGGGGGGGAAAAGGGGTCACCACAAAGGTAGTCGATGAGATCGTTAAAGCTTACGGTCCCCTCCCACCGGCTCTCCCTCAGGCTCCACCGCTGTTGAACTCTCCGAGACACTGCCCGGCGTGAAGGGAGCTGTGCAAGTGCAAGTTGTTGTTGACGTTATGAGCGTGTTGAAGGCAGGGAGAGAGGGCAGGAGGCAAAGGTTTGTGTTAAGAGCGAGTGCGAGGGCAAGTTGATTGCGTGACTGAAGGATACAACAGTGACCCAGAAGCGGTAATCAGATATCTACGTCACTGTAGCTATTTTTGCTAGAGCTACTGTACGAGCAATATTTGCATGATATTAATACTTCAGATCACTCTAACTCAACCAGCTGCCACCGACGTAACACCGGAACGCAAGTGCCATGGTTGTTTGGCACGTTGGAGGTGTTGTTGAGAGCTCGATGCCGATTGATGTCATCAATCACCTTCTTTCCGTGCAGGCTGTGACTTGTTATCTCACACTCTCCGCTGTGTTTCTGCACACCGCGCTATCCTTCTGATTACTGAAAACTAACTTTCAAAATCGCGAGTGGGCTAAGAACACTTTTGTTGTTTTTATTTTGATAACATAACATAACATGTAGGAGCAGGAGTAGGCCATTCGGTCCTTCGAGCCCGCCCCGCCATTCAATCATGGCTGATCTTCTAATCTAACTCCAGCTAATACCATAACCCTGTCTTATCCCCATATCCCCTTAATCCCTTTTGCAATAAGGTGAATGGGGAGGAGGGGGAGGGGTGGGGGGGGGGTTGGTCAGCTGGATATTTGACACACCCGGAAACCCGCCACTGTACACAAATCAAACTGAGATTCCCACGTATCGCACCTACGCATGAAAATTCCAGAGATCTTTACTGGAATGGAATGTGCACCATCTCTCCCTGGAGCGAAGCGTCCTGCTTACCCAATTCCGGAAGGTATTGGGTCTCGGTTGGCTGAAGCCTAGGCTTGGAGACCCCAGAGTGTGCGTTGGGTTAACTGCTGGAGTCTAACCAGCTGAACCCACGTAGCCTTGCCATTGATAGCATGAGTGTCTGGAAAGCTTTCCCGCTGCTTGTCCAGCTAGGGCTTTGGCTTGCGGGGTTCACAGTAGCTTGGTGAGGAGGATTTCCTACCCCCCCCGTTACTGGTAGTGGAAGAACGTGCTCGCTGCTAGCCAGCCAAGTTAGGCGTCACAGCTTTGCGGGACGAACTATTGTCCACATACGTGGACAATTTGTTATTGCTTTCGCACCCCAGATACATTCCTTGACTCATGGGAATGGCTTAGCCAAGATAAATCTCTTTCTTCACTGTCAGCGCTGAGTGTTTCTCATAACGTCGACGTTTGTGAAAACACAATAACAGATGTGTAGAAGGATCCATCTGGCGCAAGCACAAGTCAAAAAAAACGACTGATTGAATTTTGGAGGGGAGTTGGGGTGGGTGAGGGGCCGTGGGGGGGTGCAGAGCTATAGAAATGACAGTGTTTTTATCTTTTTAAAACGACCACAAGTCTTGTTGTAGGGGAGCCAGACTGTCATCTGTAACAAAACAAAGCACTCACTCACACGCGTACGAGAGGGTGCTGTAGGGGGATCAGGAATAGGAATCCTGGCTGCTTTATCTTTTCCCCAGAAAACGACAACAACAACAAATTGCATTCACAAAGAACCTTTCACGGTGGGATGACGAGTCCCAAGGTGCTGGAGAAACTCCCTCCTCTTGTTGGAAAAAGCCGTGGGATATTTAGAAGGCCGTTATACTGGGCCTCGGCTTAACATCTCATCCAGAGGGCACCGCCCCTGACACCTCAACTGAAGCTCAGCACCACTGAAGAGGCAAAGCTTTAGTACTACACCGGACTGTCAGTCTAGCCTTCCATCTCTCCGTCTCTCTCTCTCTCTCTCTCTCTCTCTCTCTCGCGCTCTTCAACCCACTATATAAATGCAAGCTGTTGTTGTAGTAATAATAATCCTTGTGTTTGATATAGCGCTTTCGAGATGTCTCAAAGGGCTTCACAGGATACATACTGCAAAGTGAATTGACTGTGTATTTGTTGTTGGTGTTGCTGATCTGGGTCCCATGTGTGGAGAAGGCGGAAGCTGAGGTATGGATTGGCATCTGCCTGGAACATTTTGATATGTAATGGCAGATGTATGCTGCCAAGATTATTTTCTACACCAAACAACCTTTTGACATTTGTGGTACAGTAACAACTCCTCTGAGAGCATTTAGCGTGCAGAGAGTATTGACTGCTATGTTTTATTTTGGATCAAAGTGGGCTTCGTGAGCAAGCACTACACGGTATCCAGTAAATTAA